ATGGTGGTAGGCGTCTTCGAAGTCCAAGTAATGGGTGGCAGATTGGGGTCTGGCGACGGTGTTCGTACGACAGCGACAGCATCCAGTTTCGAAATGACACTTTCTGGGTCAAAAGGAACAAGCCCAGTGGCACTAAAACCTGCTCGAATATTTCCTGGCATCATAACAGCGTTGTGTGTTTCACAAAATGTTGCAAGGAAGTCCTCTTTTGAAACGTGCGTTATATAACGCCGGATGAGATCCTCAATTATGCAACCGTAAGCTCGTTTAAGCGGGCTAAAATAGCTAACATTTAAAGACTGGAGCCTGTATGACGAGTGGGCAGGCATACAAAGGATAATGATGTCATTATTCTAACAATAATTCTCAAAGACCTGGGAATAATAGCTTTTGTGGCCATCTAGGATGAGGAGGCGTTTACTGGCGGTCATACGCAGTCTGGTATACTTGTTGAAATGCTGAATCTATTTCAAATCAAGCTCATCCGTAGTCCACCCGTTGTCAGACACGGCCACCTTCTAATTGTATGGTAATGTTGTGTCGCAATACTATGACGAAAGGTGGGTTTTGCCCTAGAAAATAATGAATGACGGGACCACCCAACCATCAGCATTGATAGCAGAGATTGCTGTAGACCATCCCCTGTTACCTTGCTGAGCTTGTTTAGACCTGCCACGTCTTTTGCCACTTGTAATGACCATACCAGACCCAATAATGCCCATCATAAACCCAGTCTTGTCAAAGTTATAAATATCCGCGTCTTGGATACTATGTTTCGCAATTACTGCCACAATTTGTTGAAACCATGCGCGATATGTGTCTGAATCTTCTTTCAAGACCCTTTAGTAGTCTATCCTCTGATAAAAACGCGTCTAGGGGCCTGGTGTGCGTTTAATGAAGTTCTGCGTCCAGTTCTTTCTAACGCATCCAGCCTCATGTGCTCCCAACAATTGATTTGCTATATCTTTAATATAACTATGCCAGGGTGGAAATGCTTGCGTATCAAGGTCAAGAATGAAGGAAAGAACGGCATTCTTTTTGGAAACTGTAAGTTTTAAAGTATTGGGCATGCTATCGGGTTGTGATAGTCGGCCGGCAATTCTAGCCTTTAAGGTATTATATGTGACGCAGAAAGTCTTAGAAAGCTTGCCAATAATAATATGAGGGTCGTATCATTTAACTTGGACAGCAAGCTATAGGTCTGATTTGCTATAATGCAATACCATTGTTGTTAGTTGATCAATTAGGAGCCTTAATGACAAGGTTAAGTGGCTGGTAAAAAGTTGCCGTTCGCTTGTAATTGCCGCTCGCTTGTCATCTCCGTTATATTATAAAGTAATCGTCTTTTTTTAAGAATTTTATAATATTATTATAAAATAACTAGCCCTTTTACCGGATATTTCAAAACATTGTAATCTTATAACTATAGAAAATACTCTTAGCTTTTTTCTTTATTTTTATTTAAGCGTTTTATTCTTAGTTTTCCCTTTTTTTCTTTTTTTTTTTTTTAATATCTATAAAAAAACTCGTTTCTAAATATTTTAACATTTTAAACCTAATATAGTTTACAATCTGATAAATTCTATACTTCATATATTTTATTTAAATTTCTATAATTTAGGATGAAGCTTCTAATAAAACCATCTTTTATTTAGTCTAGTTTTCATTATTATTATTAAAATAAATAAAAAACCTTCAGTTAAAAGTTTTTTTTTTATATAATTTTATGTTATTATCATTATTTAAATATTCTATAACTCAATAAATTATACGAAATAATATGATAAGAATATATTGCAGCAAATAATACTGTTTTATAAATATTCAAGTAAACCTATTTTTTTAAAAAAAGCTTTTACTTTATTAAATATTATTAAATCTATTTGTTTTATGACCTTACTAAGCTTCTTAATACATAATAAAATAAACTATTAAAATATTTTATATCTTTTAAAAAAGTTTTTGTAACGCTTCTTAATATATTTGTTATTATTATTAATTTATAATCTTTTTATTCTATCTGTGAAGTTCAGGGGTTCAGATAGGTTCAGGATGGGATAGATCAGGTTTGGTATCGTGGTTATAGATCCATTGTGGATATTCCCACCTAAATACAGCTGTATAAGCCCTTTGATATCCGGCTGCCTGGTAACAGACAACAGACCTGCTGTCACGATTCCGTAAATGTATTGCAAGGATCCAGGGACCCTTATTAACTATTGACGTATAACGAACTCTGGTTAAAGGAAAGAAAGATCTGGAGATGCACCCAAATTGGTGGGCAGCTAGATGTGGGCAGTCGTTCCCCACCAGACCTACCAGGGCATAGATCAACCTATCGTCCGATCAGTCACGTGCTCAGTCACGTGACCCGGGGACCATAGGGATCATCGCTAGACCTGATGGATGGTGGAACCATCACACCTGCCAGTGGTTGCTACAATGGACCTTTCACCCCCTTTGGGTCCCTTTCACCCCTTTCAGCCTGCTGCCAGCTGCAGCACACACCTGATAGGCACCAATATTCATACATTACCGTTAAAATTATTATTCTTAGCCTTAATTCTGAATCTTATAAAAACATTATAAATTTTTGATTTAATTTTTAATAATTTATTTTAACAAACCTGGTTCTTTTATTAAAAAAATATCATACTTATATTTATTATATGTAGACTTTAAAGGTCTACTTATATTACTATAAACCTTTTTAAAAGTTTTATAGGTTTTATTATTCATAGCTTCTTTTTTAATAAAATTTTAATTTTGATTTATTACTAATGTTCTTGTTGGGACAGGCTCGACCGATCAATTATAATACTCGAGTATGCATCAAAGTCATGATGTTGCTGATGGGTTGGATTGTGAGGTCTAGCTGAACTTGCAGGTCTGGCTAAGTGACCTTTCAATCCGGTATCTAATCTCTTATCTAATCATACATGTGGATTTGGTATGGATGGTTTGAAGGTTGGAATCGCATAGATCTAACAGTTCTTAATATTTCAAACTTTTAATAACGGTTCATGTCTTTATTCAAATTATAAAGTTTTTTAAGGTAACTTGTTTTAATTAAGCTGAAAAGCTTGTTTCAAGCCTTATTTTTTTTTCGACTTATTAAGCTTTTTGTTTTTATTCTTATCTTTTTTGAACTTAAGTAATTAATATTCAAAAGGCTATTTCTTTAATATATAAAAACTTTATTAAAGTGTTAAAAAACAAGTTTAGTTTCATCCCATTTTAAATAATAATAATTATAGTGCATAATATTGCTTTTAAATCTCTTTTTTATTGAATATTATTTGATTAGATATCATAGTCTTTTTATACAACTTTTTTATTAAATTATTAAGTAATAACTTAATTATTTATGCTTTTAAATTATTATAAAAACATTTAATAACATTAAAAATTAGTAGTAAGTTTTTTAAAAAAGACTATTTGAAACTTAAGCAACTATTAATTATTTAAACATTTCGATATTCTTACACTAAAAATCACTAATAAAAGCTTATATTTTATTAATCTATTTTATTATTATATTAAAATGTTTTAAATATGAATTGAAAACCTTTGGAACATCAAGTCTTTGCTTGTAAAACCCGTAAAGTTATGATGTTTTTTAAGAAAATTTTACAAAGTTTTAATGTTTATTTTGTTTTGACTATGTATTAAAAGACCTTTTTATACATAAAATACATAATTAAATAAGCCTTACAATTATTAATTGCCGTAAAATGTTTATTTTTATGGCGTTAAAATAATGTCGTTAATTTATTAAAGCTTTACTTTTAATAAATTACGTATATATATAATTATCTATGCCTTTAAATTAAGTTTATTCATAAAGTTTAAAAAGGTTTATATTAAAAATTCATAAAAATTTCAAGAAAGTAGTATATAAGAATAGTCATTTTAGTAAAAATGTTCATAAAATTTAAATAGATCGTAAGATATATTATCAAAAATTCAATATAATGTGGTAAGAATATTAATAGAAAACTTTTAAAAGTTTAAAATATTTTAAAAATATTAACGAAAATACACTTAAATGTTGTTGTCAGATGTTAGATCCCAGATATGGTGCCCTTAGGTACAGTACCCACTAGGGGGCTGTCAAAGAAACAGTAGATCTACCCTGGAATGGTGCAGTATGGTATTTAGCTGTAGATTAGCCCTGTCAAGCATACTTGAGAATGACAACAGCGTTTGCAGCGACCGCTCACACCCCCAAGGCTTGTGACCCTTTTAGAATCTCACAGTTGTTAATAAAGTTATTAAAGGTATAAAAATCTCAAGCTTTAATTAGTTAGCTTAAGTCTTATAACCTATTAAAAGTTTAATTAATTAATTAGATACTACGTAGTTTTATAAATAGTGTAAAAAGTTTAATAATATATAAATCTGGTAATATTTATATAAAAAGAAATATATATATACTGTATATTAAGGCTTTTTCGAGACCAAATAAGGGTCGAGGGATATTACCTTGTACCTTTTAAACCCGAATAAAGGGACAACCTGATTTTACCCCTTTTGAGTAAAAAAAAACAGGTTATTATAGGTTATTTTAACCCCTTTTCCTGGCTTTTTTCCATACCAGTACAGGAATCAGGTTTTATTAGGTTTTATAGTCATCTATTATGTATTTATAACTAACAGTTCGTTCTTTTATAAAGAAGAGCCACCGACTTCCTACTCGGTTGCCAGTGTCTTGTAGGTAGGAAGTGATGGAGACCAGACGCATGTGGCTAGCATGAAACAAGCGGAATCTTAAAGCTCATGTGTGATAACTCCCAAAGCTTATTCCATGGTGCTTATTCGGATTCGATGAATTTGACTATCAGAGCCCCCCATCTAATTTTGTTGCTAATTTAGGGACTTGCCGTACTCCCAGAACTCCTCGCCGTACTCTGCGACCAGTTCCAGATGGTCTGACCGACCCTTGGAGGTGGTGGGCTTAAACTCCATGGGCTGACCAGCTCGTTCAGCCTCGCGCCCAACTACGGCGCATCATTCGCCATGGTAGTATCCACGGCCTCCAAGAACATCCGCTTCTCCTCCTCCCGCTTCGCCTGTACGCCCCGTAGATGCTTCAGCAGCTCCTCCGCAATCCTCTCCTTGGCGGCCTTCTTGCTCATGATGTTATCGACTCGTACAACGTCGACCAGGAAGGGCACCCTGTAGCCTTCAGCTCCGAAATCCGCGTGGCCGCTCCAGAAGCCAATGCTTGGCTGGTCCATGATGTACAACGGTACTGGTAGATCGAGTTCCTTGCAGAGCTCTGCGACCTCGTAGGTTGCGGAAGGCTGCGAGTCGTCGAAGGGAGAGGCGGCCATGGGTGCCTTCGGGGGCGTCTTTGCTGGTGTTGCAGGCGGGACAGGCGAGCTGGCCACGCGTGCTTTCAAGGCCTCCTTCGATGTGATTGCTGGGATTGCAGGCGAGGGTTTCGGTTCTTGTTTAATCGGTGTCTGCTGGGGCGTGATCTGCTTGGGGAACCTCACGCCGCCTTCCTGAGGCATGTGTCCATTCGCCTGCAGCCACTCCACAGCACACTTGGCTGAGTACTGTTTGGCGTCCTTCTTCCTCGCAAAAGAAGGGGGGGTGCCATCTGACAGAAGACCGAATCCAGGGATGGGAAAGGTCTCTGAATACTCGTCGATCATGACTCGGCACTTCCACTTCAGCACGCCGCGACCGGTGGGATCCACAGCTCCTTCTGTGAACTTGACGCCAGAAATGCCATTGGGACCGCGCTGGTTCGCAGCTCGATATTCTGTTGTAGTTTAGTTCCTGTATCATGACCAGGGCGTCGCGGTTGGCTGGGTAGGCTGTAGAACTTACCCAGCAGTATACCGACCCAGTTCCTGTCTCCTAACTCAGGTTCGGGCTCAGGTACCGGTACCGCGTGGACGGCGAGCTCTAGTCTCAGCAGAGCCTCGCGCTGCTCGTCAGTCAAAGGTGTGGGTGAGGACTGTTGTTGGTTGATCCAGTTCTGCAAATTATGGAAAGTTGCCGGCGGCACTGCAGCCCCGCCACCCGCCATGCTTGATACAACTGTTGGAATGCTGCTCAAAAGGCAATGCAGATAGGAGGCTACTAAGCCCTGAGTATAGGGATGTGTATGGCCGCAAGGGCTGAGGTGAGAGTGATATGAGAGAAATTGGAGTGAGTGAATGGTGGGGTTGATCCGGTGAGGAAACGAGAACGGCGGAGCCCTTGATTTTATTTTGGGAAGGACAGAAATGGACACCGGCCACCAGTTGATGGAAGGAACGGTGAAGTCACGTTTGATGTCTTATTTCTAAACCAGGTACCTATGTACTTACCTAGGCACTGTATTTCTGCAATATTGGCCAAAGCTGTTTGGGCTTCCGAGACCGCCAGATTTGCAAGTTGCAAGGCTAGCCGACATAACTCTACTGACATGTACGGACGAGCATGACCATGCCAACATCACCACCTTGCAAAGCGATGCCGTCTAAATATCATAAAAAATTCGGGTATCGTTTCATCGTAAGACCATCTACTCTTTCTCAAAGAAGCCGTCACTGTCGCTGTCACTGCTCGAGTCCGACGAGTCCGACTCCTCTTTCCGTTTGCCTTTGCCTTGCCGGGGGTCTGCAGGATCCGAAACAAACGCCGTCTTCTCCTTCAACTGATTGGCCTTGACCGCAAAGGAATGCTTCGAGGGCCGGTCCTTGGGAGCCTTGCTTCTCGAGTCTACTGCCAACTTCCGTTCTCTGATATCCGACAATGCCTGGGGACCCTTCTTTGACGCTTTTTCAATGGCACCCCATAGCTTGGGTCGTTCGGTGCGCAGGGCCTTTGCTGCCGTGCTCGCATCTTCTGGCTGTTCCCCTCCGTGAACCGACAATCCCAGCGAGGATACGGGGTATAAACTTTCGTAGCGCTCTCGGTGCGGGAAGTAGCGGGCGTACAGACTGTCGATTTCTGCCACGTGAAGGTCGGCCTTTAGCTTCTTGATTTCGGCTTCGTCTGTGGCCATCTCGAGCTGGGTTCCGATTTGTTTCGCAAGCCGGTCTGCCTTCTTTCTCTCTGTCGCAAGCTGTTAGTTGGGAGTACGAACGAGAGTGGGACGGTGGTAGCCTTACCGAAGAAGCGAACCATGTGGTACTTCTTGATCATGGATTTCCTCTTCTTGTCATCGGCCACCTCGTCGAGCTTTTGTTTGTGATAGGCCAGCTCCTTCTCCATGTCGTTCTGGACATTCGCTGGCAAGTTTTCCGTCCCGCCCCTCATCTTCCTCTCAATAGTCCGTACTCGCTTCTTGACCCATTGGAGACTTTTGGGATTCGCCCTGGCCTTGTGACTTCCGCTCTTCTTCCTGCTCTTTGGGGCGTGGTATCCGGGAATGCGCTCGCGCGACTCCTCCTTCTTCGAGGAAGAGTCGGCGTTGAAGTCGGAGAACTTCCTTTTCGAGCTCATCGTAGTGGATCTCTGCTCTCGAAGATGTTGTGCAGAAGGTTGGTGGGAAGGGGCTGCTGTTGATGGTGAGCTGTCGGTTTGGAGGATTGGACAATGGAGAATGCCTCTAGCAGCCATAAATTTTTCTGGGGACCGGCAGCGCTGGAGGGGTCTTCTGTGGAGTAATTTGATTGGTGCTAAGGATTTAGTGGAGACGGCCGTGCTTGGCCCTCGATAGTTACATATCCAAGTATGCGATCCTCTCTTGAGTCTTCGCACTCATCAAGATAGAGGCAGACCAGAAGATACAACTATTGCCTCTGCATGAAGGACCATCGCCAATACTTCGCTCCCACTACTAGTTGCGACGAGACAACTGTCATGGGTGTAGTACGCGTGTGATACCCGATCAAAGATATGTGCTAGCCCCTCCACTTCGCGACGGTACATGCCCATTCACGCAGCAGTTCCATGACACGCCGGATCCGAGTACTTGAGAGCGAATGTTTGGAGTGTTCTATGGGCTGAACATCCACTGCCATTCAGGCTAGGAGAGGGTCTGTTACAGTCGCCATGGCACAGTACTCGAGCTCGAAATTGGACCGGCCAGAGCCTGGTCTGATCAAGTGGTCACCGAACCCAGCATACGACGTGTTTCTTCATGTCAACTTACAGCACCGAGTTGTCCAGCTCTATGAACCTACGGGGCACGTGCAGCGCGGCCAGTTTGACTACGAGAAGCTGTCAAAATTCGATGAGATCCCACCCTTGAACACCTATGACTGGTCACCAGCTCATCCTGGCTTCGTCGCAGTCGGTACTGCCTCGGGTACCGTGAATCTTCTCAACCTCCACGATGCCTCCAATCAGTACCTGGAGCAGAGGCTGAAGATAACTCGGCCATGTCAAGCGGTTGCCTTCAACACTGGCACTCTGCTGGCTGTTGGATTGGAGCGGGTACGGAACGACCAGTGCCTCCAAGTTTGGGATGTCAACCATCTGGTCTCCGTCGATTGGCCTTCTCTGGAGGGTTCAGATTTTGGGGAGTCAGTACACCGCTTGGAGCCCTCTACCTCAGTTTCGAGTACCAAGTTCTTTGAGGATAGCCCACAAACGTTGGTGGCTGGCATCAAAAACCAGGGCATCCGTATTTATGACCTGCGAGGTACGTGTCACTCGAAACGAACACGAGGGCATGGCTGACTGTATTCAGACCCTCATGGCGCTGTCATTAATTACCAAACCAAGTGCAACAATAACCTGGCCATCGATTACGCAGATCCCAACTATTTCGCTTCGTCATCCCTGGACAGGCCGGGTGTCATCATATGGGATCGTCGGGCAACGTCAAGACCTTCATCGTCGCCATCGTACCTCGACGCTGTTGATACCGATGGCCTACCATGGGGCGCTGCACTAAACTTAGAACGAGCAATCGACATCAATCCCAGCAATGTCCCAGAGAGAGGCTCGCTGATCCGCTCACTACGGTTCTGTCGAGATCAAGGGGGGCTCATAGCTGTGCTCTCTAGGACGGGCCAGCTAAGAGTCCTAGATACTAAAAAGGAGTTCACCGAACCCGAAAAGCAGTACGATGGCAGCCCAGAGCTGCTGGAAACAAGAAGGTCTTACGAGCTGGACATGGAATATGGGAGGCAGGACCGGAAGCATGACCAAATCGTGTCTTTCGACTGGGTCACGCTCGACTCGCCTACTCTGACACCCCGAGCAATAGTACTGCGTGCAAGTGGAGCCTATGACATTCTTGAGAAGCCCTCCTATACGTCAGAGCATATTTATAAGATGGTCCCCTGGCAAGCTCCGTACCGGGGACTTGAAGGTAATATTCTCTATTGGAACAGTTGATCAATGGCTGATATAAGAACAGAGGGAAGTCGCTATCACAGCATCATGCAGTTCGAAGCACCACAGTATGCCGAAATGATGGGACCGCTCCTTCTACACGACGCGCTCAAAGATATACCGCTCTTCGGAGAGGAGGTGAAATCTGTCACACATATCGTACAACAGATTATGCAATCTCATCCACCAGAGGCCGACCCAATAATAGACTCGGAGGCAAGAGACGTCTTCCCTCCCATACCAAACACGGCATCCACAGCATTCACAGCAGAGACGCTACGTGGGCTCAGAGATTATTCAAACGAAACCCTCAACCTTCCGAAGACACCTTTCAGCAGCAAGCGGCAGCCGTCTACAATCGAAAAGCTGGACAAGTCTTTAACAGATCTGTCGGTGAAAGGCGTCGGACCGATATCTAATCGAGAACTGCACGAAAAGCTGCTCGCGACGACACTTGATACCGCGGGATTTCCTAAAATGGCGCAAGTCGTTCTAGACCACGTCATGCTTCTTCGATCCAAAGAGAGATACCTATTTGACTATGCCGCGAATAGAGATATAGTTTCTGATGACCCTTGGTTAAGGGACCTTTGGGACTGGGTCGCCGGTATGCTTGAGCTTCCTGCCAGCATCATCAAGGAAAGTACTAATTATGTTCTTGCAGGTGCTGCACAAGCCGCTTCTGATGACGGTATGATATCTCAAGGGATCGATCTCAGCTACCTGGGAATCGTTACCATATGGAAACATGACCTAGGTTTGTGCATTTATGCCTCTGCTTACGGGATGCCAGCTGACACAAGACACAGGGCTTCAGAGTGCATCGAGGTTGGCGAATGGGCCAACCCTGCCAGGTGCAAAAACGTGGGAGCGATGCCTGCAAGCGATCAACTCGAAGACTGCTCAGCCGAGTTACAACGGAGTAGAGACAAAGAGGCCGGCGCACAGGCAAGCCGCTATTCGCATGTGTAGGTGGGGCAGGTCTGTCTATACCGACTATAATGATTACGCCAAATCATCGCCATCGGACAGACATTCTTCGTGGCATACGATGGCGACAGCCCGTGCCCTCTTCGAAGGCGATACCAATGAGGCTGTGCAGATCTTGAAGAGAGCGAGTACCGAATACCCGGAGCTCTTGTTCGTCTCTCTCGCGCTCCAACTCATAGGACGAGGCGATATTGGCCTCGCCAAAGAGCAGCTGGACTTCGATGACGCAGTTGCTTCCAAGACTGATCCGTACCTTCGGGCTATTTCTTCCCTCATTGCGACCAACAACTGGGAGGCGATTGCGAATCAAGAGTCACTACCACTCCGCGAACGTACCTACGTGGCACTGCGGTATTTTGACGATGATACGCTTACTCGGTGGCTCGATAAACAGCTAGAGAAGGCCGTAGAGACAGGCGATTTAGAAGGGATCGTGTTGACGGGCATAACGGATCGACTAGTCGACATATTTGCCAGTTACATTGAGAAATTCAACGACGTCCAGACAGCGACCCTGGTCCTGTCGATCTGCTCACCGCGGTATATCAACGATTACCGCACCCTCGCGTGGCGAAACGCGTACCGAGCATATCTTCAACGACACAAAGCATTCATGCAGCGCACAAAATTCGAAGTTGAAAGCACGAAGAAGAGCAAGCGAGGTGGGGTCCCTACCATCAAACCGCCATCAAGACAGATTGCCCTGCGCTGCGTATATTGCGATGCCGAGTACGAGCTTTCGAAGACAGGAACAGGCCCTCCCTCGACGGCTCAGGGACAGGCCAACCCCCTTGCCGCGGCGAATATCAGTGCGGGCATCAGCTGCCCCAACTGCGGTCGTCACCTCCCACGGTGCGTGGTTTGCCTCGAAGTTGTTGGCATTCCCCGGTCCGATAAACCTGAAGCGTCGCCCGATCCGCAGATCCGGGTAGCAGCCAAGTTCCCCACGTTCTGCCTCAAGTGCGATCACGTCCTCCACTTGGACCATGCGAGACAGTGGTTCGCTAGGCATGTCGAATGTCCTGTTCCCGAGTGTCGATGCCGATGTAATTTTAGGGCCAATCCAGAGCTGAGTTACCATTAAGGTTGGTACCACTTTGATGATATTGCCTCACCTTCGCGATGCGGAGTGGGCCAGATCAACGCCAAAGCATGTCTAGAGCCATCAGGGTTCTCTTCTCTGCGAACGTGGGTGAAACCTTTTATCGTGTCTTAATGTCAAGGTTTCGTTGGACAGACCTTCTCCTACATGTTCGTCTTGTATATTTAATGGCGGCTGTAACATATAAACCTCTGTCGACCTCCGCCTTGTCTGTTCCTAGCAGAAAACCGCATCACCTCGACTTTCACCCACTCTCTTCCACCTCGCAATTTCGTGACCATACAGCCCAAGATGGATCACCGCTCATTCGAAAGTATGCAGCAGGCGCTTGGCTCCATGCTGCGAACGCGTGCCTCTTCTCAACCTCAACCTCGACCTCAGCCAACACAAGTTCCCGAAAACCCTCCCTACCCCGAGCCCTTCCGATCGCTGCACAAATGCCGAAAATCGGACCTACCGAAGCTATATGTCCAAAACAAGAACCAGCTCACACGCCGCATGGCTAGCGCACTAGGTGTCTCATTCCACTCACGGGAAGGCAACGCCAGCGGAGCCAACAAGCTCAGATGCGGCTCCGCGCCCGCCGGCCTCGAGGAACACAACATAGTGCAGCTCACGGAGTACACGGATGACTACGTCGAGAGCGCCGTCTGGACCGCGAAAGCCTTCTTCGCAGACAAGTCCAAGTCCGGCTGCTCGCGCCCCTTCACCTGGGCCGTGGGGCCGGTGCGCCAGCCCGCGCTCGAGGCGGCGCTGCGCATCCAGGGCCTCGTCTCCGTCCCCGGCCGCGAGGAGCGCGTGCTCGTGCTGGACCTGGAGAGACACTTCTGGGTCTTGGGCCCATGCGTCCGCGTGTCTCCGCTGCCGGTGCTGGAGCCACATGTCTACACGGACCGACTCGGCGACGAGATCACGGTCGCGCGTGTTGGTGGTAGCAGTAGCAACGTCGCGGACCTCGAGGCGTGGACAACGGCGCACCGTGAGCACGACATACACATCGCCCCCGGCTCCAATCACGCCCACGACAAAGCCGAAGAAATCCCCATCTGGGCCGCGCACCTCGTCGCGCTGCCGATAGATCGGGCCGTCCTCGTCGCCGTCACCGCGCGCCACGCCTCCAAGCCCGGCGCCGACATGACCATAGCGACCGCGATCCTGCACATGTCTTACGGCGTCGCCACCCTCTCGGCGCTGAACATCCACCCGGACTACCGCGGCGACAGCCAGAACCACCACAACAGCAAGAACACGCACGGGAATACCGACGATGACGACGACGGCGATGACGACGGTATCCTGGGCCAAATCGTCGAATTCGCGCTGCGACACGCCTATTTCTGCGGCTACAAGATCGCCATGGTAACCACGCCGAAGCCGAAGCCGACAACGAGCAAGGGGGTGTCTTCGGCAGACTCCTCCCTACCGCGGGCGCTGCAGAGAGCCCAGGACCTCGGGGTCATGAGGACGTTTGCGTGGACTCCGCCAACGGCGGCTTTCCGGACCCCGCCGGCTGCGTGTACCCGGCTGGCACAGGGGGACGTCGAGGGCTGGGTGGTGGTGGAAGAGGACGAAGAGAATGATGTGGTAATGGTGATCAGAAAGAACGGACAGGCGGTTGCTGAGCTGCTCTTGCGGGCTGAGACGGAGGGCGGATCCGAATCGCAAGCAGCAGGGGAGCCGGACGGCGGACTGGATGATTGGGAAGTGGTCGATGGGCTGTTCTGACACTGTCATGCTGGCTGTTGACTTGCCTTTCGCCGCCTTGAACCCTCTTTTTTTTTTTTTAGGTACTCGCGACTCATAGGGAAGTAGATAGATACCTCCATAGTCCATCAAGTTTCTTGACTTGGATTGTTGCTCGCAGATTTCATTGACTGACTCCTTCCTATAACCTTATATAAGCAGCTTCCACAACGGCACGTCTTCTCTCTGGGTATCGTCGTGCGTCAGCTCCGTGTTCATCCTCTCGATCCACTCGTCTTCGGCCCTCGTCGCGTCCAACTCTATCTGCTCCATCACACTCAACTCGGCGAGCATGTCGTGAACCAGACTGCGACAACCGCCTACCGCCCTGGCAAGGCCTGAGCGCTGCTGCTGCTGCTGTCCGTCTCCCGCTTCCTCGACGTCTCCGAGTTCGCGAAGCGCCCTCCGCCAGCTGTCGAGCTTGCGCACCAAGCCCGCGCAGTCCCGCTTCCAGGTCTTGTCCAGCTCGCTCAAGAACAGGACCTCGTCGCCCTGCACCAGGGCATCGATGTCACCGCTGCGCTGCGCATCCAGTATCGCAGCCATGCGATTCGCCCATATCTCGAAGGCGCGTCCTGTGCGCTGATACCGCCCCTCCGGCTCGCTGAGGGTCCAGACGCCGGTCAAGACTTGGTCAAGAATCTGCACCTTCTCGTCTAGCCCCATGCCTCTTGTGTTTTTACCTCCGCCCCTGCCGTCATCACCACCACCACCCCACCTCACCAAGGCCCCCAAGCCCCTCGCCTCGACCCCCTCCCTCTCCAGCGCCCGCACGCCCTCCTCATCGCGCGCCAGACGCTTAAACCGCGCCCCCAGCTTGTGTCGAGCGCTGGCGTGCCACTCGGCATCGACCGCGCCCGCGTCGCGGTGCAGCAGCGACAGCTGCAGGAGCTCGGCCTGCAGACGCGACGTCTCGGCCGAGATGGCGACATTGGTGGGTAGTTTCGACGGCGACGGCGGCGCGAGGAAGGTCGACGTCAGGGGCTTGGGCGCGTGCGTTTTGGCGGGGGAGTAGTGCTGCTGGTTCAAGTTGAAGGCAGGGCGGTGACCGCGCGCGCCGAATGCTGACTGGTGTTTGGGGGAAGGGGGTGGTTGTGGTTGTGTTTGGGTCGCGGATTGGGACTGCGTGCGCGCGTGCGTCTGTGAGCGGGTTTGCGGTTTCGTTGATGTCGCGGAAGTGGGTGTCGAGGTCGAGCTTGTTGTCGAGAGGTGGGATAGTGGGCGGAGAGTTGTTGCGGCGGTAAGGCTCGTGACGGTCGATTTCGCGCGTGAATGTCCCAATGGCCGCTCTCTTGGTGCTGCTGTCGAAGATGGCCCGCCTGAAGACCTCGGTCGGGTGGTGCTGGCTGTGCGGCTCAACGGAACTGTAGATGTTGTCGTCGACGGCGGCGCTTGACGCGTGGAGGCGGCCCTGCCGAAGGGCCTTGTGGTCGCGGAGGTGGCATTGTCGCCTGCTCTGGTCGACAATTTGCTGGAGAATAGACCCGAGGCTAGTCTGCCTGTAGTCGAGCTTGCGGCTCTTCGTGAAGCAGTAGAGGAGGAGGAGGGCGCTGTTGATCGCGGCGGCGGCATCACGGGCAATCGACTAGGCGAGACGACCCTGGCTTCATTGCGGGTGGTCGTGCTCTCCTTCTGGCCCAATTCGCTGCCCCTAGAGGCAGGCTTGCGAAGCGAGCGTGTACGACCTAGACCGGTGGACGATGACATGATGTGGTGGTGGACAGCTCGGCAAGGAATGTGGGTGTTTCGGTCGAGAATCAGGGTCTTGTTGACGCGAGCGTTGAGGCTGATAGGCCCGCTGGAGCTGCCACTTACCGCCGGAGATCGGCAGGCACCTCCAGGGCTCGTAGGGCTAGCGAATCATGAATGCAACCCCCTAACGCTAGGTAAGGCTCCGAGGCGAATCACAGGTGTTCGAGCTAGCGGGCCGACGGGAGGGCTGATCGTGCCTTCCTTTTTCCGCACCAGCCGGGTAGGGATATGGCATCAAACTTTTCTACAAGCAGGTTGGCTGGATGTCATGTTTGCTTTTTTAAAGACATGGAAGCTATGGGGTTGTGATCGGTAGTCCCGGCCTCGTATTTGTTCAGTACCTCGTAGCAAACAACGTGGGTGGGCCACTGCGATACTAGCTTTAATTTTCTGTGATACGAGGGTGAGAGGAGTTTAATAACATATTGTAGGGCAGGCTCTCTTCTGTTAAAGTCATTATCTCCTGCCTCATAAACGCCTTCCAAGTCAGTTGCCCCAAGTTGGGTTCAGATCACCTACCGTATTCTACGTCGTCGTCGTCGCGTCATCATCCTCAACTGGTCTTCCAACCCACGATATCATCTCCATGTGCTGTTGGTTCCATTACTATGACATTTCCGCGCCCTTGGATCTCCCCGAACAGAGCCTCTCCGGTATATACTTCGAACATGTGTGGTATCACCGACCAAAACGCCTATTCCGGATGCGAACCAACCGATCCTCTATGCCATCCAAATGCATCCGACTCTATCCGTCTCCTAGTCGAGGAGCATCTTGGGGCCCTCCCTCTATCCCTACAACGCCAAGTCTATGAGGTGTAATTTGCCCCAGTGGGGATCTGAGAACGAGCTGCTTGTGGTATAACCCCTAACTGTCGTTCGCACCAGCAGCAGGCGCGTCTCCTTCCTTGCTCTTGCCCTTTTCGCGGCGCTTCTCCTCCGCAATTATCGGCATGGCCGCCTTCAGGTCTCGGCCGCTCGATGTGAGGATGTCGCAGCACTTGAGGCAGATTCGCAGATTGCACCAGGAGCAGACCCTTCGCGGCTTCTTGTCGGGAACCTCGCACGTCTGACACGCTAGGGAATAGGCGGTGTTCTTCGCGAAGACGAGGTGCGCGTGCCTCGCGTAGCAGTTAAAGTGCTTGTCGGCGACGGGGTGGGAGGGCCAGACACCATCGTCGGAGCCGGGGACCTCAAGGTTGCGAGGGAAGCGGGCAAGTGCGTCGGAGAGTTGTGCCGTCTCTTCTTCGGTGAGATTATCACCCAGCGCTGTTGCTGCGGAACCCTCAAACGCCTCATTAACGTCGCTGAGGGGGACGGCGCGCAGGTCTGTCGAGATATTTCGTGATGGAGCCAGCGTCTTCTGGCGAGGAGTCGAGTCATTCGGCGGGGAGGTCGTGTCGGTTGAGTGTGCACCATGGGAATAGCCAGGCTGCTTCAGACGCTCGCCCGAGCTTTGAGGCGTCAGCATCGGCTTTGCGCCCATAACAGTCATCTGGTCTGGTCGTGGGCCGCGGGCTGAGCCGGAGTTCTGGAAGCTCGGTGACCGGACTGATAGGGCGGGAACCTGGGCCATCACTGTCTCTTGAACATTATGGGACGCCGGTGCCGACCTGTCGCGCAGAGAAGATCTGCTCTGGGAATGTACAAGGCGCGGACTACGAAAAGGAGGAGCGAATTTGCTCGCGGGCTGAGCGGCACCCTGGCTAGAGTTTGCCAAAGTAGGGGTGCTTATCTTATGGTGGACCTCTGGTTGGTCGCGCTTGGAGGGTCCGACCGGCCGACGCGAAATTGGCTTTCCCGCAGCGGACTCCTTGGGGTCTCCCGGTGCAGCCGCCATGGTGGGCACTGCGGTATTCGCGTCTGCAGCCGACTGACTCGGGGCAGCATGTTCTTTCATTGGCGGCTCAGGCTTGGCTTCCGACTCGGCCTTGGACTCGGCCCTGGACTCGGGGCTGTCGTTTGCTGCCATATCTGCTTGTCGAGTGGGCCGGATGTTCCTGCCAGGCAACGATGCGTTTCTTGGAGGCAAAGCAGCAGTAGCAGGTGTATTCTTTTCCGGAGGTGGTGGAGGGAGACAGCTCGATTCTGCCGTAGCTGGCTGTGCGGTGGCTGCGGTTGACCCGTGGGACACAGCCAATTTGAGCTCCGGGACTATTAGGCTACGGTCTGATTTCGACGATGCTCTCCTCCGCCAGATCTCCCGTCGTGGTGGCGACCCGCCCACGTCTGACGCCGGCGATGTAGCAGTACCGCCGTCCCGGGATGTGTCGAGTGGGAGTGCCCTTGACGGGGTGGTCGGCCGGGCCGGGTCCTTCAACGGAGGCGGCGGCGGAAAGGCCTCAACCTCTAGCTCATTCGTTGTCTGCGGCACCTCGTCGGCATAAGGGTTCACTGAAAATGCTGCAAAAGCATTTGTGTGCTTCTGCTGAGTATTGTTCATCCCTTCTCGCTCTGGTGAATACGACGGCTCACTGTCCTTTGTGAAGAGGCTATCCTGTGATGACCTATGCACAGAGTCCGACGAAGTCCGTGAATAGGCCGACAGGAGACTCGAGATGGACGACTGTCGCCTCATCTTTTTCGACGTGGGTGCTATGTTGGCCGAGGGCACTGGCTGAGCAGCTGGGGCGCCCACTGATCTCCTTGGGATAGACCCAACCTGGGTCTGGAATTGACTCGCCTCCATCTTCACAGGCCTCGGATTGGGAGGCAAAGACGGCAGAGTCGCGTTAATAAAATATGTTTTCGATTTGACACTGCTACTGGTGCTGGTCTTGACACTGCTGCCGGTGCCGGTCTTGACACTGACACTATCCTTCCTAGGCGGAAACGGCGTAAGTGGAAGGAATGCGAGTCCTTGAGGAGCTGGCCTTGGTCTGTCGTCCAATACAGGTGGAGGGGCCGGCAGAGCTTTTGAGAGACGAGAGCGGCTCGTCCTAGGGGTTTGGAGGGTGGAGGTATCCATCAGTGTCGGGTGGATGGCGTGAATGGGGTGACGACGAGGTGAAGTACAAGTGTGCCGAAACACGAGTTGTTGTCATACACTATGACACCAGTAAAGTGGTTTCTTATGCCAACTGGCTGTTTCGTCCCATGAGGTTTCGTCCCATGAGATTGAAGAAGTAGAGACGAGGACCCGCAGCCAAGGTTGCAGATTTACTGTACTAGTATTCCGGCGTATGGATGGCGAAGGCCGGTCCCTGCGGTATCCAGTAAGGCTAATGAACACTCTAGCTCGACGACTATTGTGAGAGGCTAGTAGCTGTGCCGGCTGTGAGGGGTCTGAGCGAAGCACAGGATCGCATGTGATGCTTCACTACACCAGACAAAGTACAAAGACGATGGCACGATAAGTGTCAGTGGAGAGAACTGCAACCTGACGCAGGTACAGCCGTTGCGAGATCCACCAGAGGTCTGGATGAAGGACCCCTGGATGACTTCGAAGTGGGTGGTGGTGGGTGTGGAGGAGGGGGATAGGCTGCGTGGGGTTCCAAGTTTGCTTTCGTGCGTGGCAGTGGCACGCGGGTCTTGGAGCGACACCGAGACAGAGGGAGGCAGTCCGGACGAACAATTGGAGGAGCCGGAAATCCCCAGGTGTCCCAGGAGGATTGGTCGGAAGCCCTGTTACGTATGACTGACACTGCAATACGCGGATCATCCTAGGGAGCTGAGCAGCTGAGGTCGAGAGTATGGGAGGATCACCAAATCTGAAGGTGGCCTTGATTCTTGAACCCCGTCAGCCCGTGGAACCCCTGAAATGGCTGAAACACCCGCAGAATATCCAAAATAGGAGGGTGGTCTGGTGGTCAACATATATTAATGTGGGCGGGGGATCGCGCTGTCGACCCAAGAAATTGCTGACGCGACTGAGCCAACCTGTGCCTCTGCCGTCAAGTCTGACCGCAATGACAGGAGGGTGGGTGAAGTCAATCGTTGTATAGCTGACCGATCGTCCGAGAACTTGGACGCGGGACCAGCTGCATACCGGAGAAGAGCAAGAAAACGAGGTGCGATTTCGCAACGGCTGACTGCAGACACTTGGAACCTAGTTCAGACAATGTATGCATTTGTTGACACTCGATATTTGGGATGAATGTGGCCCGAGACGACTCAAGACTATATTCACAGTTGGCCGTAATTTCGTTTCGGCGGGCGTTGGAATGAGAGGACAACGGCTGCGCTCGTGGTTCGTCGTACGATATCAGCCAGCCACATGTCACTAGGCTATGGACAGGCTCGTGACATTGGAAAGGTAAAGTAAGGACGAAACTACTCACTTCTCATAATAGGTGGGCGACGCTGATGCGAAAGCCGCGCAGGGGATGAGGGGTCGTGGTTCGCGTCGTTTGAAGCATGGCAATCCTCGACCGGGGGAAATGACAGGAATAGCATCGCTCGACGCCGGCATCCTAGCCCGTCTCAGGAGGCGCAACATTTGGAAGCTGTCATAATTGGTGCAGATGATGCCCTGGAAACTCATTGTTGGTCAGAGATCCCCAGACTGTGCCTTCACCGTCGTCAATGCCCCCTACTGTAGTAATTATAATTGCGATGATGCGCGATGATCCGAGGTCTAATCTCGTCTGAAGCCATCGCCAGAACCTGGGACCCGGGAGACACATCATAGGAATCATTCATGCGATGGTGCAAGAGATGTTAGCGCATGACCTGGCGTACGCAGCCTGCATACGTCAGACGACGCCCTGTGTTTCTGAACCTCTTGGGAGGCGAGCTTTGGGCCTTTGGCCCGCCCTGTGGTCAAAATACACCGCAGTGCTGCGATCAAATTGGCTCGACGTCCCGTGGTACAATGGGCGTTCGTTTTGAAATGTCTGGTCTCGGGAATCCAGAAGCGTCCGGTTGCACGACATGCGGCTTGGTGTTACTTGGTGCCACTTTCAATTGGTACGAGACCGACTTTTCTGTGTTTGAATCGCAACGAGTTCGAGCAACGAATCTGGAAGGGTTGAAGGGTAAGGTCTAATTGACTACCTTACCTAAGCTTCCGAGAAGTTGCTCTTCAGGAAAGAACATCGAACAGGCGCTGACAGGCTCCCCGGAATGGGGAAGCTACGAGCTTCAACCATGTCTCAACCTCAAGCTTGCTGACCCCGGATTCCCTCCCGGCTTATCGAGTGGGAAGCTGGAATGCTACACAGTGACAACCGCCGTCGCACATTCTTTATCTTGATGTCCCAAACACCGGTAAGGCTAGAAAAATACCCTCAATCCGCTATAAATAAAAAAAACCCTCCTGTACTTTAGTTTGGGTGCGTTTCTCACCAAACCAAAGGTATCTTTTCGAAGAGCCACGGGTCAAGAGGGTTAGGATTAGGGTTAGTAGTTAGGGTTAGTAGTTAGGGTTAGTGGTTAGGGTTAGCCGGGGGTTTAGGGGGCGGTGCGAGCCCCCCCATCTGGAAATGTGTCCTTGAGCGCCGTGGTGGTGGTGATGGTAGTGAAAGTGGTGGTGAGGGTATTTTTCTAGCGTTACTGCCCAAACATTCGAAATGATGCAATACTGCTTCCAGCTTACGGGGCCCCAGAGCTGCGAACACGCTCATTTCTCTTGATTAATTGCTGGATGGATGCTGCGATTGCCTGCATCGCATCGGACACCTGCACACTTCTACCTACTAGAGTCTAGAGGATGCTGACAATCCTTCGTTCAGATTATGGGCCGCTCCTTCGATGGCTTTATATTGATGATGAAAATGTATCCCATCCTCCTGAGAGATGCAACAGCAATTGTGAACGACAGTCCGCTGAGATTAGCTTATCTGAGGCGATATTCAAGGGCTCGAGGACCTTGTGTCTCCCCGAGTCTAAGGAACCATTTTGACATAGTCATTGCACTCTCGCATCCTTGAAAGATGAAACTGCCAATGATGGACCGCACCGAGAGTACGTTGCCTTCCAATGGCATCGCGAACATCTTCAGCGTCATCGTCGTACCAACACAGCGTCATACTGCATGCGGGCCAAAGCCACCATGTTTATAAGCATTACATGTCCATAAGGTAAAGAATCAAGTAGGAAATAGTCAGTTCCGACTTCTTTCGACATGGCTACCCATAGCTGGCAGCACCGCGCTGCCGAGATAGAGCCCACGCTGCGGATTGCCTGCATCGACAGCCCACCCGCCGCTGCAGATACAGTACGCGGCGTCATTTTCCTCATCCACGGCTTCCCTCAGACCTCGTATCAATTCCGCCACGTCATCGAACCGCTGTCACCGGCTGGCTATCGCGTGATAGCGCCCGATTGCCGTGGTGCGGGAGCTTCGTCGAAGCCCCCTGACGGCTTTACGAAGACCACCATGACACAAGATCTCGTCCGGTTGCTCGACGTCCTTGGCGTCACGGAGCCCGTCCACGTCGTTGGCCATGATATCGGAGGCATGATAGCATACGACATGGCAGCGAGATACTCGTCGCGGGTTGCGAGCGTCAATTGGGGCGAATGCCCGCTGCGTGAGACTCCAAACGTCCTACCAACTTCGAAGTCTGACCTTGTTGCAGTCGAACAACGCACGCCGTACATCAGTTCCACTTCATCTTCCACTGCGTACCGGACCTGGCTCTCGCTCTAGTCGCAGGCCGTGAGCAAATCTACCTGACGCACTTCCAAAAGATCGCGTATAATACTGCCGCGATCAGTGAAGAGGATGTCGACCATTACGTCCGGTCTTACGAGCAGCCTGGTGCGATGAGATGTGCTTTCGAAGTCTACCGTGCGTTCGAGGAAGACGCTCGTGAGTGCAGGGAGTGGCTTGCATCCCATGGGAAGTTGAGAGTCCCTGCCCTGAACTTGAGTGGTGGCAGAAGTCGACACCTGGAAGACGCGCCGAAGATGTTCAAGGAGATTCATGAAGATGGGACGTATGAAGTTGCCGTTGTCCCTGACGCGGCTCATTACATCGCAGAGGAAAACCCCGATGGATTGGTTCGGGAAGTGATTCATCGACATAGTCAATTCGGGACAGCTCCAGTCTATCTAATGGATTACATTGTGCTGAAGAATGGAGACCGCCGCAATGGACATGCAGGTCGGTATCTCCGCCGTCGGAGGGGGACCGACCTGCCGAGTTCGAAAAATTGGTCCAACCCGAAATCACCGGCGAAGGTGATTAATAAGCTTCATAGGTTTTCTCAAGCAACTGCTATACTTGGGCTGTCGATCTTGTACCGTTTCTATGGCTCTGTGTTTCCATTTTCCCGAACCCATCCCCCCCCCCCCCCCATCCGTGACGTTTTCTTGTCGTGTTCTTACGATGGCTGCTACCCCGATGCCAGCCGAGGGCCTACCCTCGGGCGAGGCCGCGCCGCTGCTGGGGCCGAACGCCTCCGCAGACAGCGACGCCGCTCAAGTGAGATCTAATGGGACGTTCACGGACTCTGGTGGTGACAATGGCCATGTAGATGCCGTGACCGGCGACGTCGAGGCCGGCCAGGACGTGGACGACGCCAATGGCCACACGCCGAACGGGGACGGTCCGAAACTCAAAGTGAACAAGGCGGCCCTGTTACCGGCGTTGGCCATCGGTGTAAGTCGACCGCCCCATACTGTACGAGACACGACGGCCAGGTGCTAATCAACACACAGATCTTCCTCGTAGCGCTGGACCAGACCCTGACCATCGCCACCTATGGCAAGATGGGCAGTGACCTGTACGCGCTGAACAGCACGAGCTGGATCGCGACGTCGTATTTCCTGACGCTGACGACGTTCCAGCCGCTGTACGGGAAGCTGTCCGACATTTTCGGACGCAAGGAGTGTCTGCTCTTCGCGTACACCCTCTTCGGCATCGGCTGTCTGGGGTGCGGGCTGGCCCAGGACGTCGTCCAGCTGTGCGTGGCGCGGGCCGTCGCCGGCATCGGGGGCGGTGGGATGAACGCGCTCGTGAGCATCCTCGTCACGGATCTGGTGTCGCTAAGGGACCGAGGCGTCTGGCAGGGGTATATAAACATTGTGTATGCCACGGGCGTGGCGGCCGGCGCTCCTATCGGCGGCTTGATGGCTGATAGTGTTGGCTGGCGATGGTGAGTGACCCTACTCTTGGGCGTCTCAGAAAGTCTCAGATAGCGCCTGGATCGGGGGATAACAGACTGATGGTAGCACCAGGGCCTTCGCCGGACAATGCCCCATAGCCCTGCTGGCCTTCATAGCCGTGTTTTCAGTCCTCCACCTGCCCAGGACCGACCACGCGCACTGGAGCACCAAGGTCCTGCGCATCGACTTCCTGGGCGCCTTCACGCTCGTATCCGCCGTCTTCCTTCTGCTCTTCGGGCTCGACAACGGCAGCAACGCGGGCTGGTCGCAGAGAATCACCGTTGTCCCGCTGGCCCTGGCGCCCCTCCTCTTCGCCGTCTTCGTCCTCGTCGAGGTGAGGGTCGCGGCGGAACCGTTCGCGCCGGGCCACGTCATTTTGGATGCGCCGCTGCTGGCCGCGTACAGCGCCAACTTCTTCGGCGTCGCGGCGCATATGGCCGTGCTGTTCTTCATCGCGCTGTTCTTCCAGGCCGCCATGGGCTGGAATGCTGCCCAGTCGGGCCTCATGTTCCTGCCCAGCACGGCGTTTGGGCTCGCCGGCTCGCTTGGGGGTGGGGTGATCATGCGGCGGACGGGCAGGTATTACTGGCTTACGTTTGTTGGATATGTCTTCTTGCTGCTTAGTGTCGCGCCGCTTGTCGCGTTCACGGGGTTCCTATCCATGTCTGTCGCTGGTGTCATCGTGGGACTGTCTTTGCTCTCTTTGGGAGCTGGAACGTGTAAGTCGTGTCTATACATACGCCCGTTGCTTTACCCTCGTTCGGAGACGATATCCTCCCGACCCCTATTCTCTACCACTCCCAGGCTGCCCGCTCTCCAGAGACGGACAGATCCTACTACTTACTTCTCAACAGTATTGTAGTACTCGTGAATCTATATACTTGAGTAGCTAACCCGACAACAGCAATAACCACAACCCTAATAGCCATAATCGCCAACGCGTCCCCGGACGACACGGCCGTCGCCATCGCGTGCTCGTACCTGTTCCGGTCGCTGGGGACCACGCTCGGCATCAGCATCTCGACGGCGGTGCTGCAGCAGACGCTGCGCACGCAGCTCGCCTCCAACCTAAGCGACGGCGGCCCAGGCCGCGCGCGCGAGATCGAGGACCGCGTCCGCCTCAGCCTCGACTACATCCGGTCCCTGGAACCCGACGTCGCCGCCGCCGTGCGCCGGTGCTACGCCGTCGCGACGCAGGCCGCGTTCGTGCCTGTGGCCGTGCTGGCTGCGCTGGCGGTTGTTTCGACGCTTTTCATCCGCGAGCGGAAGCTGGGGAGGTGAGGGTTGGGGGGTTTGGTTGTCGTGGATAGTGGGAGATAGCTACCTACCTACCCAGGGGTTTCTGTCGAAACGAGGAAGGTAAGGGGAGCTGGGTTGCTAAGCATATAAGCTCGACGACTGTTTAATATGAAGCTTACGCGTTCAAAACGGGGGAAGATACACACAAAGCAAACCGTCGCAAGTCATTGTGTGTCTGAGTGAAACGGCTGGTTCGTAAAGATAGCAGTCGCTACGTCGGGATAATGCCACATTATGGAATGCTTCTACTAGTATAGCTCCATGGAGGAAGCGCCTAGATGCGGGTTTCCTCTTTATCCTCCGAACTGGACGTGGCACGCAAGGGATCATATATAGTATTTGTGTGTCAAACTACTCGACAGTACGCATGTGCAATCTTTCTCTTATTGGCTTTCTATGGTGCTACCTGAACAGCGAGCCGACGCAAAATAGAGCTCTATGACCAATCGCAAAACATCGGGATCTCATAACGACATGACGAGGACCACCTCAACCTCCAACTCTCCTAGTTCCTACTTCTGCTACTTTCTCTTCTATAGGAAGCCTCGTCGCGGGAAGGAGACGCCCTCGACGGCGGCGTTATCGGTGAACCAGCTACAGCGCTCGCCGGTGGCCTCGTTGACGAGCGCGCACGGCAGGCCGTTGCCCTCCTCGAAGATCTGCTTCATGATGTCCTTCTTGCCGGCGCCGGTGGCGACGAAGGCGACCTTGACCGAGTGGGTGACGACGGGCAGGGTAAGGGTGATGCGGCGGGCGGGTGGCTTGGGCGAGTCCTCGATGGGCGCGACCCAGGCGTCGGTCTCGCGCAGCAGCGCGTGGCCCGGGAACAGGCTGCAGGTGTGGCCGTCGGGCCCGGAGCCCAGCAGCAGCAGGTCGAAGATGGGCAGCTTGACCGAGTCGCCCTTGGCGAACGAGGCGACCAGCGTCTTCTCATACTGGTCGGCGAGCTCCTGGGTGTCGCTCAGGTACTGCGTGTCGATCGGGTGCACCGTCGGCTGGCCCATGGCGGCCGGGATCTTGTCTAGCAGCTCCGTCTTGAGCAGCGCGTAGTTGCTGTCGTCGTGGTCCAGCGCCACGGCGCGCTCGTCGGCGAAGAAGATTTCCCACTTGTCGAACTTGACCGTGTCCTCCTCAGACGTCGGCTCCGCCAGCAGCGCCTGCGCCAGCGTCTTGGGCAGCGAGCCGCCCGACACGCCGACCTTGAAGGCGTCGTGGCGCGTCAGGCCGGCATTCTGGCAGGATATGACGTAGGATCGCAGCGCCGGCGCGAGCGCGTTCACGTCGTTGAACGCGAACAGGTTTGGTTGTTTGCCCGGCATTGTGTGAGGTGATACAGAGGTGCGAGGTTGGGTATGATGAGGAATGAAGTGATCGGTAGAAAGGTCTCGATTGCGCGGTCAATGTTCGCAGATGGCGGGGCAAACAGAAAAAAAGTTGGTGATGGTGATATGTGCGATCGGTGGTGGGGTAGACCCAGGACACGATAGTTCGAAAGTGGGATAACACGATTATTGGCTTTTAGTCCACTTGAATTGTCAGCGCGAATATTCCATGCAACTTTTCTCGTCAATTGTTGGAGCCCATATCACCCTCTGGTTCAAGTTGTAAGTAGAGTTGGCAGTTGAGGGTTCGGTGCGGTCAATTGGTAGCGGTGAAGTGGTCTTGGTGGGTTGTAATGTGTCGATAAGGTAAGGTAGGAGGGGCAATCCTGTGAGATATTGGCAGGGGAGGGGAGGCTACAGCTTACAGGACATTCGATAATGCTGATGAGTAAGACGGTGACGTGCAGGAAGTCAGAGAGTGTGATGCGCTTCGCAGAATGATTCTAGATTTCCGAAACTGGGAGTAGATTCTTTAACACCATATGTATTTGAAAGTACAATCTTTCCCTTTGCGGCCCAGAGTGACGAGATGTTGTTGTGTCGAACATCATGGATGCTACGGCGGGGTGGTTGACGTAGAGAATGCCATTGTGGCCCGCTAGTGGATGGCCGGGCCCTTGAAGCTGTGCTGGGATGACCCTGGATGGTCATCGGTTAGCGGTTTCGGGGGCGGCGGACAGTGGGCTCTGTGCGACATCTCAGGGATCCTCCACTGAGCCATTGTGTGTGAGCTCGGCGTCAGTGACTTCACCTTTCGCATTTCCACTCAACCCATGGGCTCGGACTCATCAGCCACTCTGCCACTGGCCACTGTCCTGCCAACCTTGGTTCTAGTAAGGTACACACAATACCCTTCCTTGCAAAGAATCTACAATCTAAGGGAGACCGAGAGAGATGTCATCTGCCTGAATCGCGGAATTGGTGTTTCCTTGTTTATAGCTGACTACGCCCAAGTTCGTTTGTTTCGGTGTTGGGCTTGAAAGGGATACTCGGGACGTGGGGGATTTGCAAGTTCTATCTTTGGGTGACGGGTCGGTTTCATAAAAACGCGGGAGTTCTGCCTTTGTCGATCTCTCAGCAGGACGATCAACAGGTAGCTCTGCTCTGATCTATTATTACCCGTCGGACTCGTGGCCATGGTCTGACCAGAAACGGCTCGGGTCGGCAGCGCGGGCAGGTGGCCTTGGGTGCCGTCAGCGAGCTACCAGTGCTTGTTATTGGAAATATGACGGAAACGCATGGTAACTATGATGGAGATAGAGTCTGGCGCCTTGGCAGACACTTCAGTCACTTCTCTAGGTCGAAGTATTCCACGCTGCTAAAATCAGGCTTGCACGCTCAGTGCATGTACATGTACTGCAATGTGTTACCAATGATCCATCTGGTTGGGTGTCCAGCGTCGACACGGATATCAGCCTGGATGGGATCTTCGTTTTTGTCATACATTCCAGCAAGCCGCATGTTCTTATAAGACATGATACATGAGGCATGTTTTAGCTCCCATGGTGTCGAGTCGAAGTGTTACCATTGCGGTACCGGAGCCGGGGAATTGATCCGAGGCCATGATTTTAAGCCGGGTCGGCCTCAGCGCCGAAGATCAAGCACCATGACCGGCGAATCTCATTCGCACAAGATCACCAGGAGTTGATTCCGAAACGCCAGTCTTCCTACGAGTGATATCGCGGTGCCGTTCCTTGATTGCTGCGAGTGTCAAAATGGTGCAGGCCAAATACCTCACGGGCGACTCTGCCGCAATCAATGAGTTCATTGATCAATTCGATGTGCGTCATATTCTCCCGGTCCAGCCATTCCACGCATAACGTACGACTAATGACTTGCTAGGTATTTCTACTTGATTGCGATGGTAAATATGAAGATCCACAATGTCCGATGTGTCTAGTACTGAGCAGCTTTTCCAGGAGTACTATGGTCGGGTGACCACCTCTTCGAAGGCATCCCAGAGACACTCGAGATGCTGCGGTCAAGAGGTGCGGAAGCGTCACTGCGAATCCTACCAACAGACAGCATGAGCTCACTCGTCATACAGGCAAGCGGGTGGTATTCGTCACGAACAACTCGACCAAGTCACGGCCCGACTACCAGAAAAAGCTGACGGCGATGGGCATCCCCAGCAACGTGGAGGAGATCTTCGCGTCGGCTTACTCATCCGCAATCTACATCTCGCGTATCCTGGCGCTGCCCGCGCCCAAGAACAAGGTCTTCGTCATCGGCGAGAGCGGTATCGAGTCTGAGCTGCGTACCGAGAACGTCCCCTTCATCGGGGGCACCGATCCCGCCCTGCAGCGCGACATGACGCCCGAGGACTTCAAGGGCCTGGCTGACGGCTCGCTGCTGGACCCCGATGTCGGCATCGTCCTAGCCGGCCTCGACTTCCATATCAACTACCTCAAGCTGTCCTTAGGGTTCCAGTACCTGCAACGGGGAGCCAAGTTTCTTGCGACCAATCTCGACAGCACGCTGCCCATGAACCATACCTTCTTCCCAGGCGCCGGCTCCATCTCCATCCCGCTGATCCACATGAGTGGGCAGCAGCCCACGGCCCTAGGCAAGCCGAGCCAGGCGATGATGGATGCCATCGAGGGGAAGTTCAAGCTGGACCGTGCGCGGACCTGCATGGTCGGCGATCGTCTGAATACCGACATCCAGTTTGGCATAGAGGGAAAGCTGGGAGGAACACTGGCGGTGTTGACCGGCGTGAGTCGAAAGGAGGACTGGGAGGCAGAAGGTGCAGAGGTCGTGCCTGCGCACTACGTTGACACGCTGAGCGATCTTAGGGGTTCGACAGCGTGATAGCCTCATCTCGGCAGCTGGGAGAGCAACCGCACATACAGACAGACGTAGAGAGAGGATATCTCTTGTTATACATACCAAGATAGACCGTCTTTATGACATAGAAGTCCTTCATGAGCTATCTGTCAGGTTCCCGAGTTCCAATCGAGCACACACAGCATGCAACTACCTGACATTCGGCACAATGCTGTGAAGGACGGACATGGTATATCGAAGTGCCCTCCAGTCTGGGCTAAGCTCGGTACGCGCACTATACCGAGCCCCCCGAAACCGCATATCCCGTCCAATGAGGTCTTCAGGGATCTAGCTGACACCTTCCCCGCGTGCAGCTATTCGACTACATGATGCAAATCGTCGTCAAGAGTCATCCAGTAGGAGATTTAAAGTCCGTAGCATTCATGGTCACCTGGTGTCCTACCGACCCCCACCTAGGCCTGGCATATAAGGGAGATGGCGACAGGGTGCGAGTAACAAAGGATCCCCGGTCTTGGAGTCGTATCCCTCACTTGTCGAACGTCTGAACGATACTAGACTCGCCACCTCAAGCTTGTTCATCGGCTTCTAGCTACCACCTCCTTCACTCAACGAGCCTATAAATCTCCAACCGGACAACATGGCATCACCACCCGCGCCCCTCACCGAGGAGGAGAAGGCCTTCTTCCTCAAGCACGGCTACATCAAGCTAAGCAACTGCTTCACCCAAGCCCAAGCCGACGAGATGAACGAAGGCGTCTGGACGCGCCTGGGCATGTCGCCCACCGACAAGACCACCTGGACACGAGGCCGCACCAACATGCCGCACCACCGCGACTTCGACCCGGCGGCCTTCGCGCCCAAGGCCTGGGCGGCGATCTGCGAGCTCTGCGGCGGCGAGGACCGCATCGACCCGCGCTCGCGCGTGTGGCGCGACTCGCTGATCGTGAACCTGGGGACCGCCGAGGGCGAGGGCCGGCCCACGCCGCCGCAGCAACTGCGCGAGTGGCACGTCGACGGCGACTTCTTCGTGCACTACCTCGACAGCCCCGAGCAGGCGCTGCTGGTCATCCCGCTGTTCACCGACATCGCGCCCCAGGGCGGCGGCACCATGCTCTGCCCGCCGGCGGTGCCCCGGATCGCGCGCTGGCTTTACGACCACCCCGACGGCGTGTCGCCGCGCATGGTGCCGCGCGCGCACGAGGATTTCGCCAAGGAGAAGAATCTGGAGTGGTACTGCGAGCTGGTGCGCGGGTGCGCGGATGATGCGTTTGTGGAGGCGTGCGGGAGTGTCGGAGACGTGTTTTTGCTGCATCCGCTCATGCTGCACTGCGCGACGAGCAACGCGCTGCGCCGAGTTCGCATCATCACGAACCCGCCGGTGAGCCTGCGGGAGCCGCACTGCTTTGATAGGGCGGATGGTGACTATAGCCTTGTGGAGCGGAAGACCATGCAAGATGTTGATGGTGAGGAGAGGTTGAAGGGGTGGCGGATCACGAAGCCGAGGGAGGGTGTCGTGCCCCAGAGGGTCAGGATCCAGGAGGAGATGCGGCTGGCGGAGCTGAAGAGACTTGAGGAACAGAGGGGTGTTGCTGTTGCTGCTTGAGTCTGTTGCGGACTCGGTTGTACATGTATTGGTGGTGTGTGTCAAAGGGGTTCGTGTGATGGTTGAGCGATAGACGTGTTCGATGTTGTGAAGTAGAATGTTTATAGAGATGAGTGAATGATGAAACACACGATTCGGGACTGATTAGGGGTAGAAGAGCAGTCGCTGAACTCTGAGCAATGTGAGACCCTACTCGCAAGATATATGTTCTCCACTCGCTGCCATCTAACGACCAGATTCAAGCAACATAATCAACTTGCTGGAAAGTCTTGGCCTTGAGCATTGGCTTGTGTTTCTTTTGCCGTCCAGTGTGCCATGCAGGTCACCCATCCACCCACTGCCACCTCATCCTTGTAGTCAGGGGCAAACTACCTAAACTTCACCTTCCTCCCTAAAGGCGCTATCTTGGTTTATATTGATCATCTTTCTTCGCCTCTTTCTTCTACCCGCAATCATCCTTGATATTTTTTACCCAGCTGGCGCGTCGCTGCAGCATGACCCAACACTGTCTTGCGATATAAAAGTTCGCAAGTGTCGGCTCTTCATCCCTTTCGCAGGACATCATGTCCGGTTGATGGCCATGTATCTCTCTGGATAACTGAGAGCCAAAGCATCACCGCTCACGTCCGAATCCGCAGTTCGCACTTTTGCTTCGGCCGACGATGTCCTCCGCCGTTTTCTGCCTTCTGCCTTCTCGATAGTGATGCCACCTCCCGCACTCCTTCGTCAACTGCTTGCTCTCGATAGTAAGCCGGTCATCCCAGCCAGTTCGCTTCTTCTAGCAACTGGTCCGTGACTATTACGTCCGCAGCAACGCCCGCGCGCGCGTTCCATCCCACGCGAACCTCGACCATCCACATCAACGCCTACCGCCCACCACAACCTCCGTGATCCTGGGCAACCGGCTAAACCCTCCTTATCCATGGGCAAAAGCCGTGGTAGCATAGCACCGTAGGACCTGGGTATATGTATCAAATTATTTCGCATTTTTTCCGCCCAAGCGGGCAGGCAGGTCCAATGGTGTAGTGGTTTGAAGCAAGATCAAAATATTCTCCAAGACAACCATATCCAACATCGAATACCTTCAATATCACAATATCCAATATATCGAATTCCTCCAATGGATCCAACATTCTAATACACACTATAGAATACCTCGAATATTTCCAATACTCGCTACAATGAATCGAACTCAACAGAAGCATATAAATCCTCGAAAATACAAGAAATAATCAAAATTAAAAAAGCTTGCACTCCTCGAAATAGAGATTTAGGCTGAAGCAAGTGCTTCAGCCGAACTCTTTTGCCAATTGCTATACCTGAGAGTCGGGCTTCGAAACTTGGCGGCGATGATTTTTAGAGCCTCAGGGGAGGTTCCTCATGACATGATGCGACTGTCTAAGAAGTTTGGCGCGTTCAGCGCGTGTTTTAGACTTTTGGGACGTTCTTTCATCTGGGCATCTCATAGGTCTCGGGTTCGAACTCGGGTCGTATCAGTTTTTAAAGGTCCTCTGGTGGCGTGGGATGGTGCTGAGCAACCCCTTGTGCGGTTTCGTACCTTTCCCGTCACTTTTGGGCTTTTGGCAGACCTTTTCCTCCACGTCGCGAAATGCAGATATGATCGAGGAAGTCAGCCCCGTTGCCCCTGAAAACGAAACGAGCTGGGCTGCTATCAGGAGGGCTCCTGGACGTGGGTACTGGAAACGGTCGGGTCAATGGGAGTTGGTGCGTATACCTCGCTGGCGCGTCATATCCGCACATCTCATACTCATGATATCAAGCCCTATGCGCTCGATTGCTTGGTTGATTTGACACCAAGTGTCGAGTCTGTGGGATTGTCGCTCGTTTCTCATTGCCATCGCGAGCGAGAACCCCTGAATCAGGAGCGCCGGAACTTTCCTCGTCTTAAGTTGGTGACTCTACGACAAGCTGAGCTTCAAAGCCGTATGGAGCTTTTTGAACCACGCGACTTGGCAACCGTACAACTCGAGCAAACGGATTGCTCGTGTGGGAGTCCTATACAGCTGTGGTCCATGGGTTGCTTGACTCTCCGGTGAGGAGTTCCTGATGGGCCCAGTCTAAGCGACGTTCAGATGAAAAAAATAACTGGGAAATGCTCCCAGATCTTTTTATTTCTGATTTCGATATCCGGTTGCCCATAGCAGAGGCAGGTAGTTGGCGAAAGCTAGTACCCGTCGTTGGAAAAGGGGTAAGGGGTTCTGCGCAAAGCCCGACTAGCGCCGCGAACAAGGATCCAAATGACAGCGCCGGGTGCGCTAAACTTCCAGCGCGTCAACACCGCGTTTTGGGCAGTTGAACCCCGCTGACGACCAACTCATTTTTGATCTCTGGGCTGCGACAAATCTTCAGCGACTGATCTTGTATCTCAACTGCAGTCCGATATAGCCTCTTTCGAAGCCAATATCCGCAGAACCGTCCACCGAGATGCTTCCCCCGGAGCTGACCCTCGTCGTGGCCGCGACCCGCACCATGGGTATCGGCCTCAACGGCACGCTGCCGTGGACGGGGCTGCGGAAGGAAATGGCCTACTTTGCGCGCGTGACGAAGCGACTGCCCTCTAACGTGAGTCTCTGCATGAGTCTTCTGGGTCCCATCCATCCATCCACGGCCACTTAGAGCTAAAAAATAGTCGCAGGCTCAACCCCCCGCCATGAACGCGGTCATCATGGGCCGTAAGACCTGGGACAGTATTCCGCCCAAGTTCCGGCCGCTCAAGGGCCGGCTCAACATCGTCATCAGCCGCTCCCACGCGGAACCGCCGCCGCCGCGGGGTGGAGATGTCGACGCGGAGACAGAGGCTGTGAGGGTCGGCTCGCTGGAGCAGGCTGTTGCGTACCTCAAGGCCGGGTCTGCTGCGCGGACCGGGAAGGTCTTCGTCATTGGCGGGGCGCAGATTTACAGGGCGGCTTTGGAGCTAAAGGAGGCGAAGAGAGTACTGCTTACGCGCGTCATGAACGATTTTGAGTGCGATACTTTCTTTCCACTGGAGCTATCTGAGACAGAGATGGAGGGTGGCGGTGGCGGTGGCCGGTGGGTGAAGAGGTCGAAGAAGGAGCTGGATGCATGGACTGGCGAGACGGTTCCGGAGGGCATACAGGAGGAGAATGAGACGCAGTACGAGTTCCAGATGTGGGAGAGGGTTGATTGAGTTTTACATCCTTGTACATGTACATGAATCCCCGCTTGGGAATGTACTATAGATACCTCATATTGTACACGAGCATAGGCGTGGCCACGACTAATGCGCCAGCCCATGCGTCCCAAGATGGTCCCAATGCAATCATGATAATACACGCTATTTCGCAGCAGCGACCTTCTTCACCACCGGGGCTTCCTGCGCCAACTCCGCGTACTCCTTTTCCAGCTGCCTCGTGGGCTTGTCCACCAGCGCAGACTCGTTCTTGGCGGGCCACTTCAGCGCGCCAGCGCCGCTGACGAACAGCGCCTCGTCGGGCATCTGGTCGAGCGTCTTGAGGCTGCGGCGCATCCAGCTGACGAGGGCTGCCAGGTGGCGGACGTCGACGTCGCCGCGGGCCTTGTAGATATTGCGCCATAGCGCGGTGGCCAGCACGGCGTCGCCCTTGATGACGCCCTCGTCGTAGGCGGCGATGACGCCGCGCCACTGGATGAACAGGTCCTTGAGGTAGCGGTGGCGCAGCCCGCGCGAGCTGATGCCGTGCACCAGGTCCATCTTCTCCTCGGCGTCGAAGAAGAAGTGGTCCACCAGCTGCGACTGCCACGACTTGGCCGCGTCGCGCTCCATGTTGCGCACGCGCGCGAAGATCAGGTACATGTGCAGCATCGTCACCTGCGACCAGGTGCTGAAGGTCGGGGCGAGGCCGAAGTCTGGAGGTTGGACACGGCGTGGGTTAGCGAAATAGCTCTTCAATGCCGTACCGAGCCAGGTCGGTTGATCGGGCTGCGAGTCGTCGGAGCTGTTGCTTACCTTCATGCCACATCCCCTGACCCTTTCCGAGGTCCTCGCCCTCCTTCGTCTTCGGTATCGTCCCGGCCTTGATGTCCTCCACAGATATAGTGTAGGCAGCGGCTCGCGCGCACGTCTTGTATATGTCCTCGGTGGCCCTCACGACCCGGTACGGCTCGGCCGACTTGACGAACACCCGGTTGACGACACTGGCGAGCCCCTGCATGATTTTCGACGCCGGCCGATTCGACGTGCCCTTGAAGCACCTCCTCTGCTCGACGGGTGATATGGCTGTGGGCGGTGCGGACTGGCGGAACAGCAGCTGCTGGTGGCCGAGGGCCGCCGCTGGTGCTGCATTGTGGGTGTCTGCGACGGCTTTCGCTTGCCGGGCGAGCACGGTGAGCTGCCTTCTGCAGCTTCGACACGCCATTGCTACCGGTTCGTGAGCACCAAGGTGGGAGCTATTTGGACTCCCGGCATTGGCCTGTCAAAATCGGATTGGATGAGTTTGTTGGTGACGGCTCGGGCGATGGCACACGTCATTGACATGCGCGCGTCACAGAAAGTCGGAAAAATATGCGCGAAGCTCGAGAGCTTTCCCCTGCGCATTGATTAGCGCCAGGGATTAAAGGCTTGGCTTTATCGATAGCGGCTACCCTGCAAGCCCCTGAAAAAGAGAACGTGCAACATCCGTGTCTTCCATGACTGGAGATTGGGAACAGAACATCGACAATGTACAAGGCTTTCTATCGCTACAACTCTAATCCTACAATTGTTCGTACAGGTATTAATGACACTAATATTTAGAGAAAACCAGAGTGGCATTGGTTCCGCCGAATCCAAAGCTGTTTGATAAAGCTGTGTTGACTTCCTTCTCTTGAGCTTGTCGAGGAACGAGGTTAAATTTGGGCTCAACATCAGGGTCGTCCAAATTCAGTGTGGGAGGTATAGTGTTCTAATTTTCGCGGTCAGTCTCGATTAGCACGCTCGGAATGCACGTGCCAGTCTTACCTGGGCAATCGCCTGGATTGCAAAAACAGCTTCAACCGCACCAGCAGCACCCAAAAGATGGCCGATGGATCCTTTGGTGCTGCTGACCGTAACTTGACTCTCATCGAGGAGACCTTCGTCGCCCATCATCAGCGAGCGAATGGCTAGCGCTTCCGCCGCATCACCAATGGCAGTCCCAGTCGCATGGGCGTTGATGTAGTCCACTTGGCGAGGTTTGATGCCAGCATGCTTCAGAGCTCTCTTCATGGCGAGGAACGCCCCTGACCCGTCCTCTCGCGGAGCCGTCATGTGGTGCGCATCGCCGCTGCAGCCATAGCCCTTTAGTTCGGCGTAGATGTGAGCGCCCCTGGCTTTCGCGTGCTCCAGCTCTTCCAGAATGACGACGGCCGCGCCCTCGGAGACTACAAACCCGTTGCGTTGACGATCGAACGGACGGCAACTCGATCGTGGGTCGTTGTTGAAGGCGGTCGATAACGAACGCGACCTGCCGAATCCTGCAAAGGTCAAGGGATGTATGCAGGACTCTGCACCGCCGGCCACCATAACGTCGGCATCCCCAAATGCAATAAAGCGCGAGGCATCGCCAATCGAGTGCGCGCCCGTTGTGCAGGCCGTGGTTGCAGCGTGGTTCGGTCCCTGAAAGCCATGCCTCATAGCGATATGCCCCGCAGCCATGTTGATGAGGATCTTGGGCACGAACAGCGGCGACACCTTCTTGTAGCCCTGCAGTGAAGACTTAGGACAGTTGGCTTCTGTGTGGTACTTGGCAACTTACGTCTCTTTCATACGCCAGGCTGGTGTTGTACAGCTCCTCCAAGTTGCCGATCCCGCTCCCCAAACAGACTCCAGTCTCTTCCAGTTGCTCCTGCGTCTGAGGTTTCCAAGAAGCATCCTCGAGGGCCATCTCTGCCGCAGCCACGGCGTATTGAGAGAAAGTCGACATGCGCCGTTGGTCCGTAGCAGACAGCCAGTCATCTGGTTTCCATAAGGCCTCAGCAGCTCCTGACCTTGGGACAATGCCGGCAACGGTGCTGGTCAGCTCTCGCCATCTTTTCTGTGGCTCATAGTCGGCAATGCTCACGACGCCGGAGTGTCCTGCTATGAGTCTATTCCATGTAGCTCGGACGCCCACTCCCAGAGGCGTGATGGCGCCTAGCCCAGTGACAACAACCCGGCGCATTCTGTGCCATATCAGGGATTGCCAGAACTCTGCACTTGACGGAACTCTTCGAGAGGTCACTCAGTTGAAAGAGCGCAACTGACACACAAGATTTAAATTGCAGAATCGACCGGTTTTCCAGATTACGCACTGCGGATCTCGAAATGTTGAAAGGGAGTCGGATGAGACTGGAGTGGGATGAAAGTTGATGCGATTAATGAATTAAAGCATTCTGAATGTCGAAAATAGGGATATGAGCTAGGCAGAATTGGGCAGCTACAAGGCAACCTGGGCTAGGCCACATTAAACCTGTAATGGAAGTAGTGAGCCCCATTTTAGCCGCTGGTTATGCACGCTAATGCCATCTAAGTAGAATGTTGCGTACATCCAACACTCTCATTCAACGGGTTGACACCTGCAGTGTCCATTGTTATACGAATCTTACGGTCTCATTGCACGCGCATGTACAATCGATGCTTTTCTAGTTCCGCTCATAATTCATTGTAAGTTGCTTCAAGCAGATCCCTTGCTTGGCTGATAAGGCCACGTGACAGAAGATGCAATGATTCTGACTTCGAAGCATAGTCACGTACCAGACCTACCCTTCCATTCGCTGCTGCGTTTGCGGAACAAGAGGAAACCGCATTCATTTCGCCATCATTTCCAACAACTAGCCTGGAATATTTTATGAGTTTACTTGCTTCATCATATATCCATTCCCGTGCTCGATAAACCGGGCTTGGGTCTCGTCGCGATCGAGCGTTGAGAACACGTTTCAGGCATTGGCAGGAATCCGCTATCTCACGAAGGATTACCTAACCCAACTATTGCATCGACACTCAATCCGTGATCGTCGGCAGCCACTGCTCTGTCTTAGAGGCATAGTCGAGACACCGACTGCGTTCAGTTGTTAATTTCGCCCATCAAGGTTGTGGTTGATGACCAGGGCGTGCTTTTCTAGCCCACGGCCTCCTTTTGGCCACTTCAAACCGCAATACCTTGTCGAGAAGCTGCAGGCTTTCAATGCTTTGCTTTCCAGTTACATAGTCATCATCCATACACACTGTCCTACCACGGACAGGATGTCCTACGCAGAGTCGTCTGGCACGACTGTCAAGCATAGCGTGCTAAACGACGCCGACAGCTGGGACGATGCAGGCGAATGGGGCGACGAAGAAGCCGCGGACGCGTCAACTAGTCTACGAAACGACAACGACTATCAAGCAGGCGAAGAGTTTGAGCATCTTCTGGACCCCAATCTCCCCGAAGACGGGGACGACATAGAATTGCGTCACATCACCTCAGAGAGTGCAGCAGCCTTCGACGACGAAGCTGCCGCAAAGGCCAATGAGGAGGACTCTCCTTATGAAGAGGTGCGGGCTGCTGTTCGGAATTACGATGAAGATCTACCCTGCAGCACCATCCGCGCGTGGACAATCGGCCTGTCTTTGGTATTCGTCGGAGCTTCGATGAATACCCTATTCTCATTACGACAGCCCTCCATCGGCCTCGGGCCTCTCGTCGCTCAGATCATCGCATGGCTGATGGGACGGGCGTGGGAGAAGGTGGTGCCAGCCAAGCAGGTCACTATCTTCGGCACGAGGTGCGATCTAAATCCCGGACCATTTAATATCAAGGAGCATTCGATTATCGTTATCATGGCAAGCGTGTCGTTCTCAGTGGCGTACGCTACTGATATCATCCTTGCCCAACTCGTCTTCTATAAGCAAAACTTCGGCATCGTGTTCCAGCTCCTGTTGACCGTGTCAACACAATCTTTAGGTTATGGAATTGCCGGCATGATGCGGAAATTTTTAGGTATGTTAAGCCCAGATCTAGTCCTGCAATCAGACTGACGCTTCTCAGTATATCCTGCTTCGATGATCTGGCCTGGCAATCTAGTCGTCGTCGCATTGATGAACGCCATGTACGAAAAGCACCAGGTCAAGGACCCATCCATCATTGGAGGAAGCATACCGCGTTACAGATGGTTCGGCATCGTGACAGCCGTATCAGCCATTTACTACTTCATTCCGGGTTACTTTGCACAGTTCTTGAGCATCTTCGCTTTCGCAACCTGGATGGCTCCCAAGAATGCTGTGATTAACCAACTGTTTGGGGGTACAACAGGTCTGTCTGTTCTACCGATCACTTTCGACTGGACACAGATTGCAGGTTACATTGGGTCGCCTATGATCCCGCCCTGGTTCGTCACTCATACACCTCGAAGATCTATCACGTCAGAATGTTTAACGTTATCTTCTAGGCACGCAACTGCGAATACACTCATCGGAGTTATTAGCTTCTTTATCATAGGCGCTTCGCTATTTCACTATACGGGCGTTTGGTATGCTCAGTTCTTGCCTATGAGCGATGCTTCCACGTATGACAATACTGGCGGTGCCTACAATGTCTCGCGGATTCTGACGCCCGAGTTTACTCTGGATGAGGAGGCATACCGGGCGTACTCGCCGCTGTTTATCAGGTAGGCACATTGGTCTTTCAACACCTAGTACCTACTTTAGCTAACAGCGGCCTCAGCACTACCTTCGCCTTGTCATATGGTCTATCGTTCGCTGCCATTACTGCTCTCATGGTGTACACGTATCTGTATCACAGCAAAACGATATGGGCCCAGTACCAGAACAGCACCAGCGAAAAGCCCGATATTCACATGAAGCTTATGAGGAGGTACAAGGAGGCACCGGCCTGGTGGTACACGGCCTTGTTCTGTATTGTACGTGTCACCCGTTGCTGGTGTTGTTAGTTCAGTACTGACATATTCGCTCAGGTTTTGGCACTGGGATTCGTCTCGGTACTGATGTACCCGACGAACCTGACCTGGTGGGCGTTTCTGTTGGCTGTCGCCATCTCTTTCGTATTCTCGTTACCTATTGGTATCATCCAAGCCGTCACGAACCACCAGATCGGTCTCAATGTCTTGACTGAATTTGTTTATGGATACATCCAACCTGGTCGACCCTTAGCATTGATGTTGTGAGTGACTCCCGGCAGTACCTACTTCGCCTCCCAGTGCTGACTCGGTGGATGTACAGGTTCAAAACCTACGGCTATATCACAATGTAAGGCAAGCCTCTATCCCTGATTCCTCTCACCAATCTGACACCCTCGCCTAGGTCGCAAGCGCTTAGCTTCGTTGCGGATCTCAAATTCGGACACTACATGAAGATCCCGCCAAGGACCATGTTCATGGCGCAGGTCGTTGCCACAACCCTATCATGCTTTATCCAGATCGCCGTCCTCAACTTCGCCCTAAACAACGTCGACGGGATCTGCGAGCTGACACAGCCACACCGCTTCACCTGCCCCGGCGGGCGCGTCTTCTTCTCAGCCTCGGTGATCTGGGGCCTCATCGGCCCGGCCCGCGTCTTCTCCCCGGGCCAGATCTACTCGGGGCTCCTCGTCTTTTTCGTCGTCGGCGCCATCACGCCGGTGGTCATCTACTTCTACGTGCGCCGCTGGCCCAAGTCGCCGGCCAGGTACCTGATGGCGCCCCTGATCTTCGGCGGCGCGGGGTCCATCCCGCCGGCCACGCCGCTGAACTACCTCTCGTGGGGCGTCATGGGCTTCGTGTTCAACTTCCTAATCAAGAAGCGCCACTTCCGGTGGTGGAGCCGCCTCAACTACCTCACCTCGGCCGGTCTCGACTTGGGCCTGGCGATCGGCACGTTGGTTATCTTTTTCGTGTTTACGCTGAACGAGATCGATCCCCCGCAGTGGTGGGGCAATAGCGTCGTCACGAGCACGGTGGACTATCAGGGCCAGGCTGTGCAGGTCGTTTTGCCCCCGGGCGAAACGTTTGGGCCGCAGGTTTGGTAAGGGCCATCTGGCTCGGCTTGTCCGACCAGGCTGGTTGTGTGTGTGTGTATATAGTAGAGGGGATAGGGTGGGAAGGTGGGAGGCCAGGCGTGCATTATGCGACGTATAGAATATTTCTGTCATCTGAGCTTGTTGTCTGCGTTGCATAGACGAGGAAGAAACATTACATATTATTCTTGTGAGAAGCACATGGTCCAACACATCATTGATGCTCACCGTCGATGGGGAGCGTCAACGTGTATTCGTCGCCACCTGCTTCTACAATTACCAAGAATCTCCATGTGCTTGCGTTACAATCTTCTGGCTAGTGGCGCAGCCTGCAGACTCAGACGGTGATTTTATTTCAGCAATGAAGCCATGGTACTCGACAATCACTCTTCGCGCTCAAGCAACCAACCTACGAAACCATAATGACTACTGGCAGCGCAGAAGGGGAAGACCCCCTCGTCTGACAATTGAAAGTGGGATGCAACCGCTTCCAACTTCAGAGCGACGAAACAAACCAGAAAATACAGTACCTGTGTTAAACATCATGCAGGTACTCGGGGAATGCTTTCACACGAGATTTGTCCCGTGCCCCAGTTGTCAATACGTCGACCTCATGCCTCAGTCTGATGGAATCCGAATGGAACGTTATCAACATCAGACGGGATGACAGCTTCTTCGAGAATAATGTAAAGGTTGAAATCACGAATGGACGTGAATTGGACAGCGGTGGCTTGTGACGGAAATACCTCATGTTTACCTACTTATGTGCATTGCTTTCGAACCGAAGTATCACGGCTGTGGGGGCTATCTGACTTTACATATGCCCACGGCGTCTGGGGCGAGGGATGTCTTATGCTTCCATGAATGAACACCAACAAGGCTACAAAGGAACTTCCAGCTAGTCCCTGATTTCCAGAGACCAATACTCACCAAGCCATCATGGAAAAAGCCCCCAATCCGAAAGGACAAAGACAAAAAGACAGAGCTCTTCAAGGAATAGTTATAAGAGAGAAATGTGAAAACTGACCTTGTCATCTACTCAGATGGATCACAATTGGACGACAAAGGCACAACCCGCACTGGATGGGGCTACACCATTAGGAAAGACAACACTACACAAGAAGTATACCGGGGAAAGGGCAGACTTCTCTAAGTAGAAATAATAGATATTAAAGTCCATAACGCTCTCTAAAGGCTTATAACAGCCAGGGCAATTGGACACAGAAAATAGCTATATGTCTGCCTGGACAACACAGCAATGATAGATAGGCTCAATGGGACTCCACCCGAGACATCACAGAACATTTTTCTACGATTCCAAGAACTTGCCATGGCACATATTCCTGGAGTGACCGTCAAGTGGATTCCTGGACACAGAGATATTGATGGCAACGAAGCTGCCGACATACTAGCAAAAGAGGGTGCCATGCTAGAAATAGACACGACAAACCTTCCCACAATCTCGTGGGTCAAGAGAGATCTCAAAAAAAAGGGCAAGAAAGAGTTCAATTAATGGTAAAAAGACCAATCAGAATCTAAATATCAAGAAGTATACTCATATATAATAACTAAAAGAGACCTTATATATTTTAAGAGGAGTACTTTACACAGACTTCTAGCGGCCAGATCTGGACATGGCGACTTTGCAAGATATCATGAACACTTTGGACATACAGACTCGAATGATCACTGCAGCTGTGGTGAGAAGAAAACACCACAACATATTTTCTTTTGTAAGAGACTGGAGAAAAATCGGCTGCTGCCTAGGTACTTGTCTAGGGCAGCTTGTTTACAATACTTAAGGGAAAGGAGCACAGAATGGACAAAATTCATGGAGAAGAGCAAATTCTTTTTATCAATCTGCCCTCGATAGATAGCTGTTCTTGAAGGACCAGATGGGTGACCCAAGGTCATACCGCCGCAACAACGGGGATGGGCTCGTGAGCGGGACTGACTGTACTTATTATCTTGATACCTCCATAACCCTGCGATGCAGAGGCTCTGGGAGGCGTGTTTTGCACTACTGAGGAGCAATCCCCCACGTTAAATACAAAACAAACAAACTTCCATGAATGAACAGTTGATAAGTAGACTACATCTCCCTCCGTTGTAGGAAGTCATCAGATCACAGAGGGATTTCTCTGTAAGTTGGAGATGGCGGACCAGGCCCAGAGCACCAGATTCGTGCTGCTATCCTATTGCTGGTTAGGGAGGTCAGTGGTCATGTAGACGCCCACATTGAGAATACGCTTGACTGAGAATAAAGTGCCCCGAGGAACCTAGTCGAGCTCTAGACATGACTCAAACCTGACCATAGATCGATGCGAGGTTGGGTCGAATGCAGAAACAGCACAGAATGATCTGTGTACGTCGTCTAAAGGGTCCATGGACGCCGTGTGACCGGATTTTGATTCAATTGAATGTTTGGAACTCGGTACTTTCTGTGACGAGCAGGCTCAAGGGATCATTGACCACGTCGCCCAAGCCACTCACGTGGAAAGGGGTGAAACCTGTCGAATCAACGACTCGACGCCGATCTTTCGCCAATACAGGTAGCTCTTTTGAAGAGGACAACTCGTTGAAAGGTCTGAAGAGCCAGACAGCACTCCAGACGTTCCCTGTGTTCCGCATAACCAATCCTCGCAACTCCTCCAACATGCTGCGCGCCCTCACCCTCCGTCGGCCGCCGCATCTAGTCCGCGCGACACAGCTTACAACCCTATTGCGCCCCCAGCTTACCAAGCCCAAGCAGTGCGGGACACCGAAGTCCTACGCAAGTCAGCATGACGAGCAACGAGATAGAGGCCAGCGGCTGCGCCGGCGGCTCTCGTTGCCGGACGATTTCGAGAAGTTGACACATGATGATATAATCCGACTGGTGCTTGACCTACATATCAAAGATCCCGCGTACATCTTCGCTCAGGCGCGGAAGTGCTGGGCGCCCACGCTGCGGCTGCGGAAGTCCTGCTTCCGCGCACTGGAAAGCGCACTGGAGCGTGAGGGTCGGGAGGTCGAAGACCTGGGGAGGCTGCCCGAGTGCCATGCGAGGACCGACTGGCTCAGACACCTGGCGTTGCCTAATTTCACGGGCCACCGTCGGGTTTCAACTGTTACAACAGCCAAATATGGGTGGAACGGCATCCCCACGGCGCCACCAAGGGCTCTCACATCGCGGTCAACGAAGAGCTGAGCTATAACGCTGCTGCGATGGTGAGGCAGGTGGCGCGAGGCGGTCCGTTGCGGGAGGATGCGATCTTCGTGGAGGTCATGGCGAGTGTTCGGGCTCAACTGCGGCACTGGCGGCAGCAGCACTTCATCGAGCCCCAGCAGAAGGTGCCGGTGCTCATTGCGTTTCGGGAACAGTACGTCTCGGGCGAGTTCCAGGCGGGAGTTCTCAGATACACCGAGGTTGGCAGGTGGGTTGAGCCCAAGTCTCGCGAGCTGCTGAACTCTCTGGATAAGCAGAAGTCTAAGGACGAGATAGACACTGCAGCCGACCACGGTGTTGCCCCTGGAAAGAAGGTATCGCAAGGTGGGAAACCCATATCTCAATGCTGAGGGCAGAAACTTGGATTAAGCTCGACAAGGGGTATACGACCTAGCGAAATCCTTGCCTTGGCGTTCTTGGAATGGAAGATGAGGAAGACGCGGATCCTGCTCCTCACCGAGACAGAACCACCGCTCCAAAGTTCTGCACAGGCACGTTCCATGACGTTGTTAACAGTTCGGCTTCACGCCGGTCAGCATGATAATCACTGGTCGCGTGACATATCATAACAGTTATGTAGGATGGGACCAGACACGGGAGCGGTACATACGGCACGGCCGTGGGTACACCATAACGAGGTGGCAACTGGTCAGCATTGTGGACGGACGATGTTGGCTGCCTGGAGGTATGAGGCCATGTAGGATGCCGCTTCATCCTTCACTACCTTGGCTTTTCAAGTCCAAACCCTGCTTGTGTAAGAACATTAGTAAATGAAACAGACCGTATTACGTTAAACCGCGTCATGTCGGCATATCCGATCTGTGTGGACAGTTCAGTTCAAGGCTTAAACATCAGTATCTAAGGCGATTCTAGGAAATGACGAGACGAAAAGATGAAAACAATCGAAGGGGATACCTACACACCTATACTTACCCAGCCACATTTGACTACATATAATCACACGGTTCAGTCCATTTCTGACTATCATGACTGGCTTAGAGGTATGGTGTTCTCATGGCCTACGCTGAGGCCCTGGCCTCACTATCACGGAGTGGCCGAAAGCTCCGTGGCCACAGAACAGCACCACTCAATTAACAGATGGTATTGCCACCACTTTCACCACGTAGTGAATCCAGAGACTGACCGAGTTACTGGGGCCCAACAGCTCGCCAAAAGGCGACATGACTGCCTACCAAACCCAAAAGTAGCACTGCATGCTGGCAACCTGACTATATATAAGGGCAATTACCAGGCCTCGAGAAGTAGATACAATTCGAGACATCATAACAAGACTGACCTACCATCGCCACATCTTGTCTCCAACCAAGTCCACTTGTCAAATTTCCTCCAACCGCCCACAAGTTCCAACCGAATCCCAATTCCAAACCTACTGTCGTACGGCAGTATGCACTTCTCATTCGTGGCTGTCCAGAGCAGTCTTCTGCTACTCACGACTCTGCTCAGCGGGGAATGGCGGCCGTTGCTCGCAGTCCCGACTCGGCCGCTCAGGCTCTCAGCAATTCCGCATCATCGGTCCCGCGTGCAAATGTGTCGGAGAGCCGTCTGACCAGCCGCACTACGCCGCTCACTGTTGACAACATAATTGGCTGGCTGGAGGGAAGCTGGAGCAAGAAAAACGACGAGGCTTTGCGCAACCACATTGGTATTTTGACTGCCCCGGTGGTTGGTCAGCCATGGCAACTTGCTAATCATTTCTTATCTATGACAGTCCTCTACTGTGATGGTGGTCCGCACGGGAAAGGGAAAGCAAGGGCGGATAGATTTGTGAAAGACAATCAGAAGCCGGGGGGAAAGCTTTACGATTACTGGTCGATCTTCGGCGGTCCAGAGTTCCAGGACGAATTCGGCTCAGTGGACCTTGAGGAAATCAGCTTTCGAAGAATGGGCGCCGAGGCCTTGGCCAGCGCTGCAACAGGTACGTGGCGCAGACTCCCGGCCTTCGTCATTCGGGCAAGAAGAAAGCAAGAAAACAAGTGGATCGCAAAGTACTGACAAGACCTCACATCCCAGGCATGGTATGGCTTTTCAACTGGGACGACAGGAAGCCTGAAGATATCTTCGTGAAGGTCGAACTACCAATACTCCAGGGGCGTGAGCGTGGTGTTTTTGTTCTCTCGATGGAAGACGACGCCAAGACCATTAACGATATCAAAAAAGACAAGCATGGTAACCATATAAATCTCACGACAGTTTGGTATGATGAAAAGCACGGGGCAGAGTCAGACTAATCAAGGGTGACCCAACCTCTGCATCAACACGCTCGTTTCCTAAACACATCCTATAAGCAGACACTCCCCACCCCATCGCACAAGCACACATCTCCCACCACATCAGACAACCACACGGTTCTTACTAGCAAGCAGGCAAGTAGGCAGGCAGGCAGGCGTGTATCTCATAGACGCATAGACAATAGAACAAAATACCACTGCGCTATCACCGCAAGTCTCAAATCCCCACGATGATCTGAGCGCAGCCTACCAGAATCGCTGTAGCCATGGGCAATCCTCGGCTCCACCACCTAAATCTACGAGAACCCTCGTCAAATAACGTACACACTTCCAGGAGGCCGTGAATCGACCAGACCCTACGTCGATAACAAACAGTACTACCCCTGAGGGCTTGGGTGGAGGAAAACAACCAGTGAGCTGGAGCTAGGCAGCTGAGCCATAAAATCTTCGACGAACCCACAGCTGGTAGCTTAGTGTCGGGGTGTGCCTGGTACCTTACCACGAGCTCAGAGTCTGTTGGTAATCTCAAGGGGCGGAGACAGCCACATGATCACGAGACGAGTGCTGCCTTGGTTCGATCCCATCAAAGCGAAGCAGTCCTGCCCCTGAATGCCTGGCTCGGGTTCATTCTGGCAGCAGAATCACCCTCCAGCCCACAGGCTATCCTACGCGTAGACCAGAGAGCGAGTGCTGACCCTGTTTCTTTCCAGGCGCAAAAGAACTGGAACCCTCTGCCTGCTGCTGACTATAGTAGCATAACTTAGTCACCCTGATAAACTGCAATTCGTTCACAACGGAATGCAGGAGGATATCCACGGAAGCAGTGATGAATGCTTCTCATTTTGCAATGAAGCATTCTCATGAATGCCTACCTTAAGTCTACCTCTCTGATGGTATCCATGGCCCAAGTGCTATAGACAATGCAAACAATGCAATCTGTAAACCCTGCAGCTTCACTCCCTCCCTTCTACAGGTTACTGCCAAACTGAGAATACCGACCGCATCCGCTCTGCAGGAGACCCCCACAAGCCGATGCCGACGCCGATAAGTAGGGCACCACCTACCGCAGGCAATATAGACACCAGTCAACCCTACAGCGCTATCCCATATGACAAGCTGATGAAAGGGGATAGACAGGGGTCGAAGGACGCGTAACGTTGGGGCGGAGAGACTTCTTACGCCCTGTTGTTGCTACCACAGAGCCACATCACAAAGCCTCCTATCCAATCGACGAATATGGTCCGGATGAAGGTTTGTAACCAGTGGCCGTCCTTGTGGGCTTCGTGGAGGGAATGGTTCGAGGCCGGAGTGATGGGGCGGTTGTCCTTTGTGCGTTTGCGCAGGTTCATTTCGCTGGCATCAGTGGACGGCGATGGAACCTCATAGGCTCCATCGGTGGATGAGGCTGCATCGGTGGGCGTGGTTAGGGATTTGATGGGCTCATCGCGGGCTTTCTGTGCCTTTTTGGGGCTAATGCTCATAGCAATGCCCTCATCCAAGTCGGCTTCTTCATCCTCGGCAATGGACTGCAGTGAGACCCTAGATCCTGCAGCGCCAGACTGTTCTCCTGCTACACCCTGGTCATGCTCTTCGTTTGGCTGGTTTTGCTCTATGCTGGCTGACAACCGACGTACTGCAGCCATTATAGAGTCGCGGTTCGATGAGAAATGCTCCTCAGGATAGTCATAGTCGAGTTCCACTTCGTTATCCTGCTGTGGATGGCTCGCATGATGATTATGCTGCGGTGGGTGGCTCGCGTGAGCCTTGTCCATGTCAGACGCTTCGAAGGTTTCGTAGCTGAACATTGGGCAACTCTCGTCGCAGTTATCGGGCCCAGCATCGTCGGCTGGCAGTCTAATGACGTGGTTGACGTTGCCTTGGCTATCGGTGACTGCAGCACGCGGTTAGAACGTTCAGCTGGTTCAGGAGGCAGGATAGTGATGCCTACCTGTCTCGGTCTCGGGATCGAGAGCCCACCAGTCTCCATGACCTATTCGAAACTTGTAATGGACGTCGATGCCTCTGCCGACCTCGACTCCTTTGGTGAAGAAGTATTCGCCGTTCTTGGCATCATAATCCATCTCTATAGGCTGCCATGATGGGTCTGAAAAGGAGCCAGCCACGTAGATGGGAGGCTGGGTTCCGGGCTTGTGGTAGGTAAGGGTAACTAGGTCGCGGGAAGCCATGTTGAAGGTGTGGCAGATGGCAAGTTCATGCCTGGCCGTATGTTGTTGGGTAAGTATTGTTAGGTGCTCGAGCTTGGGAAACGGGTAGAAGAAGCACCCGATTGCCTGCTTGTCCGGAGGGAGGCTGGGAGCGTCAATGGGATATGTTGATACTTGAGTATTGAGGTCGCTCTGACTGCAGCTGCATGGCATAAAACGACTCGAGTCCGCGGCTACTCATTCCACCAGGCAGGCAGTTGATGGCTGATCTCACCAACGGTAAAGGAAGCTGAGGTTCATGTTTAGGTTGACAAACCTGTTGGAATGCGGAAGCTGAAGGAACCGTACCTTAAGGTAGGTAGGTAAGGTTCGAGGTGCTCAGCTTTAGCGCCGTGGCACTGTGACGCAAGTTTGACGCTGCCAGTTGGTCGACAGCATGCTTCGGTTCACTCCTGCCGTCCTTCCAAGGTTCGTACCGCACCTTCAGCTCCAGCCTCCAGCCTCCAGCCTCCAGAGCCACCTAACCTAAAGTAGGTAGAAGGTACCTGCCCACCTAGGTACCTTATGTAGGTATGTACATGTAGGTAACTAAGGTAGATAGATAGGTAAGGTAGTCACTCAGATGGATCAACTTACACATGAAGTATTGAGGCCGTCTATCCCGTACAGGAGGTTGTCCCTGAATGTACCTGGATATTGAGGCCCTCAACATTGGACACCATTGATATCAGGTGCGCCTACCTTACGGTATAGATCCCCTGCCATCCGGTGCAGGACGCAGATAATGTAGTTCCTATACTAGTAAGGTACGTAGGTATAGGTGCCTATGACCGGAGTATTTCCACGCTATCAACGCCGGTGCATCATGTAGCTGGGTGACTGGCCAAAGACCTGAATCCATCCCCACGATGGTGCTAACAGATTGAGATCGATGACAGATTCCTTACAAGATGCCTACGAGTCATTACCTAAAATGCAACAGCTTCAGTCCCAAAATACTACCTTATAACCAAGCAATACCAAGCAATGACAGTAGCAAACCTCATGAGACGGAGCAAATGGTCCCTGGACCAAGACTCGAAGTTATAACTGCCCCGCTATGATGTGCGTAAGTAGGTACCTAACCTAGCGCTTGACCCCCGCCATCAACGGCATCCATGTCTCGCATCTAGTTGGACCCCACAGTAGCTAGCGCCACAGCACGATAAGGGCAGGCCTCGAGCTCAACCTACCTACACCAGCCACAATCCAGCATGGCATCTTGCATGTGCTACATGCCGTTGTTCAATCATGATCCCCAGATCCAGTATCTGCTAGACTGGCAGATAGGTACCTAATATACTTCATGTATTGTGACATGCCACGCTATCTAGATTCATATTTGCACTGTTCAACTTCCCCAGCACAACTGTTTCACAACTCCTTTCGTCACTACGGATCCTGACGGTTAGACCCCCATTTCTGCCAGGCGGTGAGATCGCAGAAGTTGATTCCGTCACGAGGAGCCAGCCTACTTTGTACCGTAGGCGATAACCCCGGATAGATCTCGACACTCCTGCACACCTGCACCTCTGCGGATACTTACGACAACCGCCTCAGATCCTTTTGTTACAGCATAAGTCACGTTCCGCATACAAGCAGACGAGGGTGCCTTGCGTCATGTCGGTGCCGCCGCAACTCATTCGCGTGAAGCGAAAGGCAACCGAAGATGCCCCCGTCTCGTATCTCCGTACGTCGTTCTTGCTCTCCAGCTGCCTTCTGTGTCCCTTCAAGGTCACCAGGTGGGAGCTAATCTGTTTCTTGTGCTGCAGGTGTTCAGGAAAACAAGAGACATCGCAGCGAGGTCTTTGTGTACCAACGCCAGGATGAAAAGGCCGCATTCGCCGCCAACATTCCTCCCCAGGTTCAGAAGCCTATCATCCATACCTCCAAGCCAGCATTCCAGAGCGTCGCGAAACAAAACATCAATGCCATCAGACCCGCGAGCTATGACGGCCCAAGCAGCAACTTTTCCTGCGTCAGCGCCACTACAGGCCCCGACGCTGTTGGTCCCACCGCCGAACCTCGCCGATTCCACATGTCACGCAAGGAGATGATGCTTGCCACCTCCCCATACCCTACACGAGCCCATGGCGGCGTCTCCAAGAAGCGCCCCGCCCCGGCACTGTTTGTCGAGCGCAGGATCAAGAGGATATCCTCTAGGACCGTCGAGAAACTTCATGCCGCCACCAATTCCACCGCACCGGCGTCTGCGTCTGCGTCTCCGCCCGCGCCTGCGCCTGCCCTTGCGCCAGTTCCTCCGCGTGATGCCGTCACCGAAGATATGGACGTAGATACACCGGAGCCTAGGAAGTTCAAGAAACCAGGCATAGCGAAGCTTCTGCCCAAAGATGATACATCCAAGTACAAGGCTGAACTGCCCAAGGCCATGACGCAGCGCTGGAATGTTGATATGGATAAATTGACAGCCGAAATGGATGCATACGCCATGGAGCAGATAGGCCTCAACATCCAGAAAGGTGAAGAGGAGAAGAGCAGGGAGGAAGTATTGGCCAAGAGGACCCCATCAAAGCTCAGATTCAAGCCGAAACCGCCCGCAAAGCGATATGCGGAGCGACATCCCGAAGAGGCGGGGAGCGCGGTAGACAAAGAAATGGTGGACGCCGATGTCGATGTTAGCGACAGCGACGACGGCGATTATATCATTGAGACGTACGTCCGTGTTCCGGCGAGCAGGATGGGAGACCAAGTACCACCTCAGAAAGTGGGGCTCTTGGTATTTGATGAAGAACCCGACATTGAGTATTTCTACGGAGAGGGTGACGATAGCGACGATGAGTGGGCCGAGGATGAAGAGGACGAGAATGGTATGACTAAGCAGGTGCTTCTTCTTCGCGCCAACGTGTACTAACCGGGGATTAGCCGAGGACTACTATACGGCAGACTATCCTGACGACGAGGTTGCCTCGGACGACGAGTTCGGCAAGAATCCGTACTCTTTTCGAAACGGGAACGCCTCGGATCTGGAGGAGTATGACGTGGATAATGATACCGACGACTCTGCACCGGGCGAGCAGGAGCAGAATGCAGCCCAGTTCAGGACGTACATCGGTCCCAACGGACTTCGATCTAACCACCTATAAGGGTGATGGCTTGCTCCCACACCAGCTCCCAACCCTGGTACCGCGCGGCAAACCCAAGAGCGCGGTAGTCTCGCATGTTGGCGCTGCTATATACAGATAGGCGCGATGTTGAAACATGGAGTGTGTTGGTCTGAGGCGCAGACGGCAACGGTTAAATCACAATCACAGCCGATGGTCCCGATGGCATGTCACAATCGGCGAAGATAGGGACTTTCATCTCGGCTGAGAACCTTGCATGCGAGGGCTAGGGCCGAGAAAACACAGCCAGGCTGGTTGGTCAATGCCGCAGACCGTGCCGAGTTGGTGGTGACCGTTGGGCTGCAACCAACATCTACAACGCACCGCCTTGGAGATTATTGGACCCCCCTATTCTCCTACTGGTGGGGACAATGCCACCCCAGCTCGCAGAATCCTTCTCGACTTGGACAGCAATGCGTAAAAATAACAGTCACTGTGTAGCACGAAGTGTCGCTTGCAATGCATCAATGCGATTGGATGCCAAGACGTGTCATTTCCTGGCTTTGCCCGCTGCTTTTGGTGGTCATTTGACTTGACTACCTTTTCAAGACGACACTTGGCTGTGCCGTCCGGTTCATGTGCAGAATCGAGACGGCAGGGAGCCAGCCCTACCCAGCTATCCGGTTAACGAATTATGTACGCACCATGCTTCGATCGGCAGCTCACCCGACTTTCTCTTCCTTGACTTTGTGAGACAAGACGGCCGCACGAACCCATGGAATATTAACCAACTACGGTACAGCTTGCGATACCTGGATTACTGGCAAAAAGGGGTACCGATATTTGATCGATGAGAACTAGAGAATAGCACAAAAAACTGACTTGAATGCCCAAATGCTTCTTGCAAGCCAAGTCCACCCAACCCGGTCCCAAGTCGAGGGACATGCCAAACCAACCGAGCTCGCCCGCCCGTTCAGCCAGGTCTTTCCTAACGGAAGACTGGCTTATCCAGTGCGCAAGAAAAGAATGAGCTACTCTGAGGGGAATCACCAGAAGCAAATTGCCAAAGAAGCCAGCCAGCCGTAGAGGTATCTAGTGGTACATGTCTCGCGTTACCATCAGCCCGTTATCCAATGTCCGCAATCCATAATGCATTCAGTGGCATAAAATTTGGCGAAATCATAGTTGAAATCAAATACAATCCAAAAAACAAATCCAATCCAATTTGGTCCTTGATCCCGAAATCCAACTCCAACGTCCCCATCAGCGCCTCGCTCCCCGTGAGCGCCCCCCGCCTGTCTAACTGTCCCAATTGGACAGGCACCGGTGTAAACAAGAAAACAATCGGTATATTGGTGAAGAGTGAGTGGTGGTGAAGTATGATGTCGAGTAGGCAAGTCAGTGGTGAATAGTCAGGTATGTTGGGACAAGGCCGAAGCCAAGGGTGTTCAAGTGCCGGGTGTCCCGTCTCGTAGTATATCTGGGCGATGAAGGTGTATCTCGTTGCCGTCGCGTAGGTAAGGGTGGTAAGTCTAGAATGTTCTTGAATGTAGATAGGGAAGTCTGTAGAATCGAAGAGGGAGACTGGTGAGGCGGAAGAGGAGGGGGAGGAATTGGCTAGTATCGATCGATGGTACGCATTATGTCCAGGCTCGTTTCTTTCTCACGTTGCAGCATGTCTGTGCGTGTAATGTGTGCGACTGCCGTACGTCGCAACATATTCGCGGAGCTCCTCCGCCGAATAGTTCACAGCTTGGACGACTTGGAAAAGTCGTAGTCGATGTTGGCCGCCTTGAAGTTGTGCGGCAGCCTGAACCTGGGGGTCGGCACGGCGTATTTCTCGCGCTTGTTCGCGTCTCGTTCTCGGTCCTCCTTGGGGCAGCAGCCGCAGCGGCTGGGCTGCATCTTCTCGACCCATGTCCCGCGTTCCATGGCTTCGCGTCGGGCGCGCTCCTTCTGGACGAGTCTGTCCTTGACTTTGGGATGTGTTAACGTTAGTGGCTTGGTCGGATTATCAAATAATATTGGCAGGGTACAAGGTGAACTCACGCAAGTCGGCAGCGATCTGTCGGTGTTCGGGCAGCACCCACGGATATAGCATGGCGCGCTCTGGGTAGAGGTAGATCAGACCGTACCACTTCTTGCGGTCGCCCTGCTCGCGAACCTTGACCTCGGTGTGCTCGACGTGCCCGTTCGGCATGAACAGCAGCTGGTTGCTTCCGTCCGCGATGAAGGGAAGGCACTTGTTATCGCGGTAGTGATCACCCTGGATGCCCTGTACTGTCCGGTTGCGATCGCCGACCATGGGAAACTTGGCGTTGAAAATGACTCGGATTGCCTCCCACCCCTGCTTCAGGTCGATCTTGTGGTACCGGTTGAAGTCTGTCTCTTCCAGGGCGTACTTGACGTTGCAGTGCGTCCCATTCTTGGGCTTCGCCCGCTCTTTCCTGGACATCTCCCTAGGTGGCGAGGGCTGCTGACGCGGCAGGTAGCTGAAGTCGTAATGCTGTTGGGGGATGTTCTGCGCACTGCGGAACACTGTTTGGTCCTGCTGGCAAGAAGCATAATACGGGGGCGTGTGGCCCTGAAACGTCTTGGGACCCTGATTGATAGGATCCTGGGTCGAGTATGCACTTGGTCTTCGCGAGTAGACATACTCGGTGGCTGGTTCTGGGCTGGCACTAGGTGTTGGAAGACGACATCGGCTCCGCGAATGTAATAGGGGTCTCTGTGCTGGAGAGCTGAACAGATGATGTACACCGGGAAGATTGACCTTCTTCGGTTCACCTGCGGTTGCATTATCCGAGACATTCCACTTCTGGTCCGAAGAATCGAAGAGGTGTTGCACGCTAGGCAGTCTGACACTCTTGGTGTCCTCGTGCAAGGCCATGGAGTCTTTCCTGCGAGGATTGGAAAGGTACTGCAAACCAGGAAGTTTGACCCTTTTGACGTCTTCATCAGGCGTCTCGTACTTTCGTTTGAGTGGCTCCGTCTGTGGATGTGGTGGAACAGGAAAGGTGAGTGTTTGTCGAGAGAGAAACTCCGGATCATGTTCCTCTTTTGGCGTCATGGGCGATGACGGTTCGGTTGGCATCGTTGAATTGGAGCCCGTAGATGACCTTTGCGAGAAGGAAGAGCCAAAGGTCGAACCGACGGGAGAGTCAACCGAGGGTTCTGGCTCCTCTGGCTCGTCGGCGTTGCGCTCCGACTCCCATCGCCTTGGAACCCTGGCAAGGATGTCGACGTCTAGCTTAGCCAGGTGAAGCGATGGCGGACGTAAAGGGGTCGTTAGGTCTAGAGGTGCTTTCCGGGGAACAGTCGCGGATTCCATTGTGTTCAAACCGTTAGCATACTTGAACAACATGTTCAGAACGACCGTGTCCCAGTATGATGCAACAAAAGGCAGGTAGGAGAGTAGAAAGGCTTGGGCGGTTCTCAGGCCAATCGTGGTAAGAGCAATGACAAGAGCCAGACTATATACGGGTTTCGAACTGACGGGGACCAGAAGAAGGGTGGTGAGTCGGGGTCAGCCCAGAAAGCCCAGTATTTTAATATAGACCAACAACGTCCCGACACATAGGGCCAAATCTACTGAAGAGTATTATGATCTCTTGCAGCCAAGTACCAGCAAGGCAACACCCCCGGGTGCTGATAGCGCGGCGAAGATTAGTACCTGCTTTGGGTTCCGGTACATCAGGCGGCTCTCGATCGAAAAGCGTGTCTTGCCTACTTGGGTTATAGTCAGGCAACGGGCGGCTTGAGAGACATCAACCACTGCAGCGCTCTGCACGGCGGATCAAAGCTGGCATAGTCCAGCGGCCGAGGTGGGAGGGAGGATGTTGTCAGCGAGCTGGTGATGGGATGAGGATGGCAGTGCGTGGCATACTGGCGGTATTCCCAAGCATAAAAGGGCCCGGTCCAGTCTGTTGACACATGAATAGACGGATCATGGCGCAAGGGGGCCACAAGTCCATGGCAACCCTGGACGTTAGGTCGGCCGCTCACACACTGTTTCAACGCTCAATGCGACCATTTCGAAATTGCTCGTCGTCCTGCATGGGACGATCGACCGAAAGGGTACTAAAGCCAGCCAGCCAGCCGAGCAGAAAAAGAAGTCGTCCTGATGCGCCTTTACATTACTCGTAGAGCGATCATCACGTTCCGGGGCGTCAAGTGTCCCCGCGAGTTCGAACTGAGACTTGCAAAGAAATCACGTCGACAATACCGCTGCCCCCCGTTCAGAGCAGGGTTACTTTGCACTGTGTCCAGCATAAAAACCCATCCTGGCATGCGATTAGTTGAGTTGCTGAGCTTTCCAGACTGTCGGGACGGGTGGGCCAATAGTAGTTGTGATGAAGACATGGGATAGAGCTGAGCAGGCTGGGGGCCCAGCCCATGGAACCAAAAGAGGGGGTGTGGCATGCAAGGTGGATGTGTACACACAATAAGCAGGAAGAGAGAAAGAGAGAGAAGAGAGGCAGGGTCAGACTGGATTACCGGTATGCCAGATCTGCTGTTGGTTTGGAGTGAGGGTTCTTCGGGATGTGTAGAGTCGGCCCAAGCCCCGTGCCAACCACCCAAGGGAACGCACGTCGCCCGAGTCCCCATTTACAGCGGTGGCTCACGCAATTGCCCATAGCCGAGCGTCTATGTATAGTTTGTAGTATATAGCCCAGAAACGACAAGTCAGTCTCGCTGCATCTCGTAAGCGCGCGAAGATGGGGATCGGATCACACGGACACGGGCTGCCCTCTGGGACTGGCAGTGTCGTGGGGGTAGAGCGTGGTCGAGACTCTCTCGGGCCGGCGAGACGCGGGAGGCAGGTCGGCCCAGGGGGTTCTAACTCGAAGAAGACCAGGCTTCGGTGCTCCCATGTCATTCCCTCATCCCCTGTAGCCAGGCAGACAGACGATGCAACCTATGATGGTCGGCGAGTTGACCAAGACCCCACAGGGCATGCATGTGATACGTAGCCTGCCATATTCAAACAGAGATGCAGATATCTGGCAGCGCTAAGCACAGGCAAATCGCGCCCATTTCTCGGCTCCTCGCACGGCTGGCTGGATGGACAGCAACAGTGCGCTGCACTCTTCTTGTCACGGCAGTCGGGTACTTGGAGGCGCGGACTAAGAACTCACTCCCGCACCTCATCCTCAGGGGTAGTACCTTGCAGACTGGCCCTACCTGGTGGCCATCGGTCCACCTTGATGCTGTATGTATTCCAGTGTTGTCAGTCTGTGGCTCCCACTACTGGCCGTTTTGTTAAAAGTGCCATATCTCTCCCGACGAACCCGTGGCGAGGTTGTGGGTTCTCATCCCGCACCGAGGTCGAACCAACTTCCAGGTCCTCAAGCAGCGGAAGACTCCTCGCGCAGGCGTTGGCTACACGATTTGGCCGAGACCAACTGCGAGCGTCACAACACGATTCTGCACGAGCGGGATGAAGAGTTTCGGCGTCCCAGCGATGCAAGCCCGCAATAGGTAATCACGGCAAAGCCTCCGCAGCTCGACCGCGATCAGTCATCTAACAGGAGACACATCCGTCATTCTAATTAGCTTTCGGCCGTGAGAGACGCGGGGCGTTCTTACTGCTTGGTGATTAGTCGTTCGGCAGGTGCCCCAAGGTCGTTTTCTTTTCTTTTCTTTTCTTCGTTTTAGGCCGGCTCCAGCAGCTCGGTCGAGCCAATGAGTCGCAAGTGCTGCACGAATACGAGTGGCACCACCAACGTTTCAATTCTTAGAGGCGACAATGATGCACTGAGACATGACGCGAGACAAGACAGTCCGACTACCGGGGTTCTCCAGATTTTGGCCTGGCGCGTGCTCCGTTGTAGTTCGAGTTCGAGACCCGGCAGTCGGAAACAAGAATGGCTCGGGACAAAGAAAGTTGATATCGAGTGTGAAGCACATGATCTGCCCGACACTATGAGGCCGTGACACCGGATCAGCTAAAATGAACGGCTGGCACTTCATCAATGGCGTCTGTCCGGTGGTGTGTATCTCACTTGACTGATTACACCTGGTGCTATTGACATCAGTCGGCACGCAAGCCGGTGTCTCAACCTGCATACAGCTGCTCTGGACGTCCAGCCTTTTCTTTTGCGTATGTTGGACACTGTGTCGTCGTCCTGGTGATTTGCCGGAAGCATGAATAGAGAGATCTCACAATCATAAGTTCTCATAGATATGTAAAAGACTGCAACACACGGCACTCGATGAATTAACCAACGGTCATGCAAGCTGGACATCAATCCCCCAGTCGGTAGTGAAGGAGTGCTCGCCTACGCGCAAGGCGATTGAGAGCCTGTCGCCCATCCAACTCGTGTTTCCACTCGAGCATTGTGCTCGATACGGTCGAATAGAAGCATCGATCGCATATGCATTGTTGATCATGCGCTAGGTAGGTAGTCATGGTCCAGATGCTGTTGTGGGGATGCTTTGTACAGATCGCTCCATGGGTCATAGCTTAGAACTGCTTCCGCTGGAGGACTTGCTGTTTTTGAACCGTGTTGCGTCCAAAGGCATTTTGGCGCTCCGGCTGGCTTCGGATGGCAACAAGGCCTGATGGTCGAAATCGATGAATGATTCGTCCCCAGAGAATCTCCTGGTTCAGTGGTTAGAACCGTACGAAGGATTGCCGCCAGAAGCAACCGCAAAACTCACCATCCCCTTTCTTCGCCACACCGAAGGAAGCTGCAGTCTGAATTCGCCTCGCAGGTCCAGCCTCCTTGAGTTGCTCCATCAGTCGTGGCCGTGATATCATTTTGTTTGTCGACCCTTTGCCTTCTGTATATACTTAGGCCAGAAGTGTGTGCTTTGAAATCTTCGACGGTTGGATCATCCGGCAGCTGCCCCGTAAGGACTCTGCCTAGGGTTATGACTACGGCCGCATGAGAGCAGACTAGTACTGCTTTGTTGCCCTCCTGGTCACTTCGTGTGATAATGGCTTGAATACTGGCGGCCACTCGATGGTGCAGTTGTGATATCGTCTCGCCGTTGCGTGGAGGGGGCGGCCCGGAAACGTAGTTTGCATCAAGTTTAGGGAAGAACTGACGCAACTCACTCAGGGGTGCAGATGTTGGGTGCTCGAAGTGTGCTAAGCCGTACCACTCACTCAGCCCCTTTTCTGCGCGAATCGTAAAGGGGCGGTCTTCCAAGCCATCCTTTACGGTTGCTGTCAGGGTCTGCACAGGGCGGCTTTTTGTTACGAACGGCATGATTGTCTGCAGGCATCGGTAGTATGGACTAGAGTAGACTTGCTCTATCGGTGGTTTGAGGTCCAGGAGGTGATCTGCTAACTCATTGGCCTGCTCAACGCCGTGAGAAGTGAGGGCAGGATCAGTAGGCAGGCCTGTGGGAGAGCGAAAAGACGCTGTATAGCTGCCAGTGGAAGGATCGACGACCCATGGCGAACGGAACTGTTTGAAGAAATAAGCTATCTTCCAGTCAAATAGTCCATTTATGGCTCAGGGGTGATAGTGATAAGATGGTCTTGGAGCTACGGGCTGATAGATGTAAGACCGGGTTCCGAAGACACGGATAGGAAGACACGGAGATGTTGCACAGAGGTCGCCAAAGGAAGTGATGCTGTGGATATCGAGATACCTACGCCATGTCGGGTCACATAGATGACCTCTAAAGACATTGAAACCCGAGTCGTGAAACCCGAATCGCAATAGAAGCAGTCGGCGAACTACCGGTGGAAGCAGTCTTCTTCCCGGCCCGTTCAGCGCGCTCGATCAGTACCCACACGGGATCGACGGAGTTGTCAAGGCAGCGGGCGAAATGGCTGCAGGCCGCCACGCTAGAATGCCTACGTTGGGTAGCTGGCGCCTCGCAGCAGCCGATGCAGGCCTGTCAACGCTCGACGCCGGCTTCTTCTTTCGTTGGATCCTAAGAGATCAGGTCTGACAATTCGCACTTCCAATACTGCAAATGCCGAATGCGTAGATGCTTCGTGACCGGGATGGACAGGGGTGGACAGGGGCAAGGCAAGTGGAAAGGTGATAACAATGACAGGAGCTGGAAGTTCTGTTGAAGGTGGTACGGCGGGTGGCAGGTGGCATGTGGCAGGTGGCAGCTCGTGCCGAGGTACAGTCTACCCCAAATCACGTGATCGGATTCTGGCGTGTGTGGACTGTGGGGACCCTGACCCGTGCCGGGGAACCTTCAATGTTGTCTCCCTCTTTTTCGTCCTAGACTTCGACGTTGGCCTGTTACTAGGCCAGTCTTATCAACCATGAGTCTCAGAATCATAGCAGACACAGGAGTGGATGAGTGGATAGGCCAGCCCGAACACAAATCCGAGTACTTCAGCGGGCCATCATTAGTGATAAAAGGGTCTTGTACCGCCGAGTTGAGAAGATCATGCTTCACCGCGAGAGAGAGTTGCAGGGAATTGGTACTTCTAGTTGCCACTTGCATCGTTGTTACAGCCAACAGCGTTGGTGTCCACGGCGTTGTTGTTGTTGCTGGCCTCCTTTATTCGCGGGTTCCATGCGCCTGCATCTAGTGAGGCCAGAGATGATGCCGCATCACGAGCTTTGGCTTCCCCACACAGGAGGAGACTTGGATTCCCCAGACTAATTTGGCCTGTTTTAGCGCTAGGCAGGATTGCGCGAAGTGAGACAGGTTCGGCCAGCCTCAGGGGATATATGTTTCAAGCGGTAGTTGGGGATGGTCAGCACGAGCCAGTCGTTCATGAGTCTAGCTCACACGGTTCTCTCCTGGCGCTCCAACCAAGGACCTTTGAGCGAAGGAGATATCGACCTCCTTGGCAAATCCTGCTGTCGAATTTCGAATATGGGCACGCCCGGCGGCGGGGCCAAAACCATAACAGCAGGACTCACGAATTGATTGAACTCAAGACACGATACTCCGCAAGCCACGCCGTGAGAACAACAAGGTGCAGGTTCTAATAACCTCACTTGACAGAAACCTGCACTATCACGGGCAGTCTCTTCTTGGGGCCTTTGGGGAGTTGGGACGACCCGTTGCATGATCCTCAGCTTCACGTGTGACTTGAGCGGCTCACCCGCGAGCAAGATCACCACGATGCCAAGCCAGAAATTTGACATCAACTCTATCATCACATCATACGAGCCTTGAGACGTTTTCAATGGTGCTTGGGAGACAGGCTCTCTGAGTTTCATGCCAAGGACTCACCATTTTTAGTCTCGACTACAAGCTACGACGACATCTTCTTCAGGACGACCCTACTCTTGGCAATCTGGATGGCAGCCTCAAATTCTGCTTTGCATCTCTCCGCAGTTCGGCAGCAAAGCTCCGTACCCAATGAGATCTTCTCTGAGGCTTCTTGGCTCTTGCGAGTGTCTCATTAACTCCGTGGTGTCCTCGTTGGCACCACTCATAACGCGCTTCCTCGTCATTCTGGCATCGCTATGGACTCCCGTTAGCAGGATGTTATCTTTGAAGGAACAGTGAAGATACAGTGTGGGGTACGGGTTGATGATAACCTCCTGGTAACCAATGTCTCGTCTACGCGATGAGGTATTACGGTTCCTCGTCACGACGTTCCCGGACGACTCCGAGCCACCACGGTACCAGGGCGCTTGATGAGGGGCTCGGGACTTGCAAAAGCCACGATCGAACGAGGAAATGCTCAGCTGATTACAGGCTTGATGATGTCCTCCTGAATCTTACTCCATGAGTAGCTTCTATTCCGAAACCGCTGATTGGGTCGTTTTGCACGTTGTTTTGGTCTGAGACGCGATAGATGCAAGCCGATAATGCTTTGATAAGATTGCAATGCACCCTTTACTCGGCTCGAGGGATGCGCGACAGCCTCATCGAGTTCGACACTCAAGACATGCAAGGCATCGCGTCTGCAGCTTTCTATGCCCGGCGGGAATGCGGACCGTCTTTCGATCAGCTAGTGGCGAGGTTGCTACAGGATCCATTTCCACGGAGCATTATATTTGAAGAAGATCGCCAGTGGACAAGGATAGCATGTCGAACTCCCAGCCACCTTCTGACCGCAAAGACCGTCCGCATAGCTTCACCGACATATCCATCCCGGCATGCAGAATGGCTCTACCGGTTACCTGCATCCCAACCATGACAAGCATTGTGACGTGTCACCTGCAGATACTGTGGCGTCAACCGACCTGGATCTTCAGCTCTCCCAAACCAGTGCAGTCTGATCCAGCAGCAGAGCAGTCTTCTGCTCCTGGTGTACCTTGCAACGAGCACTCAGGTGCCGGAATTGAGCAGTAATTTCCTCTGAAGCAGCTGTCAAGACATCACAATACATGCTGAGCCTAAATCCATATAGGAGCCCTCTTGGGAACCAGGCTCTGCTGGTTGTCCCCCAGCACCCTTGCGTTGACAGCGAAAATTCAATCCGGACATTGTCTCACCATCAGACAGTGTATTGAAGAGCCGGTAAGTTACATTGAACGGATTGCCGAAAAGTAGGTCCTGCAACCAGGATCGGTTGCATGTAACCGAGAAACGCATGTTGCATCCTCGACTGCCGAGACTTGGCCAATCGAGATGAAGGCTCGGATGTCTACTGGAACAAGCCTCCCGCCTGACTGATGAGCCCAATTTCCACTTCCTGGGACCTTCCCAGCTCATTGTGTTGTGACCAGTCATTTTCAGTTTGATGCCTTTCTGGGTGCTTCGCCAAATATTCTATTCTCTGCAGGAGTTGTAATTAGTTCAATGACTGGGGATACACCCTCAAAGGGGCCCACACCACGCAGCATGGTATACAAGTCTCTATTAGATGTTTGGGAGCGACAATACTATCTGAAATGGCTATACTGGAAATTTAAACAATTACTGCTTTGATAGAGTTCACACCCTCAACGCACAACTGGGCCGCGGCATTGGACTCTCTGTGATCCTGCTGCTCTGTTTTCCATGTATCTCAGAAGCACATAATGCTTCTACACTAATTACTCAGCCAGGTAAGTAATACAGAACTATCCCCCTATTCATGTTCCAGGCATTGTCCAGACCGAAAAGCAAGCAACCATACTGCCAGGCACGAACCCCGTTCCTCACCGCAAGCACATTTAAGAACGGTATACACATTTCAAGATGCGGGCTTTATTTAACACAGAAGCCACCACAGCCCGCAAGGGTGCCGGTCACAAGAAACTCAGAAACACATTCGAGCCTTAAGGTGAATGCTTCAATCTGTACCTAGACCATTGACATTGTCATCCTGGCCCAGTCTATCATCGAGTGATAGGAACGCAGCTGATAATCCAACACCATAGCCGCTTCAATGATTAGTATATATATACCCCTACAATTTACCATGATTATTGCCTAAAAGTTACTCAGGTGTCATTCTACCAGTCGTGTTCCCCTTTCATGGGTTTACCCCTTTCCATGAGACTGGCGTGTGTGTTTGTGAGCCCGCGACTGATGCTCTATTTCATGCCGCAGAACATAGCCCTCTCAGCCCGCACCGAATGGGAAGTAAATTGACAACACTTGAAGACGTGAATATGGGAGGTACACTAATATTGGGTGAGAGAGAGGCCTCTCAATGGCAGCAAGTGGTACCTAAAAAGGGTCCAACTAGGGGATATTGCGCACGGGCCATCCGTAACGTCGCGCTGCGTCATTAGCGTCAACTAGCGTCCAAGCTCCCCGAATTTTTATTTGCATCAACTTCTGGAGAGACGGGAGTCAGATGTTGCAACTCGAGCATCCGAATCGACGATCCCGGGGTTTCAGATGATGCGCTCCTTTGTAGCGGCGCCTATGTGCCCATCGTGTCTCTTCATAGCAACGACCCGGATCGCCCTGCCAGGCGCGCGCCAACCATGGGCCGCCCAGCGCTTCCTCTCCGGACGAGGAAGGGCAAGCCCTTCGCGAATGGTGCTATCCGACCGCGTCGCGCGATCTTCAGCAAGAGATGGACAAGGGTGTGACAGCAAGAAGCCGCGGGGGAGGTACGATGGTCCTTTCGGCGGCATGAACCAGACGACTCCCCCGGCGCGAGACCCGAGACCGTCGTTCCGAAGCATTCGCGATGATGGCAAAGACAATAGGCACAAGAAGGACGATCGGCGAACCAAGGCTATGAAGATGCAAAGCTCCCTGGCGACAGTGTCGTATGGCCAAAGGTCACGGACGAAAGCAAGCATCAGCGAAGTCGAAACGTTCGACAAGTTCAAACTCATACCCGCGCTCAAACAGGCCGTCTCGGAGGAAGTGCTGAAAGGCATGGTGGACATCAAGCCGACCCCTGTTCAAAGACTGGCGATACCAGCACTCTTGGGACAGGAAACAGGGAGGCGATCAAGATCCAAGGACACATCAGGGAGGCAGGAGTTTCTGCTGGCCGCCGAGACGGGCTCGGGCAAGACCCTAGCCTACCTCCTACCGGTAGTAAATGCTCTGAAGGAAGCAGAAGCAGCCGATGCTGGCCTTGCCACCTACCGTGAATACTTCGAGAAGCAGATGGCAGCGATGAAGGAGCCCGGGTACACGGGGCCTCGCGAATTCGACCCCCATCCCACTACCGCACGACCCAAAGTTATCGTGCTTGTACCAACCGCCGAGCTGGTGGACCAGGTAGGCGCTGTTGCGAAGGCCCTTTCGCACGCGGCCAAGTTCAAGGCCAGCATGTACTCGGCCAATGTATCGGCAAAGGTCATCAATATGAACATGTATTCTCCCAAGGGTATCGATCTGGTAATCGCCACCCCTCATCTGCTTGCCTCCATGGCAGATTCCGACCCATACATTCTCTCTCGAGTCAGTCACATGGTCATCGATGAGGCCGACTCCCTTTTCGATCGCAGCTTCTCCCCTGTGACGACGTCCATTCTGGACCGAGCGTTGCCCACTGTCAAGCAGCTGATCCTCTGCTCCGCTACGATCCCCAATCGTTTGGACAACCTCCTAGCCTCACAGTTCCCGGACATGACACGTATCACCACACCGAATCTCCACGCCATCCCTCGCCGGGTCCAGCTTGGCGTCATCGACGTAATGAAAGACCCATATCGCAACAACAAAGATCTAGCCTGTGCCGAGGCCATCTGGTCCATTGGCAAAGACGCCGCCCGACACGAAGGGTCCGTCCCGGGAGAAGTCGATGTGAAACGAATCCTCGTGTTTGTCAACGAGCGCGAGAAGACTCAGGAGGTCGCCGAGTACCTGGTCTCCAAGGGCATCGACGCTGTAGCCCTCCACCGAGACACCGAGGAGAGCCGGCAGTCCGAGATGTTGGAGTCTTTCACGAGTGCCGAGCCGATCAAGACCAAGGTCGATAGTTCTGCTGTGCCTGCCCCTGGGAAGGGAAGGCGGTCTTTGCCGAACACTAAAGTCATTGTGGCTACTGATCTGGCTTCGAGAGGCATCGATACTCTAGCGGTGCGACACGTCATTCTGTACGATGTCCCGCATACTACCATCGATTTCATCCACCGCCTCGGTCGTGCAGGCCGTATGGGCAGACGTGGACGGGGCATTGTACTAGTAGGCAGGGCCGACAGGCGAGATATCGTCGCTGAGGTCAGGGAGAGCATGTTCATGGGCCAGGCGCTCATATAAGGAAACTGTACGAGTCAAGAAGGGAGACATCGTCTCTTGTAGGATATGAGCTTGTACATTGTCCCTGTACTTCTACATACTTGAAGAATACCCCATAGACATAATCAAGAGCGACAAGGCTCTCTTCTCCAACTTCAGTCATCCCCGACTATCCAACACTCTTCATGTTTCTGTAAGATTGTCTAGGAAAGTTGTAGCTCTCATGGCTCAGCGCATCGTCGTTGCTAGCTCAATCAAGACGAAAGCTTGGAAGGCAGCGCGAGAGGGGGGAGGCCGGACGGACGAGTGCTCAATGTCAGGTCGATGTGACGTATTCCCCAAAGAGGCATCGACGCTTGAATAAGTTCCGAGCACACACCGACGCCCCAACTTGGCTGTTTGGATAGTTCTGGTGTCCAGGATCGTAAATAGTAGCGTCCTCTACCACCCCAGTTATCTGTACATGTAAACTCAAGGATGCCAGTAGGTGGTGACGATGATGGCACAAATCTATAAGGAATCTCCTGTTATATGTTGTGTGTATATACCTACACATATAATTACAGGTGTTCAGGATGGTAATGGTTAGTGGTTTCGCGTGTAACTACCATGCTAAAAATATATACCTAACAATAACGTTCTTATAAAAAAGTTCCCATAAAAGTCCTTATAAAAGTTCTTTTGAAACGATTCGATAAGAAAGTTCCCATCGCGTAAAGTTCTACCTATTGCCATTGGAGATATACGTGGAACCGCTAACCATTACCATCTTGGACACCTGTAGGGGTATAGAGCGCGCTACTGTTTACCATCCTGGACACTTACAGACTGAATGTCGGTGCTTACCTTAACTATCGCCACCAAAATCCCAGGAACGCATTCTACAGTAGGAGCAGGGGACGGGTCTCAATGGGGATCCTAGGCTGTCAGCCTGCTTTATCCACAAGACCCTCTGGCATCATCATCCTTCAACCACCGATTGGCGGCGGCGTCGGCGAGGCCAGAACACGTCACGAGAGAACCTGAAGCCTCTGCTTCTGCCTCAAATTGAACGAGCTCTACTACTTTTATTCTCTCTATATAATGGCCTTGCTCGCACATACTAGCCTTAATGTATTTTTAAACCCAATCACACCTTCACCCATTCCTTTCTCGAGGATCCTTCAGTAGTCGCAGTACTTCACCACAAAACACTACGGACACCACCCAGCATCGACCGCCAACATGCATATACCTAGATGACCTAGACTCATGGCTGTATACGCCTTTCTCTCGTCTGGCCTCTGCTTAGCCGCCACTCTCCCATCCCAATCCTCAGCCCTTCTCCCTCCCAGCGATCCCTTGTACCAGAGGGCTGACATCCATCAAGCCGCGCGAGTCGACGCCCGGCTCATACCATCATTTGGCTCGGACTACGCTATCACGCAGGTCACCAACACGCCGCGCATGGAATTCCTTAAGGGAATTGTCAACGTTCCAGCCGGCGAAACGTTGAATTACGAGGTTCGCTACCGCCGCAGCCAGAAGGTGATAAAATTTTCCGCCTGGCGGGAGGCCGGGGTCTTGGTCGTGCATGACATTTAAGATGACAACAAAGTGTTCGAAGGCAAGGATTACCTTCTCTGGATGTGGGAGAAGCACTTCCACCAGGATGACAGTACGAACTTGAATGTGGTCGTGTTTCATGACATCGTCGAGGTCAAGGTCATAGACGCCCTCGATGACACCTTGCAGGAGAAAAGTTTTGAACTCGACGACTCCGGTAAGCTTTTCACGATGGAGAATGGCGAGGACGGCTGGGTGTTGAATACCATGTCACATGGTGTTCATATGATAACCGGCTAAGACATGTTTACAGTTGACTTAAGGTTTGTTTAGGGGCCGAGCTCCCTGCCGAGCTACCCCTCAGGGCATCAACAGCACTAAGAATGCTGGCTTCTGATTGGTCCAAACAACAGGTGTCTGTTGTGGTTATCTGGTCACTCTGAGCGATCACATGGGATTGTATGGCTATATAACAGGGGGCTTCACCCCCATCCCAGAGGACTTCTTCTTCTTCCTTTTAATGTTAGAACACTTCAATATTCAACACTGGGAGATGATCACAAAGGGCAATACGCTGCTGGAGGACGTTCTCAAGACATGCCGTGTCAATGAAAATGAGCTTGGCAGCGCTTCAGTTGAAAAGGTGGTTGTCGTAAAACACGACCCCCCCAACCAATGGGCATACCGCGATCACTTCCGGCTTTCGATGGTTGTCTTTTTGAAGAGGTAGTCGGCATTTGGGAGACATGGTTGGCAGGGCTCAAAGACCACACTCCGCCTTGGAAGCCGACACTCAAACCAACTGTTTAGAGGATGATGCAGGGTACGTGGGAAAGACCCTGTACATAAACAACTAGCCTCTTCTACTATGTCAAAAGCTGAATATCGAATTCGATTACGCTGGTTACTCCCACAAGCATGCTGACCGAGTGAAGCACGTACAATCTACCTCTTCTCCCTGAAGCTCTTCCCCAGTCTTCCCAGCTCAGTGGACTCTGGTTCTTGAGAGGTGAATGAAGATCGAAGCCTCCAAACTCCCAAGGCCGTACAGTCAAGATGCCCTCCTGTAGACTATATATAAGGTTACACTAATCCGCAACGCCGACGCCTATGATATGGCACGGAGGCAGTTCGACCATACCGGTACATCAATCTCCGAGTCAGTCAATAACCAGTGGCGGTCGAGATCTCTATCTTCAGCCGTGTAAGCACAGGAGTCTAAATCCTCGTGCATGCTGACCTGACGAGCAGTTGAGCTAGCACAATATGTGATTGTAAACTGCCTGCCTGGTAGTCGATGTGCCCTCCTGCACTCGGCACTGTCGCCAGCGAAGCTCTACTATGCAGTGAAAGTGTCCTGGCCCGAGGTCCCTGTGAGATCAAGAGTGTCTTCGTCTTTCAATGAGGCGCAGCGCCGGAGGATACCACGCCACAGGCATGCGTCGGAGGTGGAGGCTAATAAACCACCTCACAGACCCCCTGATCACCCATACTGGTCTTGCATCCTTGGTTGCACAGCCCACGAGGGCGGTGAAGTATATAAAATGGCAAGTTGCTGCTGTCTTCAACGATGGGCGAGTACAGCTTGTTCCCGCTGAACCCAGATCAAGCATAAGTAAGCGCGCCGGTAGACCGAACCCTCTTGGTCGTTGGTTGCAGTTGACTGATCAGCCATACAGACACGAACAGGAAAAGATACCAGCAGACTCACGAGTCTGATAATGAAATCTGAAACGGGACAAGGTGTCGAAATACAGCGAAGCTTGTTGCAAGTATGCGCACCGACTCCGTCTTGCTTCAAAAGCTAATCGTCATCTGACATAAGAGTCCCTCCCGTGGTGGCTGAAGACTACACGCCGAAGGGTCGATACATCGATCTCGATGGCGTGACGACTTGTCGGTTGCCTTGGACTGTTCTTTACTGTTGATCATATACTGATTGACCTCGGGGTACAATGCAGACGTGACGGGTCCGGCCGACGCGACCAAGGCCCTCTTGTGCATCTACGACATCTTCGGCTTCTATCGGCAAACGCTCCAAGGAGCCGACATCCTCTCCGAGGGGGACACGGAGCAGAAGTACCAAGTGTTCCTCCCGGACTTCTTCGAGGGCAATCCGGCAAAGCTGGAATGGTACCCGCCAACAACCGATGAGCAGAAGGAGAGACTGGGCGCATGGTTCCAGAATGCCCTACCTCCACTCCATACGCCCAAAGTCCCCGGTCTCCTACAAGCGGCGGAGAAGACCAACAGCAACATCGGAGCTTGAAGAACCATGGGCTACTGCTGGGGAGGCAAGCTGGCCAGCTTGCTCGGCGACTACGAACCCGCCCTCTTCAAGGTGGCCGTCCGGACGTCTCCAGGCATGGTGCATGCAGGCGACGCTGCCAACGTTAGGATCCCGACGATGATGCTTGCTTCCAGGGACGAGCCGGTGGATGATGTAAAGAGGTACGAGGAGAACCTGAAGGTTGCCAAGCATGTTGAGGTCTTCGGCGACCAGATCCACGGCTTCATGAGCGCGCGCGGAGATCTCAAGGACGCGAAGGTGAAGGCCGAGTATGAGAGAGGCTACAAGCTCGCTCTGTTTCCATGACCACGTCTGAGTCACGGACTGTATTCGGGGGCTGGTAATTGGAATTTCATGACCCTCGGCTTTCATGAGCCGGCCTTCCACCTAGATAGTCTGTTCGAGTTGGCTTCAGCATCATGTTCAAGAGGTACCTAAATCTTTCACCACAGAGCACCTCGACAGATAGGCCGTTCCTGCTATGATTCAAATATGCTACAAATGCTATAAAAAAACAATAACCCTCGCACCTCCCTCCCCTATCTGATCCAAGTCCCATAAGAAAAAGCGCCCAATAAGCTCTACTTCCCAACCCAAGCCCATCCCGCCACCGCCCGCGCAGCCCTCACCGCCCGCATATCCACCGCCCGCCAAAACACGTCGCTGACCCAGAACAGTACAGCCGTGTTCACCAGCACGCCCCACGCCGCCTGCACGCAGTACTTGTGCCACCCCCTCGCCAGGATCGCGTCCGCCATCGTGGGCTGGTCCAGGTCCCGCACCAGCGCGGCCGTGTGCTCGGCGGAGCGCCAGGCGGCGAAGGCCGGGTTGAGCCACCGCACGCCGACGGTGTGGATCACGGTGCCGTGGGTGAGGTACAGGGCGTAGGAGATCTGGCCCAGGTATTGGGCCAGTGGGTGGTGAAGGGGCGTTGGAGGAGGGGTTGTGGTGGTGGAGGTGACTGCTGACGATGTTGTTGTTGAAGTGGTGGTGACTGAGGTCTCACTGAGGATGGACAGACCGAACCGTCTGGGGCCCGCATAGCTGCTTGATGGTGTGGCAAGGGCTCCTCTGCTGGTTTGACGTAGCTTTCGCTGTTGTAAGGAAGCGAGTACATCAGGGCCAGGATGAAGAGCACGGAGCCGACCGACATCCAGAACAGCTGTGTGTTTTCTTCCTTCTTGGCATAGAACGGCGGCACGAGCCTCGAGATGGTGCGGTAGCCGGGCATCTTTGGGCATCTTTCCTCCGGATAGCTCAGCAAGTGCAGGCCCGAGACAAACAAGATGATAGTCAAGATGTGGCGACACCTTCGCCTGGTCTTCGCACCGAACAGACTCAGGGGGCGCGTACAGCAGGGAATCTCGACGACGCTCTTCTCCGATACAGGCGGGAAGCGCAACGCAAGCTCCGCCAGAATCATCCCGGCGCAGAACAAGGCCTGGTCACAGTCCCCCATTTGCACCAGACAGCAGAGCGCCGCCGCCGCCGCCGCCGCCGCGAGGTGGACGCAGCGCCTCGCCCGCGCAAACGCAAGCAGCAGGACAAACACCGTGACCGAGCCCTTGAACTCGACCGGGATCGTCCACAGATGTCCGTTATAAGGCGGACTGTACAGGTTCGCGCGGCCCGTGATCGGCCGGAAGGGGTTGATCATGAACAGCATGTGCGCCAGCCAATGCCACAGCTGCTGGCCCAGCCCGTCTTTCCGCGGCGGCAGCGCAGCGCCCTTCGTCGGGTCCTTGATCAGGACGTCGAATCGCAACAGCACCAGGATGACCAGCGTCGACGCCACGACGGGCAAGTCTGGTAGCAAATTAGAGTCAGCAATTACTTCTTTTAGATATTTTGTGGAGTAAAATGGAGTCGTAATGCGTGTCTCGGGAGCATGACACAGGCTAGAAGAGGAAATTCGCGCCCTGGACATGGCCATATGCGGAAATAAGAGACTCGAAAATGTACATACACAGCCGCAAGGGCCGGCGAAACAGCGACCCGGCCAGCGACTCGAGCACGCGGCCCTCCGCTTGCTGCTGCGCCCCGCCGCGATGGTGTTGAAGGTATATCAGCGACAGCGTGCGCGCCGAGATGACGTAGCCCGAGATGACGAAGAAGAGAGTCACGCTCGCTCTACCCGAATGCAGGACCCGGACGACGGGCAGCTGCAGGAACAGGTCCTCGCTGTGCAGCGCGCCGTGGCCGTGGCGCAGAAACGGGAACCAGAGGTAGCCGAGGTGGAAGACGTAGACGACGAGGGCGGCGACGCCGCGCAGGCCGTCGAGGTACGCTGTCGGGCTTATTATGCGTGGCTGCGATGGTTCGGGGGTAGACCGAAGCTTGCGCCGGAGGAGGTTGGTGATGAAGGAGGGGAGCAGGAATATTAGCAGAGAGCCAACGCAGGTCGGCACCATGCGGAAGAGCACTATGAGCGAGAATGGGAGGCGTTTTGCTCCTATCGCCCTTAGCCAGTCGAATAACATGTCGAACCTTCGTCTGCTCTGGATATGTCGCTTCTCATCAAGCTCATCGAACTCGTGACTGTCGTCGAAGGAGACATCGTCAACAAGGGCTTGAGACTCTTCGATGTCTCCTGGCCTGCTCTCGGGGCGGCTGAACAACATTTCAGTATGGTTACTGGATGGAAGGAGAGCGAATGGAGAGGAAGTGAGAGAGGTGAAGCCCGATCGCTACGCGTATCCTCAAATACGGTGCCCCTAACACATACATTGACTACATTCTTAAACGTTGGTATTTGTGACGTGTGGCTCCGGAACAGAAGAGTCGTGGGAAACGGCAAACTTATCACTGAACCGCGTCGAAAGGGAGAGGCAGATGCCACATGACAGCAGACCCTTCCCTTGACTCCAAGGATGACGGGGGTGACTCCTTCGTCCCAATTCCACCGCCTGGGTTACGGCATTCCGGTGTAAAGCATCGTGCCTGAACCAAGTGCCGGCGTAAGCGAGCCATGAAGCCTCGTCAAGGTAAAGACGCACGATTACCCCTGAGCAATGCCATATCAGCCGCATAAACACCAACCCTCTTCCAACACGCCTACATGAAGCAAACAGCGCGCCAGAACCACCTCAAACCCGCGGACAGCCCACAAACTCCCGAAACGCACTCCCCTTCGGATTCCCATCGGCCTTGAACCTGACGCCCTCCTCGCCCAGTCTGCGCACCGTCTCCTCCACGTCGCGACAATGCATCCCCCACTCCAGCGGCCGCGAAAACATGCCGTACTGGCCGACGACGCGATGGCCCGGCACGCGGTCCCCGAGGGGATTCTTGCGCAGACAATGGCCGATCTGGCGCACGGCGCACACTGCAGCATCCATCCAGAGTTTAATTAGCCAGCTGCCACTCCGAGGACACAATCAATCCACGAACGCTCGGTAGGTTGGTCCGAGTTCGCGTTTCCGTGTCTTAAGAGCATGAAGCTAGCTCTATCGACGACAAGAACCGCCCCCTCCCTTCCCTTCTAAGGAAAGAAAACAGCAGAGAGAGAGAGAAAAAAAAACCACGAACTAAGAAAGGCGATGGATCCATTGATTTTGATAGAATGTGTATCACTTACAACCAAACCGCACCTCAGAAACATGCTCCTGCATCGCGCGGTACGTCGTGAACCGCCCCGCCGGCACCTGCGTCGTCAGCAGCAGCACCAGGCGCGCCAGGTCCGACAGGCCCAGGTGTGCGCGCAGCGCGGCGCGGACCTCGACCAGCGCCGCGTCCGGCTCGGCCGCCTCGTAGGCGTCGGCCTGCGCGGCGTAGTCCGGACGCGGCGGGTACTGGTGGTACGGGTCGACGTCGACGCGTCTGCGGTAGGTGGGCGGGTCGTCGCGCAGGGATTGTTGGCGCGCGCGCTCGACTTCGGCGAAGCAGTCTTTGAAGCCGGGGAGCGCGAAGAGGTCCGCGAAGAAGGGATCGCGCTCGCGGTCGCGGCGTGTTCTTCTGGTGTGCGGCCTACGGCGCGCGCTGCGACGCGTCGAGGGTTAGCTTCCGAGTCCATTTGCCAGCCTTCTTTGAGAATCTGGGACACAATGACTTTGGCTTTAAACAAGTAAGTGATAAAGACGTGACAAGAATATGGTCAACCAAGCGCATAATTGAATTGGCACGATTCAGACCCATGGTGCGGCAGGTGCGCGACTGCTGAGTGTAAATAATAATAATAAAAATGAAACAAACAAACAAACAAACAGGCAAGCAAGCAAGGTTTTGTTTTGGTATTGCCGGATGCACCTACCCTTCCTCAGCTCCAACCTCTTGAAAATGGAGACATCAGTGCGGTGGACGATAGGGAGAGGGTGGCCAACATGCAACTTGGTAATGAATGTATGGGAACCAGAGGGCGAACTGTCTCAATTCGGAGATAAGAGATGGAAGCCATCCTGATAAACATGGAGAAAGCCCACGAGATAGAACACGACAAACCCCTTAGGGTCCTCAAGCAGATTCTTGGGATTCCGAATACCCTACTGTTGCTGTAGGTTTGTCGGGCTCCCTGAGAAGAAATCCGGCTTGTTGGCGGCCCTTCGTAGAGCATGCCTTCAATGTTGCAGTAAACCAAGAATGGGTGATGGATCTCGCAGGGCTGTAGAAAGGAAACGGTCCTATATCAGGTTGAGCAAAGAAGAAGGTCCATTGTACAGCAAGCATATAATATCCCATCTAGCGAACGCCCGTATAATGCATAGCAAATCTCAGCTCATTGGCCGTCGCCCGTCAAGTATCCCATCCCTACCCTTTAAACCACTAGATGATCAGTACTCAAAGTCGTCATCCACCGACGGCCCCTTACTCTTCGTGACGCTCTCCTGCTTCCGGTACATCTCGGCAACCTGACGACTGCTTGTCGCCTCGTCCGGCTTCTTGTCATCTCTGATCTTGATGAAGCGGGGGAACCGCAAACTGATGCCCTTCTCACCCGCCGGGTCGACCTTCTCCTTCATTCCGGCTTTATACCGCGGACTGAGCGTCAAGTCTGCCGTCTTCACCTCCCAAACGTACTGCGGCTCGAACCAGACATCGGGCTGGTGCTGGCCGCCAGAGGAGTGTGAGTAGAATGGCTTCGGTCGATCTATCGTGATCTCCGAGAGCTGTTTGTGCAGCTCTTCCAGAACTTGCTCTGAGAACCCCGTACCGATGTTGCAGACAGTTTCATATGTCTCGGTGCCGAGGTTGTAGCAAGCGAGAAGGAAAGCTCCGTATACTGACGTACGCTTGCCTTTGCCATGGTAGGCACCCAACACGACCAGATCGAGAGAGTCTCCTACACTAGAGAGGTAATCTTTCTTGATCTGTGGCTTGTCAGTTACAGTTTCACAGTGTGACTGAGGGTATGTCTTACCTTGAGCCAGTTGCGACTCCGTTTGCTGGGTTCGTACCCGCTCTCGGACCCGTCCAACATCTTCACCATCAAACCTTCGCAGGAGGCCTTGACACTTTCGTCGAGGAAAATTTGTATCTCCTCAAGCTCTTGACCGTTCATGTGTGTTGCATAGGCAAACTCTCCCTCGACGGGGTTGAAAGCCCCATGCATGAGCTCCCGCCGCTCCCGCAGCGATTTCTCGACAAGAGCCTCGCCATTCAGGAAGAGCAGATCGAAAGCAAAGACGCAAACCTTGACTTTCACGTCCTCGACCTTGACGTCCTTCTTCTTTCTTGTCATCAACTGTTGGAAGGGCAAGACCTTCTTCTCAGTCACATCCCAAGCCACGGTCTCGCAGTCCAACACGAAGCTCTTCGTACCCTCCTTCACCCAGGTGTGAAGCTTCCCAAGAATATCGGGATACTTCTTAGACAAATCTTCCGAATTTCTAGAGAAAATGGACGCTACACCCTTTGCGGCCTCCTTCGTCGCACTAGGCAGTGCTTCGATCAAGTCTTCGGAGCGGTCCTTCGCAACATAGTGTATCTGTGCTCGCTCTCCGTCATACTTGTACTCGCAAGTAAAGGTCTGGTTCTCGAATCGGTCTAGAACCTCAGTAATCGCCTTGGTTGGCTTCGCAAGCATAGGCTTGAGAGGGACTCCTGGCCGAAGCTTGCAAGAATCTCTCAGGTTCATTATGCCGTTCCTTACCATGGCAGGAATGATGACATCCCAGCTTGGTAGCTCACTATTGGATCCGTTAGGTGAATTCCGTTTGTGGATTGGAAGCAGCCCTGCTTACCTGTAGACCGTTTTCAGCAAAGCCTCTGCCTCTTCCATCTGCGTAGTGCTCGGAATCTTCCCTTTCTGGGATGCTTCGTGGCATGCAACAGCCTGTCCTATTGAAACAAGCACTGTCCTTTCCGCCAAACCAAGTCGAAGCTTGCCTTCGAGGAAGCGAACAATATACTTGGCCTCGCTCGGGCCGCCCTTGTCCTTGTTGATGTCAATCTTGCCGCTCGAGTGTGCATCAGCAGCCGACAGTAGTTTCTTGATGAGATCGACCTTCCTGCCCTGTGCACCTCCACCACCAGTTACGGTGGCGACGTCCATCAGACCTTTGTGAACACTCCTGATGGTCAGAGGCTTAGGCTTGAACATGGTAGGTTGAGTCGATCGACTCTTGACAGCAACAAGCCCCAGGTCACCAATTTCCTTTTGATCAGCCTTGATGACTTGCAGACTACGTCCAGTAGTTTCCCCTATGGCCTTCATGATCAGAGATTCGCCGATACCAAGCTCAATACCGGCATAATCTGGCGCAAGTTTGTTGACCATCAAGAGGACAGTCGGGAGGAAGTCATCGGGAGTCAGTCGAAGTACTTGCTGGAGGAACAGAGAACAATGCTCGGTGATTATGAGTCGCTTGGTAGTGAGTTCGATCAGAGAGAAGGTTGTGCAGAGCGCCGCGTAAGGGACGGGACTTCCAGCTTTCCAGTCAGGATAAGGATCCTTATTCTTGGCCTTGAGCTTCGTCTGGAGCTTCTCCCGAGCTTTTGCAGCGACCTCAGGCTTCTCCTCCTCTTCGTCCTCTTCATTCTCGGTCTCTGATGCTGAATCAGAGGCCGTGGCTTCTTCAACCTCGTCGTCCTCCTCTTTAACCTTCGACGCCGCCTGCTTCTCGGAGGCAGAAGTTACAGCAGAAGGCTTCTTGATGGATTCTTTGACAGTAGCGGCACCTTTCTTCTTCGGCTTTACTGGCTCGGCATCGGCCATGACCTCGTCGTCATCTTCGTCATCTTCGTCATCTTCGATTCGTGTGCGGTTTCTCCTCTGTCGCTTAGTTACGGGCACCTCCTCTTCAAGATCCTCCTCAGGCTCCTCGACTTTGACTTTGGTCGATGATTCCTTCTTCTTGTCGCTCGGTGAATGACTAGGCCGCGATCGCTTCTTGGTGTCTACTTGAATCAGCCTCGGCTAAAACACCAGGTGGATTTGTGGGTAGCATTATCTAACCTTTCGAAGGTGTCTTGTTCTCTTTCGCCTCGACCTCCTTCTTCACCTTCTTTGCCGAGGGGCTTGGTTCGCTTGTGGCAGCCTCCGACTCGTCTTTCGTCTTCTTGGCCGACTTGGTACCGAACGACAACTTCGACTGCTGGGTAGGCGCGGGCTTGGAGCCATTGGGCTTGCCAAAGAACTTCCTGTAGAGCCATTGTCAGCAGGCCGTTTCATCTTGGCCCAATGGGCACCCGGAAGAGCCACCACCAACCCCAAGGTGGACTGCGACGACTTTACATACCCCAATGTAGCTTGCTTGGGCGCCATGGCGAGTAGTCTGGGGGATACACTCGTCGCGATGCGGTGGAGGCAACGAGGGGAAGCCACAGTGAGCGGTGGGACTTTGGACGGAGAGTGATTGCGACGAATACGGGAGAGATTCGGAGGACTTGGAATGCTGTGTTTGTGTATTCGGGTGGTGGTCGAAGCTACTGGCGGGCGGGCGGGCAGGAGGTAGGCAGTAGTAGGCACTGACAGATTGACTTGAGACGCGCCTGGCTGCGACCCGCGAACTGCCCGCGTAAATTGGGTGACGCGAGACCACTGTCAATTAGGCTGCCTACAGTATGTTTACCTCATACACTGTCTTCTGCACTGTACTGTATAGCTTTATCGATAAGCTCATCTCATCTCTAGGTAGGAGTTCATCAACAGCTCCATCAACTCATGACACTGCTTGTCTCTGAAGGCCTTACCACTAACCCATTTTCTATATCACAATCCTTGACTGAGCTGTAGAAGCTTAGGTACTTATGTGACAAAGCTTCACAATGAGACCATGACAGCGCTCCGCCCTCCTCTACGGCAGCTCCTCCTCAAGCTCCATCCACGTTCCAACTCTCATCCCCAGGCAGCGCTCAGCCGCCGCACCTACAGCAACAACAAGCACGGAGATGGGCCGCCAACCCCCATTGACATCGACGCCATAAGGGCCAAGATGCTCTCTCGCCCACCGCAGATCTGGCACGACGACCTGCACCCGCACAACTCGCGCCTGCTCGACACGGCGCTCGCAGACTTCCTGCCCGCCAGCTGCCAGCCCCTGCGGCTGCACCAGGAACAACTGCCTGCCGCACACCACCTGCTGTACTTCCCACTACGACTCCCCGGCTCGGCGCTGTGCCCAGACGGCACAGACCCGTATCACAAGCCCGCCGAGCCGGCCTTCGCGCGGCGCATGTGGGCTGGCGGCTCGATACGGGACCTGGACGCGCCGCTGGCGCTCGACGGGCGGCCCGCCGTCTGCGTGGAGCGCATAGCCGACGTCAGTGCCCGGGGCGCGCCCGGCGCCGAGAAGATCTTCGTCGAGGTCAGCCGCGAGTACGTGGACCGCGAGGGGCTCTCGACTGCAGCGGGGGTTGAGCACGGGACGGTGCCGACGGGCGTCGGTATCAGCGAGAGGAGGACGCTCGTGTTCATGCGGATGATGGACAAGGAGGCGAGAAAGCAGGCGCTTGCGACGTCGCTCAAAGGGAGCGGGAAAGCTCTCAAGGGTGCGTCGTAATTCCATTCTCACTTACCTACCCCTTTCCCAATCCTTTCCCAATCCTCCACCTATCTAACCCATTCGCCTTAACTCACACCCTCACACCCTCGCAGTCCCCATCGCCCCGGACTTCTCAGTAACTCTCACGCCAACGCCGACGCTGCTCTTCCACTACAGCGCGCTGACCTACAACGCGCACGCCATCCACCTGGACCGCGCGTACTGCCGCGAGGAGGAGGGCCACAGGGACCTGCTGGTGCACGGGCCGCTGGCACTAACGCTCATGCTCTCGGTGCTGCGCTCGCGTCTCGCCTCGGGGAACAACAGCGAGAGCATCCACGGTATCGACTACCGCAACTTCGCGCCGCTGTACGTGAACGAGCCCCTGCGAGTGTGCGTTGCGCTGAAGGGGGGTAAGCCGAGGGAGACGGAGAACGAAGAGGGGAAGAGCAACGGAACGGCAAAAAAGCAGGGAGGTATAGAACAAGACGGTGGTGCCGGTGAGAAACCGAAGCAGCTGATTAGGAGGAAGTGGGATGTCTGGGTCGAGAACAAGGACGGCGGGCTGAGCGTCAGGGGCACGGCCGAGAGCCGTGGGGTGCCTGGCCATGGCGACTGATTGCAAGGGCGAACGCGATTCGGCCTACATTCGCATACGATCTCGATATGGGGATGTTTCGCCGCTCACTGGTGAGTTGGGCAGAGACCTGACAACGCCGGAGAAACCAGGGTTATGCGATCAGAAATGTCGCACATGAGTGTTCGTCATCCAGCCCCCATTTGGCAAAATAACCCGTCACCTACATAATCCCCCCCCCACGTAAGATCTTCGCCTACCCCCATGTAGTGGACGAACAGTTCGTGGCTGCCGCGCTGTGTAAATATAAATGTAGGTACACTGCCAAATTCCCTTGCGGCAGATGATATATAGGCTTGTTAGGGCCTAGTTATAGCAAGCACCCTCAGATGCGTTTGCCATATTGAACAATGCTTCCGTACGCTGAGAGTAAAGTATTACTGAAAGATGTCACAAGTCCGATTTAGGAGATAATGAGTCATCACAAAAGCGAGCAAGTTCTTGTGATGTATGCTCTCCAATGTATTTGGTATCAAGTTCCCGTTCTGCCCAATGTGTATTACACTTGACCCATCGTCCAGATCAATGCCGTGTCCAGTTCATCGGAGAGGCCCAAACGCCGGAAGGTCATCTATCTTTACATGAAGCGTAGAATACGGAGTCGCACTCCTTTCATCGTCATCAGTCATCACACATAGCCAATATCTGGCTGCTTTCCTCAGCAAGGTGAAGCAAATGGACGCCATTTCCACATTCCCATACTCCATCAAGTGCCAGCGTATGTGCCGGCAGCCGTGCAAGAGCTGACTTTCGTAGCGAGATAGTCCAGCCTCGAACTGAAATCGCTAGCCGGCATGGAAACAAGCTTGTCGTGGCGAGGAGAGGAGTAGCTGGCAATATCATCTCTCTAGACGCGGTTTCTCCGAGCCAGGAGACGCAATCCCGACTCTGTACCGAAATGACCTGGGGACATGCGACAATTCGTTGCCTCTCTAACTTAGACACTCGAGTCAGGCTCAATAGCCTCCCAGGATCGGTGTCGCAGGTCGAAATGTAGCGCACCCCAGATCGGCATTCCAGACGGGAAAGTGCCTTGGAGATTACTCTCAGAAGCCAGCATCGGGAGGTACACGTTATAGATGTAGTGTAAGCTCGAATCAACATCCGAAAAGCCATCGGCAATTTGTTGACTGAGCCAGCCGCCGCATCGCTTGGTGACCATGCGGTTCCAAGCGGATGTGAAGTGAGGCAGGTCGACTTCTTAGGTGATTGGAGTCAAGAACGGACTCAACATGAGATCGTCTGCGCTGGGTCGCAGGTTGTGGTCGATCTCAAAGGTCTGGGTCAAGAACTCCACTGCCTCGGGGCTGGCACTGTCAGGGATGGTAGGGGCGGCTTTGCCACCACCAATCTTGAAAATAGCCTGCAGCTGGCTGCAGTCCGGGAAAGGGTGAGTTCCCGTCATCATCTCGACGACCAAGCAACCAAGAGACCAGATATCCGCCTTGCGCGTGTACGAGGTCTGCTTGACCACTTCTGGCGCCATCCAGAATACCGATCCTTGGAGAGAAGGCCGATGCTTGTTGTTATTAGCGCCATTAAGGATGTTAGTGGCTTCAAGCTTCTTGCTGATTCCAAAATCGGATATCTTGATTGTACCCTTGTTGTCAACGAGGATATTGGCACCCTTGATATCGCGGTGAATGATATCCCGGTTGTGCAGATATGAGAGACCCTGCAGAATCTGTCGGACGAAGCTGCGAACCAGGGGTTCGGGAAGAGCACCATACGAGTTGAGCATCGTCTGAACTGAGCCGCCGGGGACGTACTCGAGGAAAATGTTAAGGTACTCCGCCGACGAGCTGCAGCCAAGGTACTGGACGATGTTTGCGTGTCGCAGGTCTCGGAGGAGTGTGATCTCACGCTTGAGAGCTTCAATCATGCTCTTCTTGCGAGAGTCGTTCTGGCCGTTGGAGCCAGGCGACGGCGCTTCAACTTGCTTGACAGCAAGAAGTTCACCAGTGACGGCATGCAAAGCCAGGTACACCGAGCCGAATGAACCTTGTCCAATCAATGCGCCCTTCATCCACTTGTTATCATCCCAGGACTCGCCCGCGAGGAAGCTCTGCAACTCCTCGTCGGCATCTTCACCGTCCTCGTTCAAAGCCTGGCTCAGCTCCTTCATGGAGCCAGACCCTTGTGTACTAGTCTCATCGAAGTAACTATGCCGTATGACGCGGCCATCAGGATCCGTGATACTAACCGGATTGCTGTCAGATCCACTGTCGGCGAAGGAGACGTATGATTTGCGGTTGGGTTCAATGGGAGATTCCTCTTGGAGAGTATCGAGAACTGACGAGGCTACCGAGTCTCGGTATGCGTGCGTCATGCGGCTCTGGGCATCACGCGGCTTGATCTTGGCAACTTGGCCATTGTTCAGCCAGCTGTCGGCAATGGTCGGGATGGGTGGTGCATCTTGAACACTCGAGGCGAAGCTCAAGTTGCTTGCAACACTGAGGCGGCTGTTAACCTTGCTCAGACGCGTCGACCTTCGCATCGATAGTCGGGCAGTTCGATCGATATCCTCTCTAGGGTGATCAGGGAAGTATGAAGTGAGATCCGACGCGATCAACTCGCTAGGTGGTCTCAGTCCACCAAACTGCCTCAATAGACCCTTGCGTCTAGGACCGGCCTTAGCTTCACTAGGCGCAGGGCGCTCGAGGTCGTGGGCAGCGTTGCGTAGGTTTCTCTCTCTGTCTTGGAAGGAGATTGGCGAAAGCGGCTGCTGAAGGCCTTCGTTCCAGCTCTCGCCCAACAGCTTCTGTACCTTTAGCTGGCTTCTCTTGTCCTGAACGTTTTCAAGGGCACGAGCATGGTTTTGCTGCGCTTCCTCCAGACCAATGGCGGCGGCTCGCTGCAGTTCTGAATCTCCCGGCTCCCCAGAAGGCACTCTCCGGAGTATTAGCCTATTTCTCTCTGGGCGCTTCTGATCCTTTATGATGCGCCACAACTCGGTATCGCCGAGACGACGGCATTGTTGCGGGTCGGGTTCGACACCGGCCAATACCCAAAAGCAATAGTTGCGATCGTGATCTTCCCTCAGAGCGAACTTTCGCAAAGTTACCCGCATGACTTCCTCGCACGTGTTGCAGTCAGCGACCTTGACGACCTTCGTGGTACCGCCGGTAGAGATAACGCGAATGAATCCTTGGTCCTGTGGGAGGGCTGCCATCAGCGAACCGTCCTGACTTGAATTGTTCCTCGTATGGGTCATTACCAGACGATTAGACGAAAGTGTCTCGTGGGGAGAACCAGGTCTTCTGCTGCCAGAGTTCGGGGCCGCATTGCTCATGTATTGCTGTCCCTGGGGATAGCGGTGTTGCCTAGCGGTTCGCATGTCGGAGCTGTGAAGGGGTGAGTTGGGTCGCGACGCAGGCTTTGTTGCCTCAAGCATGGGGTTCATGGCGAAACTCGACATGTCAATCTGTCTGGAGTATCTCTTGTTCGACGGAGGAGTAGGCATGGCCCGATTGGCAGAGTTGGGTGGCCTCGGTGATCCGGTCGAGGGCGTGTACTGGGTGTCGAGCAGCCCACCGAAGGAATCCTGAAATAAGCTGATTAGATTTACATGCGCAGATTAGCTCTTCGGATGTGATAACACTCACCCGGTTGCGCTTCTTCTGGTTGGCGTACGCCTTCGTTCGTAGCTTCTTAATGCCAAGGAACAGCCGCACGCGGTCACCGACCTTATCGATGCCCATCTCCTTGAGGACTTCCTTGTCCATCTCCAGCAGGTTTTCGCCGTTAATGCTGTTCTTTCGGAACAGCTTTTCGTACTCGCCACACTTGACACTTCGCAGATACTCGCAGACTTGGTCCTCGGTCCAATTCTTAACCGCATCAGGGCCATCGATATCGGAGAAGTCAGACTCGGTCGGACTGGCGAAGGGTTGGCCCGAAGCCGGGGCGGCAAGAGCTCTTCTCGACGACTGCATGTTGGACGAAGGTGTGCTCGAGACGAGGGTGGCGCCGGAAGAGGCCAGCGAAGCCGGGAAAGACGACTTCGAAGCTAGCATCGCCATTGTGAAAGCTGATCGGGGAGAGTTGGTGTCAAGTCGACATGAAAAATGACGAGGGTATGGGATCGTTTTGTTTGTTGCCAGCGGAGGTGACGATAGAGCGGGTGCTCTTTATTACCGACAGTGTGGTTGGTGGCAGGGTCCTCTCCCAGTCAGCCTTTCGTGGCGGCGCTAGACGATACGCGTTCCGGAGCCAGGCGCAATGGCTTAAAATAAAAAGGCGACGATGCTCGATCAGTCGACTTGCCGTCCGACTTGATTTGAGCTTCGTAGGAACGGGCTCTGGTGATTTCAAGTATGGCTGGCCACGTAGACCAAGTGGGTTAGGTCGACAAAGCGAAGTCGAGGAGTCGGGTAGTGTGATGCTATATCACCCTCGGACTCCAAATTCCCAATGTCAGCCGACAGATGCTCGTCTACGGTCTGATGGCAGCGTTGCAGTCGATTGTCCCTTCTGTCGTCTATCCGAGCGAGGGAGTGGAAACAAGAGAAGAAAGCAACGGCATTGACGAGGAAGATGGGGAAAATGAACGTAAACAAGGAGCGGGTTGGAGGTATGAAAGGAGGTGTTGGTACCGTGTGAGGCTGCGCTCCAGCTGCATTGGGTTCAATGTTGGTGAAGAAGCGGGCGGGCGGGTGGATGGGTGGATGGATGGATGCAGGTCTGTACGTCGAACGACTGGAGACGTGAGAGATCGGCTCGGCGCCGGGATGGATATCTCTTCAGCTGGCAGGCCGCAGTGCTGGACAGTGGATGGAGGCTGTAAAGCCTGTAAGTACTAATGAGTGGGTACCTAACTGCGCTGAAGTCTGAACCGCCACTACACCCCCAATCCCAATTGCACTGTTCCGTTACCAACAATCGTGGACATCGGTGGATGGATGGAGATTTCGGGGGCTATTCCCAGGGGTCCTCTGTAGTGGTTGCAATGCTGATGGGGTGGCTTCACTGCTGACATCTGGACGGACCCCCGGCCGTCTTCCTCTTGATGTTTTGGCGACTTTCTCATTGGCTCCTGATCCCAGTCTTCAGCATCGCGGCGGCAGCTGGTGTGAACAGTGAAACTCGGCCGCCAGGGGGGCCATCACCACCATCAACACTTCCGAGGTACCTATTGGAGTCAAGTGCCCTTGGGATATGTAAATAAAAGGATAATATATCTAACCAACAGCGTCCTTTCTTCGCAACAGACCGAACTGACCGAGAGTGGGAACATGTGAAGATCTTAGGCGTTGCAACTTGCCACGACGATCACTGAAAATCCACTGAATCATCGCTGCAACTCTCTTCAGATAGAACCGGGAAAACTCGCCGTGGTTCACGGTCTCTGTTCTACATAAGATATGGACATACGGGCCGAGCTGTGTTGCAGTCTGACCAAATTAGCAGCTCTCTTATAGCCCGTAATTCGGCGCGCGCCTCCGCTTCTGGATGACTTTGTTAATATTCCCATAAACCCCGTCTGGTAAGACGGACTCTGGCTTTGGAGACTGGCACAGGAGTCTACGAGTGATTGCCTATGAGAGGCTGTTCGTATTGTTGCTTGCTGTTGCTTGCTGTTGATAGGCCGCCGCCGATCCTTGGCTCACCGATTCATCCACCCCCTTTAAATCAAAGGCAGTCTATTTCATGCCGTTGCTGGAGCTGCTGGAGCCCGTTGACGAAACTATTGCTATTCTTGTTGGCATCAGCTCCGTTTTAGCTTCCATCTGATGAAATGAGAGGCGACTAGTCAATGTCTCTCTGACATGTTCCGTAACGTCTGCACCGCAGCAGGCAGAAACAGCGCTCTCATCAATGCCATCCATCCATCCACGCCCAGAATTGCATTTACGGTAAATAATAAATATCATCACCGACAAAACGTCAGATTGATTGGGCTTCGCATCATTCCGATTCGACCCCAGCGAGTCATCCCCTAGTGTGGAGATGGCGCAAGGGGAGGCGTCAGGGGTGCAGCCGACAACTTACAAGGGGGGCCAGGCAGCTGCCAGGGTCGGGGCCGCCATGTCCAACTTGAAACCCGCCTTGTTTCGACCAATTCGGATGGCTAGGACCAGACTGCCATGTCACCATTCACCAGTCACCATTGGCATCGAGGCGGTAAGCACTCAAGTGATCAACCCGGCTAATAGGTAACAATACCGTGTAGCAAACACATGAAGTTATTATGAGGTGGTAATTCCACATCGTGTATCCTTCGTGTCGGTTAAGCAACTCCGACCGGCGACTCCGACCGGCGACAGCTGTCCAAGCTCCAGATGGAGGTGGAGGTCAGATGCTACATGTAGGTACCTACCTATATACCTCCCCCATGAACCCTGCCATCCTGCGAACCACAGCCGCCTGCCGCCTCGCCTGCCTGCGGGTTACCATCGCGAACTCGCCAAAGCGTCATCGACGCACATCGTTATTAAACGCTCACCCTCGTTCGGGTTCCTGGGGATTCGGGGTCGTCATGACGAAGCGCCATTGCAGATCTATCAATGTGATGAGAGCATGCATGCATGCATGACAGATTGACTACACCCAAGATTTCGAGCGGCGTCTTCTTTGCCCGCTTCGGGAGCTCATCATGCGGAGCGCGTGTGAGCTGGTTGCGGTTACAACTTTTACAACGGTCTGACCAACGTTGCTAGCGATGGCAGTTGGTGATTCGCCAGCCTTATTGCTCCCAATCACATATGTGCCGACGCTCTGGACTGATCACCGTCAAGGACTCAAGGCGCGACGCACGATCGTCAGCCCATCGTACGCGGCGCCCGGACTTCCTTATCGCTTGATGAGGCTTCCGTGGGATCATTCTCAGATATCAGTCAGCCCATTGGCAGCAGCCCAGCCGTCCAGGGGACCAGCCAGCCGGGCTTTTACATCTCGAAGCCCGATGGGGACCACATGGGTTGGCCTACTAGCAAACTGCATTCATCAGGGTTGATCAAAGGATTCATATTCTCAGATGCGTCTCGAGTAAGATGAGCATCGTATCATGCTGCCACCCGAGCATCTCGCAGCTACAGGCACTGAGCTCTCGCTCTGGCAGGGTGGGACAATGTGGTAAGCAATCTATTTGAGCTGTATGTTGTGCGAGCGGGCGGTCAGGTATCCCTTCGAAATTTTAATGATGCTCGCTCAACCATAACAGCCACACCGCCCCGGGGCTCTAAGCCACTCTCACCGATAAGTTACCAAAAGTCGTGCAATACTACTGAAAGGATTCTTTCTCCTGCGCAATGAACAGCAAACCAGACTCGCCACACTCATCATCCCACCCGTGTTCGTAGCAGGTGTTCTTACTACGATTGCGTAGTTGTTGAAACATGCTCGGACTCTTGGAAGGGCAGAATCCTCCTCTCGAGGCTGCGCCTTTGATGAAGTCGGGGCGAAGGATTGCCAACAACGTGTCGAGGCATTCCTGCTCTGTTAGTCTGTATTACCCGATGCATCAAGACTGCCTCCCGATTCCTGTTCCTGGTTTCTGAGCAGACGCTAGAGTGAGCTGCCAGTGAGCTGCCTCATGCGAACGTGTTGGTGTTGGGGCCAGACGTCGGTAGTCCCGGTAGTCCGTCCAACCAAGCCTTTATTTAGAAACGATGTCAAACTCAAAGGACGAACCCAGCAGCCACGCCTAGGATCGCGGCAACAAGGTTGGAGGTTAGACGCCGCGGACCTTGAAACAAAAGAGAGGTCGAAGCACGAGGCACATAGAGGTCTGGCCACCGTCGACATGCCCGACGCCACGTGTGATGAATATAATGATGGCTATTATCAAGCATGGTGCCCCATGCGCTGGTCTTCCCGAGCCAGCACATCGTCGCACGTGGATACAGCTTCAGATTCAGGCCAGATGCAGGAAGCTGAACTCCTGCAACTAGATTAAACTGTGATTCCTTCCTTCGTCAGACCGGGGATGCCTTCACTTGAGATGGGGTAGCAGCCGGAGAATCCCCGCAAGATCCGATCACTAGATCGCGGGCCGCCCGGTTCATTATTATTATCAACATCAATGATGATCCGCCCAGCTGGGGTAATTACCTATTTATACCCACCTGTGAGATTCTAGAAGGGTCACAAGCCTTGGGGGTGTGAGCGGTCGCTGCAAATGTTGTTGTCATTCTCAAGTATGCTCGGCAGGGCTAATCTACAGCGAAATACCATACTGCACCATGCCAGGGTGGATCCACTGTTCCCTTGACAGCCCCCTAGTGGGTACTGCACCTAAGGGCACCATATCTGGGATCCAACATCTGACACTACCGTAGGTACTCAACCTTCCATGGAACTTGAATGCAACTCAATTGTGATTCACCAAGGTGTTTCTGCTTGTGCAAGTTTGCGTCACATGATTGAAGATGCGGGTATGTCCACTAAGAAGGTTGTTAGAGATGCATAGGAGAAGGTATTGATATCGCGCAAGGGGTATTGACTGGATGGAATGGATTCATCAATTCCACCACGATGGCGCTGAATTATTACTTACACAAGACCCCATAGGCAGGGTTGCAAAAAATACGAATCGTATTCATACTTAGTACCGTATCGTATCGTATCGTATGAGATTTTGATACTATATAGTATACTGTATAGTATTATCAATTTGTTAATGAATTTTTATTCATATCTTAGACAACTTTTTTTTTTACTTGTTAGATGTTGGATCCTAGATATGGTGCCCTTAGGTGCAGTACCCACTAGGGGGCTGTCAAGGGAACAGTGGATCCACCCTAGCATGGTGCAGTATGGTATTTTGCTGTAGATTAGCCCTGCCGAGCATACTTGAGAATGACAACAATATTTGCAGCGACCGCTCACACCCCCAAGGCTTGTGACCCTTCTAGAATCTCACATTACTTTATTAAATCATTTTTAAAACATAGTTTTATTAACCATTCACGTATAAATATGCAGGGTTTTGACATATTTTATTTGGGGATTTTAATATAAATAACTTAAAAGCTATAAATATATTTTCTATTAAATATAAAAAGTAGGTTTAAATAATAGCATACTATTATTATATTATGATGAATTATAAATAAATAAGCTTTCAAATTATCAATTATATAACTACTTATACTAATATTCAATTATAATGTTATTGTTGGAACAGGCTTGAACGATCAACCATAATACTCGAGTATGGGGTCAAGGTTATGATGTTGCTGATGGTTGGATTGGGAGGTCTAGCTAGACCTGAAGGTCTGGCTAAGTAACCTCGCAATCCGGTATCTAATCTCTTATCTAATCATATATGTGGGTCTTGGTATAGATGGTTTGCAGGCTGGAATTGTATAGATCCAACAGTTATGAAGTATTAATTTATTACGTATTTACAATAAAACGTTATTAATATTATTCAATAATAATTATATATTTGTGACGGCCTGCACAGACCTTTCCACATAACAAGCGGATACTTCCTAATAGGGGAAGGATCTGACCAGAGGATCCCCTTGAAGGGGCAACCTCCCACTGTACCTATCTCTCTCTCTCTCTCTTCCTTTCCTCTCTAGTCTTGATATTCTCATTAATAGAGTAATAGCTGCTTGCTGCCGGCCATGTCTCAGCTCCTCAGTACGCTCGCCGTGACAATATTTGTTTTAATTATTTACGAATTTTCTTTAAATATCGATGTATAATTATAAATTATAATATTTATACGTAATATTTATATATATTTTAATAAATATTAAGATATCAAAATATTAATACTTAATAAAATAAAAATAATACCTTAAATCGCTTGAATACGTCATTGTTGAATTTTTTCCTTTATTAAAAAATATTTAACTTATATTAAGAAGCCTCATTTTAGTACCCCTGTTCCATACTATCGTATACGATAGTATGGGTTCGTGTTGTATCGTATGACCCAAATACGATACTAAGTATCGTATTTTGCAACCCTGCCCATGGGATTCTCTGGCTATCATTTGCAGTGGAGTTGCTCGTCGAAAGACTGAAGAGACTGGATTACAGCTGGAGATCTGCCACCGACGCACCGTCCGCGGCTATGACGTTATTAGACGTTGTTAGTACGTCCAGTGAAATTACTGACCCCTTTTACTGTTTACTAGTACACTGATGGTCAGGGGAAGGTGGAAGCTCCCGTCTTGACTGCTTTCAATTGAGCCGCATCAGGGGGCCTGGGGGCGTAGAGTTTCCGGAGCACACAGCATGAAATGACTGTTCTAGGTCAGGATAGGGATGATGCAGAGAGGAAACAACAGCAATGGGTTTCAATTGACAATATCATATTCTCGATATCCCCATGGGCCATACGAAAAGGAGCACTATACCGCCGCGCTCTAATTGGACCATTGCTGTGGTCAAAACCGGTTCACCGTTCTAGCCTCTGTTAGACCCGGGTGCAGCAGATCTTAAGCGGGGCGCCTGTCAATCTGTCTGTCTCTAGACTCTCGCACATGCAGATGTGAGCGAGAGGCTTTTCTACAGCAATACGCAACGCCTCCGATAGCTTATCGCGAACTTCTCTGTCTGCTCTCCCGTTCTGTTGTTCATCTATCTGGCAGCCTTCTTGGTCCGAGGGTTGAACGGCGCAACTCATGGCAAGGTCTGGCACCCACGGCACGAAACGTCATTGATGCCTCATCGCTGCCGACAGCCAGGTCGCATCACCACCATCACCACGCGTTGCTTCATCGGCCGTCTCGGACGAGGTGGTCCAACGCTCGCAGAAGCTGGCTAACTCCAAACCACCGCTCATTGCGGGAGAGCTGAAGGCTAGGGGCCATGATTTATAATCCTCCGCGTTCTGCTTGAGACTGGTGCCAAGTCTTGTCTTGACATGGAGCCCCAAAATGCTGCCCAGTCGATATACGAGGGGATGGACCCCCAAAAATCCCAGAGACGCGCCTCCTTCTCGCCAATTAAGGCCATACGGTCGCTTAGCATCAGCTCTCAGATGTCTCAACTGTCCACCACCTCAACCTCGGAGACTGAGCTTTCGTCCGGTGGTAGCACCCGGAAAAGGAAGCTGTTGAAAACCCGGCCTTCTGATCTCTTCAGGAAAGACGACTTGATGCGCAGGCCTTCCAAAGCATCGACTGTGGACACTGCGGATTACGAGTCCATATCAACCAGGCCAACATCGCCATCGCTTACCGGTAGCCAGGGCACCAGTATCTCGGGTGACTTCACAACCCCTATCAAGTTTGGCGCGCTTCAGCCGGAAACCACCCTTCTCAAGACGAAGAAGGAGTTTCTCGTGCTCACGCCGATAGCCCTGCTCAGGTTCAAGACCCGCATTGCCGCTGCCGAACAATTTCCGCAGATTTCACCAACCGACAACTTCGCCGGAGGCCTTTCCCCTATCGAGTCCCAGGGGTCTTCCAGAGGATTCGGGATCGGTGCTGAATCTTGCGTCCCACTGGAGAAAGTGGTATCGGCTTTTAAGGATGAAGGAACCCGCCCCTCTTTTGGGATAGAGGTCTGGTGGAGAAGCTCTGATGCGGCATCCACGTTTGCCTGCGTCCAGCTTGATTTCAGTCTACCAAGAGAGCGGGACGACTGGTTGAAAGCGATCCAGCGCGCGGTCAAGTCAAGGGGCAGAGCTTTCATGGATGATCGCACGCCGGCCGATATTGAACTCGACTTCAGATTAATACTCCAGGCCAAGCACAGAGACCAGAAAGATGCCCAGATCGATATTTACCCTGTCGTACCTCGGCGTCCATATACCAGGCTCGGCGGTAGCTCGGGCGAGGTCAGGAAGAATTGGCGGGACGCATCGTCTTTTTATCTGGCTTTCACCAAGAATTCCCTGCTGCTCGCCCAGTTCTCGAAATCCTCCACGGGCCAGAAAGTCAACCCCAGTCTGGTTCAGTTCGGATTGGTAACTCTGTCTAGGGTCAATACGAACATGAACGACGACAGGTTCGATCTCATTTTCCGGTAAGTGTCTCTATGGACCATACACTATTCAATCATGACGATATTGTCCCTGGTATTTCAACATGGGACTTGTATACTGGCGACCTCGATCTAACACAACCTAGCCTACCGTTAGACCAGCCGACGAAGGTCGAGTTATCCACTCGATATTATCGGTCCATTCTATCGAAGTTGTTCAAGGCAGATACGTACTTGAAGCCCGCTTGGCCTCTCTGGACAAGGCGTGAGGTTTTCTTAGTCGACGGAGAAGCACAGCAGATCCCGTTACCCAACGGCGAGGATTATGGTGGGTTCAAAACGACCTTGGAAGCGTTCCTTGAAGGTTATCATTGCCCACCCGTCGACTGGACCGTGAAATGGAAGAACGTGCGATATGCACCTGAATTTCGCCTTCTGCCGCCAACGCAACGTTCCCAGTACACAGCCCATCAGCTTCTTGCTGTCTTCCGCGCACTGCGTTTCAATGACTACTTCAAGTCTTTGTCATTCTGCGACGTCGGCTTCTCCAATCTCTCCAATGTCTTCGACAATACTAGACGTCTGGAGTCTACCATTTGGCTTTCTCGAACAGGTTCGTGGAACCAAAGCTCTAACTTATTAGTCACCTGGTCATCCAAGGCTGACACATGTGCAGGCAAACGCAGCCTAACTCGAGGCGAGTTCGATCTGTTGGAGGGTTCTTCAGTCTTGTTCCAAGAGCTCGTTTCACTTCTTCTCGGATCTGAGGCGGTGAAGCACATCGATTTAAGCAATGTGCTCAACAGAGCACGTGTAGCTCCGGCACCGGGAATATCGGATTCACCTCCACCATCAAACAATGGAATCTGCGAGATCGTGCCACCTGTTGTCCTGCTTTGGAAATCGCTGCAAACTCGATGCGTGTCAGTACGTCTAAGTGGCAACGCTTTGAGTGAAGCTGACATTATCGAAATTGGTGAGTTTATTGACAATCCCAGTATGACCGTTTGCAGTGGCATGACCTAACAGGATGCAGGTCGAGCTTTCCAAAATCGGCCAAGTTTTATCAAGTCACTGGACGTTTCGCGGTGCGACCTGTGCGAGAGCGCGCTTGTCTATTTTTGGGAGGGCCTGTACGAACAACGATCAAGTATCGAAGTTCTCGATACGTCTCACAACCCGGGTTTCGTGGAAGCGACGAGGGTATCTTATGTCCTCAATGGGGCCAGAAGAGTAAAACGTTTGAACCTTGCGCACTCTATCAAGGGGAACCTCAACGAGCCCCTTTTTCGTCCATGGAGCAGCACGGGTTCATTTGCGCCATGGCGATTGGAGGAGCTAGACCTCTCCGGCTGGAAGGTAAGATAGCAAGCTAAATTTTCTCAGAGACCCTGCTAACAGTTGCTCGAAGATCAATTTCGACACTCTGTGCGGAATCATGAAATATCTCGAGCTCGATGAGTCCTACGGTCTGCGTCGTTTGACGCTAAACAACTGCGGGCTCTCTGGAGAAATGGCAACTGGCATCCTGTGCAGGGTTGGCGGGGGCCGTGACATAAATCTACAGCTTAGCGAAAATCACCTGGAAGTCGGGTCAACTGACTGGATTGATCTCATTCATGGAAACGAAGCTCCCAGAATGCTTCATATGGATATGATCCAGTTTCAACACGATTCGAACTTCAACCGGCTATTGACGGCGCTTTCTCATAACCAAACTATTGAGTTCTTGAGCATGGTTGGGACCGGACCACCAGCCAGGGCCGGTTCGAAAACATCTGAGCTCCTCTCGACCTTCTTCGAGACAAACGACACCTTGAAGTTCCTTGATCTGTCTGGTTATAGTGGGAAATTGGAAGACGGTCACCTTGGCTGGGGTCTATCTGGAGCGTTGGGCGGCCTGAAACAGAACAAGTCACTCCTCCAACTTCGAATACAGAACCACGATATTGGTGCGGCCGAGGATGTGTCGGAACTGTGTCGGGTACTTGCTGCCAACAGAGGGCTAGCAATGTTTGACTGCCGGAACAATAATTTCGACCACCACCAATTCGCGAAGCTCGTCAATGCGCTGAGTTTCAATCATCAGCTCATATCTTTCCCCATATCCGGGGCGGATCGCGACTATGCAATCCAGAAGGAAAGGCGCATTTTCATGCAACACCAGGATCCGACTGGCAAGTCACAGGCAAAGGGGTCCAAGACTTTGGAGAGTCGATTGGACGGCCTGTTGTCCTGGCTCAGAGATCACTGGGATACCGAGGCCAAGAAGGCGCAGGCTATACTACACAGAAACCGGGAGGACCCGATGAATCAGCTTCTCGAACTCGAGAGCGAATACATCGATGCTTGGGACGATGATCTTCCCTGCTGGCTCAAACCAACGCCGGGGACTAACCAGAAGGGCAAAGGCAAAGCTGTGCGTTCACACTCTGGATCGCTGGACGACGAATCATCCATAACACCAACAAACCTGAATCCAGCACCTAGAGTATTGGGTATATCCATCCCGAACCGGAAGACCTACATGATGGAAGAAGCATCGTCCGGCTCGGAATCAGGCCCCTCCAGTCGGAGCGCAACACCCCCCGACCCCGGCTCTCCTCCGCCTAGAGGCCAAAGGGTGGCAGCACCAGCGCCTCGTCGCGCTCCTCTAGATTTAGATGACTAGAAATAGTCCCATTTTAAATAGAAAGGTTAATGGGGTGCACCTGGTTTGGTGCACCGTGCTAGTTAGTGCTTGGGTGTTCTTTTAGACTAGGTAGCGAAGGCATGATCATGGCGTCCTAGATATTCCCCTTTGTTTTTGTACGCGGGATACCCACTAAGCAACAAGGGCAGGCTTTGGATTTACGAAATACATTTTGATATACCTACCTACCTACCTGATTTGCACTTCCGTGCTTTAGTCACCCGGTACACCACAAGTGACAGTAGGATTTCGGTTGGTCATACATACCCACCAAGACGTGATCCCGCGGACGTCAGCAAGGAGCGATTGAAAGAGCATCGTCACGGGCTAGTTAGTTAGTCCTCTCAACATGCCACCATTCTCGTGTGCCAAGTGATGATGGGATGGACTGCAGTGAGACACATTCAGCCCGGTTCGGCCATACGGGAACGAGGCGTTCTAACACATTTACATCCATCTTTCTTTCTGCCTCTCTGCCGAGTCCAAAATGGCCTCCGGGGCTGTCGCTCGCGCGCATCAATCATATTTCAGTTGAATAGGTAGATTTGGAGCCCATGGGATTGAGTGTGTCTTGTAGCTTCTCTCGCGTACGGCCCGGTGATGGTTTATTGTCTTACTTAGTGCCTGCGTGCCTGCCTGCCTGCCTGCCTGGTACATAAGCCGCCAGTGCTCACCGGTGAGCGGTCGTGTCAGTGATGTACACTTGTGAAGAATACTTGTCCAGAAAGCTTAGGTACATGTTGCCATGTGCTCGGGCACTTGTAGCAGTCACTAGATCACACGGAAAAGATCAAGTCAGGGTGGGCGTGTGCTGGGTGCAATGTGGTGAGTTAATATATCTCATCTGTATTGTTCCGTCTTATCCAACTTCTACTACAAACATCGTTAATCCTACAACAATATGGCAGACGTCCATCGTCTCAGCCACATGCCATCCAGGGCGCTACCCGCACAGACATATCCAAGCGATTATCACAAAAAGCAGTATAGTGCTCAGGTCGCAAACCCCAAGCGTAGCGTTGGACCTTGCTCTATCTAGCCCAATGTTGTACATAATCCGAACACCGGCCCCCGGTATGGCTATCCATCTACCGGGCCAAGTCCCTTTCCAAAAAAGCACGGGTATAGTGGACATGTCTTCGCAGCTCGCAAACCGCTACGCGCCACATGCCATGCAGTGTATGTGATGAGTTGAAATGTGTCAAAAGCCGCCAACTCCGCATATAGCCAGACCCTGGGCCCAGTAGTGTCGAAAGGGGTGAAAGGGAAACCTATGGTCGCCCATTGTTTATGTATCCCAGTCTATATATCTCGTGGTGGCGTAAAAGAGTACAAAGTGATGAAATGCTAATGGCGAGTCGCCAATAAGAAGGACCTATATGTCCTTGGGGCGGATGATATCGGACATCCATCTCAGGTCGCTGGCCAGGTCGTCCAGGCCGGTGTCGATATTGGGGAGGTTGAATAGGCTGGTGTTGCCGGCAGGCAGCCCATTCTCGGTCCTGGCAACGAATGCTGGTGATCCAAGCGAGGTCGATGCCACTGGGCCCGATTTGAGTTGTGTGCTCTCGGTGGTAGCCTGCGGAAGGCTGTAACCAGTGAACGGGACGTGTAGGGAGCCACCATTGGCCTCGTCGGCGCTTCGACGGGTTCGGTGCACATCATAGGAGTCGTCTTCGTTGGAATGAAAGTCCTCGTCCTCTTCCGAGTCGTCGAAGAAGGACAACTGACTGAGATCACGTGACTCGGCCGACTGGAAAGACGTAGGAGACACCATGGTGGATGATGTTGTCGAGGTGGAAAAGTGCGATCGTGGAATATTCAACTTGAAGCTGGGCGGTGCAAGTCGTGTCTCAGTGGGGTTCGAGATGGTATCATTGCCCAGAGGGAGGGCTTCTGGCACGAGAGTGATTGCTGGCTCGCCCTTAGCTTCCTTTATTGAGGATGTTACTGAGGATGCGGAATGGCTTCGCAGAAAAGGTGGAGGCGACAATGTTGTAAATGGCGCGCTCTCAGATGCCGCCGACGTTGCGAAGTTCTCATCATCCTCCATGTCTTCCACAATATCTTCCGGTATCCTCAATGTTGGGCCGGATTCAAGTGCGGGCGGTGTCATCGGTTTATCATCAGACAGAAATCTCCTGAGAGATTCTGGTGACATATCACGGGACCGCACACCTTCGGATGGGGTTGTGCTTCGCGTTCCGCTGAACTGGTTGTTGTCTTGGATAGACAGGCTGTCGCTTTCGCTTTCGCTTTCGCTTTCGCTCTCGACAAGCCTCCTGCCGCGGTCGGTCTCCCGGCCATGGGGCCTTAGGCCAAATAAGCGTCGAGCAGCCCCGGACCATCTAGGTGCAGGTGACAAGGAGCGAGCACATCGTTTAGGTGCGATTGATGGCGACGATTTGACACGGGCTCCAGGCTGTTCTGGGACGCTAGGGGCTGGTCGGGGAGTCGTGAATTTGGCGTTTGGGTCCATCGTGTTGAAGTCGGTGGCACGCAGAGAGTTCATCGAGGCACTCCTGTATCGCAACTGATGCTCAGAAGGCACCTCGAGAGTGTTGACAGTCTGACCGGGGAGGTAAGGGCAGACGTTTGTGGTAGGTAGTGAGGGATCATGTGTCTCTGTAGACCCATTGACTTCGTACTGCAATATAATGAGCACACACGGAGCGCAAGGACAGCGATTGGGACAACTTACGTAGTAGTAGTAGGTTTGACCCATTTTGAGACCTCCGCTGCGTCCAGAGCTTGCAGCCTGGTCACCGTCGCAGATGATGTTGTTGAAAGAGTGACAGCCTCGCCACTGGTTTCTGTCCCGTCTTATATCGCGTTCCATGGAGTGGTATTTAGAAAAATTGTCCCACGACCCGAGCAGCTGGACCGACTGTACGGCAGGATGCGTTTGCCTGGTGTCTGGTAAGCTCCGATGTCCAATCAATATTTCCCAATACGGTAGCGCGAGGCGTGTTCTAGTAAAAACAAAAATGAGGAAAAGCAAAGTAGAAGTAAGCTGACGTGTGCCACAAAGAGACGCAGGAACCATCGGGGAGTTATCGACGCATTGTTCCAGGACCGGAGATGATCTGACTGTGTATGCACCCCGGACAGAGAAGCTGAAGAACACGAGGCGCATGAGGAGTCAAATAAGCGGGCACTCGGCACTCGCCTTCTGGGTCACCTGTCATTACGAGCGACGACAAGGGTGACTCAGCGCAAGGCGTTCCCCCATCAGGCGACGATGTACCAGAAAAGTGGTCGCGGCAGGTTTCTGCCATCTGGAACCAGGGACGCGTGTGAGGCTGAGAGCCTGGTGACAGGGCTGAAGGGCTGTGCTGGGTGGTTTGAGGCAGGGTTTTCCGGCTCACAATAGCTGACTGCGGACCTTGGATCGCGTGGGCCCCTGAAGCTGAGATGTTCTGATAGATGCCTGATTGCAAATCTCGGCAGTCGGAGCTTCTGGAATTACAGACCGCGAACGCGTACCGGCTTCTGTGAGATATACGTCGGGTGTGTATATTCGAACGCTGGACAAGACACGAAAGTGACAATGCCAAGTACGACAAGTGTGTTTAAGAAAAGCGACAGAGCGCAAGTGGGCAAAAGCGCCAGGCTTGATGAAAACGAGTGAGACAATAGATATATAATATACCGAATAACTCACAGCATGAAGGTAAAGAGTGTCGTGGTTGGATCCATGATGAGTCGAAAGACGCTAGCCGCGGCAGCAGACAGAAGTTATAATAAAGGTTATATATGGCAGACGGAGTGTGCGAGGTCCATGCAGCTTGCCGCCGTGGTAGTTGTCAGGGTTCCCAAGATAGACAGGTTGAAACAGCGTCCCCTAGCAGGACAGCATGTTTCGAGAGACGCAGGTACCAGGAGATGCTCAAATCGATTGATGAGGGTCGAGGAACGAGCCAATTGTGTGGCAACTTGGGCAACCCGTGGCTGACGGAAGCGCCGTGATGGGGGCAGGCCAGTGTATAAGTCGAGGCGTATTGGGGGGTGGTTGGCGCTTAGGGGGACAAGGGGATACGGGGTACCGAGTCTCCGGCGCAGGACCCTGGATTTCTGGAAGAATAAGCGAGCTGCACTAGGTAGCTAGCAGGTTGGTAAGGTTGTTTGAGACGGGAGTTACCTATGAATTATTGTCGATGGGCGGCAGACGGTCTATGTGGTAGACGGTGTTGGCGAGGCTGTATGATATAGGGAGTGGTAGCCGGCATCGACGACTGCCAAGGTGCAATAACCGGTAACTTGTTATTAATTAGGGTTGTTAGGTTACTACCTAGTAGACGGAGGTGTGTTGGGGGGCCTCCGCGAGTTGCTGGATTGGCTGCATTGACGACCGCTAACAGCTTGGAGGCTTATTTAGGTAGACATTAGACCTAATACCTAGTACTCCAATATCAGCTGTGGGCCGGTGTTTTGAGTTCAGGTCAGAACCCAAAACCCTCATCACTGATCAAGGTCTACCGGTTTCGGCGGTGCAAGGTACGGTAGGCAAGGCACTCGAGCTGTCAGAATATGGTGTTGGTGGCAAGGTGTGTGTCTGTTGGAAATATGAATTGAGGGTCTTCGAGAAAGGGACAACGATGATGGGATGGAACGTGGACGAGACCTCGGGATCTGTCTGTGTATTGTATACTGTGAGATGAACATGAGATGAACATGAGATGAAACCAGCTTGGTTCAACTTCAACTACTAGGGTCCATCAGAGTTCGGACGAAAATGCGGCAGTGAGGAGAGAGGCGAAAAAGGTTAAAAGTTAGAACCTGGCTAGATAATCACTCGTCGTCATTCAATGTTGGCACTGCAACACCAGGAGAGGAGGCAATGTCACAGGTGAGGACATCTCGAAGCTCATTTGGCGACGCAGACAAGGGTCAGCAGGCGTACATGAATCGCACATGCATTATATTGGCCGGAAACCAGCCCTGCTGGTCCTCGGGTCCTGGGGGTTCATGTCGCATGTCGAATTGTCGCAGGTCACGGCTGCCATTGGGTCGGTTCCTAGTCGGTCGCATCACAGCCCATCCGCAATCGGGCACAGAAATACAGGAATTTGCTGATGAATGTGACGATGATGACCGGGTCTCGATAATGGTGACGGAAGCGGACACAGGCTGTAGCCGGGGGTGGCAACGGCCAATCAGAGGATCCCGTGCTGGCTATATCCGGAGCTCGGTTACGGGCTCCTATCTCTTCCAACCTTCCAAGTTCCCTCCGTACATGACCTCAGGTACGCTGTAACACTGCTGGATTTCCCCGGTTTCCCCTGTAAAGATACGCTCACTCGGCTGTACCTTCACCATGCAATGCAAGCGCCGCATCCTACAATAGACGGGGTTTCTTTCGTCACTTGCATGGCCACATGCCAGAGAAGGCTGCTGCGACGACCATATCAAGCGACTATCATTTCGGAGATGTTGGCCAGCTTGGAGGGTCGACGTTGTCGCAAACCAACACAGTCTAACATTCAACGGCCACGATGGCAGACTAGTCTCAATGATTGGCAGTGTCAACAATAAATAGCTCTCGGGATCGACGGTAGCCAATGTTGCACACGCGGATTCCGGCGTCCAGTCAATTGTCTTCTAGAGGCCCAACAGGCCTTGCCGCCTTCCATCCATGTTCCAGGATGGGGTGGCTTGCATCGCATCCCTGTCCGGGGTGAACAACGCGCAGCGCGTCGCCAAAAGCAAAGAGCCCATCCAGCTAGTAACGTGAAGGACTCCTTGCATTGCACTCAACTGCCAGCGCTTCAGTTTCGTGACTTGGCAGGAGCATAACGAGGTCAGCGTCAAGGCTCGCAGCTCGGTGCGAGCGGTCTCATCCACGTCGAGCCACAAAATTGCAATTCATCCCTATTATGCGACGACATAACCCAACGCGAACTGCAGACTCCGTCACTCTGAACGTTGGGGTCCAGTGCGCCAAATGGAGCTGATCACTCGGCAGTCATATCCCTGCCCGTCGGGAGGTCCGGCCCAGGGTATTCATTAGGAGTTTTTTCTTCCCTTTAAAAAAAGTAGCAAGGGAGTCAACAACTCCACGATTCATGACCGTGATTTCAATGCAGACAGACAGCAGGCTTGGTCCCTGGCCGTCATGAAGTGAAATGACGTTCAGCCATAAAGACACTGCAACGTCTCGACCTTATCCCGGAAGGAGCAAACACCGTGTTCTACTCGTGTCTACGGTATAGACCGAGGAACTGACGGGAACCAGCACGGGTGCACGCAGCAACAATACCTCTGTGCATGTCTGCGACGACGACGCGGTTCCGCGTTCCCACTTCATTGGGATTGCACGCGCCACACAGACAAAGCTGACTGCGATAGGAAATTAGCCCAAGCCAAGCTGAGCCTGCCGGCAACAGCCGTTCTGCTATTGACAGGTCACGGGTGACAGGCTGCTGAAGGGCAGAAGAAGAGCATTCACCATCAACCTGTTGTTCTTTGGGCTGCTCTAGGTTACTTATCACCACTAGCTCGCCTCCAGCCTGGATCATGTCTCAAGCACCCATGACACGGTTCCGGGGATTTTGTCTGAGAATCTTCCCGAGAGACACATCAGCCTCGAGGGTGTACAGGACCGAGTACAGGACACGAAAACTGGACAAGCACTGAGCAGCCAAATGTCTTTCTGTGCCTATCCGCCGTAGGAGTCCGCAAGATCCAGCGCTCTGTCTCTTCAATCTGTCCAATGTTGCAGGAAGCCGTCAGGTGTCCGAATCGAGAATGCACCGCGAGATAATGACTCGCGCTATGTCCCTTGACGATATACACTGCCGTGGTATATAATGGGCTTGTTCCGTACAATCCCAAACTTCGGTTCACCAGGTCACACTAGACCCGTAGGCTAACGCAGGTTCGAGACGGGCCTGTGAACTGGTTCGTACGTGATACATGATACCGGTGTCTGACAGTACAATTATGTCCAGCAGTGAACATTTTACGCGTTACACGCGTCGCATGATCAGACCTGGTCGCTATTGGAGACGACAGACATTGTCACCACGTCAAGACTCATCTCACGTCCTGGGTTGCTTGCCTTATTATATAAGGGTCATCCTAGGTCTCACACATGCTAACAGCATTCTTCTCCAGGAAGCTCATTACATGGTCCGTTCCTGTCACACTTGAGAGCTCACTTCATCTCGTGACTTGTTTGCTCATGTATCAAGTATCGTGTGCTTCCAATACACATGAAGAGAGACCACCGAGGCCCTCCAGCTCATTCGCCTGGGCTCACGACAGATGAGAAATTCCTCATGCCGTCTGATCAAGTGACTGTTGCCTGTGTACTGTACTCAACCTGACATCATTGATATTCCAAATCCATAAGTCATGAAGTGATCGTATCCATCTGACTCATTGGGCTTTCTTGCAAGTACAACACAGCCTTCGTCGACGGTGAGATTCAGTGCCGGAAATAGGTTCCTCGGCCACGCTGTGATTTCAAGAATGGTACCGGGAGAACCCGCTCGCATCTGACAAGCCGCCATCGTCAAGTCTCACTAAGGAAGCCAGTCAGCCCTAGTTTATGACACGATAGCAGGTCGTTGTTACGAGGACGCCATCGTTGCCCCGTGAGCGATAAATGATCACCCACGGACCACGAACTACCAACGGAGTCACGAGGGTCTTTTGCAAGGACGGAACAATGGTGCTTAGTCCGCTCGCTGAGGATGGGGGTGAGGAAGGAGAGGAGAGGAGCTGGTCGTCAGCTCAGCTCCGTCTAGACGTCGTTCCCGTCGCCAATCGGGCCACTCCCTTCACGCCCTCTCAGCGCCTGCCTTGATTGCCTTGTTCTTGACTCCGAGGCTTCTCCCATGTGAAATTACTCGGGAGCGATAGTAAGCGCTCCCAATAAGATACGGCGTCTATTAACGCTTCGCGAGCGTGTATGCCTACGGTGTTCTTCTGCTTCGATCGTTAGCTATTCAACGATAGCTAATAACCTATATCCCAGCTCACAAGAGGGAAGAGCAAAGTAAAGAGACGAGACATGGCGTCCCTATCGATGATGTGTAATTCAATGTCCAATCTGTTCACGTCGAACATATCCGTTCAGTCTTTGTGTTTGCTGATTGGCAGTGCGAGCCTTGTTGGTCTCTGATGACGGGTGTTGTGTTCCAACTGAGCGGTCCCAGCTGATACCAGGCAAGGAACCAAGGTCTTGCAGTACAAGTCTGGCAGAAATCAGCCGGTGCCGTTATAGTAGCCTCGTCGCTCTCCCCGTATCCAAGACTTGCCGTCGCTACCTAGTTGGTAGAAGCTTGCAGCAATGCCCACCTTCTGCGCGCTCCCGCCTTCCTGCAGCCAGTCGGCCGCCGCGTCCCCGAGTATATGCCCCCAGAAGATCAGGACGATATTCTTGGGGTCCGCCCGGGCTCTAGGACGGCCGGGAAGACGTGCCGTGGCGCTCTGGACGCGATACTGCCCGGACTCCACGGCTTCCCACCCCTTTCTGTCATCTGGCTTCCGGGCGTGTCGTCCAGCTGCGAGATTCGTTCCAAGCTTCTCTGCATCTCCCTCGCTCTTCTCCTGACTCATGGGCTTCGTCCGGCATCTCTTTTGCCCTCCGGAACCCGCGCCGTCGTCTTCGGCGGCGGACCAGCAGTCGCTCGACCCACGACAGGTGAAGCGCCGGTGCGGCTGCTTCCGGCCACCGCGGTATTGTCTCAAGTCGATATATTGTTTGCCAGTCCGGAATATATGTCTCATGTGTTAGCGGATGCTTTACAGCTTTTGCTCGTGCAGAGAAGGTGAGCTATGCGAGGGTGGAAAGGGGCCGGGGTCGGGGGGCTAAAGGGAGGAGTTTCCGGGATGCGATTCAGGAACCGCTGCCCCTGACAGCCCAGTAGGGACATCGCGTCGTCGAAGGAACGGACGTATTTCACCCCTAATAAGCCACGGTTCGCTTGTCTTGCGCGGCTGCAGGCGCGTTGGATGCATTGTTCGTTTTGCGGTGTTTCCTCAATCTAGAGACGCGCCTCTGTACGGGATAAGGTTCGGGTTGGCTCCTTGAAGACCATACTTACTGGCAGGCTGACGGAAGGTAGGTAGAACCTTGTGATTACGCCGACGAAGGGACAACGGACTACACCCTATCATTCTGGAGCGGCTGCTCATCCTTCCTCGAATCGAATTCAGTTGGCAAGAGCATGGAACCAGACGGTAGTCAGAAATTGGGGCTCGTCACTGTGTCATCGCAATTGGGAACTCGAACCCCGTCCGCGCGAGCTGAGCTGATGCGAGGCATACGGACCTCGTTCTGTAGCCCAGATTCAGGCAGAGCAGGCAGACAGGCAAGCACCATTCCTTCCCCTTTCTGCCACTGGATCTCAATATGATGGTCCATGACATCGTTGATGGGGTAAGGCCATGCCGTCATATTCCTACTCTGCGTGGTTTGCAGCTGTGTGACGATTTAGAGATCCCGCCAAGTAGGGGCGACCAACAAATGCCGACTCGCGGCTGATGCTATCTCCAACGACCGACAGTCAGGAAAGAGGTCAAGCAGTGATTCTTTCACATGCATCGAATGGATGTGATCAGGAAAGCATGAACTAGGTGCGCATCATGTGTGTGTATGTGGTGAGGTTGGCAGGCATTATACGTCTTAAGAGCCCCTATTCGCCTAAGGGAGTCACACATGGCCGATTGACCACCGCCACCACCACCCACCTGCTCGCGGATGTTGTTGCCCGCCTGCCTTCCCCAGAAGGACAAACCATTCATAGGTCAGCCTGTCTTCTGCCCTCTAAGCTGCCAAACTGTCCTCCCATCGTTTTCTTCCAGGCATTCGTTTCCATCACTACTTTATTCACGTATTCAGCAACGTAGAGTGCCATCTTCCGCAGGCCCCTTACTCAGTCCTGTGCCCGCATCAGAAACAGACCACGCCTACATTTGACTTATTGCACGTTCGAATATGCGTCCTGGTCACCAGCTGTTCGTCATCGCCAAGGTGGGCGACCACTATCGATCCCTCGCCGCGCTTCATCACCGGCGGCTCCATGGCGCATCTGCCGGTTAGTATCCCTCCCAGCGTATCTGCCCCTTGAGTCAAGGTAGTGTGTATACAAGGGTATCCATTTTGCCTGGAATAAGCACCCTGGCATGAGGAGCCTTGGTTTGCCGGGTGGCTTTCAAAATCTTGTTCCGCCATTCTTTATACTCGGGTATCATATCTGACCACTGCTCTTAGTCCGCATATGCCTCCGTGTGCTCAGCATCTTCGCAAGCGAGCTCAACCATGAGGCCTTGAGGCAGGAGATGGCACTCGCCACCAAGTTCTTCCAATATGCAGACCCGCCAACTTCATACGAACATAGCCTGAAGAAGAACGGTCCCTGTCCGTTCCCGTTCATCACCACCTGCCTCGTCCTTGGTGCATCCTGCGATCCCGACACTAGAACCTGGCATATGGTCCGAGAGCTACCGTTCGGCATGGCATTTGATAAGGGCAACAACAACAATGGAATCACGGTTCTCGACATCACGGACCTCTTAAACGTGCGTTACTGCTTCGTTGACTTTCACGGCGCCAGGCCGGTACCTCTGCACACTCCCCTGACGGCATGGGATTACGTGATGGCCTAGTACGGCAGGGATGACCAGTTAGTACTGCAGAACGAGGGGATCATCAAGAGCCTTGAACGACATGAACTCATCACCATTGACGTCCTTGCCAACGCCTGGCCACTGGGCGACTGGAAAGTCGACGACGCGAAGCCAGTGGAAACCGCACACGGCCAATCCAACACCAACACAGTCCCATCTCTCGTTTCTCTCGCTCTGGCTACAGCGGGGAACGAGGCACTCTCTAACGACGCCTTCAAATTCTCTCTCCTGGACATCCCTCGTGAGCTTCCTCGCTTGTTACAGGTTGCGTTTGCTAGCGAAAAGCATGTCAACCTGACTGCATTCAATCAGATCTCCGTGGAAGTCATCCGGTCCGTGTTGCAGAGCGCGGAAATCCGTGACGCGGTTGACATCGTCAGTCTGCCGCCGTCTGCTGCGGCCATTTCGGCCGCGGCTCTTGCAGCAGCTCTTCCTCAAAGAACCATTGCAGAACTCTACCTACTCGAAGATCCTGGTCGAGAAACAGATGAGTCTCCTGGATCTTTGTGTGAGTTGATTCCGCGGGTGGGCAAGCTTTTCATGAGCTCAGTCCTTTCCCGTGGTCTACGCCAGCAGTTTAGTATACCTCCGTTCAGCGTTCTCCCTACGAACCATAACCATCCTTTAAACGAGGAGCTCAGTCTACGTCAGTTCAACATTTTCCCTACCCACCATGATCGTCCGATCTTGCAGATGATTTGCCGGTCAACAAAACCGTATCAAGAGGGACAACGCATAGAGACAATGTGCCTAGGTTACGGCAAGCTGACTGCTAGCGGGATGATGGGAGGCCTTTACAAACTCCTCACGACGCCCGCAGACGCAATTGAGCATCGCAGAGTCGGCCGAAACAGTCTCGACGCAGCACGTGCCTCCGCATCTGCGCTGGCCTTGCTCCAGGACGAATCCAAGATCGAGGCCAGCCCACTGCCGGCCGAGCTGTACATGGTAGGTAGGAAGTGCTATGGCAGCATCCTGAATGCGGAAGTCTGGTCGTGTATGCAAGACCTCACACCTGGGACCTGGACCATGTTGCTCGAGGTTAACAGGCGCTTGGTCACGGATGCTCAGGGACGTCCTGTTCCCACCTTCAAGTTCAAGCTTGCCTTCGTAAAAGCGAAGCGTATCATCCAAGCCAAGGCAAACGCCACTCTCACTCCGGACGACATCGAGGTGTTCAACGTTGCCGAATTCCTCAACGAGCTGGACTTCCAGCCTGACTTCGAGCCTTTCATGAAGCCTTACAAAGCCTCGGCTGACAAATTTGCCGCCTCTGGCCAGCAGGCAACCGCCGATGGAGATATCCTCGTATCCATGACAGCCGACGAGGCTTTCGGCCTCCTGAAAGAGGCCTTAAAGGCTAGAGATGCGGCGGAGAAGGCCCTCAGCCGAGCGAAGGCTAGCGAGTTTCTCAGTGCTCGTAAGTTGTCACCTCCTCCGTCAATAATGTACCCTGATTGTGCGAGCATACCGCCCCAAGTGTGTTGTACTGACTTTTATTACTTTGGTAGAGATGTTTAATGAGGATATGGCCATGATGGCAGAGGACGTGGACTGAACAACGGTATTCGTCGAATCAGAATAAGCCTGATGTAATGAGCATTGGCAATAGGTAGCGTATCAAAGAAAAGCGTTTGACTATTCCAGTATTTCCATATTTCCACGTGCGATCGCGACTTTCTAAGACTCCGTGCTCTTTCCGAGACTACCAAGTCATCCTATCAGCCGCATGTCTTTACCATGCGTCTGTCTGCCTAATACCCGACGGGTAGACACGTCTGATGCCGTGCGCCGTCTCATGAGTTTTCACCGCCTGACGCGCGTATTCACACGTCTGTGTACGTCTGTCTAACCTGTTGGCCACGACAGTCCGCGCATCGCACCCGCGAGTACCCGGCGTCGCACACAGGCCTGGACGCGCCAGCCGCGGCGGTGAGACTTGGTGGTCGTGAGCTAAGGCTTTACACGGATACAAGGCGAATCAAAAAAATTGGACTTCGCGCTTAACCTGGACCCGATCGACCATGCTCAATAACTTACTACGTGACCGGCCACTTGAGACGCCAGCTACGAAGCCCGGGCATCTCGAGTGAAGTGCGGGTCTTCGGCGAGTAGACTTCGAGGACTGCTGCGTAGCGCCCCCGGACGCGCCTCTCGGGCCGCCACACATACGCACGGCAGAGAGGCCTGCAATCAGCGCTTTGAGTTCCGGCATCTGGCTTCCGGTCGTGACATGGTGCCCCGAAGTCCCGTGTGGCCGGGACTTGCCGTCCAACCTGGGATATGTTGTGTAGCTCAGAAACGAGGAGATTATCCGTCCAGTGTTAAGACTACTTTGCCCCAAACATTGACGGTGAGCGGTCAGCGTGGTTTGATGGTATGATGTTTCGTCCGAAGGTATGGGATGAGATGGAGATCGTGCAGACATGTGCGGGGGGAAGCTCACATGGGATGGCTCGTCTTGAACCTTGGTATCCAGCTCCAGGAGAGAACTTGACAGCGCTCATCAGATTTCGAAATGGTGTCTATCAGCCTGGTATTGACGCGGGTTCACGATGCCGAATCCTGGCTATAGGCCTGACCATCTGGGTATACTCAGTGACAAGTGAGAAGTTGTGCTGACCCGTTGATGTGCAGGTGAAGGTCTCAGACAGACGTCTACCTTCCTGCCGCCTCATGCCAAGGTATGAAGCTAAGTTTCGTCTACCTGAACTTCAGCAGCCACGAGGCATGGCGCTGGGTCCCGGCATAGCGCTCCGTACGTATCACAGCAGCGAATTTGTTTTCTTGGATGAGTGGCTTTGTGGCTTGCTGCGGAGGGTACGCTATCGGCTGCCATTCGTCGTTTGGAAGCACTAGAAAAGGTCTGAAGCGAATGCGCTGCTGACGACTGAGACATGACGACTGAGACAAAACATCGCGAGCATGTGTGCTTGTCGATCGTGAGTCGTGCCGCTGAAACATTGACGCCTCGCAACCTGATGAAACCGACTATGACTTTTCGTAAGACGTTTCAATGAGTTGTATGTGGAGAAAACTCCGTTGAAGCCAAACACCACATGCACCGCTTTCGACCGCTCTTCGCAGCTAAAGGGCTATAGGTAACCAGATGGCGTACTGAATGTCGGCCTACATAAATGTTTGGGATCTTTCAGCATGCGAAAGACAGCTCACCGGCATCCCATCGACGGCGACATCTGTCAGGCATCAATCAGCCTTCGGCCAAAGGCAATCATCGTCTGAGATCAGGACATAGCAGACATACAACGCGTCCTCTTCGTTACCTAGTCTGACCTTCGAGGTTTGGCATGCGGGGTGCTACGTTACTCGTTGCATTAAGCATCTTATATTAACCCGCGTCATAATGAGGGTCGTTTCTCACTTTGAACACTCTCCATACCTTAAGGCATCGACGAGCAAGGAACCCCCGACCACCCTCACTCACATGCCAGCCGCACCAGAGTACCGGGGGCTCGGATGATTGAGGCGCCAAAGACGGGGCATGATGCAACCTGACTAATGGATATGAAAGTCGCGTGCAGCAGCAGCGGAGGGATGATTATTCTGGAATGCGCGGGGATCGCCAGAAATGCGGGCGGAGGCAAAAGGGGGCGCGGAGATAAAGATAGTCCTGCCTAGGCAACAAGGTCCAGGATGGTGCAACGACCGTTTTTACCGGCGCAAGTCATCTCTAACGCCCTAATTAGTCTAATTAGTAAACCATCGCATCGGAACAGATCTGGAGAGGTCTTGGCCGAGTCCAGCAATCCGTTCATAGCATAGGTATTATCAGCAGCAAAGCTTGAGTGCTTCTACTCCCTAGCCCGCTCTTTCGGTAACAAGATTCGAGATCGACACGGCCACCATGTCAGACTACGCGGCAGACGGCCTGGACGGTAGGACGATCGGCCGAGAGGCCTTGCAACCAGGACTCTCCTTGTGCTCTGAGTTATACCGGATAGTCGCCGTTCGACGCTTATGTAAATCGAAGGATGCGGAGGATTCTTTTGGGAGCCGTTTCAGGAATAATAATAATACCAGGAGAGTGTGAGGTAGTATTTGTCAAAATAACACCTGGACCTGGAGTTACCATTGCGATTATCTTTGGAGGCACTAAAGCCACGACTGAAAGAGTTGAAGCATATCTTGATCCCTTGATGGTGAAATAGAGCTCAATGCATATTGGTCATTCTCATCGCGGTGCTGGCATTTATCCAAAGAGGTTCCAGTCAATGCTGATCCGATCCTGACGATGCAGCATTGCTGCACGTTGGGATTCAGGGCTTTCTCCTGAAACGTACCTGTCAAGAGGACAGACAATTACTCATATGTCGTAGACATCATAACCCGCTCTCTTGTCATGGATCGAAATTGCGTTTGGCGGTTCTGCGGACTCAGGGGCAAACCGACAGCATCGAATCGCTTAGATGCATACCATCACCTGCCTGCATTGTAATGTGAAGACCCGCCAAGCACTTATGCAGTTTTCCCGAAGGGCAGCATCAAAGCCGCGGGAGAAAGGATTATTACATAAGGTAAAGATCCAAGTACCTATCATAGCAATTCGGTCATATGAAGTATAGCAATCATCCATTGATGGGGAAGTTCAGATGAGTCAGTTCGGTTAGACGGTTTTCGTGGCGATGTATCATTTTGGTCAGAGATGACGACGAGCAAGGGAACTCGCCAAATCCTACCTACATACAACATGAGCTCTGAGCCTCGGTGGACCATGACGTTCTGATAGAAGCATAAGCTGCGACGCGTCAGGGGTCCAAGTCTCTTGCGGTTTTCGGGAAGCTTATTATTCGTCCCAACGGGATGCAGTTTCGTATTGCAAAATATTCAATGGGTGCCGTCACAAGAGGCAGTTAGTTACCTGTGACATGAGATAACTCTCTCCACACAACTACGGTATAAACCTTGGACAAGATAGAGAATACATATGCAGGCAACTGTACAAGTGCAGCTATTGTATTTCGGGCCCTCCTTTGCCGCGTAATTTGGTCTGCCTTAATGAAGCATGGCATCCGATCCGTCGCCGCCGTCCTCTTTGTTGTGCTTGTCTAGCGCGACAGTAATCAATGCCTGTTGATGACCCAGGACCAATCACGAGGCAGGCTCCTCCTGGTCTCATCAACAATCCCGCGATGATGGAGGCCAATTGGCAGCCGGGCGTGGATCAGTTGGACACCTAGAGTGCCCACTGCCTGGCAGCCCTGGAAGATCCAGGTCAGGTCGCGGTACATGTACTTTACTGGAGATACAGCACATCATCATCGACTGATCAGCGTTCCGAGGTTCTTTCTGTTCATGCTATTATTACCTAAAACCATGATGCCATCATCCATCAAGCTGGCTGTTCAACCTCCCGTACGAAGCGTCTTGATATCATATTTCGGGTCAATTGAAGCTGCTTATCTATCTAGCAACCTACCATGTATGTATGCTTAAGGCAGGTAGGTAAGAGGGTATGTGGATGAGGATTGTAGGGAGGATATGGGTTTGTCTCTGATCTTATTAAGTTGAGCTAGGTATGGTGTTAATGCTTAAATACCTACCTACTTCGTGTGCAAGACGGCATCGTATGTGTTTCGTACTGTGCTGCATCGTATCATTTGTATGCACGTCGAGTGCGATGTGGATGTATGTATGTACGTATAGGTACCTATTTATACTGTACATGCCAAACCACCCCTTCGTTTCGCTGACCACATCTTCACCTGAGCAGTGAATCCAAACTTCCCAGACTCCTTGGGCTACTTACAAGAATAGGTCAGTGGTCTGTATCCTGAAAAGGTAGATATATGCTGCAATGGATAGGACGGCCTAGGACAGCGGATGAGTACATACCTTACCGAGGTATGTACTCACCTCCTGCTGTGCCTGCCTCTGTGAGCAGAAGCAACATTTGAACTCCAGCTTGCGCTGTAATAATTGGAAGGCAGGACTGCAGCGACGGCCACTAGGTACAGTGATCCAGGCATTGCGACCGCCGCGAGCACCTAGCACTGCTGCTGCACGCCCCAACCCGCACCGTACAGGCACTACAGTACTGTGTACAGCACTGGTTGGCTGCAGTGGCACTGGACTGGTCCACTACAAACGCGGGTCTCTTATCAATTGGAAGGCCCACGGGTCACGGTCCAAGTCCAGGGAATCCACACCGTCGCCTTCTCCAGAATCCGTCCATCCTCCAGAGACAGGACGAGACAGACGACAGACCCTCAACTGCCAATTCTGTCCCCTTTCCATCTCCCGTGCACCTCTGAATAACATCACCAGTCACCACCACCTCTCCTTCCTTCCTCTCGGCATGTGCCTCCCATTCGTTCTGCCCTCCCTTAATACCTATTTCACTTGATACTTGGCCACTAGTACATACACCCTTTCCAACTTTCGCACGTTTTTCTTGCTGTCGTCCGAAGCCTCCCTTCTGTGCTGAGGGTCCCCTTTTGGCCGAATCCCCAATCCCAATCCCCCATCCCCCATCCCCCATCACCAATCCACCGCCAATCTCTCAGTTCTATTCATCTTGTCACTCGCCTTTGCTGTCTGTGTCAGATCCATCCGCCAGCACCACCAAGCCGGCCTTACATGTGTCAAAGTCAAGGAACGAAACCCCCGAAAACAAGAACTACACCCTTTGACTCTTGCTCCGCTTGACGTGACAAGATCCTCCATGTCCGCCTTCTAGGATTTGTCAACCACCATTCCTCGTGTCTACTGTGACACTGGAACCCCTCGAAGTCGAACCGCACCCTCTCCAGTACCAGTCGTCGTGAGATACTCGACGTTTGGCCAAACCAGTCGTCTGCGGTAATAGTAGGCTACTTCCTGGAGATCATCACTCGTTTCCTCCTTGGTCGCAGGCGCCCTTCGTCCGATAAACCAGCACGTCTTTTCTACCGCCCCAAAAACGCCATCGCCCCTCACTTGGGTCACTTGGGTCAGCACTAGAACCGTCTCGTGCTCGTCATTTGAGTTCGTGCTTGTTCGAAGGTTTGTCTTGTGTTCTCATACGCCCCTAGCCCAACGTCTTCGCCGATAGCCCTGCCAGGATGACACCAAGGCGGTTTTGGGACGCAGTATAGTTTGCTGATTCTGGGGAACTGACAGGCTCACGTGTCTCGTCCACTCGCCACGCATCCGTTTGCATCGGAACTCTCGATTCGAATAGACCTATCCAGTGAATCATAACCCTAGTCGTCCGCGAGATCACGGCGTGCAAATAAGCTAAGACTCGACAATTCGAATATGGCTGCGTTGGTTCAGACCTATCCCCAGCAATCAGGAACTGTGACATTGCTTCAGGCGAGACCAAATTCGGCTTCGGGTATCATGCCAACCACATCACAAGCTCATCCGGGACAGGCATACATGGCGAACCCGCAAAGAACTAGCTACCACGGCTTGCCCGGGAGCGTGGGAGGACAGTCGGCTTACCGTGGCAGCTCGATAGCACCGGTGCAACCGTACGCTTTTACATCTACGCCTAACCTCACTAATGGCGGGCAATGGCAACAATATGGTGGCTATCGGACATCATCGGGGACCACTGTCCCTACTATGCAGCAGATGGTGGATGCCAGGGGACAACCTGCGCCCGTCCCGGCTTCCCGTCCTCAACTCAATGGCACTTCCAACCAGCCAACATTCGCACAAGTCGCTGCAGCCAAAGCCTCGCCCGAGCGGTATAGGAGACCATCGCCAAGGCATACAGAAACTTCACCTGCTGGGTTGCAATCTTCTCAGCCATCACAAGGGCAAGGTTCGGCAACGCCCTCTGGCTCCGGCATGGCCACCGTCGTCCATCTGTATAACCCGAGAGCGGTGCCAGACCGCAAAGCTGCCATCCCTCGAAATCCAGCTGTGCTGCCCAGACCACACAGTGCTTATGGTACAGGTGTGACCATGGACGATATGCATCTGCATCGGCAGGTCACCGACGAAGAGGCCAAAAGGTTTCGGCGGCGGAGCATTCACTCAATCAATTCTTCCGATTATCCTACCCCCTTGACCCCGCAGGACTTCAAACAGGCGGAAGAATCGTTCCGCCTGGAAGCACCGGCCAAGTCAAACAAGCAGAGCAATGTCGAAAAGAGTCAGAAGCCTGCTGTCCGAGTAGTTCCTGCTCCTCCCCCAGCGACCAACGTCGAGAAGAGCACCATACCTGCCAGAAATGGCAGCTCTGAAAGTCTTGTTTCCAGCCGAAGCAGCAACTCACGACCTTCTTCGGTGAGTATTACCCTTCCCACAAATCACTCGACCCAATTGTCCAATCAAGTGATGTATGGCCATCCTTGGTCTCGCTTATGTTTTGAATACTGAGTTCTGACCCAACGTACCAATCAGTCGGCGAACCGAAACTCCAATGCATCAGCCCCCACTGGGAGCCCCGCCTCCACCTCCTCCACCTCTGGGGAAAAGCCATCAAGCCACGACCAACTCAAGCTGGTTAACATACCGCCTCGGGGCTCATCGTCTGATGTCGGCAAGCGAGTTCTTAGTCCATCCCCCTTATCCAAGCCGGTAACCATGGGTCCGACGTCTTCATCGGGCGAAACGGCCCCGCCCGCCGGCGCCTCTGTACCATCTCCCACAAAGCCACCGACCTCTTCCCACGGCTCCAAGGCCGACAGCCCTGCAGCCAAGCATCTCGCTGCGATTAATGATAAAGGTGCAGGTGGTAAGTTGAAGAGCAAGTCCTCGAGACTACGGAGAGCATTCTCGTTCGGAAGTGCTGCGGAACTCAGAAAGGCCACGGGGCAAGACATCAGTGTCGATGCTGCCAAGACATCACCAAACGAGCCTGCTAGGCTGCACAAAGACCCTCGTCCCCAGGATGTGTACGAGGAGGAACAAGCACGAATCGCTCAGAAACAGGAGGAAGGGGGAATTGGCAGCAGCATCTATTCGGGCACGAAGCTCTTTTCGGGCTCAACCGACAACCTGTCCATCTCGTCGACGGCGTCATCTGCATCGATCATGCTCCGTAAGATGGGACGTGGCGTGAAGAAGGGTAGTCGATCGCTCGTCGGAATCTTCCGGCCCAAGTCGGTTATTGTGGCTCCGGGCGAAGACCTGACAGCACCCCAAGCCTCGCAGGCGGCTGTGACGATGGTTACTGTCGAAGCCGAGCGTGACAGGGTCAATGTCACTACCAATGAGGATCTCCAGGAGACGGGTGGCACCGGCTTTCCGCACCTGGAAAGAAACTCGATCGATGCGACAAAGGCAGCGGATAGCGTGCAACCTGATCGCCTCGGTAGCTCTGGCACCGACCACTCAGGCGCAAGGAAGAGCATGGTAGGTGGAGAGAAAGAGAGAGCCGAGGTTCTGGCCACCATTCGTAAGGGCATTCTGAAGAGTACGTGTGAAAACCCATTAGCGGAGTATAGGAACTAACGCAGCCACAGCTCGCAGCAACTCCCCAAGCCCGTCGACTCGGGGACAGGACAGCAAAGGCCCGACTTTTGAGCTACCCTTGATACCTAATGTCGCCGACTCTCCGAACTCGACTGCTCCTAGTACGCCAAATGACGACGTTCAAGGCCATAAGCGCAATGGATCGATTGCTATTGGCAATGAAGATTATTTCATGTCGGCCCTTCGCCTCCGCCAAGATACCAAGAGTGCTCCGACAACGCCTGCAGGCGGTATCAGCAAACGTAATGCCACCTTCAGCCCCCGGATAGTGTTCCACGACACATGGACGCCTGGTGAATACGACCGCCGCGGTGAGATTGCCACATGCAACCGTTTGACGCCAATGCTTGCCCAGCAAATCAAGGAAGAGCTGAACAGCTTCAAGATGGTACGTCCAGTTCGCCTTGTTTTTATGTTGAACTCTTATACTGATTATGGCGCAGGAAATGGAGGTTCACGAAACGTCGAAGATCTACACACACTTTTTCTGATGACGAAGGTATCGCACCGAAATCTCGAGCATACTTGGGTCCCCTCCAGAAATGGCCATAGACCTGCTATTATGTATTCGACTTACATACAGTCCAATGGCGTTGCACTCGGGCAGCATAGTAAGGTGTCAGGGCGTTTTCTATTTGCTTCTTACGGTTATCCTGCTTTCCGACCAGGTGGAGAGACTTGGTCGCTACTATAATTCCCAGCAATGGTGGCAATTGTGGATATCCACGACATTCGTCAAAACCGCACCCACGACGCTCCAAGGAATGGGCGACAAATGTTTGCCCCGTGTCACATGCTTCACCCAGATTGCTCCCTCATCCCAATGAGATGTGACAAATGTTGGTTCTCAAAGAGAGGGTTCTAAACAGTGGCTGGTTTTTCTTGATGGAGTTGGCGAAGCCTCCTGGAGTCAACCCTGGGCTGAGACGTCTGCCTTACGCCATGCAGATACACGGTTCCCGACTGTCAGAAACGTGGCAGCTCTAGGGGCAGAAGCATGATGAGGACTAAAGGACCAAAAAGATCAATAACGGCATTCTCTCTTTGCCTATCTAACTGATGTCGTCCTCGATGCAACAAGAAACGAAGAAGGGAATTTTGGAAGCAAGCAGAGACGTATGTACGGGCGACTATGGTACTGTCTAGACGTGGACATGGCGAGGTGGGCAAACGGCAGAGCCGGAACGAACAAGTCTGGCTCGTCATGACGGATTCATCGGCTCACATGCCTGTGGAATCGTGGTCGGGTGGGAAAATGTACTTTTAGCGAAGATTTTAGCAATATTTCATGCGGGACAGAGCGAACAATAGCATACATTCATTGCAGCGGCCAAGACATTTTCTCTCTCTCTGTGCTCTCATACTCGCATGCAATCTCCATCTTTGGCAATGTTAAAAGGACAAATTGAGCTATCCGTCGATAGGAGCGCGACATGACCTACTTACGTCTACACCATGGCAAGGGTTAGGGGCATGGATAGAGAATTGACTGAGGTGGAGATAGCATTGAGCAGCCAGCGGGTGACGATAGCTTCAATTCTCCCAGGTCGGCTGAAAATCGGTTTAGGGGTCTATTCTGTAGTACTTCGTGGGCCGTTGCCAAGAGACTGGCATGCCCGGTTGACATGCACGGGTCAAGATGGACCAGATCCGCTGCAAGTACCTGTACTTGTGGACAGAATACGAGAAGTACCTTACCTTAGCCAGCCAGTAACGCGAGTGCCAAGCAGGCAAGGGGGTAAGGGGGCAAGGGTGCAAGTGGGCGCAGCAGCAGTGGAGGTGGGAATTGTGAATCCACTGCCCGCCAAACGCGTCAACCAATCAAATAATCTGTCGTCCGACTTTACCGTCCGACTTCGCCAGTGGACTGTCATGGGTGGGGTCAGGGTCAGGGTCAATTGTGAATATGCAAGGCTGAGAAAAAGCATTATTTTGCGTTTAGACACACATGTGATTATCCACAAAACTTTTAACTTCAAGATAGTTCGCAATACCTGACACCGACAACATATCCAGGAACGTCGAAACCTTCTGGATACGCACTCCAGAGCTGTCACCATCGTGGCGCTTCACCTCACGGGCAACGGTCGCGTCTGCTGGAAGGCCACTGGCTCTGGCCGGACCTTTCTGGCACGAGTCTACGTCGCCATGGCCTCGACATTGGCGCAGCCCAAGCTGCATGGCCGGGCTTTCTACGAGAGCATCGGCAGCCCCAAGTTCGTAGTAGCTCCTATGGTCGACCAGTCTGAGTTCGTATGTCCTTCTTCTGTGGATTTTCAAAGCTTGGTTGACCGAGCGCTGACCAGTGTGCGTCTCTATAGGCATGGCGAATGCTCACCCGATCCTTTCTCACGCCCGCCGAGAATGCCAAAGTCCTAGCCTACACGCCCATGTTCCACGCGCGCCTGTTCGACGAGACCGCCAAATATCGAGAATCACACTTCCAGGCCATCAAGGCACCCCCGATAACCCCTGGCACATCCACCTCGAGTGACCCGGTCGAGCCGAATCCCTTCCTCGACGGCAACCCGTCCTTCGACCGCCCGCTTTTCGTGCAGTTCTGTGCCAACGACCCGGACCACCTGCTCAACGCGGCGCTGAAGGCAGCGCCGTACTGTGACGCCGTGGACCTGAACCTGGGCTGTCCGCAGGGCATAGCGCGCAAGGGCCACTACGGCGCCTTTCTGCAGGAGGACCAGGACCTGGTGTACCGGCTGATCAACACGCTGCACACGCGACTGCCGGTGCCCGTCACTGCCAAGATCCGCATCCTCGACACGCGCGAGGCCACGCTGGCGTACGCGCGCACCGTGCTGGCCGCCGGCGCCAGCATCATCACCGTGCACGGCCGCCGGCGCGACCAGAAGGGCCATCTGACGGGCGTCGCCGACTGGGAGTACCTGCGCTACCTGCGCGAAAACCTGCCCGCCGACACGGTCATCTTCGCCAACGGCAACGTGCTGCAACATGGCGACCTGGAGAGGTGCCTCAAGGCGACCGGCGCCGACGCCGTCATGAGCGCCGAGGGGAACCTTAGCAATCCGGGCATATTTGCGCAGGCACCGCCCGTGGGGCAGGAGGGGCGCGAGTACTGGCGTGGCCGCGACGGGAAGGGCGGCTGGCGGGTTGATGCTGTGTTCAGAAGGTACATGGATATTATACATAAGCATGTCTTGCAGCAGGAGCCGCCGGGCCGCAGACCTCTATTTATTCCTGGAGATGATGAGGGCTGGCTGCGGGAGAGCACGGCGAATGGGGCGGAGCAGGAGGAGGGGCCGGCGAGGAAGAAACAGAGAAGGGCTGGGAGCAACCGGGGAGGAGGTGGTGGTGGCAGCGGCAGTGGCGCGAAGAGCGAGACCTCGCCGAACCTCGTTGCTGTCCGTCCGCACCTATTCCACCTTCTACGACACTTCATCTCCCGCCACACCGACATCCGCGACGCGCTGGCGCGAACGCGCGCCGGCGACGTCTCCGCCGTCGAGAAGGTCCTGGACATGGTCGAGCGGCGCGTGGCGCAGGGCCTGATCGACTACGAGAGGACAGACGGGCAGAGCATCGCGAACGAGCCTGAGATCAAGCCCCGGAAGCCCATGTTGCCGCAGACGATGGCGGCTAAAGCGGAGGAGTCTAAGCAAGGGGAGGAAGGGGAAGAAGGGAAAAGGAAAGGGGCTGGTGAGGAGGATGGTGCAGATGACGAGTATGACCCCGAGAGCTCGGTGGCGACGGTCAGGGATTGCAAGCGGCCTTGGTGGGTCGCGCAGCCCATCGTGAGGCCCTTGCCTAAGGAGGCACTGGCAAAGGGGAGTGTCAGCCTCAAGAAGGGGAAAAAGAAACAGCACGAGCAACAGGAGGCGGCCGGAGTGACAGCAGTGGCGGCAGTAGAGGCTACAGAGAGAGGAGATGGCAAGGGCTTGTCGTCGTATGAGAAAGCGGAAGAAGGGAAAGAGGCGGCCACAAAGGCCGAAGAGGAGCTGCCGAAGCCCGATAGCAAGGATGGCATCAAGGAGCCGCGGATGGATACGAAGATGCGGGGCTTGGCGAGTGATGAGCTTGTTTGTGGGTAGACTTGGACCTGGATAGATCATAGATCATAGATCTGGGTTATGAACAGTACATATACTGTTCAGGTCATGATGGTGTTGAATAAGTGAGTTGGTATCGTGCTTGGTTGTTAGGTGTATGACGTGGTGAGGGTTGGACATTGCACAGCTTTAGTCGAATGTATTGCAGGTGGGAGTGAGGTACTGGCTGGGAAAGGGGTTCAAAGGGGTTAAGGGGGCTGGTGGGTGCCAAGACTGAAGTCTGGCGTATACCCAAAAGGGGGCTGTAGCCTGTGGTGTTCAAGTGATCTGATATGGTAGACGGGGCGCAGAATTTGGAAGTCGTTGGACGACGTAGCTAGTGGCACATGTATAAGGGCACACACTGGGCGTGATGCTCATATCTGCCTTTGGGATCTAGGCCCTGCTTCTTTACATATTATCGTATTCGCTCGAGCTCCGAGCTGCGATTTCTCAACTGGTATTCATTCTACTTGGTGGTTTCATTTCCTACTCATCCGGGGCTATCTCATACAGCTATTCAAGCGATACTTCAAGCAACCTCATCTAGGTAGGTCCCTGTGAATATATACGAGTTTACAACATCCCTCTCCATCCTTCAGCATACCTATGTCAAGAGTCAAGAGCCAAGAGCAAACACCTTATCTTACCGTCTACTTCACCTTCTTCCCCTCGCCCCCCACCTCTCCGTCTCCGTCTTCCTTCCCATCGCCCTCCATCACAGCCCCATCCCTCTCCCAACACAACGCCAGCGCCGCCGCCACCGGGCCCCCGACCAGCGTCCAGCACCCCATCCTCCCCAGCGCGCCCAGCCAGCCCGCCGCCTTCGGCACCGCGTTCACGTAGCAGTATGCCGCCCACAGTATTAGTGACAATGACCCGAGATACAGGTCGTACTGCAGGAAATACGTCGCCAGCGGCGCGAGCTCGCCCTCGCCGTACGCCGTGGGGATTATATGTGGTGACGCCCAGGTTGGGACGAAGGTGTTGGTGAAGGAGATGTTGTCCGGTGTGGCGAGGAGGGAGGCTGGGGGTGTGGGGAGGATGGGGGAGGCGCTGGCAAGGGCAGAGCGCGTGGTTGGGGGCAGGAGGGTGAGGAGGACGATGGGGATGTGTGTTGCGATGCAGAGCGCCAGGGCGCACCGGTAGACGCCGCTTGCGGCGGTCATGTATGCACGGCCTGATGGTGTCGTTGGGCTGTCTTTCTCATGGCGGGTGTTGAAAGTGTAGCGGCATGCGGTACGCAGGACTGCGAGAGACAGCACTGTCCAGAGCGGGAATAGCTGCCAGATGGCAATCAGGGTGTAGTGCATATCTGCACTCTGGTTGAATAGGTGTGGCGTGCTCATGAGCAGCGCGGGTAGGATGAAGGTTAGGGTTACGGAGAGCGGGATCAGGGTCAGGTCCCGGAGGGGCACGAGGAGGTCAGCAGCTGAGGACGCAGTTGATGTTGAGGCGGTGGGGGAGGTGAGCAGGTGCAGGACCAGGTATAGCGGGACGGTGAAGGTGTAGCTCAGGCCCTGTATCAGCAGGCCTGTAGTGCCGATGTAGCTCACGAGCCTGCCGCGGTTTCCCTGGCGCCGGGCCTCGAGTACGAGGAGTGTCCACTGGGAAGATTAGGCACAGGAAGAGGACGAGGACGAGGACGAGAAAGAGAAAGAGAAAGAGAAAGAGAACGGGACGTACTGCAGCCGCGAACTGCGCCATGCCTCATGTATAGAAGAGCGTGGTAGGCCAGTCGCTGCCGTCGATGGCGGCGCTGAAGAAGCCGACGACGGCGGACAGCTTTCCGTCGATGCCGGCGAACCCGGTGTAGGACCGCTTGAACGGCTGGGGGGCGCCGCGCAGGATGGCGACGGAGCCGGCGGCGAGCGAGGACAGCACGGGCCCGAAGCCGTTGTGTCGCAGGGTCAGGACCGTGGCGTTGAAGCCGAACAGGGCGGTTCCGATGAAGAGCGGGATTAGGACCGTCTTGATGGTGGGCGCCTGCGAGCACGTTAGTGAGGTACGCGTTACTGGCAAGTAAATACATAATGAAGGTGGGGGTGAGAGTGAGGAGGAGGGGTGCATAGGTACCATGATGGGATTCACTGTAGGTAGTTCGCTGTGTGGATGTGAAGTTATACCCAAGTCCTATAAGGTATCGCAGAGTCCTTTCTAGCTTAGTCGACGGTCGAACTCTGGTCTAGACTGGCAACTATCGTGAACTTTGTTGTGTAGTGGGAGAAAAACTAAGGCTAGTCCGGGGCATCGAAAGATACCTTACCCTTCTTTTGGTATAGATACTGTCAGATCGGCGGAGCGCTGTCCACCCGTAGAGTTATGCAACAGATTCCTATACTCTGCCTAGGTTAAGACGAGAAAGTTTGATAAACACCGAGAGCCCAGCATGTTTACTTGATTACTTCATTATATATATCTATACCTGATCAGTATTCAGTACAATATGAGGTGAGAGCAAGCACTCGACGAACATGACCGTCCTTTTTGAAGCCCATTGGAGGCCGTGCCCAAAACACCTACTCCAATCTTCCCATCCCCCACACCTCCTCACCCTCACTCCTCACTGTCACCGCTATCCGATGACGAGGATATTCGGTGTCTTCCCAAGCTGGCTGAGGATCAAGTGAATCTCAAGCTCGGCCATATACAGCATTCTCCAGAGACCACGAACGTCTTGGTTGCTATCACTACCTAGCCTGGCTCGCGAGTGCTTCTGTCTATTATGTGGTCGCCCGTCACAACCAACAAGTTCACCGGACCACCCGGGGTGCGTGCCGAGTTCGGGAAAAGTCATCATCATTCCTGGTGCTGCCAGTGGCATTGGATGTGTGTCAATAATCGACTATTTGAAAAATGGTTCCATTGCTGACTGTCGTTGCAGACGAGCAACAGCTCTGAAGCTGGCATCGCTAGGTGCTACATTGGCTCTATGCGACATCAGTGAGCATGGTCTGAGCGGAGTAATGACGGAGTTGGCAAGTGAAATTGAGCATCGATCCTACACATTCTCTGTCGGCTCAAGCGCAGATTGCAATGAGGCCGTGGCATCCATAGTGTCCGACCTTGGAAGGATCGACTTCCTCTTCAACTGCGCCGGCATCAACCCAACGACGCTGGCCATCACCGAAACCACAGACGAGTACTTCGACAAGCTGGTCAACACCAACTTGCGCGGCCCTTACAACATGACTCGCACCTGTGTCCCCCATCTCAAATCGGGTGCTGCTATTGTCAACGTTGCCAGCATATCCGGCTCGCGGGCGACCAGTGGGTGGTCCATCTACTGCGCCACCAAGTTTGGCATCATTGGCTTCACCAAGGCGATGGCACTTGAGCTGGGACCAAAGGGGATTCGAGTCAACTATGTGGCTCCCGGTATCATTGACACGCCGACGATGGCTGGCAACGTTGCTGGCGGGGACGCGAACGACAAGCTTGTACAGGACATTGCCTTGGGTCGTCTTGGCCAGCCCGAAGAGGTTGCAGAAGTGGTGGTCAACCTTTTTGGTTCTACCTTCATGAAAGGTAGTATGGTTGAAGTTCACGGTCGGATAGGTTGATTATATTATGGCCACACCAAGCATTGCTCCCGCGACATACCGACTGGGTGACGTGCTTTCGACTTCCAGTGGTTCACGAAGCTCCAGGATTAGGTAACTTGCGGCACGTCTATGACCCTGGCGAAAAATCCACACCTGTTCAAGGACCGAACAGGATCCTATCAGGCTCCCAATGCCCCTGCATCAGAACTGGAGCCGGACCCGGCTAGAAAGAGGATCTTCGGCCAGCAATGATGCTCGCGCGCATGAGCCTGCCAATGTGTTTCCATTCTACCTGGACACCCAGAGCATTGTGCTCCATGTCCATTCCACGGTCGACAGCAGGTGAAATCTTTCACACGGCGTCCATCACCCCATCATCACTCCCATCATCGCTCCCATTCATCACTCCCATTCATCACTCCGTGACGCCCACTCGATGCCCTTTGCAGGTTGTATCTTAGCAAGCATATCCCATCCCGTCCCCTCATCCACCGACAGCTCAGTCTGCCAGCTCGGTGTCATCTTGTCGAATTCTGCAGCGTCCACACAGAATTCGACATGATCACGGTACTTGGGCCAGGGGGCATGGAGCTTGTTGGGACCAACGTCGAGTACAAACCCAATCTTTACTCCCTTTGGGTCAACCCGACCACAGTAACCATGCCCGGGAATCTCCCAATGAGAGACAAGCTCGGTCCAGCGGTCTTCGATCCCTCTACCCAACCACTCACCGATTTCGAGACCGAATCCCAGCATCGGCGGTTGCGTCAAGAACATCTGCTCCGGGTTTATTTCTACCTCCTTCTCCTCTTCTTCGTCTCGTTCTTCTCCCTCCTCCTGCACGTGTCCGTCCCCGTTCTCAAGACGAAGACGCTGAGTATCTTCTTCGTCGAGCTTCGAAGGGAACACCGCCCTCCTGTGATCGGCCACCTGACGGCGCGCCTTGGCGCAGTCCTTCATGCGACGATGCAGCTTGGTGAATGGGTTGAAGACCGGGAGGTTAGCTGATGGGCAGATGACTCCCCGCTGATCGTCTCCGGTCATCACGAGGCTGCATCTGCTGGTGGTGCTCTTCGCCGCAATACGAACGTATATACTGCCCCTAGCCATGTACTCGGTCGTACTCGCCTTAAGGAATAGTGCCTTCTTGATGCCACTGGACCGCCTAACAATCTTGAAGCAGTCCTTGTTGATGCGTTGGGAGACGAGCAGGTCCCGGAGCGGAAGGTGTAGTAGGATACGCTCGAGGAGCTCGTAGACGGCGAAAACTTCGGCTGCTGTCGCCATGATGACGGCGATGGAGTTGTGGATGGTATCGAGATGGTCGTGAGTTGACCTCGTTGTGCGGTGTCAAAATAAGTGTTTGCAAAAGGTGAACGGTGTAATGTTTGTTCGGGTGCGCCTTGCAAACGAAGGTCCAGTCACTGGGTGGCTTGATTGGATAGATCCCTCCATGGGCCTGGAGCTGGGACCTGGTACTAAATACACACTCTAACCACAAGGCAGGGCTTATCCTTTGATCTGCCAGGCAAACCCTTTTCATACCGTACATCCAAGGCCCCTTTGACCCATTTTATCCCTTCCAGCTGCAGCCAGCTGCGTTCACACCTGACAGGCTCTAGATGGCTTGGGAGGATCTACGATTGATACGAATAGAGTTAAAACAGACAAGCCGGTTGGAACCCATCACGACATGCTTGGAGCATGATAACACGCGTCGTCTTAAGCTGCCTCCTGAGACTTGCAATAAGAACCTAGTAGGAAGCTTCTCGTTTAGCACGATCTTGATAAACAGCCAGAGCAGACTAGTCTTGAGCTCGTAAACCCAACAAATGAGAAAGACTGGTGGTGATATAACATAGTATCGCCAATATTGCTGAGCTACGATATGGCCGCTACCACCATACTGTAATGAAAACGAGGAATGCGTTATAGATGCCCCAACGTCTCCAAAAAAGTAGGCTTCCCAAGTCAAGGTTTCTCCGAAAGGCCTAAGAGGGCTATGATGACGCCCCGAGCAGTCGCATCAAACATCTTGTGATCGTTGCTGTGGTCGTTGCTGGCGTCGTCCTCCCATACGAATATACAAAACCGCCATGGATCCGATGACGACCGGCACTGACAGTGCTACCACCACCCACGCGAATATTAAATACCCTTCCATATCGTCGAGTCGATGTCTTTTTTCGTCGTGACCGAATTTGTCAAAAGCGTTGCTGGTGGTTTTGTTGGTGATCGAAAGGAATGAAACAGGGCAGGTGGATAATTGTCTTGTTGCTGTGTTGTGCGGGAGAGGGCTAACAAGAGTGCGAACGAGAAGACGTGTTCAAGAAGGCACTATATAGTAGAAATTTCCGAAGATGGTGGAGGTTGGAAGTCAGGAGGGATGGGCGGTGACGCAAAATCATAGCCATTGTATTATCACTATTCCAATAGTCACTCCATACTTGTACGAATCGCACATGCAGCGTGACATATGAGCTGCTCACCAAATGTTATTCTCCTTCCTCTGTGTCCCGCAGAAGATGTAGCAGCTCAAGTCACCATGTGATGACTGTGTCGATTCTATCGAAATTCTGGACTTGAGAATCTCCATGGAAATTCCGCGCTAGGCCGTACCAAGCCGGCCTACCAGATGAACACCTGATTCACATATATGTTCTGTACAGTTATGCCTTTGTGGCAGCGGAACCAGAACAGAGATCTATCACAAGTGTTGGTTGGGATGATCTGTATTCTGGTTGGTGCTTGGTTACGTTCGGATGGGAAGGATCCCATCCGAGAAGTATGTAAATACCTATAAATTACAGTGGGTTGGTACCTGTCACCTGGGGCAGCCAACCCAGGTAACCTTATCGTAGAACGCCCTGGATGACAGGAGATCCGATAAGGTACTGGTGGCTGGATCCAGTGGCTGGGATCCACACAGTTGCCATGGTATGTAGAAATCAGGGGGCTAGTGTATAAGACTCCACGTGAGGCTGGTTCGCGACCCTCTTACCTACAGGAGCAGGTCGTTCGTCACTTGTCTCCCTATCACACACGAGGCGGACCAACATGAAACCAATGGCATCAGATCCAGATGACAGTGCCCGTAGAAACCACTTGATGTTTGGCATTGCATTCAGTCTCGGCTCATTATCCTTCGGCCCTACGGCGGCGTGGCATGACCTTGCACAGTATCAATCACCCCAAACGCATAAGGCCAACCCCAAAAATCCTCCATCACGACCCATCCATCACGCGGTCAAGCCCCCCCTTACTCGCCAGATAAGCCGCCCCGGAATCGGCCCAGACCTCATACCGTACGACCTTATTACCCTCGTCAAACGCCAGCTTATAAGCAAACGTCTCGTCCCAGCTCTGGCCCGTGGCCGTCCACGTGAAGCGCGCCGAGCCGCGGACCGCGACCCTGCCCTCGACAGCATCCACAACGTAATCGCCGAACCGCATGTCCTCGTAAGTAAGGCACGTGCCGATGGCCTCGAAGTACTCGGCCACTCCCGCGCGGCCGCGGAACTCGCGGCCCAGGAAGGGCGCCAGCTGCGGCAGGCCGTGCTCGAGGGCGAGGATGTCGCTGTCCTTTGTGCTTGTGCTTGTAGTGGATGTGGCTGGGGGGGAGGCGCGCGCGAAGTGGCCCATGATCTTGTCGGGCGAGGCTTTGTTGGCGAAGCTCGTGCAGAAGGCCGTTGCTGCTTCGAGGAGCTCGGCGCGCTTGTGGTACGGCATTGTGTAAGTGATTCTTAGGTAGGCAAGTCGGAAGAGGGTGTATGGGCCTTCAGCTTGGTGCGTTCTACTTGGATATACTCAATGTTGCGGTGGTGTTAGGTGATGTGATTAAGGGTTGACGTCACAATCTCCTAACACTGAGATGCTTCTATTGAGCTGGAGATTTGGTACTTCAAGTAGGTAGTCACTAGTCCCACCGACTTTCGAATTTGGCTTTCTCGGGGATCCCACCTGGACACAAACCCCATTGATCATAATAACTTAGCCCGACTGATACAAATTGGATCAGGTGAACTATGAAAAGCGACTCTCCTCTGAAATCGAGAAGTGCCACCTGCTCCTGGCAGGTGTAGGACAGCTGTCTGGCAGCTGGTCGTTGAGATGCCCATCTGAGACAGGAACGCCTGTCATCCATCCTCAATTGTCCCCACACCATCATGATGGACAGGATGGAGAAGCGTCCATTCTCGAGGCCGCCCGTCGACACAGATAATGAAAGCCCCTTAAGCTCTAGAATTTGATGTTCTATTCAAGCCGGAGCGAAGGCTGGTTGCTCTGTCGTCGTATGTACGTTATTATACACAAAGTAGCATTTTGACCTCCCAACGCGTTCCCTGGTCTGTCTAGACCACCACCACCATCATCATCATCATTACGCAGAACGTCGCGAACGTCGCGAACGGCACTTCTGTCTAGGTAAGAACGACCCCTCCAAGAAGGTGTTGGGTCGCGGGCCCTTGCCCTCCAGCCAAGCGTTGATCGCAGCGTGGATAGCGGCGGGCTTGCGCCCGGGGTTGATGACCGTGGTCGTGTGGTTCGACAGGGCAGCCATCGTGTGGTTCGACCAGGCAGTCGTCGTGTGGTTCGACAAGGCAGCCATCGTGTGGTTCGACAGGATCGTCGTCGTGTGGTTCGACAGGGCAGCCACAAGAGGAAGAGGCTTGGCGGCCGGTGGTGGTGTCACATCGTGAAGAGCGTTCCCAGCGGCGCCGCCGCTCTGGGATCCGCGGATGAGGTCGGCCGCCTTCTCGGCGACGGCGTAGACGGCCGACTGCAGGTGGGCGCCGGGGATCGTCGGGAACACGCTGGCGTCGACCACGCGCAGGCCCTGGACGCCGTACACGCGCAGCTGCGTGTCGACGACGCCGCCGTGGTCGCGCGCCAGCATGGCCGCCGTGCTGGTCGGGTGGAAGTCGGTGCGCACGCCGCCGTACAGGCTCTGGCGCAGCGTCGCGTCGTCGACGTCGGGCCCGTAGCCGGCGGGGGCCACGGGCTTCAACGGCTTCATGGCGTCGGTCGCCACCAGCTTATCATTCCAGCGCAGCCCGCGCATCAGCAGGTCGCAGTCGAAGGCGTGGGAGCAGTAGCGCGGGTCGATCAGGGGCGCGTCGAAGATGGAGCTGGACGAGGCGGTGATGTTACCGCGGCTGAACGGATGCATTACCGAGATGGTCAGCTCGCCGTACGAGGTCGGCATGCTCTCCCAGGCGGGCACGTTGCTCTGCCCGAGGATACCGAGCGTCGCGCTGATCTGCGCCTCATAGCCGCGTTTCATCTCGTCGTCGTAGTGAGCCGGGAGTTCGTTCTGGACCTGGCCGCTCCTGACGCTCTGGATGAGCTCGTTGCAGTCGTCTGCGACACTCGCCAAGGAAGGGTAGGCAAGCTGGCTGATCATAGGGGTTGAGTAGGGACCGGTGCCATATTGCTCCCATTCATTGAGGGCATCCTGCTGTTCCTGGCCGGTGAGGTTGTTGCTGGTGAAGAGACCTGCCTCGGCGAAGTTGTACTCGGGAGATACCATGGGGTGGTCTTGCAGGTTGTTGCCCACGCCCGGAAGGTCGACAATGACCTCGACACCGATGTTCTCCAGAGCAGCGCGACGGCCAATGCCCGAGATCTGCAGCAGTGTGGGAGTCCACACAGCACCGCCGGAAATGATGACTTCTCGTCCGGCTTTGACAGTGCTGACGGGGCCGGTGGCGTTGATGGCAAATTCCACGCCCGTGGCTCGGGGCTCTTCGCCGGACTTGTCGAACAGGATACGAGTTGCCTTGGTGCCGATCAGCAGGTCCAGGTTCGCGCGGTCGGCAACAGGATTCCAGTAGGCCGTGCGGGCACTCGACCGGCTGCGGGTGATGTCTTCTATGCTGGCCGGAGCCATGCTTGCGCCCGTCATGTTGCCGGTGTTAGTGTCACCAACGATTGTGACGCCTAGTTCAGCGCATCCATTGAGGAACCTCTCGGCCTGCTCTTCGTAGTAGTAGGGAGTGTACTATATCATACAGGTCAGCTTTCAGTCCTTGAAACCCGTGGCGGGATACACTTACAGACACCTCAACTGGCCCGTCCTGACCGTCTATATAGCCCGAGTCAGCTCGTTCGCCGACACAAATAATGCGACAGAAGCAAGGCAACATTTAGGAAATGTAAGCTTACGTATCCCGGACCCAGGAGCGATGTCCAGGTCTTTTGCTCCAATTTCGGTGGCCGTGCCGTTGAAACTCTCCGATTTCTCGAAGTAGGGGAGCAGCTCGGGCCAGCTCCAGCCCTCGTTCCCCAGGGCTCCGGCCCAGGAATCATAGTCGGCAGACGATGCCCTGGTCCACACGAGGCCGTTCAGCAGGGTCCCGCCACCGACCACCTTGCCCTGCGGGTAACCACGCGTCTTCCCGTTGAGGAACGTCTGCGGAACGGTGCTGAAGCCGTAGTCGAGATAGCCGGCCCACTCACGGCCGACCGAGCCGGGGGCCATGATCCGGTAGTCATCGTCGTCGAGCACGCCAGCTTCGATAACGAGCACGTTGACTGGCAAGGCTTGTGTTAGCAGACGAACGGTACGGTATGCCGGTTTCAAGGCTCACCGTTTTGGTCTTCGGTCAGACGATGGGCTACGACCAGGCCCGCCGCACCACCACCCACGATGACATAGTCGTACTGTTCGCGGACGCTACCGCCGGGTTGGATCACTCCTGCCTTTGCCAACGAAAGCAGGGAGCAAATAGAAAGTAGGCCTCTTATCGACCGCATTGTAAAAAGAGAGACAGAGCCGAAAATGGCAATGAAGAATATGTATAATCTTTGGTATACGGCCGATATGAAACGACCGTGAGAAGGAATGTGGTGTTAATGAGTGTGGTAATGACTGTGTTGACGATAAAATCCATGCGTGCGAAGACCGAGCGGTGTCCCTCTGTACATAAGGGTTTTATATCATGATTTCCGATCACATCTTTCACTCCCAGTTCCCTGTCACCTGCATACCGAGTGCTCTCCATCTTTCACTCCCCCTGGTCTGCCGCCAAGTGATCGGTCCTTCGTCGCCTGGGGCTATCCTGCGCTGAACAGGGATCCCCGGTGGTCGAAGGCTCACTCCAAACCCATTGTCCTGTGTTGTTGTTTGCCTTCGCTGCTGCGTCTTTCTAGACTGCTGCCCGCCATTCTGCATCCAGTCTTCTATTCTTGAATATGTAACGTGTTAGAAAAGACTTGCTGGAGGAACAGCAGTCTTTAGTTTTCCCTCTTGATGCTGACATAGGGCGACCAATCCGACGATATCGTCCAATGGCGTCTTCACCAAGCCGGTTTTATTAGGCGGCTAGCCCTCACTGTCAAGCCCGTTTTGACTATGTATCTTCGGATCTCTGGAGCGCATTGGCACGACAGAACTTTATCGGTCTGTGCAGGGGGGCTTTGTTTGTTTCAGGGCCGCGCTATTGACTACAAGTGGAGGGAACTTGCTCCATAGAGGTAGCTGGTTCCACCATGGGCATTGCGATCATCTGGGGCCGCAGGGAACATCCCACCATCTGTGGATAATAAGGGTCCTCTAGTCCCAACGATCCAGATAAACATGTGGAGGCTGTGCTGCAGACTGCCCGATTGGGTGTTTCACTGTTTCTGTGTTGTCAGTTCTCACTTGTTGTTCGACTTCAAGTTGAGTACGGAATGACCGCAAATATGGGTCAACGGCGTTTGGAGCGCTGACGTGTAGAGCTTGATGCTCGAGCGTCCTAGTCCATAGAGAGAGAAAATACATTTATTGGCGATATGGTAACGACTCCTCTATCAGGCCCTCTAGCACGCCGAGCGTTCTCTAAAAGGGGACTCAGCTGCTATAGCACTGCAGCTATACTGTGATACATCACTGATACTGCTATGTCAGGTGGGAGGAAGACGTAAAGGACGACAGGAAAGAAATCATGTCTACCACAGCTCAAAGCTAGAGGCAGGTGGGTATGCTTTATTCTGGCAGCACCTCAGAAGTTGGTATCGATCCAGGAGTATTAGCATATAGCTTCCCGCATATGATATGCATACTCTTTATCTCGAGGAAGGTGTGTATGCACCCGGCGCTGAGGCTGGTTAGGTGTTAGCCTATAACAAAAAAGGGGGTTCAGGGGCTTTGGTCATCGCATGTATACGTTCGGAGACATGATACGAAGGTCTAGCATTATGATCTGGCTACGGAAAGATTACGAAGCAAATCACAGTCTGGACGAGGTATTGAGTAAGGTGCCATGCGAGGATGTAAGCTCGACCTGGGATAGGCTGGAACGAAGACAAGTCACACATCTCGCTCTAGCAACTATGTACAGAGCCCGGAACACAATACCATGGGTTGTTTCAAGCCACTTCCGCCAACGCTGCTCAAGATGAAGCTTGGTAAGCATTCAGAGACAGACAGACTTGGCGATCATAAAACCTACCCCGAGACAAGTTCAACGACGGATCCAAGGTCAGTCGCGCTCTTTACATACTCATTACACTCGGATAAGCAACAACTTGGATAGTATTTTAGTAGATCACATTGAGAAAACCGCTCTGTACATGTGCTTATACAATTTTTATTCCAAGCAACGCAGCTCCGCGCGGTGCTTGTGAGTATGCTCATATAGCTACGCAAGGCCTCACAGACCACAAAGCGCCCCAGATTGCCCGATCAAGCCAGGCCGGCGCATGATAGAACCAGTAATACTCTGGAATTCTTCCAATATTCAAACACTAAGCTACCGGCCGTCGCTGCTATACCGACGTCTCTTGACTCCTACCGGGCTGGGCGACCGGCTTTCGCTATACCTGGCCCGCTTCCGTGGTGCGCTGCTGATCGAGCTCGAGTTCCTGCGCCGCCGGGGTGGTGATGCTGATCTGGTTGGCAGGCGACCGCGCTTCGGGGGTGGTGACACCGATCTCGTAGGCAGACGACCGCGCTTCAGAGGTGATCGCGGCGAGCGAGAATAGCTCGACCCCCGGCGGCGTGTTCGTGCTGGAGGACTAGCCGAGCGTGAGTCTCGCCTCGCAGGGGGTGCTGCGCGCCGCGGCGGTGGACTGCGGCTGCGTGAAGGTGTGTACGAGCGTGAGCGGGAAGGTGACAAGCTGCGACCGCGGCTATCCGATCGAGCCCTATCCCCCGGGCGGGTGGGCCGTACAGGAGATCTGGATCTTGAATAACTAGGACTCCGCCGGCGCTGCCGGGGTGGACTAAGGGTGTATGAGGCCCTGCCGTTGGTCCGGCGAGGTGGACTTCTGGAGGGGCTGTAGGAGCGGGAACGTGAGCGAGAAATACTCCTGCTGTACGATCTTGGTCTTCCTCGTCTCGGTGGCGTACGTGATAGTGATCGGCCCCTGTCCAAAGTTTTCCGCGGTGGAGTCCTGGACCTGGATCGAGACGAATAGGAGGATCCGGTGTATGATGAATAACTCGACACAGAGTCCGAGTCTGACTCGTCGGCAGCCGCTGGAGCGGGAAGAGCTGGCTTGGGTATATTCGCCAAATATTCTCTCATCTCCTCCGTTAAGGCTCCCATGCCAATACTCGTGAAGTAGTTGATCGAGAAACGCACGTTGCGGGCGTTGTCTCGAGGGAAGAGGCCCTCAAAACTTGGTCGTAGCGTTTCGTCCCTCATGCGTGTCTGAAGCTTTGGCATGCCCAGTTCCTCGGAGATCTCCTGAAACATGATCTTGATGAAGATACGAGAGGCCGAGGTTGTCTCGTCCTCATTCAAGTGGATGGCGGACATGGCATGCCAGCCAATGGCGTCCGAACCGAACAAATGACCAAAGAATCTCGCAATGTTGCGCAGTCGGTTCGTCTCATATCGGTGGATGGTGCTATAGTAGGTTTGGAAAGACTGCTCAAACAAGTCTGTCCAGAGTCTGTTGATCTTGGCGAATCGCTCTCCTAACAGCCCAAAGAATTTGGTGTAGGTCTTTTCCTGTGAGCAACATTCCACGATCATTGAAGGTAACTCTGGCTCTTGACCTGCTGGCAAGTTGATCTTCATAAGTTTGTGAACGGCTGCTTCGGGCTCCAAGGAGTTCATGATGGTAAGGTATATCGTCTTGCGGAGATTCACCAAGTCTGTATTAGACTGGTCCTTGACCTCCATGGATTTCTGCTCCGCGTCCTCTTCTTCTGAGCTCTCGTCATCTTCGTCGTCGTCATCGTCGGAATCGCTTCCTTCGCCGAGGATCTCGGCCTTGAGTCTCTTGTATGCTGCTTCGTTCTCCTCCCATTCCTCGTCGAATTTGAAGATGTTGAGTCCGTCCTGGACGTCAAGGGCAACGTTCAACTCGACATTATGCGTGATTTGATCCTCTTCTTCGATCAAGTCCAGCTCTTCCTTGATTGCCGGGTTGTCCTTGAACTTGTCTTTGCGGATCTGGAAGAGAACCTCGACCATATATTGCGTCCTCTTGTCGATATCGGCCTCGTGAAGGATGTTTCTGAACTGATCAAATACGGCCATAGCGATTGTCGAGCTCATCTCCTCCATATGCTGCCCAACCTCCTTGGTCAGGCCCACGGCAATTTCCACACTGTCGTCTGTCGGCTTGTGCAAGAGCAGTAGCAGTATTTGTGCGGCCAACATTTCGTGGACGACCTGCTGATTCACCAGGTGCGCAATGAACGTCGTGGAGGACAAGCAAACGGCCTTGTCGTTCCGCTTGAAGCCTTTCCGGAACTGCATGATCAAGCGCTTGACCAGCAGCTCGCCCACCTGCGGCAGCTTGGTGTTGACGATGGCGGCCATGGCCGCAAGTACAGGTGTGAAGGGTAAACTGGCAGCCTGCGCCTTCATGATACTCCGGCAGAACAGGCCTCGCCCTCTGACGAGGTTCTCGTTGAACAGCTCCGGGACGATGTGCTTGATATTGGAGACATTGACCTTGTTGATGAGACCATTTATGGACTTCTTGAGGGCCTCCCACGCCATGCGCTGGTACTCCTTGCTCGTCTTGTCGGTGATCTGGGCCTGCAGGGCGCGTAGACGCGCTGGCGGAATGTAGGTACCTCCCGATCGCATCGTCAGCAGCTTCTGGTATTCGGCCTTCGCAGCAGCCTGTTTCTCCTCCTCGGTAGGCATCTTCGGTGGTGTGCGCTGACGGGGGGAGCGGCGGTAGCGACCGGGCCTGTACTTGTCGCCGTTGTCGCCGTTGTCGCGATGGTTCGCTTTGCGGTCTTCGTGGCGACGGGGTTTCGCTATTTCGTTGGGCGAGCGCTCGCCGAGATGCGAGGGCTTCGTTTCGACGTCGGCCATGGCGTTGTCGAATGCGCCGTCGACGTTATGGATGCGAGTTGGAGATGTATTCAGGCAAGGCAGGATTGAATAAGTTGAGGAAGACGGGGTTGGGCGAGGCTGGCAAAAAGGTTGAAGCTTTCGGACAAAGTGGGTCGACATAGAAAAATGCATAATCACCCGGCATGAGCAGTTTCTTCAGTGCCCGTGCTTATGCTTCTCTGCATAATTTTATCCGCGGCTACATTACAGCGCGACCCTCATTCTCTTCTCCTTATTACGTCGCGTCTTCTGCGACTCCGTCCAAATTCACTAGGAGACTTTCCCTCAGGCCAGGTCATCCCCAACCACAAGCACCGCAACGCCGAACGCACCACCAACAACAACAACAACCACCAACACCATTCTGTACTTTCTCTACCGATACGCTCTTTATTTGACCAGGGGGAAGCCTTACGACTTTTAATCTACAATGGTGCGTGCCCCTCGTTCCTCTGCCTCTGTCTCTGCCTCCTCTGCCTCCGCGCATGTGCTAACCACGGCAACAGCTCGGCACACTCGTCGGCCTCGCCATGCTTGTGGCCGCCTCCTTCGTCTTCCTCTACTACTCCATCTGGACGCTGGCAATGGTACGGAGCCCCCTCTTCTCGTCCCCCCTCGCTGCCCCCAATCCATGACCTACCTCCCTCCCCTCACCCATGTACCTACCTACCTACGCAGTAACTAATTGCCAAAACACACGATTACAGCCCTTCGTCGACTCGGGCCACCCGTTGCACGACTTCTTCCCGCCGCGCGTCTGGGCCGTCCGCCTACCTGTCATCCTGATCTTGCTCGCCTCGGCCGTGGTCGGTTCCTTCCTCAGCGTCGTCATGATCCGCAGTAACAGAAAGAAGGCTGCCAAGGCCAAGGCGGCTGCTGCGAAGAAGAAGGCTTAATTTGGGTGCGCTTTTACGAAGAAAGGGATGGGAGAGCAATTTAATGATCCGGGGGGGTTGCGCGCAAGGGTGCCACAGAGTCAAGCTCCTTAATCTGGGCGTTTCTACTGTCCCCCTTTCGGATACCATCACGTGTCGTGCTACTACTACGGATTACCATTCAGCGTATGGTTACGGGCCAACTTCGAGCGCGAAGCCGTGTGACTGCTTACGGCAAAAGTGACACATGCTGGGGACAGCCATGGTGACTTGATGGTATCTAATTGAGTTGCGACCAACTCCTATTGATAACGAGACTCTACACATGTCACGTGTCTCAGTAATGCCATACAATGCAATTACTCCAATTCCAACCAGCCAAACGTGTGCTCATCCAAGTAAAGCGAGGGTAAACCAGTCCAGCATGTGGCCGAGACAGGGGAGTGATAGACATCACAAGGGACCAAACCAGACTCCCTGCAGTATTCGCGTCCCACTGACCGACCCGCGCCAATGGAGCAGACCCCAAGGCACGAGTGCCTTCAGACCCTCTGGTCAGCAAAATCCAGCACTTCACAGTCATCCTCGAAGAACCCGTCTTCCTCGGCCTCCGAGGGCCGAGTTCCGCCGCGGCGTCGACGAGTTGTCACCACTATTTGCTCATCGTTGTCACCAACCTGCAAGACTCGTTCCATAGCCGAGACAGGCAGGGCCCGATGATCGTCGATGCTGTTGCTGATGTCTTCGTCTATCAAGCTTGGCAGGCCTACGTCCAGCTTGACTGCGCTGATGACATGCCCGAAAGCCCACGCTTGCTTCGCTGCTGTCTTTGGCTGGTGCCGTTTACTGCGCTTTGGTGTATCGTCCAAGCTCGCCGATTCGAGATGCCGAGCTACAGTCGATGGCGAAGTGCCGCCAGGTTCGGCACCGTGTACGTAAAGGCCAACTCGTCTGTCGGTATGGAATGGCTGGTAAGGAGCACTAGACTCTATCTCGGCTTGCGGGATCGAAGCCTCGGGGCTGTGCTCAGATTCGGCAGATCGTGGTCGAGAATGAAGGACCAGAGTATTACCGCCGTCGTTGTCTTGGTTGGTAATGTCGAGATCATCAATGGGGTCAATGATATGGTTGATCGCTGGCGCAATTAGGTCGCCGGGTAAGTTCTTCAACTTGAAATCCTTGTACCTGCTGCCTCGGGGAAAACGGGATTTGTCCTTTCCAGGGACCGGCTTACGGGTCTTGGCCGGGAAGGTTCTGACCAGCCCATCTCCTACCACAAACAAGGAGTCATTCTTCTTGCCCGTGATCCATATCGCACAAGACGGTGCAGGTGACATATTTCGGACTGGCAGACTGACGCGATTCTCTCCGGTGTGACGCAGCTGGTTGATGGCACTGCCGGCATTGCCTAAGGAATGACTAATTCCTGCGGCTAGGACCTTGCCTCCGTAGCTTGCGTGGTCTTTGATAGTCGACGGCGCTGCCTGTGAATTGGAGTTGCTGCGGTGCTGACGGTTGATCAAGGGCCGCGTGGCACCATAGGCAGAGCTTAAAGCGTTTGACGCCATAGATACCGCAGAAGTAGGTGTGCTTTCCGAACCTCCAACCGCGCCTTCTGGAGCATTACTCCGTCGGCGTGGAGGAGGCCAGCTATATGCGCTCGGCGGCATATCTAGTAGGTGAACAGTGCCTCTCTCGGTCACCATCGCAGCCCGCCCTCCGTTTGGCTTTGCCCACGCAACATCCACTATGCGAGCGACGGTCATACGCGAAAACTGGGCGACTTGTCTGACCCGTGTAGTATGACCATTGTTCGGCAATGAGCTTTGCAGCGGCGATGACTTCGTGTACTGGATACGCATCAGGTCCCAGACCGTCTGTACGTCGCCTTTACTGCTGGCAGTGAATAGCGAAAGACCTGTGGGAGGAAACGACAGGAAGCTACAGCCCAGTGGTGCCTTGAAGGTAGTAACATGATGGATTGCAGCCGAGTTGGCTAGGCTTTGCAGATCAATGATTGATACTAGGCCTGGTTCTTTGGTCACCGCTTGGCCAGATATGCCGTACGTCGGAGGAAATTGGGAGGCGTCTGATCGTCCAGGATAACTTGGTCCCCAAGGAGGTGAGCCTGCGGGGGGCTGTCGAGTCGATGGTTGCTGGCCAGGTTTCCAGTAATTACTCCAGAGCTGCATGCCTTGTTTACCAACCCAGCGTGCTCCTTGTATGAATTCTTGAGTGGTTTCCCTCATGATGCGGTTCATAACACCATCAGATATGGGCTGGTCGACATCGGAACTCTCGTTCGGTAACACTGGCGAAGTGAGCGTCGCCAGCCCCGGTGCTTTGCCTTCCAGTGGCACTGGGATAGACGCGTTCAACGCAATCTGAGATGAAGGAGCTGGCGGGCAATACGCTAGCCATCTGCCGTTGACAGAAAAAATGGGCATCTGCGGACGCTTCCGTGGAGGGATCGGGTTTTGACTTCCTTCCTCTTCCGAGGTTGGATCGCCTCTAAGTCCTTGTTGCAAGCTCGTCCACAACTTGCCTACACAGCGGAATTGGTAACCAGGCTCTTGCTCGTAACTCGCTTGCCGATAGACCCAGCACTCGCCCGTCGTTCCTGAAGAAACAACAACGCTTCCATCGTCAGCGCGAACCTGAAAGGCACCACTGGGCGGAGGACTTTGGAAGATGGGATTCGACACAGAAGCTTTTATAGGAGTCTTCGGCGCTTGCAGTAAAACATCGATCAGTCTGTTCGTGGCCAACGAATACACCTCGACCGATGTCTGGTAAGCCTCAATAATCGGCACTGCTTTCCCAATGTTGACCTGCCTCTGGTTGGACTCTGACTGCGGCGGGCTAATACCTTCGAGCCTAGGGCTAGAGGCGTTGTCAAAGTGCGACTCGATCGCAATTTCAGGGGCGATAGGCGGAGGAACTGGCCCATGGACAACGACAGCAACCAGAGGAAAATTGCCGTATGGGTCCGAGATACCGTTCCACGGCAGTATCTTGGCGTTGTAGACACCACCTCGCAGCCCTTTCAAGCTAGCGATTGGCTCTACACCACGCTTACCGACACTATAGATGTCAAGACCGCCCTCGTAGCCTGCGAGTGCGACGTTGTCGCCACCGGGCATGTGAGCGCCATTTAGCCTTGGGAGCGTGTCGAACCCGAAGAAGAAGCCTCTTTCTCCCGCCTTCAGACCAGTTTTGGGGTGTAAGTCGAAGTCAACCTCTGGAGCTCCGAAGAAATGAGGTTGGGCCTGGTGAGGCAAAGGGGGTTGCGGTCCACCCCGAGGCAGTGCGAAAGGCGAGTGCATCGAGCTTCTTCGTATACCCGGAGGCGATGATGCTTGAGAGCGAATGTCACTAACAGGGTAATGGTCCATCTGAAAGCTCAAGGGTCGTCTGCTGCCGTTCGGAGGCGACGCCGAGTATGCATTGTTATTAACATAGTGCCGCTGTTGCTGCTGCGCACTCCAGGCATATTGCATAGCCCTTGGGTCTTCATACGAAGATGGTTGTGTAGGTGGAGAGTCACCCATGATGCTGATGAGGTTTGATGGTGAGCCGGCAAGGGGTCCCATCGCCTTGGCCCAGTCATTAGCACTCGGTGCCGTGCTCGCAGAGACGGACGTTGTCGAGGCGGCATCTAATAGCGGAGACGGTGCGGACCGGCCGTTTGTCGGGATTGAGGCAGGAGAAGCAGGCTTCAGCTCCGGGGACTGAGGCGGAGGTGACTCAGGGGGTGGAGCGGCGTCTTTAGCAGTGCTGCCATTACTGGAAGAGATGGCGTCAGTTGCCAGCGCTGTCAAGGAAGAACACGGGGGAGCAAGCTGATGGTTGATGCCGAAATAGCTCAGATATCCAGAGCGAACATGACCAAGAATAAGGAAAAGACGCACGAGAACTTAGCTCCATGTCTTGTCACCGCCGCGACCACTCCACCACTATCTTTGGCATTCTTGTCCTTCTTCTTTGGACCTGGCCCATCACCTCCAGTAAGCTTCTGCTTTCGTTTGCTGCGGCCTTTCCCCTGGGGAGAGGAGGAGACCGAGGCCGGGGAGGTATCGCGGATGGACGAACCGGGCATAGAGCGGTGCTACCAGGGGAAGCTGGGGCAGTTGCCTGCTCGCCAGCAGAGGAGCTCTCTACACGGAGCTCGACTCTCGGGAGAGAGGTGGCTTGTCTGCTAATCGACGTGGGCGATCAAGATGGATTCGTGGTGAGGGAGTTGGGAAATATCGTGGGTGCTACAGGAAGGGTTGCTTGCTTGTTGGGTAGGTAGTTGGTCTCGATAGGAGAGGGACGGTAGCGGAAGTCGGAGCGCGCGTCGAGGCACCCGAGGTTACTGGCGGGGAACAAAGAACAAAGATGCAGCCCAGCCGAAGAATGGTATTTATTACGTTCGTAGAAGGAGTTGGTCAAGCAAAAGGCGTGCAGTATAACAATAGTCAGAGTGTATTCACAGAAGATGCTAGCATGGTATGGTATAGTAGTGATAGGAGATGGGGAGAAGGAGACAACGAGACAGATCCATGGATGAGATGGGTGAGAGGTAAGTGACGACGAGTGCCTCACCAGCTCACCTGCACCGTCGCTGCGGTCTCTGGAGACTGGGACGCGGGGCAGCTGATCGCAGCCCACCTGGCATGCGGCATGGAGGGAAGTGGGGGATACCTTGCAGGTACCTGTCACAGAAGCAGGGGCGCGCAACGTGCGGCAAATAGGCAGAAGTGATAGGCGGCGCAGGACGCGCTAAAAGGTGGGCTACGTATCATCGCCATATGGTCTCGGTCCTGCATGCATGGTTTTTACCACTTGCACATATCCCTTTCCTGTAGGTGAAGATAACTCCGACCTTTGCTTATCCGAGGCCGAAGACTCACTGCAATAGCCGTTCCGGATCATATAGATTTCACAGGATATATCTGTGTTGTTGGCATAGGTAGTGGTAGGTAAGGTTTCAACACATCCAGCCAAGACAGCCCAGATCCCAATGTCGATCATAGGTACCGCCGGACATCGGCAATCGTCACGGTACAGTCCGCATTGCCGCGGTCAAGTGGCCTATCCAACTGATAACGCCTGCCCTTCAGCTGGGCAGCTGGGCAGCTCGGGGAGGGGTATCGATTGCGCTGGATTCATCAGCGACTAGCACCAGTGCACCACCACCACAAGGGGCCGGCCGGATTCATGTGAGATCTGTCCGCTCTGCTCAACAGGTTGGAACAATGCGAGGGACAATGGGCGTCGCTGCGTCATCGTTGGGCTCCGAGACAGGCTTCTTAGGTTCCAAGCTTGCCAGCCCTGGAGGTCAGTCACCCCGCCGTCTTGGGAGCCAAGGTGAGCAAGCTGGCAAGGTGAAAGAGGACCCGCAACTGTTATCGCTCATCAACCTGTTTTCCCGCAAGAGTCAAAGGACCACCCCTCATTGCACATGATAGGTACCATGATATGCCCTTATTTCAAGGTGATTCATTCGTATTGTCATAATCGTGTCACGCCGGATCTACCTATCTACCTAGTAGATACCTGCCTGTCCGCACGCGCCAATGTGACGAATGAGGTGGTCACGGATGACCCAGGTCAGCAGCGCAGTCGGCTCGAGGCGGAAGACACGAGCATCACTCTTGCTATCCCTGGACCCTCAACTACTAAATTCAGCTGAGAAAAGCCACGGGCCTGCTTGCAACAGTCCGTCTGCCAAGCGTGGAGGCTGTCTAACCCCAACACCCAACATCTGGGCGCATAGGTATATAGGTCCTTAGATAACGCAATAGCGCCGCAATATTCTAGGCATTGGGGAGATGGCGACATGGCCAGACCGGCGCCGTAAGTGGGTTTAAGACTCCCACTGAAAGCTCCCAACACTCATCAGCCGAGCTCTACCAGACGAGTGATGCCTTCAACCCGAAGCCGGTTTACTACAGAGATCAGCTTCGAACAACACCACCTCACCCATAAGTACATAGGGTATCATAGCCTTCATGGCAACTCACGTTATGAAGATAAACCTGGTAGAAGTCATACTTCAGCACGCCCCCCACCTCCCTCAAGGCCGCGCGCCCAGCCCACGTCGCAACGACGTCCTCGCCAGTCTTCATGACGAAGTCCAGCGAGCCGCAGAGCATATACTCGTACGCATCTCCCCGCCCACCACCACCACCATCATCGGAGCCCGCAGCGACCGAAGCCGGAAACACCCTCTCCGGCTTGTGTTTCCGCGACTTGACCTTTTCCCACATGCCCTTGCGGACCTCGCGGATTTCTAGAGAGCGGATCAGCTATTTTAATATCTACAACGAACGAACGAACGAAAGGCAGAAAAGGAAACCAGATTTGACTACTGTAAGTTATTCGTAGAACTTAGGTAGCCAGGCCCTTCTCGACCCAACCCAAGCCAACCCAACTCAACTCAACTCAACTCAACTCAACTCAACCAAAAAAAAACCAAAAACCAGACCGAAAAAAAACATACCCTCGGTACCCCGCGCCGCCTTCTCGCCCATCACAAGCACCGCGTCAGTCGCGAAGAAGTCGACCCACTCCTCGTTCTTGGACGGGTCGTCAGACGTAGCGTAGAAGTCGGCAATGAAGTCCTTGACCCTGCCATCGATCGCAACGTTGGTCGGGTAGGCCGGGGTGTATGTCGACGAGGATGCCATCTCTGGCATCAGTTGGCTATATATGTGAGTATTCGTCTTGTAGCAGAAAGACTTCTTTATGTGTTACGTGGCAGTCGGAGGCGTCCGTACTGTAGAGATGTGCTTGGACGCATACCCAATCAGGATAGAGGTAACATCCGGACTCGGGGCATGGTGCGGGGCAGACCGTATTTACGGTATGTACGCATGTCGGCCGTGTCACAGAATCCATTTGACGATGATCGGTTATCGCTTGGCGGTCCGGGTCCGGTCCGACGATACCTTATGTCAAGGTCCGGATACTCAGAAAGATTCGGAAAGGTTCAGATAAACCATTGGCAACATCTATCATGATGCTCCCCAGCTTGCGATACAACGGTACCAACAGTAATGGGCATGGATTCGGAAGACATCATAGCGTTGGGCAGCCGGCATCTTATGTGTGGAGTACTTATCCCAAATAACAACAGCCCAAGTTCATATCACTCATGTCATAACGCCGGTGGGAGATATCAGGCATATGATATATCACTGCTTATTTTGTCTCAGTAGGTACATTAAACAGACAAGCTATAGACACTGACGCCCTATGCGATCTGCGTAGAGACAGATTTGTCCATGGCCAAGCTCAAGCTTCCACATATAACCATGCAGAGAGTATTGTCCTTGCGCCGCAGCCATGCTAGCAACGTCACATCTTGACTCCACGTGAACTCACTTCACCTCGTCCCCCAATGTTCAGTGATTTACGACATTCGGGGCAATACCACTTTGTCGTGCGCGGTGGGATCTCCGCGAGTCCAACACACTCGAGATGAAACCACTCTTGTTTGCAGTTCTGTTTGTGAGGGGCTGTCAGTCTCTGGCTGTCTCGTCTGTTACTGTTACGTGCTGGGGTTGCATGTGTGTTGTTTGTGCTCACATCAACGTTATCGCACTGTATCATTGTGCCGAAGCTGACCCTGTTGCAAAGACAGTATCTCGGCTCGTTGGGGTCGACGACATTGCCGTCATCGTCCACCTCGACCTCTACCTCCTGTTCAGGCTGGGGGTTCGCACCCTTATCCTTCTTGGGTCCGCGAGCCTTCTTGCGAGGCGCTGCCTTACGCTTTCCTATAGCGCTGGTGCCGCCAGAGTTTGTGGTCACGACGCCGGGGGCAGGTCTCTTGGTACGTTTGCTAGGCTGGCGTACTTCAGGGGCTGGAGTGTTTCGAGCGGTGCTAGCGCGTCGAGGACGCTCAGCCGCGAGAGTTGGAGCAGGTTCCTGGCTTGCAGCTTTACCACGTGACGTGGGGCGACGAGCAGGCAGGGGTACCGGTACAGGCGCATGTGCAGGAGTATGTGCAGATGTAGGTGTAGGCTGCGGCTGCGGCTGCGGCTCGTGTGCCGGAGTGGGCGCTGACGCCGAGGAGGTTGATCCTGGTGCTGGAATGGGAGTATTACCTCGAGAAGCGGGCTGCTTAGGATTAGTTGCCGTAGGTTGCAGGTTCTGTCTGGTTTCTCGTTTGGGCATCTCCCTAATGGGAGGGGGTATAGGTGTGGTGGAAGTCTTCATAGGGAGTTGAACAGATCTCTCTGCAGCTGGTTTGGTAGGGACTATGGTAGTGACTGTAGAGGAAGCCGGACTTGTTTGTCCTGATGAAGATGCAGGGGGCTTCACAGCTGCAAGAGAGGGGTCTATAGAAAGTAAGACTGGGGTGGGAACTGGCACAGGAGTTTTCGACGTGATAGGAGTATGAGCCGTCTTGCCCAGTTGTGGAATAGGAACAGGTGTCTCCGTAGGGACTGATGGAGCCGTGGCGAGAGCAGGCAGCGGTGGTACCGAGGGTGGTCTCGGGGTCAGCTGGGGCAGCGGGACTGGTGTCTCCGTCTTGGTTCGCTTCAGTTGCGGCTTGTCTGACTGGCTTGGTGGTTGTGCCGTCGCCTGTTGGGGCGTTTGGCTCTCAGCCCCTTGAGGTTTTTCTGTGACGGGGGTCTCTGACACTGAGTCGCGCTTTCGCTTCCTTGCCTTGGACTTACTTTGGGCTTTTGCTTGGCTCAGGCCCGTCTCTTGAGACTTTTCCTGCGCGCTCCCTGCGACGGATGGTGAGGCTTCGTTAACAAACAACCCCCGAGCAGTTTCTGCAAAGTTCCTAGCTGCCTCTTCTGCTTCTTCGGCTGCCTGTTTAGCCATGATATCGCGTTTCAGCTTCTTCGCCTCATTCAGCTTCATACCGCGGTTGCTCAGCTGTACCTCATCAGCCGTTAGAGCCTCAGCACTAATAGCACCTGGGGGTGCGTGTTGAGCTCCAGATTCGGCATCGAATATCGGGGTAGGAAGAGCAGCATCAAAAGGCTTCCCCTCGTCCTCGGCTTGTTTCTGGGCGGTCTTGTACGCTTCCACGCCACGGCCAAGCACCTTCAACTCCCGCGCGATCATGGTATCACTCGGGCACCACACTGCATTCTTCTTCATGCGCTTCCGAAGCTTCGCGAGCTCGTAGGGCGTCAATTGGAGCCACGGGGCGTCGGAGCTACCGGCAACTGCATTCTCGGGCGGCGGTTTGAGTGCCGCAAGAGCAGTGCTGGTGGAAAGGGGTGGGTTTGCATTGTCGGTTGGCCGGCTAACTGATGGTCGCGGTGGCTTTTGCACCTTGGGCTGCTTCGGGGGTTTCGGCGTCTTGACCAGCTTGATGCGGGGTGCTGGAGTAGTGGTCTGTCTCGGAGGGGACACAGCTATCTCGTCTTCGGAGCTCTCGCCACTGGAAGAACTGTATGCATTGAAGTCCATCTCGTAAGGTGCAAGGACCTCGCCCGGAACGGTGATTCTCGGTGGCTGGCGCACCTTCTGGCCGTTGCTGTCGACGCGGAGGGTAATCTTGGGGGCGCGGACCATTTGCGGCGACTTGCTCTGCACGGGGACCTTCTGCTCTTCTGTTGTAGGGTAGTTGTCAAGTATGGTCTGGAGCTTCGCAAGTATAGTCTTGGCCCTGTTGTGGTGTCTGTTCACGTTCTCCTGCATGCGACAGGCCTCGGCATGGGAGTAGACGCGCGAGCTGACGGCTCGGTTCAGGTTGTCAGAGATGTCGGCGCGTAGCTTGATTGGATCTGGGCGTTGGTCGGCGGCGAACGTGGGGAGCGTCCCCCATGTCGTGGTGAGTTGGTCGACATTGGAAGATGCATCGATGTACGTGTGGTCGAGCTGTCCGATCAGTGTGAGGGATCGCATCATATCGGAGGGCAGGTATTCGGTGAAGTCGAGGTAGTCGGTGACGGTTGCTTGCGCATCTGGATCGGCGCGCATATTGAGCGACTCAAGGCCATTGTTCGTGGGGTCAAGCGGCTGGATGGCGTTTCTCGAGATGTCGTCCTCAAGCTCCCCACTCGCCGCGCCGTTTGCCTCCACTGCAGTCGCCATGTTGGTCATGCAGATGGCAGGATATGGGGATGCTGTCGCTTCGGTATGGAATAATGATCATGTCAGATGAAGTAGGCGACCTGGCAGCCAAGATCGCCTGCTTGACCTATGTGAAAGTGACAGAGCGTTGATTTGTGCAAGAATGACGCGCCGAGAGAAGAGGCGTTGGTGATTGTTTCCGTTGCGCGACGTACAGTAAGGTAAGCCCGTGCACACAGAAGGATGCCGGGTCCCTCGGACAAACCTCGGTGAAATATAGCTTCCCCAGACCATGGGGGTGCACGGACGTTCGGCACGTTGGCAGCTCACCCTTTCCTGAGAGACTGGAACCAGACAGCCTGAAGATCCCCACCGATCCTCCGTTTTTCTCTCTCACTACCGTCAACTTCCCGGCTGGCTTCCTTCTTTTTAAAATTTATAGAAAAGGCTACAGCCAACGTAAATACTACTATGCCACTGGAATGTACTGGGGACTGTATTCTGTGAGTGGGGAATATAGACATCATGCTACCATCTACTCCTACCATGGGCAGTCTTCCATTATGACAAACGGGTGGAGTGAATCATTGTATAACTGGTTATGCCACTGTAAGTCATGCTCTGCGCGCTTTGTTACCGTCCTAACCCTCCATGATACAGCTGATTACCTCTTGAGTTCATCTGCTTACATGAGTATCGTGGCAAGTGGGAGTGACACTCACAGATGTTACCCATGCTAACCGCCAACATGGAAAGTCAGAATACCTGGAAATGTACATGTCCCAGGAGCATTGCCAGTTTACTAAGGCTTGACGGCGATAGCACAGGCTGGATTCATTTATTCCCCAGGGGTGCCGTCAGCTCTACAGAGCCCGAAACACTGACACGACCTTTTGGAGGGAGTGAACGCGTAGCACTGATACCCTCGCCCTGATTGAGGTATAAATTGGCTTTAGAAGCCACATGTATGCATATATATATATATACACGGGTGGACTGCTTGTCACGTCACATCGCCACTGTGGCCCATAGGTTCGACGTTAAGAATTGCAACTAACCAACCAACTAACCCATAGAAGAAGCCTCCAGTCCGCGACGTCTCCAGCCCCTACCAGAGCGGGAAAGGGGGGAGCTACTTTTCACGATTTTCATCGGCCATGCGAACTGTGTCCGCGATGAATGAATGGGTCCGAAGATTTATTGGCTCATCAGTGGTCCTCTGAACAGTAAATACGTGTTGAGAATAGGCCATGATTACACACACCAAAGGGGGAAAGGGGGAAGCGGTCTGTAAGCATGACCCTATAGAATGCGGGAGAGAAGACTGAGTATCAAGTGCTCGCGTAAACCCATGATTTCCTGTCCTCTCCAAACTCATACTGCAGAAAGCATCCCTGAAAAGGAGTGTAGAATCTAATTGCCAGAGTAGTCATCGACCCCCCGAGCCCGGCTGTAAACCACAGGGGTAACTCCCAAGTACTACCACCCTCACGCCAAACGCTCCTCCTCCAACCTCCTAATGTCCTCATCCAGCTTCGCCCTCACACCCTCGCTCATCTCCTCGCCCACGCCAGCATAAGTCCACCACTTGCCCCTCCAGGGGCCTCCCTGCTCCTCAAAGTCGCCAAACCGATCATCCGCGCAGTAGTCATCAAAGTCCATATTGCCGATATCGAGGTTGCACATCATGGCGTAGACCTCATCCCAGGGGACGTGGACTTTGTCGAACTCGCCGGGCTCGGGTCTCCTCTTCATCACCGCGCCCGCTGCTGATGTCAAGGCCGTCAGCCGCCTGCTTCTGCACCTGCGCGACCGCGAGTTCGGCGCCGGCGACTGCTTACGGCTCGTGACGACGCGGTTGCTGCGCGGCGTGCAGGTGCTGAACGCGGAGGGGAAGCCGGACCTCGTGGCTGCGGCGACGCCGCCCGTGCGGACTGAGTTTCCTGGAGAGAACGGCTGGGCGGGCGCTGGGGTGGCTGAGGTTGAGGCGTTCATCAAGACGATTAGGCAGGGGAAGGAGAGGAGTGGTGATGGTGACGGAGTCGGAAGCGAAGAAGGAGAAGGAGACGGCCTGGACGACCAGACCAGGGGCGCCTTCGGGAACCTCTTCGCGCTCGTCGACGAGGAGGGGTTCGCCAACAAGAACTGCGTCCTGGGCGAGTGGATTATGGGGGACGAGCAGGTGGAGGGCGAGGACGGCGAGCTGCGGTACCAGCCCATAGCTTTCTGTTGTTGTCCCCGTTCCCCAGCTTCACGGACGGTACAGATTCCTGTTTTGAGGTTAGATATGTAGGTAATGTACTCAGGTTCGGAGGCAAGAGTTCGGAAGTCTGTGGCGGGTTCTTGCTGGATCTTGCTGTTGGCAGGAGAGATGTAGGTGCAGAAATCCTGCCTGGACAGCCAGCTGTACGAGGAGATGAGGAGAGTGAGGGTACCTGGTAAAGTCTACATTGGCGAGGCTGGATGCGGCTTGATTATCGTGGTCTGTCCATCCAATGCCTCTTACATAAGTGGGCTGTGTAAGCAGGTAGGTAGCTACTATGGATAGGACCGAGCTGCGCCTCCACGTCATAGGCTGGCAGTCCTTCCCGTTGGTGAGACATGACTCGAGTATATTAATCCACCAGGTTCTCATGGCTGCCAAGCGAGAACTTATATATTCAACATAACCTTCCCACTTGCAAAGAAGTTGCTTGCCAGGAGCCAGGAGTATTCTCAGCCTTCAGAGTGACGGCGGTCGTGATGTTCACGAAGATGGCACTCAGGTGCGTATTCTGATGGGCTTTTAGCTGGTCCGCTTCGCCTCTAGAATACATAGACCGGCCAGGCGAGCGATTTACTTACGGCCTGTTGCCTTGTGTGCGTGCGTAGTCTCTCCTGCAACTTCTTGGCTCTCTTCACATACCGAAACCTCTAAACCTATCGACCGGGTGCTCGCCTCGCCTAGCCCTTGGCGTCGTTCTTTCTTCACCCTTGCCACAAGAGCTTCAACCTTACGAACGGCCTCGACTCGGGGTTATATACTCAAAATTCGGGTAGAGTTATCAATGTCTTTTAGTGTTATTGGACGCGGATGGTAGGCGGTGCGTGACCGAGTGCGCTGAATCTACATATCCCTAATAAACAGCCGTTCGTTATGAGACTCGGTTTGGGAGAATGAGGCAGCTTCACATTGATGACCTACAGAGCTCCCGGCTTGAGCTGCCTTGAGAGGTTGGTGCACATATCGACCTCGTCGATACTCGAACGACCGAACAATTTGGACAAGGTCAGGAAACAACAGGTGCGATTTGCCCATTCAGACTGTTAATAAGTGTAAATCATACTAGCCCGTGACCCCACTATGCCATTCCACGACCGCAGCACGAGCAAGCATATCAGGAAAGAGACACACAAAGATCAATTGACTTCAAAACTTTATTGGTTCATTAATAGGCCGAGATCTTCCCAATGAATTGAAAAGCACACCAGGCTACATTCCTTCAGCATGGCGTGCGTGAAACAGTCCAACGGATTTTCAAAGCAGTATTACAGCGGAATATTTTACCCCAAATGGAGAGAGCCACCAAGGCAGCTTAGCTAGTTGCGGGCGCCATGACGACTCTTTTCCACCGAATCTGTCTAGTGCCCGCCCAAGCGCACGCAGGTCGGTCCATGGAGACCTGAATGAGCCGATACTACCTAGCTCCCATCCCGTCTCCCCCAAAAGTCCCACGTACCTAGGCGCTGCCAACAACACCTAACGCCAACCCGGTAATAGCAGCAGCCAGAACCCAGACGCTAGCCCAGGCCGCCGCGCCAGCCGACTCGACGCCCGCGAGCGTGAGGCGCGCCTGCAGGAACGTGTTGACGCCCGTGACCAGCATCAGCAGCGCCGTGCGCTGCATCACGACCTTGGTCTGCGTGCTCCAGCCCCAGAAGTTCCAGCGGACCGTCTCGGCCAGGCTCGCGGCCTCGGGGTCGAAGGCCTCGTTCTCGGCGTCGGCGGGGGTACGGCCCGTCGCCTCGGCCGGCGTAAACAGGAAGGCCCAGGCGGCGAAGCCGAGCGCGAGCGTCGCGGGCAGCAGGCCGATGTAGGATGACTCGTGGGCGCGGGCGACCGAGGGCAGGTTCTCGAAGTACACCACCAGGTAGGTTGGAAGGTAGGTCGCGTAAGCGAAGAGGAGGCTAACGCTGTAGATGCAGCCGGCGAGGAAGGTGGTGATGAGCGCGATCGAGGTGTCGGCGACGATCTCGGCGTTGGGCGCGGCGCTGGGCTTTCCATGGGCGGTGGACAGGGGGCGCAGCAGCCGGAAGGGGATGTAGGTCGCCAGCGACTCGATGGCGAGCGTCAGCAGCAGAGAACTGGGCGGTGTGTCGTAGTGGGCGAATAGAAGATAGAGCTGTTTACTATTAGTATCTAGCTACGAATGACACGCGAAGTGCCGCCCGACGCGACGCGAGAGCTTACCGGAGGACCGTGAGACAACAAGTTGAGTGCCGTAAGATCGTAACCATCGTAGTTACCGAACCATCCAAGCGCAAGCTCGAAACTGTAGCAGCGATTGGTCAGCATCCGTCGCAAAGGAAGCCAGGAAATATGCAAGCCGCTGATGGCACCCCAACTGCAGGCAAACACTCACATTCTCCAGCCAAACACAAGTCCGACCTCAATCCAGGTATTCAGCAGTCTCGCGTGCGCAGCGATGACGCCCTTCGTGTATGGCCAAGTCAGGGAGTAGCCGAGTGCTGAGAGAGACAGGCTCAGGATGGCGACGAGCGGGAACTGGATGGGCTTCGGCAGCTTAGAGCGCACGTCGCGTCGCGGCTCCGACTTCTTCAAAGTAGGGCCCTCGATCTTGCTGAGCGTGACAACGGTAGGCGACTGCGTAGACGTGTCTTCGGCAGTGCTGGGCGCTGCGACGGCGTTCATCGTCGAGCTAGGCTCGGCAGCGTCTGCCTGTCTTCTGCGAGTCGAGCGCATGGCTACGGTGTGTGGTGGAGGTTGTAGGAGTGACTATGGTCGATCCGGACAGATACGACGAATCCAACTGTGCTTGTTCGCGTGAGCAGCTGCCTTGACGACGCGTCTGGCAGACAATTAGGAAAGTGGTGAGTGAGGCTGACGAGTGTTTACAAGGCCAGAATTGGGTGTTGGCTGATGGATGGACATTGGACGGGTGGAAAACAGACGGAGGTGGGGAGCGCCACGCAAAATCGTTTGGTCATGGAGCTGCTGTCTCTCCCCCAGCTCCACACATGCACAGAGGAGCTCGAGCTTCGGCAGCGGTGACGTCTTTTCTTTTTGCCATTTGGCACATCGCAGATCTTCACTACCTACAGGTACCTTAGATCTTCACTTCTCCACCGCTTGATTGAACCGACCGCTTGGTGGCTGGTCCTACCTGCCTTTTTCTCTCTCCTCCTCCCAAAGTCCTTAATAAGGTATGAGTCCGCCGAGTTACTTATTATTATCTTTTCTTCCGGTCTTCTCCCTCATCCGAGTCAGCACGGTCCCCAAGCAGTCCATCACTCAATGCTCGGTTGTGTAGAAGAGTCGACGCCATTTGCACTCTTCAACATTTCATATGCAGAGTCTGCATCTACGAAGGTTCGCCTCCCAGGCCCCCATTTCATGCCAAGCCATGGAGCATCTCGTTCTGTCTCGCCAGCCTGCGTGCATGTGGGTTTGGACTACATGCGGCTGCCTACTTCACGGCTGAGCATCTCGGTATGTTGTACTTGGGAGGGCCCTTATCCAATGATGGTTGCAGGTCAAGTATCACCAGGTAAGATCAACGAGTTTCATTTGAAGCCTTTTCATTCATACAGAGCAAAGGAGTGTCCTGGTCCTATTATAAGGCGTCATCACACTCTCTGCCTCCTGATTCGTAATCTCTGCCGCATTTCTCATGTTACTCGGGCGTTGCTCGACGCTCCCTCCAAACCCTCGCTTTAACCTCGTGGAGAGTGCCTCCGTTTGCAGTCCCGGAGGACTTCCACTCTTCGGTGCTAGGGTTTCGGGGGCGGAGCGAACCACCTCATTTACACGTCGTTATAGTTCGTACAAAGGGAAAGAGAATACCGTGGGGTCGTTCCAAGTCGTCAACGTACCCGGGTACCATGACGCTCGACGCTCATTCCTCCATGCGACCGAACATCATATCGTCGTCTTCCTCGCTGCTTCGCACCCTCGAGCGTCGGAACTCCTCCTCTTCGTCCACCATGCTGCCATCGCTGTCTTCCATCTTCACGTCTTCCGAGTGACGGGACTCCCCGCGGGTGAAGCTCTCCGGCATCTGACGGGTTGGGAAGCTGTTGATGAAGCTAGTGCTGGCAAAGGCTGCTTGGTCAAGGTATTGGGCGGGCAACGGTGGGACGGGGGGTGCGTCGTCCGGTAGACGAGAGTCTCGCGTCCCCCCGTTGCTGCCGAAGCTGCAGCTAAGCAGCTCGACCGCTGCAGCAAGGTCACGGTCCTCCTGGCCACTGCTGTTTACTCCAGACGATGGGGGGCGGCGGTCTGAGCTACTGTGGCGGTTGTGGCCAAGTCCGGGTCTGCTCGGTACGCTGGTGGGAAAGAACGAGCCCGAGGCCGCCGATTGGTATGATCGTGAGTAACTACTACCACTGTACCGTTTCGGTGCATCTCGGTAGGCTGGAGCACCGACAGCAAAGCCCTCGACCTGCGGCGGCGGGGTCGTATCAACCGAGCTGCGTCCACCTTGGTACTCCGAAAAGCCCGAAGCGGCCGGGGACGCCGACTCCCCTTCGCTGCCAAAGTCTTTGGTCGAGTCTGGCGGCGTGGTCGAGTCTTGAGTGCCGTCCTCGTGGATGTTCATGGTCACAAGAACCGAGGCCGCTTCCAGCAGCTGTACTTGTTGGTGCTTGGATATAAGTAACTTGGACGTGTAGGACCACTCGGGAGTATGTTCCCACCTGGCAAGCAATTCGTCAACACTGGTTCACGTTCAATCATTTCGGGCTTGTGCTGCAACCAGTCGGTCCTTGATATCCTCAAAGCGACAACCTATCCGGCAACCTGGGCGAGTGGAGGCAGGGCAGGGGCAACGGGCAAGAAAATGGGCACAAACAAATGCTTGGTCAAGCAGCTGCTATGCTTGTATCCTTTGCCACACTTATCACAGCGCAGTTCGGCACGGTTGCTCTTCTTGCCATCCTTGGTCAGGGGTTGGCCGTCACTAGCCCGTCGAACCCGAGCCTTTTGAAGCCCACCCTCGCCTTCATCGGCTGACATGTCATTGGAGGAGTCGTCGATCGCGCTCTCCTGGCCCACCGGTTTCGGGTGCATCGCAAATCTGTGTGTTGGCAAGCTGGCAGGCGGGGATGGCAGGCTGCCCACGATGGCGGACCGGGCGCCGGCCGACTTGGACATGGTACCACGACGGGAGCTGACGGCGATGGGCAGAGCAGTAACCTGGTCGCCGGCCTCCTGGAGGGCAGCGGCGACGGCGGCAATATTGGCGGTAGTGTTGGTCATGCTCTTGCGGCGTGTTACGCGGTGGGTGGCATTATGGGCGACGGACAAAGCGGAGTGCGAGTTGTTACGCGAGTGGGACGACTGTCGGGCGGCGGACAAGGAGGACGTCGTCGGGGCCGTGGAAATGGACTGCCGGTGTTGGGTCAATGGTCTCGTAGATGTTTGCATCTCCTGTCATGATAGGCACAGTGATCAGCATGGCCACTCCATTCTCGGAAGTAAGCTAGGCGGGTGTGTCATGGTGCAAGTCGTTACCTTGGAAGAGGCCATTGCCAAACACGTAGACACAAAGTTGGCAAGAGCTGGCGTCGAAACTCTGCTACTCTGTCTCGCTCGATCGTCAAGGAATTATTGTTCTGTAGCAAGCAAGTTGGGAGCAAAAGCAAGATGAAGCAAAGCTATGGTGCAGCAAGTTGTGAGGGTGGAAGTGTGTGGTACGTGGTGCGTGGTGTGTGGATGACGGACAAGGGCTACAGTATGTGTGGGAGGGATGGAGGATCGGCCACTTCAGCGGTAAATAATAATAATATTTTTTTGGGCCTGGGGAATTGGGAAAGAACAAAGACCGACTGGCCGAAATGGACAAAACAAGTTCAGGGCAGGCAGGTGGGAAGGTAAAGGCAGGTATTGTACAAGAATGTACTGTACACAGTAACTTCGACTATCTCTCATGCGCTCGTCTGCGCCTTCTTGTGTGGCTCTCAATAGAACGCGCTTACACTGTATACATGCATATGATATATGGTAGTGTGTAGAGGTGGGCCAGGAGTTGGTGCTGAGAACAAGGAGGAGGGTGGCTGTGTGGGAGGGAGGAGAGCGGGGACGGTCACCTGAAGCCTGAAGCCCGGAACCTGAAAGCGAGTTGTGCAGCGAGCTGTTCCTGTGACCTGTCCCCCTACCTACCCACAGGGGCTCAGGAGTTCTCCAGGTATGCTATGCCGCCAACAACAACGAGAAAGCCGGGCAGCTGTAGGTAATCTGACATTGACGTTGGGACGACCATCTGGAATCCCAGCAAATGTGGCAGTACCTCTACAACATGCCGAGGTGGAATGCAAGTAGGTGTACTGTACTATACTGTATGCACAGTACGAAGCCGAACGGACCACACTCCGCCGTGGAATACACGCCGATAGACGGGGGCATCTGCTGGCATTCGTTCGGACCGGGATAGGCGCCAGGCACAGAAACGACCGAATCTGATAGAAGCCCGAGTACCGGCGACAGCTTCATACTTCAAGACAGGTCATTGCAGTCTCGAAAGCATCCGTCAGCTGGATCAGATCACGACCAGACAGTACCGACCGGGCAGACGCTGAAGCTTGTGCCAGTGTATCTGATTTGTGTTCAACTTGATGAGACGCCAATAGCGCAAAAGCTGAGCATGGTGTCGCAGCAGTAGCAGAAGATGAATCTCACAGTGTCTACGTGCTCAAGCAGCGGATGAATGTGGGTTTCGATGCGGAGAGCATGAGGGGAAATGTGCACTTGCAACACAGTTCAGATGGGGAGAGTCTGGCGTCTGGTGCCGGGAGTAAACGGAACTCTAGAGTCGTCTCTCTCGACACATATTGTACCTAGGTAAAGGTCTCCTCCATCAGAATGCATGATGGCCTCCAGACCCGATATCATCAAACAGGTGGCAATGCGCAAGCCTGTTGCAAGCCTGTTGTATGCACTGTAATAATAGGTGAGCCATTCAAATGTCCGCAGCCTCCAGAGGACCTGGTGGCAGGCGTACACTGTGTTCAGTGCGGCATATCAATAATGATGATGATAACAGCGGGGACCTGGGGATAAGGGTGGGTTTTCGATTCCCGTCGCGCATCTCGATCAACGTTTGTCGCGGCCCATCCAAGATGCTATCCTTGATTTGTCGCAATGGTGTTATTACAGAAGCGCTCGCTTTCTGCATTTGGCATAACGGGATGATGCCCTTGTTCGGTCGGCAGGCACACAATAGACCATGGTCCATGGGGTGGCCGCTTGACCTGGTTCGATACCTTCCACCTGCTCGTTCGTCCAGGCAGGTGCTCATCGCTCATTGGACGCCTGCAGCAACTCCCGATTGAGCAATGAGGACAGATGATGCCAATGCGAGATGCGAGGGGCGTGGGGTACGCGTATAAAAGTGGGAGGGGGAAAGCTGGCTGCTGGCCAGCTGGGGTGTGAACTGATGATGGACTGCGATGGATACTTTGTGGATGGACACAGGCATTCAAGATAACCAAGCTGCCTGGCTGCCATGGACCGGAAGGCGGTACTCGGGTACAATGAGTGACGGTGGGCCTTGATACCTTCACTGTTGATATCGGACGACGCTTCACGTCCGAAACAGAACAAGGTACTGGTGGCTTCGTGCTGTGAATGTTGTTGTTACCGACTGGAGTTCCTTCATCAGGCGAAAGTTACAAGCGCGTGTCTCTGATGACTGCAGTGACTGATGACAGCTCGTGCCTGGTCGGTTCCGGATAGTGACAAGCGTCGATAGCCTTGTGACCACTGATCATCTGGTGTCTAGGTTCCAGACTATCGTCGTAAAGTAGGTGATTCGACGCGACTCTCTGAGGCCAGGTCTAGAATGTGTCGGGTACCTTGTCACTGGTAAGATAGTGAAGTCGACTCGCTTGAGATCGTCGTCGTGCATACAAAGCCTGGACTGTACGCGTGCGCGGCTGCTAGCTCGCTGATCGGCCACGAGCTTCATGATTATCCCTTGGCACCTTGAAGCTTACCACCTCAGCCGGCCAGACATTGGACAGAACAAGGTTGCGATTTATTGGAGTTGACAGCTCGATGGAGGCGTGTTACTCGACGGAGGCGTGGTGAGGGTGTCGAAAAAATAGTGGGGACTGAAAGCTGAGATAGGATACACAGTGTAGCATCCATATACCGTGTTATATGTACTGTATTGTTATCTGGAGTAGATCGTCAGGCCCACTTCCGACCTCTGGAACTTATTATGTATTTTAATGATTAAATAAGTACATACGTGCTACTCTGTTCTGGCATCATGACCTGATGCTCAGGTCACAGCTACGCAAATCAGCTACAGCACGACTTCATTCGAAATGTGTGTAGCCTCCGAACTGCATCTCCAGATGGCACGTTTTTACCCCGTTTTGCCGTCCAAGGCATCCCGAGGGATCGGCAGGCCACTTTACTTTGTTCGGATGCAGGTACTTCTTCGTCCTTGCGTGCATGAGGTGCCGCATGAGCCTTTCCATTGAATCCTTCGTGTGGGTGAAATCGGACAATTTCCAATACCAGTGAGTGCTATCACCACACCCCAATGGGGCCGTGGGCTGTGTGTCGCATGGGGATCAGGGGGGCACAGCTCGTTTCGGGCGTCCAAGTTGCTCTGGAGTCTTTTCACTCTCACACTTCCCTTTCCTGTACCCATCGAGTCCATTGATGCCATGGCACTTGCTCTCTCTGGCCACTTGACTTGGAGAGGAGCGGTGTTCTATGAGAGAAGACCTTGATATGCCCGATACAAGAAATGGTCTATTCGGTGCTCATCTATGACAGCAAGAACCGACAGGCTCCCGACCTACCTAGAAGTGTCCTTGTGCCTGACGACTTCTAACAGCCACCTATCAGGCTAACTATCGCTCACTGCATTGCGAATTAACCGAGAGATCTGGACCATCCCGATTGGCATGTCCGACATCAGCTGGAGTGGGACGACCTCGAGAGTGTTGCACACCACCTTACCTCTCAGGCTCTCGGCACGGTCTGCTCTCCCGACTCTGGCAAGTGCCATGTCGAAGTATCGCACTGCTGGATCACGAGGTGCTCTTGGCCTTGCACAGGTCACAAGTGAACACAGAACGGCATCTGCCGCCGCCACCCTCGGCTTCCAAGTTTCCAAGCCGTATCGAGTGGTGCGGGCAGGCGGGCAGGGCAGTCCCGAGGGGTCGACTGCGACATCTCACCAAACTTTGCCGCCACTGTCCTCTCGCCGTCGCAAAGCTTATCGAGACAATGGGATCGTAAGGCAGAGGCACACCACAACCCGCAACATGATCCGAACTGGTGCGTCAGGCGAAATGCATTTGAACTACTCCGCGGACAACACGTGCGTCTTAATACGATTGTTATTACCAGGTCAGCCGACTTCTCATTCGACAAGTGTTGGAGTAAGGAGGTAGTTGTAGACTGTCAACGTTCTCGGCCGAGTCTGCCCTCTGTTCACTCTTCTTCCCGGCAGCTGTCCGGCTGGTCAACTGGGATGTAAGCTTCATGCAGTGTGTTTATGCAAACACCTCGAGAGGCCGTTGCCGAATTATATTTGATCTCCAATACTTTCCAGCCACGGCTTCATTGGCGTCTCGCATTATCATTTGGACACACAGATCCTTCGAGGTTATCGGCACTCAGCCTTAAAAGTAGACGTGTTTCACAATCACACGATGAGCCTTCCAGCTGCCTCGGCTGCCCTTGGCAGGTGGGCGGCAATCAGCGGCTGTTACAGCTACAACCTCTTCAATTTGGGGGGAGCTCTCAAGATCAAACCACTCCAATATCGGCCTGTAAGATGCGTGCACTCCACTCGGTCATGTGGCGGCATCACCGTAGAGCATGACGAGATGCGGGATCAAGTGATTTCTCCCGTCCGCACTGCGCCTCAACACAGCATGACAAACCACGGAAAGGGAAACGAAAGGGTGGTTCGCCCAGCTAGTACTATGAGCAAGCCGACCTCCGGCGCTGTACGACGCAACTCGCGAACGGTTTCAAACATGTCCTGACTCAAGAGTCAGAGCCTCAGAGGATCAACAGTGCGATCGACCCGAGGCAGCCGGATTTGCGCTCTTGGCAGGGCTTCGTGCGCGCGCTCCACCAACGGATGGGTGTCATCTCACACAGTATCTTAAAGACGAACGATAAATAGTAACAGCATCAAGCCACACAGGGGAGAGTTTACTGTAAAACTCCCCAGTGAAGAAGGATCACCGCTGCTAGGCTGCCCCGTCTGCATATCACCTCATTTGTCGCTTGATCATCTAGGGCTGAGAGGTTCCATGCTCTCGAGCCATGTACCCTGCCTACAGTACACAAGTTTACAACGCTCCGGCCGGGCTGCGGACGGCGTCTAAACTGTCATCTTGATAGCTGTTGGCTGTGCTACGTACGCTGATCGCCTCAATCGAAATAAGGTTTCGCTGGTGCTGCATCCTCGCCAGAGCGCAGTGCGCCGGCTGCTACCGCACGCCTGGCATCTGGGAATTATTAGGTTCAGCTGGCGGGCATGGCAAATGAGACGACCGCTGAAAGGTCCTGTCCTGATGCAGGTACGATCATGCCTTCACGTATTACCCTGGCCTCACAGATCTTGGGTTACTCTACACGTTCCTGGATCCCGACTTCGGTAGGCCGCGGGTGCGGTGAGCAAACCAGTCACTGTACACTGTATACGTCGTATCTCAGGACTTTTCACGCTGACGGGCTCTATGCGCAATCCCACGTCATCCTTCTATCATCCGTCACGAGGTGAATTAGGTTGCAACTCCGGCGGTGAACGAGCCGCACAACAGCTCGAACAGTCCAGGCCTCGGTCCAGTGAAATAGGCAGAACATGGTGTGGCCCTAAGATCGGTCATCTGTCACGAGTCCGATCTTAGGGCCTCGCAAGCGGGTTACGAATCCCACCCTTCCCCTGAAATTCGCATGGAAAAGTTGGAAATTCCATCTCGTCCGCGAGTGGAGCCTCTGGTGCCGCTCTACTATGACGTTGCTTTCATCTTAGCAACACTGCCTTCTGGCTACAAACCATGACGGCGGTACCAAGGGCTTGTCGAGGGCGGGGAACTGCCAGAACGGTGAGTATTTTCGATGTTTCACTGATGGTGTGGGAATTAGCCGCTCTATTGGGAACAGCCCTAATTCAGGGTCTAGGTTTCTGGGCCTTACAGATGGGCTGATCTCCGTCTTGGCTCAGGAAGTCTTGCTGTATGTGTATGACCCTGGGCATCTGCCAGACGTCTGCAATATGACTCACCAGGCTATATAATGCTTTCCCGTCATGACCTCCGTTATCCAGACCTGGCTACGGTCCCCGTGATGCAGATATCTGCTCGGATCTACTATCCAGGTGGACTCAATACAAGGTCTGTGGCATGATCTTTCGTATATCGTATTGGTAAGAAGAGACCCGTGACGGGACGGGATCTCAACTACCCGACGACTGTATCCTCTGAGCTTAGGTACGTCCCCAGCTCTTTGGGCATTGTAAGAGGGACCGGCAGGTGGGCGTACCGGGCGTGGCATGTCGATTGTCGACCGCAACGGCCCGAGACATCTCCAAACATGTGAGGCTTCAACGGCACGTCACTGGCTTGCCGGCAGTCCCGTGAATCATCAAGGTCACATCACGGTTGCCACCAAGGTTGCTATCATGGTTGCCATCAAGGTTGCCCACAAGGTGTCGCCGTGGCCCTCGAAATACTTGGGTCCGGACTCGGCTGCGTCCACGAGACTGGCAAGCTGGTCACGGCAGAACGGAACAAGCTTTACCTCCAAGAGCTTGAGCGTACTATGATACAGACACACTCGTTTGGTCGGATCACGAGATATCATAAACGCAACTTCAAGAAGGCCTCGAGCCTCCGGTATGGTGTGTATGTATGGTGGACTGGCTTGGACGCCTCTGTCTTGGCTAGGTGCTCGCTGTTCGGTTTCTGGAAGCTGACGCCCGTGAGAAGGAATATAGAACCTCGTGTGTTGTTCCGACTTGCGATATTACAGCAAGGTATGTTGCCGGCAGCTCAAGGTGTATGGATGACAGGGCAGCCACCCAAGATAATCAGCTCTATCTGTTCGCCCATGGCTGAAGGGAGCCACACCATTTATACAACAGTAATCAGAAAACGAACAGCACTGTACTTTAAATCAAGCGGTACGCAGCCAGTCTGACCTGCTGGAAGTAATGTTAACCGTTTGCTTGACAAGCTACCTGGGTCTGATGAACGATTGTGTTACGAATCCAAAGTCAGTCCGCGTAACTTGCTATAGCCCGTAATATTATGGAGTGCTCCCAAAACAAAACCTAGGTACTCAGCACTCGACAGTCTTCGAAATCATTGCCTCCTCCATGTAACAAGCTTGAAGACTTCACAAAGCCGGTCTTCTCCACCCAGACACGCATCTCATGTGTGAAAGGCCCAGGGCAGCGATATATACTTTTATTTAACATGTGTGACCAGGATTCATGTTTCCATCCAACCAGAACAGCCTAAAGATCATAAGGCTATTGTGAGGCTCTATCTCCACGTCAATAGGTAGGCAATTTAGCCCGAACTCCTGCAGTGCGCACTGACAGCACCGCTGCGTCTCGTTGCAAGTGGTCGATCTCCCGCCAAGCCCAGCCAGCCAGCTACCTGGCGCTACAGAGGCTATTAAACCTGGAAATGGATGTTATCAATCGAACCTTAACGCATAACGTCACACGCGGACCCCTCGAAGTTGCGTATACCAATTCGCATAATGTTTTCTGAGTAGCAACGAGAGAACATCATCCCATTCCAAAACAACACACCATTGCCATACTCTCTCCCTTCGTAGTAACAGAGACAGAACGAAGCAAGAACTAAAAGCATGGCCGACGTATACCGCAGAAGCGGCCGCGGCGGCGCCGGCAACTTCTACTCGCAGAAGGACATCGACGACGTCGTGAACCGCGCCGGCCCCGAGGTTCGTAACCCCCGGGCCTCCATCCCATTCCAACGGACCGATCGACTGATGCTGACTGACACGAACAAACCAGGACGACCTCGAGGCACAGAAAGCGTCGCTGCCCATAGACGACACGCCCACCGACCCAGCAGACGCCCCTGCCCCCGCCCCTGCCCCTGCTCCTACTCCTACTGCCCCTCAGTCGCAACCGCAGTCGCAAACCCCATACCCATACGCGCGCTCCGGCCGCGGCGGCGCCGGCAACTTCATCGACACGACCGTCCTCCCGCCTCTAACCACCGGCACCACAAACCCGCTATCCATGCATCCCGTGTCGCCCTCCCCCAACTCCACCCCCAACTCCACCACCACCAGTACCTCAACTTCAACCCCAACCCTAACAGCACCCGCGCGCAGCGTATACTCCGGCCGCGGCGGCGCCGGGAACTGGACCTCCTCAGGGGATAGCGGGGAGGTGTACGACGCGGAGCAGGAGCGGCGGCGCAAGCAGGCGCTCGACGGCGACATCCTGCGCGACATACGCGAGAACCTGCCGCTGCCGCCGCGCATCCATTATACGCACGGGCCCGGCCGCGGGCGGCGGCCGGAGCATGCTGTTGATAGCTAGCTGAGCGGAGCTGGGGTTTCAGTCGGGGCGGTGCTGTTGTGGCGACTATCTGGCTATGGGTGTAATGAATGTGGACAGCTAGGTGTATCATGGGGCGTAATATTTTGCATCGAAGTGGATAGGACATTCATGGCGTTCTTGGACAAGGGCTTGGTTCTACACTCGCGATCCTCCTCATACTATGCTCAGCGGAATGTATAATCAGCGGAACTGCGAACGGATCGCGTTGAGCACAGGCGGAATTCTCGGCACATGGGCGGGTGGTCCGACAAGCAGGTGTGTATATCTTCGTAACATAGACTTCTAGTATCCCCAACGCCAAGACATGCCGCAAGCAGAACCATGTGAACGCCGTGACCTCCTTTTTGAGTCCTTCCGGTGATGAAGCTGGGGTCCTCGGTGCATTCCACCAGATCACTCCGAATCGACATCCATACCGCCATCTATATCTCCATCTCCCATGACCTCGACTGCGCCGTCGGTGCGCACTTTCTGGCGTAGCTTCTCCTTTCCGAACAGTCTGCTCTTCTCGACCGGTACGGCGTTCGTCTCCTCCAATCGATCGATATCCTCTTGTGCCAGTCCCTGTTCCAAGGCCAACCGCCTCTTTTCGCTGCCGCGCATCTTGGGAAGGAGATGCGAATGCGAGTCCACAAGGTTCCGGGCAGCCGCCAGCTCTCGGGCCCGCTTGCCTTGCATACGTTTCTTGTAGAAGACGCGCTCTCTCTTGGTGCGGATTTCTTGGATTCTCTAGGCGGTTTGTTAGCCATGGTACTGGCAACAGCGGTACCGGTGAGTATTCGTTCACTAACCTCCATCGCCTTGACAGTCTTCAACCAGAGATCTCTGTTGTATCTCGTAGGGACATTGCGCCTGTAGCGGTGGGTATAAGTGTCAGCAGCTAGGCCATGACAGCACAACACAGAGAGCAACAAACCTCTGGGCGAACTGAAGAGTGGAGTCGACGGTCATTTCCTTGCCAGCTCTTGCTCGTGATGCTTTGGTCCAGCCCAACTTCCTGGGGTTTCTCTTCATCTTCATAGGAAGTTAGCGAGTATCCGACGGCAGTTCGAAGGACGAGTCGATCGTGCGGAGCGGCGAATGGATTTGAAAACTCGGGAACAATGTCTCATTGCCAACTCAGCCATTCACAAGGGATGTGGCAGGGCCCCCGGCTCTTGAATAGTAGGCTTCTATCGCGCCTCGCGATATGATCAAAACCTCGATAGCTTCGTAGAAGTTTAGAGTAAGTGATGAAAGGATTGGCACGAACCTTGAAGTTACGATGGCACTTGCTCTTGCTGGTAATTGTCAGCTAAAGTGCAAGAGATCGTATGCCATTCGAGGCTCTTACCAGAATCTGAAGGACCTTCCATCATTCCTTACAAAGGTTATACCTTCTGTTGGAAAACTAAAGTCAGCGTATGTTCCTTTTATATATAAACGAGAAGCAAGGAGTCTGGTGGCATGTCTCGGGCGCAGAGGGTCCAGACACAGCTTGAAAAAGAGGTCTAGTCCCAAGCCATGTCTAGGTGATATAAATTCCGAAATATACGAACTTGAAGGATATGCCGGTCGGGAACAGAACTAGTGAATGATCAGTCGCGGTACGCAAGCGACACCATGGGCGTAGTAGACGGCGTCAAGGGGCTTACTGAACAAGTCTCGATCCTAGAAGAAGTGTATTAGCAAGTGTGATTCTTCGGGAGGAAGTGGTATCGGTATCAAAGGCAAGCACGAGGTTTTCGCAACCAGAGGCCCACGCCCAGGCGCAGCATGCTTGCGAGGATCGAGGTTCTAGCAAGACAGGGATTGCACTGAGATGTTTTATTTCACTCACCTCATCCTGACTGCGGAGGAGTTCTACTCCGAGCGAATCGTGGGAAATGTTCGTCGTTGAGGGTGGCGGTGGTGAAAAGTAAGTAAATCCTCAACTCCAGCCTTACCAAAAAGTAGAATTTTGGAGGGTATGTGGGGTAAAGTGGCGGGCATCCAAGGCTTATCGAAGCTCTCCAATTGGACGGTACTCCCTATCTTAAACCCGGTTCCTCAGCCTCTCGTGGGTCCGTGCATCTTGAAAAATAATGGCTTACGGTTCTCATGGACGTTTTTCCAACCCATCATCATCCAGCGCATCCCGAGAGAACCAGCTTTGCGCCATCATCGCTGGGGATTCCTGTATTCCTCCTACGACCACCGTCTTTAGTATAAATCGCAAAGGGGGATTACTCCTATCTACAAACCACCATGGCCTCCGCCCTCGCCATCGGGACCGGCGTCGCAGTCGCCGCCTTCTTGGTACGAGCACCCGTCCAACGAAACCCAAACCGAACAAAACCCAAAGCATACCGAACCGCGTCCCGATTACCGTCTAACACAACTCATAGGGCCGCGCAGGACTAGTAGCGTTCCGCCGATCACGAGGCGGCGTCGGCGCGCTGGGCAAGAGCTTCTACAAGGGCGGCTTTGAGCCGCGGATGACCAAGAAGGAGGCGTCTCTGATCCTGTCGCTTAAGTACGTGTTCTCCGTCAACAAGCAAAAGAAACAGACGTTCGGAGGACCCCATGCTGACCAAGCTACCCAAATAGCGAGCGCTCGATCTCGAAGGACAAGGTCCGCAAGGCGCACCGCACCCTCATGCTGCTGAACCACCCCGACCGCGGCGGGAGTCCGTACCTGGCCACCAAGGTCAACGAGGCGAAAGAGTTCCTCGAGAAGGGCGCCAGCTAGGCTGAACAATCCACCGAGCCGGTCTGAAGTGTCAAGCCGCGGGAGGGCGGTCCTACCCCCAATCGATTCGATACGGACGAGCACGACCGGTTCCAAGGGGCGAAATATAGGTACCTAGCACGTCCCATGTCTATAATTATGTACAATATCATACCAGCAGCATTTACGGGCGGAGCGACGGCGTTCAGAGGTCACGGATATTAGCCGAGGAGGATGGGGGCACATTTTGCAGGTTGCCAGATCATCTTCATACATTCACCCCTCACGAGTCTCCGTCCGGCATCCCTCATCGTGGATATCAATGCTGTATTCACATCAAATGAGCACCCTGGAATAAGCAGCGTTGCCCCAAAAAGCCATTGTTGATGCTTGTTACAGAGTACTTATCCCATATCAATCATTATGGCTTTTGGCAATTCACTGTATTAATGATGACCGCAAACTCCCTAGGCTAACTGCGTTTCTTGTGTGCGAAAGGGTCCTTGCAATATCGTTTCCCTTCGCCACCGAATATATCGTGTCCCTCACCATCGAATCTCCTCGTGTGTGGCCGGTACTGTACGGATCATTAGCGGCTTCGGACTCATAGCCAGACATTGGGCACCATACGCTTGTTGCCAGACTGCTGCGCGGCCGGCTTGACGGGTTCCGCCGACCTCTCAGGGGCGCCACCGTCGTCCATTTCCCCGTCACTCCACTCGTCTTCGCTGTAGATTAGGAAGGAAGGTCAGCATATGCGATTCTCTCCGTCGGAGTGGATGGATGTATGGATGGATCTCCTTACCCAGGCTGAGCGTCAACCTTACGATCCGAACCGTCGACCATCCGCTTGACCGTCATGGTGATCATGGCCCGCAGCGTGTAGACGGCGTCGTTGCCGCCGTTGTGGTAGTTTCGGCCTGACAGGCCCATCTCGGCGCAGACCGTCTCCAGGCCGCGGCCGTTCGGGTTGCGTTCCATGCGCTGGAACATGCTCTTGGTGTCTACCTCGTCGCTGATGTGCTGGACGCGCCAGGGGTTGTATCCGACTTTCTGCAGGTACTTCAGGTCCGTCTTGATATCGTGGCCGACCATGATGACTGGTCTTCTGTCGTCGGAGTGGTTGTCGCCAATGATGGTGCCGATCACCTTGCTGACTTCCGTGAGCGCGACGAACTCGCTCGAGCCAAAGTTGAAGGAGCCAGGACACCCCTTGACGAAGTCATGGTTGACCATGTATGAATATTCGTCGATTCGGAGGTGGTGGGCCTTGATCAACGGGAACCAGTTCTCCCCGTTCTCGCCAGGAGGCACGTCCATGGTGTCCTCAGTGTCGAGAATGGCAAAGCCAATTTCCGTGACGACATTGGTGTTCCTCTCGTATGCCTCCACGTCGACGCAGACGAATCGCACAGACGCCTTTGTCTTAAAAGGGACTGGCATACTCACTTCCCACGGCGCTGACGAGTCTAAAGGGCCCGAGGAGTACGCTGCGCGCGGGCGAAGACCGAGGTACTTCTGCGCACGCTTCAGCATGCGTCCGAGGTCTTTTTGTCGCTGCATCCGCTTCGCCCGAGCGATTTCGGGGTTCTTCTTGCTCTTTGAAGGCATCCTGGTCTGTGATGTTGGATGAGGTTTGGCGGTGGGAGGGTGCAGAAGACGATGCCGCCAGCCGATTAGGAAACAACGGTAAATTTATCGAATTGGAATAAGCATTGGAAGTGGCGCATCAATCTGGAACTGCTTGTTTCTGTACGCTTATTCCAGTTTTTCGAAATTTCCACGGGTGATTGCGCACGGAGACCTACCTAGAATCGTACCTACCCGGGCTGGGGCGCCTGCATGGGACTTCCCCTGATTGTCTAACATATTGCGAGAACTGTATGCCAGCTGCTATAAACCCACTCCTCATGAGTCTCCGCCCACCGTGCTCCTGGCAACTCTTAAATGTTAACAATATATTGGTATTAATGGAATAAGTACCCTGGAGTAAGCAGGTTTAATCCAATCAGCCATATTGATGCTTATTCCAGACTACTTATTCCAATTATAATGTTGGATAAAAGCACAAGCCAGGCAAGATAGAAACCAGATTGTAGAATAAGGTCAGGAATGACCAGGCTGAAATCATTTCTGTATGAGAGTTGCTGGAAACCCCGTCGGGAATGATAAATCTTCGCGAACATAACTATGATGATAGTGATTAGATGAGGTAAGAGCAGTCCCCTCAATTATGCTCCTTACTCCTCCTCGTCCTCAAGGTAGTCGGCAGGGTATATGCTTGTGAATTCATAGACAGCTTCCCCGTCCTCTCCTCTATCGACAAGAGCGGTAGCGAGTCTCTTGGAAACCTCCTTCGACGCCTCAGCTGGAAGCAAGTCCAATTCGCTCACCCTAGCATCCTCGTCTTCTTCCTCGATTAGATTCTTGCAGAACACATCCAGCATGTAGTTCTTCAAGTTGGAACAAGACGGGCTGAGGTCCTCCCAATAATCACGGATGATATCGGCATCAACTTTCCACATTCTGTCGGCTTCTAGGAGGCAGAGCATGTCGTTTTGAAATGGGGCGGCCTGAATGTAATCGCCGAAGAGCCAGGCCTTAACCCATGCGCCCGCAAACCCGTCATAGCGAAGCTCTTCGCTCAAAATGACAAGCTCGAACTGATCACTTTGGTGAACACTCCGCAGGGAAACCCAGATGATGAACATCCTCATAGTCTGGTCGTCGCAATATTCCGTAAGACGAGAGGTACGAGTTGCGGCTTCATGGAACCGGCTATTGAGAGCGCGGCGGAAGTAGACGGAGAAATGTGCGAGTGGACGTGCGCGAATTGCGAACTGCCGTCCTGAAGGAGCTTCGATGGTGACAACCTCAGCTGACGCACTAATTAAATGTCATGTTAGCTCGCCTTGGGAACGCGAGATACACTCAGCCCTCATAAGTCTCTGTACGCGCATGTTGGCAAGATTCCAGACCACCGGTAGCGTAGTTGGAAATATTGGAATAAGCGCCTTCGAATAAGCGTCAAGCATGGTTGATCAAAATCAAACTACTTATTGCGGTATGCTCATACCGATTTGATGAATATACCGTTACTTGCTGAAAGGGTTGTGTACGGAGACTTATGAGGATTCAGTGTATGCAGATATATTGACACTCACTCAAAGCTCAGGGGTATACTCCTCCCTCTTGAACTGTCTGTCCATAGTGATGGACCAGGAGTTGTACTCCAAGTGGCGGCGATGTTATAGAGTGGTGTTGGAAGTATTGAAGATATCGGAGGTAGGAGTTAGGTAAATTGACCAGACCGAGGTGAGGCGACGTGTGAATAGCTGATGCTTGATCTGCAGCGGTGTGTGAGTGACAGCGAGACATACAAGTTTGGGTTTTTGGAGAAGAGACGTACCGAAGTGCAGCTAGCCTGCTATCTCGGAAGGAGCGAGCCAGATGGTGCTGCCTCAAGGGATCAGGTGATGAGTGCTGATTGACCGATGCAGGTATACAAGACCAGCAGTGATCAGAGTGAAAGACGAGATCACTTTTGGCCTACCGAAAAGGCAAAGATGAGAGGCCTCAGTGGAGGTGGAAAGGAAGTTGAATGAGTCGAGGGAGTTGGGGTTTGTTGCAAGCGGTCATAGCGTGGATGCTGACAGCGTCTGTGTAGGTGCTGCCTCCTGATTATGGGGGGTTTGCCTCGCATATATACTTGATTGCCGTGACCGAAGGTGGCCAGCTTCATGGGTGGAGGAGAGGGAGTTAGAGGAGTGGGAGATCAGACCTCGATAAAAGGTGAGGTGAACAGTAAGGATATATAAGGGAGAGGGCTTGGTCTGTGTGCCCAGGGTAGGATGAGGACAATGTAGTTAGTGATACACTGAACCCTCACAAGTCTCCGTACACCACCCGTCCAGGAAACAACGGTACACTTGTCAAATGGGCATAAGCACAAGGGAATAAGCTTTAGGAATGTCGTATTCAACTAGAGCTAAGTATTCCTGTCTGCTTATTCCATTATCTCTAAATTTATACGTGTGATCTGGATTACTCCCAACATGGCGAGTACGGAGACTGATGAGGGCTAAGTGTAGCAGTTGATGCCAACATAAACAGACTAGGCGGTAAAATCACCGGGAACTGGATGTGTTTAAGATGGGCAGCTTCCCGATCAGCAAGTTGGGGAAGCTGCGCTCTCGTCAAAGTATGTCTGGAGACAGTTCATCTCACGGACCCAACACACATGAGATGCTCAATTGACACCAAGAGGCACTTGTGTGGTATCTCGTAATCACGTTGTCATTGTTCTACATCCAGAGACAGCATTATGCGCCGTAATGCCATATCAGAGCAGCCTATTTTAGACACCTTTCCTACCTAAGCACACACCAGTAAGACCTCGCACCCCTGTCCACATGTTATTACACCCGAAATCAGAAACGCAAGGAATGCTACTTCTTGTAGAACTGCAGCAGCTATCAGCAAGAAACACAACGTAGCACGATTGGGGTAGAACACTTACCTCAGTTGCCTCCTCTGGTTGCACCTTGGAGGCTTCAGAGGCCGTGGAATCAATCAGACCCAGCCGGGCCCCTTTGATTTGCCACCAGAGCTCTCTCCTGTCGCCACCCAGCTCACCAGAGAGCAATCGCTTCTTGAAATCCTTCATGAATGTATTGTACAAGTCGGGGAACTCGTAGTTGATCATGGCATCCCTGAACACGCCGAGATTCTCAATGGCGCGGTCGTACGCAATGTCACCGAGAGTGTTCTTGGTAATCATGGACCGAATGATGATGCCCATCTGCTTTGCAGCTTCCTGAACGCTAGCTTCATCCTCGGCAGCCTCGACCATCTGCTTGAACTCAGAGATGGAATTCTCCGGATCGATACTTGTGCGCTTGTGCTCAGGTTGCTGGAGTAGAGCATCGATATCGAGACCGGATATCGGCTGGACTCTGTCTGCCTTGTCCTTCTTCCCCTTGGTTTGAGGCGGCACTTGAATATGATCAGCATCGCACTCCACACGTCCGACAAGTTGAGGGCGGTGGTACCTTTCTTGACATTGGCTTTGTCCATAAGGTCTTCAAGTTCTGGCATGACCTTTTTCACGAGGTCTCCAGGGGGCTGTGAGTACTCGAGTAGGATGGCAGGAACTGGGGGTACTGGTTGGTCAGGATAGATGGCACGATGGCGTACAACCTGGTTGATGCGATGAAGCGGAGGGCAGTAGACATCTTCAACTGCGGCATACTCCAGGGTGCGTTTGCTAGCTATTATTAGCATCTCTCTCTGGCCGGTTTTCTCCGGCGAGAACTCACCCCTCATCATCTTCTTCCCATTTGGAGATATCCATGGCATCAACAAAGTCGTCCATGGCCTCGATGAGTTCTTCGGAGGGCAGGTTTCGGTGCTTTTCAGTTATCGTGGTACCCTGGATCGTAACCACCTTGTCAAGCGGTGGGAACAGATAGTTTCTGACATCTTCTGCGAAAGGAAGGGGAATGTCGTAGAGACACTCAAAGTCGGGCTCTATATTTGGCGCGAGAAGGACCAGGGCGGGGTCTTTCCCGTCTTTCGCCACAATGCGTGCCACAGCATAAGACTCCAACTCGTGGAGGGAGTGTATCAGTGAAGAAAGCTTCAAAGCTGCTGCATCGTTGGATTTTTGCGCCACGGTGACGCAAGCCTCTCCCATGTTGAGAAATGGCTCGTACTGACGTGGTTAACATAGACCGACCACGAGAGCGGTGCCTCACATACCTTCTCTTGTTGAATGAATCCTATTATGCTGAAGCTCTTGGTGGTCTCCAGTTTGGTGATATTGTACTCGGACTCGCTGATGTGGACGGCCGTTCTGCCGTACTCGTACCCCTTGGCCAAGTCCTCGCGCTCGACGTCACGCTTGCCACCGGGTGCTTCTGGATCGTTGACTTTGTATGTGAACGCATTCTTGACCGCAGCGAAACCGCTGGTTGACTCGACCCCTTGCATCGCATCACCATCAGAATCAGCACCAGACGGCCCGCCGTTGGTTGGTTCACTCTTCACGACGACCCGACTCGCCGGCGGCACCGTTGCCTTGTGGGTCTTGAAGTACCGCTCAACATTGATGCTCATAGCATCTTCATGTTCTTTGGGATTTCCAAGAGTGAGGGGCCCATCGTAGGTCTTGTACGGCTTGACGGTCTTGAGTCTCGGGGTCTCTAATTCGGCAATCGCCTCTGCCATGGTCCCATACAAGCCATCGCATTTGTCGACCAGTTCCTTCAGCAGTCTCTCGTTTTTCTTCTTCAGACTTGACTTGTCCTCCTCCTTGAAGCCGAACTCAGCGTCGTCGAAGTCTACGCCGCTACGAGGAGGTTAGTGGAGCAACTCCAGTGGGTGGTGGGAAGCACCCATAGACTTACAGGACTGTGAGCTCAATACCGCAGCCCGTGATTCTCTTCGCTATATCGTCGAACTCGTCTCCATCAATGGGAGCCTCGGCGTCCGTTACCAAGATGATTTTGCGTTTGTACTTGAGCTTCTTGGTGAGGATCTCAATCATTTCGACGGCTATGACGATTGCCGAGATCGAGTCGCCCGACTCGCTGTCACTGGTTACTATGCGGGGCTGGAGTTCCCTCAGACTCTCCATGGTCATGGGCCCTAGGTCTTGCAGTACGGAGATGTTCTCGTATCCCTCCTCGCCCTCGTCCGTCAGAGGATTATTAGTCTCGTCGGTCCTCACACCGATGACTCCAACATTCCAGGTCTTCCGTGAGGCCGCGACAGTGGTTGATATCTTGTCCCATACATATCGCATACTCCAGTCGAGGTCTGATTCGAGTCGACCATTATGACAGTCGGCCATCGACGACCCGAGGTCGAGGATGTAGACCGTAGCTTCCTTGTCGGCCATGTCGGGTGAAGCTGGTGAACGGACTGAGTTTGGTTAAAATGGGCTATGGTGACGGCTGGCTTTCAACACATGTTGGGAGTGGAACGACGGGCTAAACCAGCAGAGACCCAATGAAATTAATCAGATGAGGCCCGACTTCTGCCTGGAACAAACGCGCCTCAGCTCACCACGTTCCACACCAGGGATGGAACAAAGAACAGGCAGTCGCGTTAGCACGTGACACAGCGCGCTGCAAGCCAAGCTTGATGGGCTGGCCCAAGCTCTCTTGACCAGGATCACCTGCAAGGGTTAAAGGGGCACAGCTCTTTCGTTCCAGTGGGCGTCATCCAATTGATCGTTCGATGTAGCGCCGAAACCTCATGCGACACCCATTGCAATATCTCTAAATAATACCGTAGCGATTTCACTCCTTGATACTGTCAACTTTGAACCAAAATTTCCACCCTTCATTACTGTACAGAGAAACAACATTGAAGTCAGAAAGTGATCAATCAACATGGCAGATAGATCTCTCGTATTCTCCCCGGCTCCGTACCATATCCTCTCGTAAGTGACGCCCTCCACACATCCCGCCCGCGTCATTCACACACTGAACATCATGATAGGTACGGCACGCTTTTGGGCACCCAGTTCTTTCACGTGAGCCACAGTCCATGGATCTCATCGAGAGGTCTCATCAAACCCTCGTTTCCTGCTCCTGCTCCCGCTCTGCCGTTCACGTTCCCGCTCCCCAAACACAGGAGGCAGCAACTAACCCAGTCCCCCCCAACCAACCAGACATTCATCAACTCCATAGCAGCCTTCAAAGTGCTAGAGCGTCCCCAATTCGCCGTTCTGCAGCGCGCGCTCTTCCCAGCCTACTTCGGCATCCAGACCGCAGCGCCCGCCCTGCTCGCCCTGACCTACCCGGGCACCAGCACCCTGGGCGCGCTGAACCGCGGCACCATACCAACCGGCATCAGCGGCGTGCTGCACGCGTCGAACCGCTGGGGCGTGGTACGTATAAAAACATCCCGTCACAAGTCCCTGAGCCTTGCTTTTGAGAACAAGCTTTGCTATTCCCCTCCTTCATCTGGAAAATGGCCGTACGGGTTTAAAGACAGGATGTTAACGTACACGCAGCTGGCGCCGCTGGCCACGGTGTTTGCGACGGGCCTCGTCAACCTGGTGTACCTGCTGCCCGAGACCAACAAGGTGACGGCGGCGCGGAGGAAGCAAGGTGCGTGATTGTTTGTTTGTTGTTCCCATCCGTTGGTTGCGCCTTGCTTGTTTTCTTCCCCTTCCCTTACTCGTTTGCCGACCGGGCACCAATCCTGGTTATAGCGATCAAACGAGCGAACAAGCGAACGAACGAACGAACGAAGATTCGATCATTGATTGAGAGGTCGTTTGCTAACTGACCACAATGGTCACAACAGGGAAGAAAGATGGCAAGCAGAGCTGGGATGCGGCGCCCCATTCGAACGAGATGGAAGCCCTGAACAAGAAATTTGGCCAATTGCACGGCATCTCCTCGCTGCTGAACATGGCGACGTTTGCAGCAACGATTGTCTACGGGTTTACTCTAGCCTCGAGGATCGAGTAGCCCGACCGCACGTTCTGTCGGAGCAAATTTGTATCACGTGTACATAGACGAGAGACGCATTCCATTAGATAGAAGTAAGTGCATAGAGTGCATTGTTCATATTTGTGCATTCATTCTGTTGAGCTGTCTGTATGCCATGAGGTGTGTTAAGGCCGAAGAGGACCATTTTGCCTTATGGAGCGCTTAAGAACTCCGACCACTAACCAAGTTCAGGCCTCCCAACTGAGAAACCCTTTCCCGTGCGCCTGCACATACTGTGGTCGTAGCCCGCTCAATGGGTATATACGATCCATGGCCCAAGAGGCCACGGGGGACCAATATCATGTCGTTTCATCATCGTCGTAAAACTTGCGGCCGGGACGGTCGCGACGAGTGCTCCCCAAATCCCTCGCACTCCGCGATCTCGATCCCATCCGCCTCGTCCTGCCCGTTTGGTGGGTAGGCACTCTAGAATCGGCCAGCCGAAGCAAGCAGCTCCTTCTTCGTCTCGGCAAACTTGCGCGCCCGGGTCTCAGGGCACTCGGCCCTGCGCTTGGCGTCCATGCTCGCGGTCCGCTGCACCCAGCCCTGGACGGACCAGTACCCGGGCTTCTTGGCGAGCTGCGCGGCGACGTCGAGCTCATGTGCCGGCTTCACGTAGACGCGGTCGAGAGGCGGGAGCGGGTAGTTTGCCGATGGGGTGATGGGCGTCTGGAGGGGTAGCGGGGTGCCGGGGACTGACACGTCTGGGGATGTAGAGTTCGATGAGTCGGCGGTGGCCTTGTCGGGGAAGTAGCTGTTCGACAGTTCGGAGGGCTGTGTCTTGCTGTTGAACATTCTGGGCTGGGCACTTTGAGCCATTGCATGTTGTCCGGGGGCCGAGTACGTGTAGCCCTTGTTGTAGGGGAACGTCTGCTCAGTTGGCGACACGGCGGCCGAAGATGATGAGGAGCTCATGGTGCAAGTTGGATAGCAAAGGACCGTGTGTTGAGTTTGAGTCTGATCATTCGATGATACCTCAAATTGTATGTTGTAGGGGAATTCGTAGGTGTTGACAACTAGGAAAAGGTTGGCTGGGTGTTTGATGTAAGGATATTCAGACCAATCTCGGTAAGGTTGTTTTGACTTTCGTTTCGGGGACTTTCGTAGGAGAGCCGGGACAAAAGAGATATGGGAAAGTATAAAACACATGCAGGAAAGATAGGAAAGAGCGGGAAAGCAAGCAATTTATCTCTCACGATAGCATCGAGACTTGTGGGAGTTGCGCCCCATCTCCCCCACTTGACACCGGAGGTGCGCCAAGGGGTTGGCTCACCTCAGACCTGCAGACCGCCTGGATGCAGCCTACACTCTCTAACCTAGACCCTCAACTGTACAGGCGAGACAGGCGAGACAGGTAGCCGGGCTGCAAGAAGGGTCCTCGGGTCCACTATGCTACCACACCGACAGGTCTCGAGACTCCCAGGCGGGCCAGGCAGCCCAGGATGCATCGTGAAGGAGTCCGGCCCCAATGACAGTCATGACCCAGAGGCAGTGGGTCCGGGCGCTCGCCGTGAAGGGAAAGGAACTACCAACAACCTAGGTCGTGGCGGGAAGGCCGGCCGCCCGCACGACGGAGGGCGATAATCGTTTTGACGAGTCATACGTGGGATTTTGTGACGGGTGCTGCCCATCCATGTACGATGTCGAGCAGAGGATAATGGAGGGTGTGTAGACTTAGGTAGGTATAACTCCCATCCCATAACTTCTAGCCGTCGGGTCGAGCAACGAGACCGGGCTCGCCTCTGGGAAAGTGTTTGCGGACCGTAAATATTCTCTGGCAGAGTCGGAGTCTCTCTCGGAGAGGGGGCGGAGATTGGGCCACCTGCATGGCAGAACCCTTAGCCGCTCGCTATCTTACCCCACTAGGTAGCGATAAGGACTGCAAAGGGCCCCAAAGTTCGATAGGGCCGAGGCCACGATGAGTCGGGTTCCAGTTGCTTGTCATGGACTTTCCTAGTCGGCCATGGGCCAATATGGGCCACACACTTCCATCAGGTTGCATGGCAATTCCAGGGCAAGTCTGGAGATGACCATTGCCATTGGCTGCATGGTTCCACAGACCGTGTGCTACGTCAGACCCGTCCGGCCGCGAATCGCATGCGACGACGAACGTTCCGAGTGGGACTCGTGACGCTTTCCACTACCGCCGGGCTCTGCGGGCGGGGGCGGGGTCGACTCAGTGCAGGTGCTCAGTCACCAGTGCTCAGTGCTCACGAAGGATCGCAAGCATATCTACCTGTACCCTTCACAGGAAACATACGATAGTCTCAATTCCAGTTTGATTTCAACATCGTGGCGATGCAAAAGGCGGAACTTGTTTGCCCACCTGCTCGCTTGCATGACTCCGGTAGCATCCTTCCGTCTTGGTCCCCCAACTCGACCTCATGTCAGCTCAGGTCTTCTTATTAGCACCCATCTCTCCCGCATCTTGCGAGGTAAATCTGCGCCCGAATCGGGCAGCACAGATGCGTCATTAAGCAGCGTGAGACGGCATGACACAGGTCTGGAATGTGACAAGATCGTCACTCCACACATTCGAGACCGGCCTTCTGTCGTCAGACATCGTTGCCCCATTACCCCGTCCTGTCCGTCTACTTCTGCTTCGGGTTCTCTCGTCTGACCTTCGATGTCGATGCCGGCGCTTGGTACGGTCTGACGCTTGGTATGTGTGCTCCGATCTGCTTCTGGTAATCCTTGTATTCCGGATATTTCCCCGACGTTATCACCTCCGTGAGCCAAGTCGACCCCTGGAATAGCATTATCAGGAACAGCGCACCGGATCCTGCCCAATTGTAGAGGCTCTTGCTTGCATAACAGCCCCATTGATACAGGACAAACCAGATCGCTTGTTCGGCAGCGAAGTTCGGATGCCTGCAGTATGCCCATAGACCGGTAGTGATGAACCCTCGATCAAGGTCTTCCTGGGAAATCCCGCATCCCCGTGGGATCTTGGCGGTTCGTTGGTATTCTTTCTTGGCGGTTTGGTAATCTGCGATTGTCGTCAGCACGAGTTCCCAAGTTGGTATAGATAACCTACCCCATTGCTGTTGATCACTGAACCACTCGGAAACAACCAAGCCCAGCTGCACGCCCGCGAAACCCAGATCGGCCACAGAGATTTCCGGTTCGAATTGGGTAGCCAACAAGATGATGTACGTTGGTGCTGCGAGGGCATAGAGCAATATACTTTGTATGAAAGAGATGAAGGTGACGTTCAGTAGGAAGAATGCGGCTGCGGGAACTTTGGCGCGCACGATTTCCCTGGCGACCTGTTAGCCGGCTTACATTGGCCGCAAAATATGACTGACAGATACGACGAACCATCTATAGTCCTCAGATCCTACCGTATATCCACCCTTCCTCCAGTAGTTGAAGGTCAACCGAGCCTGCGCATCAATGTGTTAGCAACAGAGCTTACTCTTGGGTTTAGGGTGATTAGTCCGCTTGCATACACTCCAAAAAGTGCTGAATAGCAGCACCAGATTAAGCCTCTGGGTGGGCAGGTCGTTCAGATGGGCCCAGAACGCGAAATGTGCATTGTAAATGGTAGGCAACAGACTCCACATTCGATCGACCTGGGAGTAGTTGCGGTTGATCTCAGAAACGACGAGGAAGACACCGCCCAGGAATATGGAGAAGGCGAATCCTGACACGAGTGGATTGGTGTCCGTGTACAGGTCGAGCAGTGAATCACGGTTCGATATGGCGTCGATCGCCTTTCCAGGTAGTTCGTAGAGTTGCTGTAGGAACGGTTCGACGACTTTCGAGTATTCGGCGCAGTCTTCAAGCCGCTTCAGCGATGGTATGGCCATCTTCGCGGTTACAGGTAAGTGCCTAAGCGTATCGCTGGGATTGGAGAGCAATAATAGATGATACTATGCTGCTTTGTAGTTGTAGTCTGGAGTTTCAAAGGTCACAAAGGTGATGGTGGCACGTCATTGACTTTCCCACGTCGAAACCAGTCACGGAGAGCTGAAAGAAGCACAGGCCACTCCGCTGTGTTCCAAGCCCAGGACCTCCTCGGCGCTGTCAGGCTGGGCAGGGACTTTTACAGGGGGATACAGGGCGCCGATCTCAGGGTCTGAGGGTCTGGCCAGTGGCCACCGAACGGGTACGCTGGCCAATCAACGAGCGAGTCTGCCAGCTCAGGTACTTGGCAGCTGGCAGGCTTGGCACTGTCGAATTGAAGCTTCCCGGTAACCACACCTCACAGCTGATGCATTCAACATTCACCATACCTTACCTGTAACGGTAACTTGCACAGCTGCAATCCCAGACGCGTAGAGTACTCCAGCTTGTGATGCGGTTTGTCGGTATGAGACGAGGAATGGAGAAGAAGTCCGATCACAGCCCCTCGTTGCGCCTGATGGCGTGTCTTTCCTGTCCATGAACCACTTGATCCGCCGCTTATGTCCAAGTTGGAGGACACAACTGGTAACACCTAAAACTGCTGCAGCATCTCCAACATCGCGTTTTCAATCCACCATGAAGGTTCTCTGCGTTGCCGAGAAGCCCTCAATCGCGAAAGCTGTAGCTGGTCATCTCTCTGGCGGCCAGGCCACAACTGTCTGTTCCTCCTTCGCCTCCTGCCTCGGCCTGTGATATTCTTTCATTCTGAAGTTCCCTTGCTGATGGTAGCTCAGCGACCCACTCCGGAAAAGTACATCAAGAACTACATCTTCGACTACGACTTCGGCCACCCCTGGGGTAGATGCGAAGTCACCATGACATCGGTGTTGGGCCATCTCACTTCTGCTGTATTCTCTGCCGATTACAAGAATTGGGACTACCCCCCGCCTGACCGCTTGTTCGACGCGCCTGTGAATGTCATTGTCTCCGAGGTAGGTGTGCTGCCCTCGACCCGATTCTATAGGCCCCACGTTACTCAGACACCACACTACAGGACAAAACGAAGATTGCCGAGAACATCGAGAAGCAGGCTCGATACGTTAATGCATTATGCATATGGACCGATTGTGATCGAGAAGGCGAGCACATCGGCTATGAAATATGTCAAGCTGCCAGAAAAGGAAACAGGACACTTGATATCAAGAGAGCCAGGTTCAGCAATATCGAGAGAGCGTCAGTGTTTCTAGCCTGTCTTGTTAAAATGCCGTTTCTAATGGGGTCTAGGCATATCTTGAACGCATCCCGGACTCTCATCAATCTTGATCAGAAGCAGGTGAATGCTGTAGCTTCTCGGATTGAACTGGACCTCAGAATAGGATATGCCTTCACTCGGTTTCTAACTACGAACCTCAGGACCCTTGGCGGTCCAATGGCGCAGCTCATGTTGAGTTATGGTGAGTGGAACTTATGCCTTTCGAGCACGGTCGACTGACTTGGCAGGTTCGTGCCAATTTCCCACTCTGGGATTTGTTGTCGACCGTTATTTTCGAGTGAGGAATTTCAAGCCCGAGGCGTTCTGGAGCATCAAGGTCATGCACAAACGAGAAGGCATCGACGTCAACTTCAGCTGGGCACGGAATCGGCTCTTTGATAGGCCATCCGTCATCATTCTTTACGAGCGATGCCTCGCGGCAAAGATCGCGAAGGTCATCAAGGTTCAGGAGAAGCCGACGAAGAAATGGAAACCATTGCCACTGACCACGGTCGAGCTGCAGAAGATGGCTACAAGATTCTTACGTATGACGGGTCAACAGGCAATGGAAACTGCCGAGGGCCTGTACAACAAGGGATTCATCAGCTATCCAAGAACAGAAACCGACCGATTCGACAAGGGGATGAACCTTCGTGCTCTGGTTCAAAAGCAGACACAATCACAAGCTTGGGGCGACTTTGCACAAAATCTTGCCGATGGCGGGTTTCAACAACCGCGACAAGGCCGAAATGACGATAAGGCGCATCCTCCAATTCACCCCATCACATATGCTGCGCCAACTGCGCTCAACCCCGAAGAGAAGAAGGTTTACGAATTGGTAGCCAGGCGCTTTCTAGCCTGCTGTTCAGAGGACGCAAAGGGTGTCGCGACGGACGTCGATATCAAGTACGGGGAGGAATCATTCCATGCCCATGGGGTCGTTGTACTAGAACGAAACTACCTGGACGTATACCCATACGATAAGTGGACAGGCACGGTGCAGTTGCCGAAGTTTATGGTCGGTGAGCAGTTCCAGCCAACCGAAGCTCTCATGACCGAAGGGAAGACCGCACCGCCAAACTATCTTACCGAAGCGGATTTAATTGCTCTTATGGATGCCAATGGGATCGGAACAGATGCCACAATGGCCGAGCATATCCAAAGGATACAAGAAAGAGATTACGTCCGTACAGTTCCACGAAGCGGTGGCTCCGGAGACGAAGAAGCAGCGGACGCTCCAGCTGCCCGGGGAGGTCGTGGAGGTCGCGGTAGCCGTGGCAGCCGTGGTCGAGGTGGTCGAGGCGGCCGTGGCGGAGGAGGAGCTGCCGGTAACGGACCGGGGAGAGTGATGGAATTCATCCCAACTCAGCTGGGTGTTGCTCTCATCGAAGGGTTCGACAGGATGAACTTCGAAACCAGTCTTGGCAAGCCTTTCCTGCGAAAAGAGATGGAGCTGAAGATGAAGGCCATCTGTGAAGGACAAACGACGAAGGAGATCGTTCTGAACGAGAGTATCCAACAATACCGCCACGTCTACATGCAATCTCAGCAAAAGCTGAGTGTCCTGAAAGCGGTAAGATACTCGTTGTACCTGGCCAATGCTGCGTACCAAATACTAAGTCAATGTGTAGGCTTGCCGGCAATATATCTTTCAAAACGGCGCCTGAAGATATCACGAGAAGACCATGTTGGTGTCTGTTACGTTGCTCCTATGGTCCGTTGAACATGGATAATGATGAGGCGAGCGCACCCAGAACACAGCTTATCGCTTGAGTGGTTTCGAGGTAGCCCAACCGGCTGCAAAGAAGCTGTCGTCAGCAGGCACTGCAGCTCGCATAACTGTTATCAGGGGCACCCTGCAGGACCTCGGCTCCTCCGAGTATCGGCGTTTCCGCTATACGCTCATGCAAGATATCCTTATGTTGCAAGACGTACTTCAGGCAGAACCGTTTGGTGACAACCCTTGCGGGAGAGGGTCAGGTATGCACTCATGAAGCAGAAAGAACGTCAACTACAAGCTTCGTTACCCCGTACCTTACCTCAATGGGCTCTATCATATAAGCCGATATCAGAAGTGGGGGTCTGAGTGCGACGACTGACTAAAGTAGCCTTGAAGCATGCCGCCGGATGGTGTGCCATCGCCTCATCCTGCAACGTGGGGAAATGACACTGGATGATGGGGCGTCGCCGCGAGAGTGCGTCGTGGCGGGGTAGGCGAGCTTTTGACAGTCCGAGGCATATGCAAGCTGCAAATCCCTCATTGATGGCTACCATTCACAGATTTCGTGTTCGCGTACGACCGAAGCACACGACCGATACGACCAAGACACACAGCCCAGCCATCCGTTCCTAGCTGATCGAGCGCAGTTCCTCTCGCAGGACAGCACTGGTTCTCGAAACGATTATCGTGACTTTCTCAGCGAGGATGGAGGTTATCGCGAGAGCACGGCCTAAAATCAAAATACTTAGACCTGCTGTCTCGACAATGGCCACATTCCTGCCTTGAAGTCAAGCAGTGGAAAGGGACGTTCGGTTGAACTGGGGAATTCAGTAATAAACCGACTGGACGACATACAGTACCTTGCACTGTATATGGTTGGTTATTGGCCAATCACAACCAAGTATTTGTGCAACGTGAGCAGTCCTAACGTACACACACACAATCGTAGAGATGTCGGACGTCAGACGTCGAGTCTCCGACCGCATGTGTCACTCACTAAAGGCGCTTGTGGCGCGAGCCCGGAGCTCAACGACTTGCTGCTTACGGTCAGCCGGCAAGGTACCAGGTGATGTGGTCTCGTTGATGTAGGTACACGAATCCATTAGCACAGCCGACAGAGGAGCATTGTCAGATAGAAGGATCCAGAGCAGAGTCTCAGCCGTGTCTCTCCGGTCCGAGGTGGTTTCCAATACTACCTACCAGTACCTACGTCGTCTCTTCAGACCTCAGATACCAGATACCGGATACCAAGGATCCTGTCTTGCCAGGCTGGGGCTGGGCACTTTCCATATCACGTTGCTATCTCGCCGCTTTTGGTCGGGTCAATAATGGCTGGGATCGGTTGTCGGTTGTTGGTTTACCTAGCTGCCCTCCACATCAGGTCGAAATGACGGGTAGTCTCCCCACACACGCCTACTGCGGGCATGGAAGCCAGTCCTAATAATGCCACATCCCACGGGCCTCTGCGCAATGGTGCGTTTGGCTTGTTCTGGCATCTCGCTGCAACTGCTGTTACCCGTACATAGGTGCGAGCTACCCACGCGTCGGGTCAGTTTAGGAGGGATCTAACAAGCTGCAACACTGCGCCGACGTCATCGTTCACTAGACGAAGCCGCCCGGGCGTCTCCAGGAAACCTAGCCACACAGTCGGGACAAAGAGGTGCACGGGAGGAAACAAAGGCATGTAGAAGGCGACGTGCTTCCAATCGACTGACAGGTTCAGGTTGCAGATATAATATATGGTCATTTATGCGGCAAGCAAGCAACACTCTTGTCTATGGCGGGTGATCTACTACCTTCATCAATTGCCCCACGCTTTGCAACGTCTCCCTTGTGACCCCTTTTCCTCCAATGAGAGCGGATGATAAGGCCACACGCACGACCTTCACTCACACCCCATTATCGATCTGGTCTAACGACATTAGCACTTTACCAAGCCAGAATTAGTATCCGTGCGGCCTTGGGGATGCACAGCTGAGGTATTCTGACGGCGGGTTGCTTCAAATCGTGCTGAAGGCTTATTATTAGGGCTCACTGACACACTTTACACAAGGATCATTCAGCCCACCGTCAGCTGGACATCACTCTTACAATTGTCTGACAGTCTAACAAATCATGTATCAATATTCCAATTACCACGACGACGCCTACTCATCATCAGCCTGTCAGTACACAGAGGTCCTACTGCTACTAAGCTGGCATCAGACTACAACAACCTCCATGGTGATTGTGGCCTTGCATTTGTTTGGATGGAATCACCAGAGTTTGGCCATACAATATTTATTCAACCCGTCTCCTTATCGGCCGACAGTGGTGGCATTAGTTACGGGGCGTGTGTATAGTAGTTCAGAGGTGGGTCATCTGGTCACATCTGCTCGATCGTCGATCACGCTCCCCCTTTTGGACGCTTGACTACTATAGTCACCCCCACTGGTGGTTGCAATGCACCAATGTTGCTTGAGCAATCGAGCAGGTGTGTGCATCCTGTGGCCCAGGCGTTCTGATTGATCAATGAATGAATGCCCGATGCCTTGGTTTGACATGGCTAGGAACAAAGCCAGGTAATCAGAGGTACAGCGATACCTACCATGGATACCTGTTTCGGTATTAGCAGTGGCCCTGTCGGATGTCGGACTACCTGTAATGACTAATGACTGATGACTGCCCTTTGTTAATAGGGAGGTACGTACACGGGCACCTTGCAGGCGCATGCGCAGCGGATGCCATTCCACGGGCATTCCATTACTAAATCGCTGTCGCCGCTCACTTCCCAGTTCGTCTCTCCTTTCGTTCATCACCACAAGCAACACAAGCAACACCACATCTCTGCAACCAAGAATCCCTTCTTGTCACAGTCAAGATAATCGCGTCAGCGCTGCCAACCTGTCCATCCGATCTTTGTTGTCGCATTCCCGTCGACTCCAAGATTATCCATCGCCATCCCCTGTGCCTACTTCGGACTCCTGTAAGTGACTCAACCACCCATTACCCAACTCTGCCTGAGTGACTCGCTCGGGCTTGACGCGTTGCACAAAATCCTCATTCACAAGGTCGGTACTGACCCTGTGTCGCTTTACTCTACAGGCACGTTTCGAAGTATCCAACATCCAAGATGGCAACCATGGCATCCGCTACCGCTGTTCGCGATATCCCAAAGACCTCCACCGGCGGCCGAGACAACTTCACTGCTGTAGCGGCCGCCCAGAGCGTCCCTGTGACACGACATCCCCTCCCGACTCCCCCCAACTCCATGTCACCTGCGCTGCCTGCCCACGGCCTCAAGGCCCGCCTGCAGAAGGCTAGGATCGACCCTGTCGACTCGGACCTGGACCTCCACGAGGCCGTCGAATCCAACCCGGGCGCGTCGCCTGCCTTCGAGGCTGCCGGAGACATCACACCCGCTCTCCTCGCCAAGTTCCACCTCCCCGAGATCCTCCTGAACCACGGCCCTTTGGCCATCCGTCACATAACGGGCTACCTGACCACATCAGTCCCCGGCTTTGCTGGCATAGCTCCACCAAAGGCCAGGAGACTAGTAGTTGCGGCCCTCGAAGGACGTGGACAGGGACACGGCATCGACGGCGCAGGAGTGAACGGTGACGTTGAATTCGAGAAGGTTGGATGGGGCCGATGGGATGGCAAGCGAAGGGGCCAGCCAGCTGCCACGCAACAGCCATCTGGCACAGGCAACCCAGGCTCCTGTCCAACCAGCATCCCGATCGCAAAAGTTGCGGCATGGAATGCCGGTCGACCCCGACTGAATGCTCGCGCCGTTAGTGACGGCAACTCAGCAGCCTTCTCTCATGACGACCAAGATATCACCATGCTGGAGAATGAGGCGGATAAGATGTCCCTCGATTCCATGGATGGGCCTGCTTCAGCATCCTGCTCTGAGGTGTTCGACGAAGACATGATGGATGACGACCCTGACGACGCGACCGACGACGAGGACTGGGCTGCCGTCGGAGCTGCTGCTCTACGGGCGGGCTCGTACTCCAGTCCAGCAGAGGCGGCTCGCCAAGCTCCCAACTTTCTTTCATCCGGTGTATATAACCCTGGCGGCTACCGATCTTTCTCCACGAGCTCCGGAATGCTTCGGCAGCCTCGACTCGACAACATCGATATGGATGCGTTGGCCGCCTCCCCTAATATCCAAGAGCGCGAGGCTATCCAGGCTCTCCTGCAGCTTGGTTCTGTATAAACAATCATGCACTGATGGCGTTGAAGGAACATCCGGTTTGGACGGACTAGCATGGATAGCACGGCAGGCGGTACTGATTTTTTGCGTCTTTCTCCCGGATTGAGGCGGCGTTTCTCTTGGTCAAGATCATCATGCGGCTTCTTCCCTGTCCGACAACGGCGTCTTTGGCATTGTGGGTTAACTCAAATCATCCATATCTCTTTCTGGAGAAGCTACGGATTCTGCACATCTGGCCACCATCACACTGCGTACTTTCGACCCTGGAGGTGGGATGTTAATCTTCGTTGCGAGAGGTTCGAGTCTCTACCGTTCCTCTCTTCCCTTTCCACTCTATGACTTTACGAAAACTTGTGACCGGTCTCTGGCATGCCGCCTTGTGACATTCACCGTTTCCAACCATGTGGTATTTGACGACCTCGAGCCTTGGTCATCCTCGTGCGCTCGGTCTCTTGAGGTACTCTTGACGACATATTTCACAGAACCGAACCTATACCCTTTTTGCGACTACATACCATACCCATTTCACCATTTACCCATAGCAGAGCTACCCCCGCTTCAACAGCATTCGCGGGGAAATCTTTCAGCCCTCGACGGATCTCAACCATGAGACAAGCAATTATCACATGTTCCGCGATAGCACCCCTATACACTAATTGTTGGCACGTTTTGGAGCGAAGACGAATATCAGGCGAGCGGTATTGATACCTTATCTTGGCCTTTGGCACAGTTAGCTGGATTATGATGACCATTAATAGCCGGTTTTTGGCGAGAAAGAGAGAGATGATGGATTAGATGGACCTGGTCAGATCTGTTGTGCTCGGCATGGCAACGATCTCAAACAATGATGAAACGACTTCATGACCCTGGGATCAGGTTCGGTGAAAATTATAAACAACCCCAAATCCCCTTTTTGAGGATCGTTGGATGAGCTCTAGCTTCCTGAGACTTGGTACTCACAGAATGAAAAGCATCAATCTTCCGTCCCAAAATGATGTTCTTGATAATTATGTGACTGATGGTGTTATGAATGTCATGTGAGATTGCCTTGTAGAATTTCGCTGGGGCTTGGACTGGTGCCATTCGTCGGCTGAAGTCTGCTTCTTGAACACAAGACTTTTCTGGAAATGCCTTGCATTCCGTGTCTGTATCATACGGGCTCTGTTCAGCGCGAGCTACCATTGAAGTCATCGCGAGGTTATGTGGTTTCGGAATGACCCTTCATCTTAGAGGAGACTGATTGACTCACTGATGTGTTGCCTGTTTGGCTGCCAAATCAGACCCGGTCGAGTGAGGGTCAATGAGATCTGGGTCAACACAATGAATTCCAAGAGCGGACGGCGGTGACAATGGAGGGGTGAATATCCGGTCGTCAAGCAGACCGCTGTATACACGTATACACACAGAGGCACACAGCGTGAGTGGGCGAATAGTGCGCACAATGCAGCAGCAGCTTTGCTTCTATAGATAGATCCATTCTCGGAAAATACATAAATACAAACATTTTCAAGTTCGGTGGGCAATCTGCTTGCTTGCCCCGATTCTCGATCGTCATACGCATACGCATTCCAGCAGCCCGAAGTTTCATTCCTGATTCCGGTAATCTATCTGGATATACCTATTGCAGACACACGGCTGGAATATATAAGTACCTAACCATGCCACATCGATTGACACCGCCACCGGTCTCAACATCTGCTAGAGGTGATGGTGATGAGATCATCTTGGGCTCGATTCGCGAGGACAGGGAGAATGACGGGAATGGGAGAGCGGCTCCTGCTGGTGGTAGACCCGATGAGGAGAGCGGCCATCCAGGTACGCCCTCCCAGCATTGTCCCTCGGAGGACCATTCCCTGGGGACATTCCGAGGGAGACTCGTCCAGTGAGCGCCACCTTCGAGAATAGCCCTCCTCATGAAGACTTCGACACCGACTCCTCTTCCGATACCGAGAGCCTGGATCCCGACGGGCCGGTTTATGATGATGATGAGTCGGACGACGAGGACCTCTATCTCGAGTACCTCAAGTTCGAGAACCCGGGGCCTCTTGCGGACGGTGCGGCCGACGGTGCGAGGACCGCGGATAAGGGCACGAGCACGCGTTTGGACTATGAGTCGAGCACAAGACCTGCTACGAGGACGAACGCCCCTGGACGCTTGGAAGCTGGTTATAGTGGCCTCGATGACGATAGCACCGCCAGGGCCGCAAGCTCTCACAGCAGAGAAGAAGAAGGAGAAGCAGGTCCTAGTGCCCCCCAGCCAACACAATATCCAAGGCTCGACCGGGACGACTGGAATGAAATCGGCAGCGACAGTGCGGGTTATACCTCCCAGTCCAGCTCTACCTCCTCCTCATCATCTTCCTCTTCCTCCTCGCCCTCCTCATCACCCCTCGCGTCAACAACCACAGCAACAGAAGGGGTAGCAGCAGACGAAGCTCCAGGCGAGAAGCAAGACAGTCAGAGTCAGATCCAGCAAGCGCAGCGCGCCGCGCGCAGAGCTGAGAGGGCGCGCAATAGGGCGCAGAGGCATCTAGATAAGGCGCGCCGGCGGCTGTAGAAGAAGCTCCGCGCGGCGCATCGGGCGAGGGCGCTGGGGGCGTTGGATGGGCGGAGGGGAAGGGGAAGGGGAAGGGGAAGGGGAAGGGGATGGGGATGGGGAGGGCGGTGAGGCTGAGAAGGGAGGCGATGGAAATGAGAGTGAGAGCCATTGGAAACGCGGTGATAATATGAAGGAGGGTAATGGGGAGGACGGCGATAAGGATGCTGGTGTAGGGAATTGCGTGATAGGGGATGGAAATTGAGATAGGGGCATAGGAGCAGGTTGGTTGGTTGGTTGGGGAATGCTTGGTTCTGGCGGATCGCTGTTCACGACCGTTGCACACACAAAGTATACTTACTGGCTAGAGAGAGATTCATGATACTGCAGTCCAAGATTGGATAGAGGAACAAAAGTGATGCCAGGACTGACTGGTGGGATCATGTGATGTCTTTAATATGAGACGGGCCGCCAGAGTCCTGTTTTTAAAGTAGCCTTCTTTCGTCACTCTACGAGGTGGTTGCTCTGTTGTATACCGTACAGAAGCCCGCGGGTTCACGGTCTGTGTCGATACCCTTGTTGCAACGAATGCGAGGCAAAATTCCTGACGCCGGTCGAGTGACGTCTTCGTTGTAGTCGGCGAGAACCACTTCGTGGACTCTTGAAGGTTCAACCCAAGCTTGGTCGGGATAGAGCAGAGTGATAAGAGCCATGAGCCGGCGAAAAGACCTTGGATGATATCATAAAAGAGCCGCAGTTCAGATGATGTTCGAGCATCGGGTAGTCGCGCTCGTCAGCTACACTGAAGACCCCCTTTACCAAAGGGGCAGAACATCTGGAGGCTATTTGGAAGCTATGTAAACAACGTGCTGGAGTAAGCATCAAAGATGGCTTATTGTTATATACATGCTTATTCTAGGATGCTCATTCCGTCATGGTGAAACATCTAAACGAAAGATTCGAAGTGGGCGGAACTGAGACTTACGACGGGTGACTGTGGCAATTTTATTGCCGTGACACTGGACGAGACTGTCAAAGTGAATCTTGGCTATTGGCGTGAAATAGCAGATCAGCCAGGATGAAGAGATGCGAAGTGTCAATACTGAATGACCCTCTCGTGTTGATGCGAGATATAGGACAACAGAGATGCCTGCATTTGTACTGACTGATATTGGGTGTGATACCAACCCGATTTTGGTGCATCAGCTTCATTGAGTACCAAATGCCCGGCCAGCAATGCTATTCAATCAAAGCTGCCTTGAAGTGGGATCGGAAAGAGATACGTATCCATAAGGTTCTGGACTTCGCGAACGACCGATGCGTGGTCTGGAACCCTTTCGTCTCTGCGCGATCGCAGATGATAAAGTTTGGAGGACACAGCCCTGTCCAGAACGACTCCCCGAAGAAGGTTCAGCAGTGCGTCATGTGGCGATGACTTATTACATATAGATTGTCGACCGTCAGCTAGCAGATGTAGCACGGGCGCAGCACTTGGTGTCGCGCCAGAGTAGTGTTGAAGCTTCTGCGGCGAAACACCAAGGTCCAGATGCGTCCTCGCTCATCGGCCATTTGCAGGATGCCCGTGTCTGACTGCAGGGTACGGTAGGCTCGAAGGATCTGTGCAGGGCTGCTCTTGTGTATCAACCATGTCCATGAACCAGAACGACGGCATATGTTGGGGCTCAAAGATGTGATGCCTCAGCTGCCGGACTCGGGCAACCGAGGAGTTCAACTTCCATATCCGTCTGCGATGGTCAGAGACATTTGACAGAAAGGAGAAGCTTTCGAAGCATCTGCCAAGTAACAATGAGTCAAACGGTTCCAGGGATGCAATAACGTGAACCCACTTTCAAGAGGCTTGGTATCCCGCAACTCCAGGCACCATACCATCAATAGTACGGGACATGGGCGACTACCAAGGTCTATTGAGCCGGTCCATGGCCAAGCACTTGGCGGGCGGAGAGGAATCTCAAGGCTTGGCTTCACGGCGGAATGCTCAGCATCACACCTTCCTAGCCTCCCAAGCCTCCCAAGCCATGACCTTGTCCTTAGCCACGGTACCAAGGAATACCAAGACTTCCTCCGCCACTTCCTACACTATTGAGGACAACGGCGGAGGAAGAGGAGGAAGGGGAGGCGAAAACGACGACGTAGAGATTGGCACCAGAGTTGACCGGGGTGGACCAGCGTCGGTCAAGACTGCGTCAGCAACCGTGGAAGAATTGAATAAATTTAACTGATGCCCCCACCTGGCATCACGGAAAATGGAGGAAGAGAAGATGACAGAAGTTAGGGGGTAGACTGGCAGGCTGGCTCTGGTAGGACGTAATAACAAGATGACGGGAACGGGATGCAAATCGCATGACTCGTCACAGCATATTGTCATGTCAGATTACTACTGCGAGAAGCGCGCAGCCACTCGTCCCGTATGTACAGCCAGCCATCCGTCCCACACTCCGAATAATATGTACGCAAGCGATGCTGCAACGACGGATCAAGGGATGGCACTCTGACATATGATGCAAATAGGGGAGGAAGAGGGCAGGAAGTCGCCAAGAGGGCAGGAGCTGGAGGGCCAAGGCCCAAGAGCAGCAGCAGACGGGAGGTGGGCGCAGTCGAGTCTCGGCATAGGAGGAACCGGCGGCCAAGCAGCGGCCAAACAGCCAAGGTTAGGTTTTCGCAGGTGGACAGAAGTGACAGAAGTGGTGTCACGGGCAGACGGGCAGAGACGGGCAGGCTGGGTGGGCCACAAGCGACGAGACAATCACTGCTGCCAAGCCCGGCCAAGGAGCGCCAAGCTCTTGGCATATCTTGGCATTTGCTTGGCGGTCTTGTCGCGGGTATGAGGGGCGACTTGGTGTTCGCGGGGCGCTGCGGTGTAGACCCAGGTACCCTTTCGGCGGGAATACGCTTCTCATTTGCACCCCCTTCGCAGCCATCCGCGCGAGCCAATCATCGGGTGGCAGCTGCTACACCCCCGAGGCATAGGCCCATTGCCAAGACTTTCCGCCTGGATATCGCCAAGGTCAAATGCCCATAATAAGGGCAGCGACGACGCCCAGTTTACATAAACCGCCCGTCCCTCTCTTCAACGTCCGCTGTCTCGTCTGTTCCCCTCTGTTGGATTTGCCCGTTCGAAACAACGGTTTTTTGGCCTACGTTGTCCATTGTCCAGTCTATACCCATTCTGCCATTGTTGTAAGAGAGAGAAAGCCAAGCCGCTTCCCCATTCAGCCCCAAGAACTTAGTCACCCATCAGTCCCGTTTCGGTCTAGCCTGTCGCCTGCCCATCGCATCCACCAACGCCCAGCCCAGCGGAAAGCTATTTAAGGCACAACTTCGGCACATCCTCGGCTCCGGATAAACTTCCCTTCCTCACCACCCGCCACGTGACACCTAGCATCCCCTTTGAGGCCCTCGATCGTCCTCGGTCGCCTCAAAGAGCCATGTCTGCTGCGCCCGAGAGCAACCAGGCCCACTCCGGTGGTGAGAGTTCCACTTCCAATGGCACCACGCCGGCGCCCTCGACCACGACTACCGCCACCTCCCAGTCGAGTGCACCCGCTGCCGACGACACCTCCCTCACCTGCAAATGGGCCACCTGCGGCGACAAGTTCATGTCTGCCGAGATCCTTTATGTAAGTCCTTATTAGGAATCGATGACAGAAAATACGTCCAGCCCATCTGACTCTCGCGACAGGAACATATCTGCGAGAAGCATGTTGGCCGGAAGAGCACTAACAATCTCAACCTGACGTGCCAGTGGGCTCAATGTCGAATCACCACAGTCAAACGTGATCACATTACGTCGCACATCCGCGTCCATGTCCCGCTCAAACCGCACAAGTGCGACTTCTGCGGCAAGTCATTCAAGCGCCCGCAGGACCTGAAGAAGCACGTCAAGGTTTGTAACTCCTATCAGCTCATCTCAGGCAAGCCGTTCTGTAGGGCATCGGCTGATTCCCAAAACTAGACCCACGCCGATGACTCCGTCCTGGTGCGCTCGCCCGAACAACATGGCGGTATGAACGGCGGTATGAACGGCGCCTACAGAACCCAAGGCAAAGGTATGCTCCCACTTCGTTTCTGCTCCCATGCTTGTCTTGATTCCTGAGGCTAATTCGCCTCGTAGCTCCCTCCAGCTACTATGATCACAATGGCCAGATCCGTACTAACACGGCTGCCTACGGTCAGCCGACCCATCAAAGCGGTCATTCTAGCAGTTACTACCAGCATCACGCAGCTCCCTCGTTTGGTGCTCCCATGTACTACCAGGCTATCGGTGGTCGCGGTGACCACATGGGCTACCAAGCTGCTGCAGAGTTCGACTCTCGCAAGCGATCTTACGATGTAATGCACGAGTTCTTCAGCGATGCTAAGCGCCGCCAGCTCGATCCCGCATCGTACCAGCAGGTCAGCCAGCGACTGATGCCTCTTCACGGTGCTCTGCCAATCCACTCTGGCTCTCTCGGTGCCGAGTATTTGCCAGCTCCGGCTGTCGTCGGCGTGGATGGTCCTGGCGGTCAAGGCCCTTACCAGCACTACGCCTTGCCGCCTATGCCCAATATCCGCACCAAGAACGACCTGGTTCAGATCGATCAGATTCTCGAGCAGATGCAGAGCACCGTCTACGAGAACTCTAACACTGCGGCGGCCGCAGGAGTTCATCAGCCTGGTTCGCACTACATGCCTCTCAACTTCCGTCACAGCCATTCCCCGCCTCACTCGGCAGCCCCGGCTCCATCGCACATGCAACATGGCGGATATTCACAAGCTCATGCAGCCTCACCGTTGACTGCAGTTTCGTCGACTCACTCGAATGGCACACCAGCTGTTACGCCACCTTCCAGCTCTGTATCATACACCTCCGGTCACTCACCCACCGCCTCTTCATCTGGGTTTTCACCGTCCACTCGTCACAGCACGACCACCACGGCCCTATACCCGAGCCTTCCCGCAGTCACCTCAGGCTACCCCGGCCAATCGGCAACGTCGACCCTAGGCCCCAACTTTGACACAGACACTCGACGCCGCTACTCTGGTGGTATGCTCCAGCGTGCTGCCGGTCCTCGACAGGTCGAGGACCGCGAGGCTTCAAGCACTCCTAAGCCCTCGGAGTCTGCCGTCTCCTCGGTCAGTTCACCTTCTGCTGAGTCTGAGGTGAGCGCCGAGAATCGTGAAGACCAAGCCTACGAAGAGTGGCTGGAGAATGTCCGTGTGATCGAGTACCTTCGGGAATACGTTATCGACCGCATCCGACGCAGAGATTACGAGGAAGGAAGCCCGGCGTCCACTGATTCCATGGAGGTCGATTCTCCTTCCAGGCCACCTTCCCAACCCGCTTATCCTGCCCTTCCCCTATCTTAGACAGACTCGAGGACTGAGGACGAAGTTGGGAGACTGAGAATGTTTTACAATGGAACGACATATGGGGATGGCGTATAGGATGACTATGACTTGGTCTCATCGTCATTTCGAATATTGCTTTTGCATTTCAAGGCACGGATCACCTGGTGCTACCTGCAATCAGAGTCCCCTTTCCGCAATATTTCTAGCCAGGTTTTCCTGAGGGTGAAGTAGATACCCTTAGCCACCCGACCTGCGGTTCGTTATGATATTGCCAAAATTGAATGAGACTTGTTGCGTGAGAGCCATACATGAAAGCTTATACGTGCATGCATGGTGAAGGCGTAGTAGTGCTATACAGCTTGATTAAATCATCACGCGATGTAGGTCTTCGCAAGTTGAACAATATGGAAACCTCGGCAGTCTCTCCTGCTGCTTGATGGGCCGGCTTGATCAGCGGTCTGGTTTCCGCGTGGTGTGTTCTACGTATGTGTCACCACGGGCAAGGGACGGCTTCGCGATCGCCGCCAATGCTGTGGGTACTGAGGAGCGCTCTATCTCGTTATTATTGTGGGATATAAGGTAGAGCGAGAGACAAAGTGATGATACAGAGGGTAGCCCACCTGCTCAGGGATAAATAAGTTACGAGCTTGATCAGTAGGTAAGTACCCGAGGAAACGCCCGAGTGCCACTGGATGGATTGTAGCAAGGCTAGTATGATACTGTACCATCACGAGACACACTGGATTGAGACTACCTACCTAGTCAATGTTTTTCATTGCTGGGAACGCGATGACAATCTTTCCGTGTGGACGAACCAATACCGGGATGGCAAGCGGGTTTCGAAGGGGACGTGACGACAACAGGTAGGACGGGGTTGGCAGTTTTAGTTAGGCACGACATGCCCTGCGTGCACTATAGGAGCGCACGGAAAAGTTTACTGCCTTGCTTATTACGAAGTTACATGCCATCACTCCTGAGACGGCATGGAGTAGGTAGGAATAGGTATACCAAGCTAGTGGAGGTTCGGCAACACGGAGTAGGGGTTTCACGATTCAAGCCGGTTCGGACGAGTATGCTACAGCGCGAGAAATGATGTGCAGGGCATGCCGAGCTGGGACACATTGGGGGGCCTAGACGACTGGCACCAGTGCCCGTCAGAAGATATGTATTATGATTTGCTGTTCGCTTCATGCATGCTTCGTCACTGTGCCACTTCACATAGCGAGGCTAATCAGGGTGATGGTGGTCAACAGTTTTCTCTTGTTTATGGTAAAAATTATCTCTAGTATGATGGAAACTTGGTTTCGTGAGCTTTATTCGATTCCTTCGTGTATGACCACGTCCTTCGGTCATGTAGGTTCGGGAAGATGAGAGGTAGGACTTCGTGTGCGGTAGGAGAGTCGATATCGGAAGGAAAGAGTTGGTGTTTGTTGGAGACCGTCGGTAGGGCTGTTGGATAGCTTGTCCTGAAACCCGAAGCGGGTGCTGGAGTCGAGAGTCGTAGTAGATGAAGACAAACATCGTAAACTGCCCACGAAGGAAGTACGCTATTCATCGCGGTTGCACCCCTTTCTCAACGCCGCTTCCAGGAAGGGCTGAGAGCTTGCTCTGCTCAGGCGGAAGCCTATTCCGACTTGTCAGGACTTACATGAGTCGGCAGGCATGACACGTGTATCATCATGCCCGAACCAGACTCGTCCATCATTAATTTGTTGGCAGTAATGCCTTCGGTATCCGCGAGGATGGCGACTCATTTCCGGACTCGTCATCCGTCGCAGTCCATAGCGGTAGCGGCTTCGTCTCGACACCGTTGACACATGCACCAGCCGCCAAGACTGCCGCAGGCCCATTCCCTTCGCTGCTGGACAGGTAGATCTACATCACAATAATGATTGAGGATTTCGTCGCCGCTTTTGATGCCTCCAGGAGCGTCACCAACGACGCGCTTTTCTCTGGCTTTCAGCACCATCCGGCCACCCCAGTCCCACGTAACGTTTGGGTTGCAATCATGATTGGCGAGGCACCAGAATGGATGCACCGCAGCCACGTCCGGCCGCCCATCTCTAGGATTCTTCCGAGCGGAGGCAGTGCCGCGAAATTTGCTGTAGAGCGTGTTGAAAACCCATATGTCATGACGCGAGAGACTAGTGTAGATGTTGATATCCATTTTCTCGAGTATATGCAGCGGCGTCTCGATATTATAGGTGAAGGAGAAGGGTAAGGTCCATTCGGGAGGCGGGCCAGCATTCGGAGATAAGCTGATTTCATTGGCCCTCGAGGCGACGAAGTCTCCCCAGATGTATTTGACCTGAGTGACATCGAGCGGATGGATCTCTTGGTGGGCCGCCATAGCAAGAACACGGGCAAGAAGTAGAAGATGAAGAGCCTCGCCTGCTTCTGTCGCATCAGGATCCTTGGCGATCGAGTCGACGTCTTTTTCACAGACGGCTGGATGGTATAGTGCTTGCGCCTGGTCAGCGCAGAATTGGTCGCAGAAAACAGTATCGTAGCAATCCGGGCATTGGACAGCCGGCGACTCACTTCCCAGCGGCGGGAGGTCGCCACTGCAGGCATCGCATACCGAGTCCTTCAGGCGGTTGTTGGCAGTCACTAAGCTGTATTCCACAAGAACTTCTTCTCCCGGCGCAATGTCTTCTTTGGCGAAAACCCCGAGCTGGTTGCAAGTAGGGATAATATCATAGCCATCGGTGTCGCTGGCATCTCCGAGCAGGATGGGTAGTTCTGTAACGCGTATAGCACACTTGGGCGCCATGTCGGACATTTCCTTGTTCAAAAAGTTCAGTGACTGCCTGGAAAAGCGGTCTGGTTCATACTGGTTCCACGGATAGACCTCTCTTCGTACCATTCCCCAGTCCGGGAGGTCGTTGACACTCGAGACTTCCTTGCGCAGCCTCCGTTCAGCAACGGTCTGAATATATTTCATGGTATTCTTGAGTTCCTGGTTTTCGGAAGCGGTTGCAAGGCCACGCTCACAGAAGTTGTAGGCGCTTTTTAGACACCCACAGAGAAGGAGACTCAGGGCCAAGACCTGAAAACAGCGCACAGATGCAACGCAGGCAAGATCAGAAGGTTCCTGGACTCCATTGAGATCGGTCAGCCGAGATCGGCTTCCCGATAGGGAGCCATATTCGAGGATCTCCAGATCGGTGCTGGTTACATGGGCCCTCAAGGCTTCCAGCGCCTGGTCATGGTACTCAAAGCCTTCATCGCGGACTTCATCGCTTAGTAAGAGCGCTCGGTAAGCATCGCCAGCGGCCAGATCGGGATAGCCTAGGTCGGCGTAGACGACGGCGCGCTTGAGATAGACGATGAGATCGTATGGACTTGCCAGCAGCTGATCTGTCAACGATTGGCGCTGTTGAAGAAGAGTATCAATCCGAGTGTCGATCTCCTCTGACGACTCATCCATGGTATGGCAACGATATGAAGATCTAATCAGGAACGAGGAGACGCAGGCAGGCAATGTGTAGAAATCGGCGGCGCGGTGAGGTGCGGTGAAAGGATGAGTATGAGTGGGTGTCAACCGCTTTCACGCGGTCTATTCAGAGCGAGTGTCGTCCTTAGCGCAACGAGAAGACACACACGGGATCAGAGGGGGTCCATACCCTGAAATGACGAGGCTGACAGAATATCAAGGCGCTTGCCGCAGAGTCAAAAAAAATACCCGGCAGCCATACGCGAGTTTGGACAGGACGAAGCGCATGCACGGTGACAGTTTGTGCGACACCTGGCCGTCGACGGGGGTGGGCGATGTAGACACGCAGGAGCTGATAGACAGACGATGACCTGACAGTCGGTGGTCACGGGGGGAAGAGCAGGCCGAGAGATGGGCGGCGGCAGGCGGTCGAAGGGCCAACAACACGGCAAGGTACAATCCGGGGTCGGAGGGGTCGGAGGGGTCGGAGCGAGCGCACTCAGGCCGTATGCAGTAATCAGGTAGCAGATCTGACAGTCGAGGGCGAAAGGAGAAGAAACTGATGGCGGATGGGAGTAAGCCCTACGCTAGATGTATATCTTGGGTAAGGAAGGTCGAGACTCGAGCAGAAGAGTTGCGTCGCACCGGCGTTATGAGCACGTTGCCGATGGGGTCTCAGGTCTGGTGGTGCTCCGTCGATCCGTGTGGTGAGGCAGAGATAACGTGAGAAGGCTGAGGGCTGAATTCGTTGGTGGGAGGGGCTAGAGGGGCTCTGGAGGGGGACCCCTAAATTTTACAAGGGTCCTGCCAAGCCCGCCTCGAATGTTAATAATTAATAAGGGTCCGAGGGGTTCAGGCGATCAAATCAATTTTCACATGCGCCGTCGGCGGTCGGCAGAATCGATGCCGGTGGGGGTCCTGGGGTCTGGCGCACAATCAAATCCATGGATGCGAAGTTTTCGGTGCCTTAAAAGTTCCATGGTTCGTTGAGGTCCTTGATTGGCCTCTTTGCCCACAGGACCCGTGTGTACTTGGGGTAGGTACCACAGACAGCCATGGAGATGCGTTCTGGCTGCGGTCACCCGTGTCCATGTTCAGATTTGACTCCGGACAAATGATTTATATGAACCCACACTCCTCATCCCCTCTGGTAAATGCAGATCAACTAACCACTTAATTCTTAAAAGGGTAATGGGTGGTTAAGGCTTCTAGGGCTTAAGCCCAATTGGGCTAGCCACATAGTAGCAATTATTAATTAGCAATTATAATCGCGTGGTAGTAATTATAATTACGCGATAATAATACTTATAACTATACTTAATATATAGCTATTTAAGAGTATTTATATTAATTTAGTATTATAAGAGACGGCAAGGCCGCTTCCGGAAATGGTGGCTCGAACATGCCATTTTAGGCACCTACTCTGTCGGGCAATTCTCGGGTGTGCAACCTCGCTGCTTTTTGCGCACCCAGAAATAGGATCAACCCCTCATGTACCTCCTAAGTCCACTTGTACCTCTTCTTCCCTTTGCTCAGTTCAGACCACGCTAGGCCTGACTCCGTCACAGCCCTGTCTATATTCTGAATAGCCTTCATTCATCAGTGGCATCAGTAGCCTCCAGTATATTTACACCCTGTAATTAGCATATGGCTTTATTATCGACTGCGCTATGACAGTATTACTTGTGACTTATCCTTGGCCTTTGAACTTATGCACTGTGGCTGCCTCATAAGTCACCTCATTACGGCCTTCTCCGAACTACAGGGGGCATGAATCCCTAATCCACCAGCTTGTGGTGCCAGAAGCGAGCAACAGCAGGAGATTTTCCTCATTGCGTAACTAACTGTTCATCTCATAACTTGACCCAACATCCAGCCGGACAAGGCCAAAAGGCCAGCGGCTCCCCCGATACCTACAGCATGTCATAGCGGCGATGGAGCTTAGTGGAAGGCAATAGTCATCTCAGACATAGTATCCATCTATCATAAAAAGTTTCTGGTCTTGATTCTCAACATCAGCAGGGGGTTCTTCCATGCAAGCAATACGGCGTATTAACGGATGCTCATGAAGGTTATAATGCCAACAAGACTGCCTCTTCAGGGAATTCTGTATCCATTATGGCTTCTTGACTCTGTAAAGCTGATGCTAATTACCGAGGGCTCACAAATGCAAAGTGGCGTGCACCTAGTCAAGGAGTCGTGCACCAAAATGCCGCTCATAATGCCACCTAGACTGGTACCTGCTAATTTGACGTATTACTACCTACAACCCTGCAACCCTTGTGGTGGTAGGCAGTCAGAAGCAACCTCTACATTGAGAGACTTTCCTGGCCTTTGCAAAGCTATAGTGCCTGTGCAAAAGCTGCAGAAGATACAAAGAAGCAAGATAACAGACTTAGCACCATTCCCAACGCCTGCTTTCAGCTTTAACGACACTCTAAAAAACTACAAAGGTCATAAGGCATTGCTTGCCCGCTACGACAACCTCTTCGGGGAGTTTTTGCCTTGGCCTCGCTACCATCTGTTTATGCCTGTTCTCAGCTAGTGACGAGCTGGACCAAAGGCCAGGATCACCAATAATCAAGGTGGAAAATATTAGGCTATGTAAGCGTGAGTAAACGCCTTGTCTGGTATGAACAGGGTATCTTGTTCCTGTACCCCGTATCCTCATGCTAAAGCACCTCTGAGAGGAATGGCTGGTGACCCTTTTCAACTTTACCAGATGCGACTCTCCGGCTAGCCGGCCCCTAATAGGCCTCTTTGTCAAGGCTTAGACGAACAAAGATTGGCCGGTGGGTAGATTGACACTGATATTGCTATCCTATGTACTAGTGGTAGAGTACAAGACGAGAGACGAAAAGAAAAAAAAGGAAACAAGCAAAGAGATGTTTCACGAGCCAACTATATAGAATCTCGGACAGAGATTCCATCTCGTTCCACGATGTTCTACGCGTGCTTCCAAACTATTCCAGATCGTTCCATGACACTCTTGATTAGCCCAGGTTAACATTTCTAAAACGTCGTATACTCTTTCATAATCATCTGCAGAAAGGGTCTTACTGCCGGAGCACCCGTGAGGCTGACGTTGACCCGCTCTTGATGATCTTGGCGAAATGGAATCAGATGTGGCTACAGACTATCATATAATATTTTGCTAATATTGCCATTTTGAAATGGTCAAGGATTAGAAGGAGGTGGAGACGTGGCAGATGGTCATATACCGTCTTCTTGAGAGCTTTAACCTATTCTGGACTTCAAATACATTAGGCTTATCTCGGCAATCCCTGGTACATGATGATAATCAGGCATTGCTACTAACATAGATCGAGAGCTGGGTTTGATGGCAAAGTATAAAGTATATAAGTCGTCTTTCCTCAATTATTTGGGGGGAAAGTGTTCTGACTTAGTCTTGCTTTATCTTGTCCAAATGTCTACTCTGAAATTGAAGGCATGGCAGCCACCAAAGTCAAAGCCGAAGCGAATAACTGCTGTTCCTATATCAAAAATAAACCTTCAGCAACCTCTCAGCAACCTATGAGCTTCTTCCAGATACCTTCAATCCACAGCAATCTTGTCCCTGAGTCGATAATGAGGTACTCAACTGCTATCAGACCCAGAGTGTCCAGCGGTTCCTTAGGGGAGGTTTCACTGTTCAAACCCCAATAGAACAGGACACTGGAGCTTTCAGTCGCAGGAAACCATTCTATGACGAACCGGCAAGCATTTTAAGCCAGCCCAGCACAGTCCTTGGAAATGCTAGTAGTACAGACTTGGACAACAGTACTATCAGCCTTTGCCAAGCCGCTGCTTCTACAGAACAACTGTTGAATACACGGATGTTGATTGATCCTATTGATTGTTCTGCCCTGTGTGCAAAAATTGATTATCTGTCTTCTTGGTGGGTCAGATGCCCTGTGCGTCTCTGCCCTACTAGAGATCTTCCGGTGTCTATCTCCGGCTCCCATTCAACACACCCCCCAAGGAACAACTCCTTCTATTGGGGTTGTTCCTGTGCATTCAGTCTGTTGCTCTTCCTGTTCAAGGTCATCTTTAAGTTCTTGTAGCTTGCCGGCTGCAAGTCTCTCATGGATATCTGTCAGCCTCACTTGCTCCCTGAATGTCTTGAACTTTAGTGCTGGCAGTGCCTTGGTCAGGCCGTCTGCAAGCATCATTCCACTCCGGACGTACTCGACGTCTATCTTCTCATTGTGTTGAGCTTCCCTTAGCCAGTGATTGTGGATATCGATATGCTTGAGCTTTGTTTAAAGTGTTTAGAGGTCCTTTCGCATTAACTTAATGGTCTGTTGGTTATTGTCACGGCGAGCATACTGAGGAGCTCGGATATGCCCGGCAGCAAGCAGCTATTACTCTATTGACAAGAATATCAAGACTAGAGAGGAAAGGAAGAGAGAGAGAGAGAGATAGGTACAGTGGGAGGTTGCCCCTTTAAGGGGATCCTTTGGTCAGATCCTTCCCTAAAGTATCCGCTTGTCATGTGGGAAGGTCTATGCAGGCCGTCACACTACCCCCCCCCTTATTAAAGTCGGTTTACGACGATGATTTCTTCCGAGTTCTCCTTACTCCTTGTACAGAGCCTCTTACAGGCAGGTTGTCTTCCTCATAATCAGTTAGGTTCTGATCATCAGCAGCAGCCTCTATCCATTGCTGTAACCTTTGAGGGGGACCTGGCGCCTTGGGATTTGTGTCATGGAACTCTTTGACGCGTACAGCCGAGTTTCTAAAGTTAGCTGCTGGGTGTGACGGTCTGACCTCCTGGAAGTCTGTCAACCCATCAGGGTGGCCTGTGCGCAGCATCACATGACCTGGCGCACAAGACGTGTGGCCACAACTGTACTAGGCTAGGTAATAGTGGGGCGGATGGAAGGATCATTAATCCCACCAGAATTGGCTGGTGGGTCAGATCCTTCTTTCCCTCCCCACCAAGAGATTCTTACACGTAGGTAGTGCAATCAGGACTTTTATGTCCTCATCCT